AGCCAATTTTTTTGTTCCGTAGACCGATTACCTCATTGCTTTTTTCTTTTCTATATTGTTTCATTTGTTTGTTGACTTTCGAAAGCTAAACTTAAGATATTTTTGCTTTTGAGTTCGTGCAAGGTGAGATCAAAGAATAATAAAAGAAAAAATAGGATGCTCCCGTCTCGATTTTCCCACATCAATAAATATAATAGTTTTTTTCTAGCAAAATTGCTTTTTAAACTGAAAATTGGAATCGTAAAACACAATAGTGTCAAATTTCACAACAAATTGTTTTTTTTCTTTCCCCTTGTTTTCAAATAAATAATAGTGACTTTTTTCTTGATAAACATGAGATGAGAGAATAATATGATTTTGAGAAATATGAACTTTTTCAATGATCATCTAATGTTCATCGAACATATTTTCAACGGTGGTGCTTGAAACACATGGGAATTTGTTATAAATTTATAGGAATACATGTTTTTGATTTCGATCTAATAATTTATTTGAGTAGTTTTGCAATGATTCTTGAACCAGGATACCGTAAAAGTTGTTTCCTATTAGAATACAAATGTCGGGTGAAATCAAAAGTTCGTAGAACATACAGCTAAAGTTCAGAAATAGGAACTTGTAAAAAAATAAAATTGCTCTTGTTAAAAAAAACCTGCAGTTAAAGTTTGCAAGAAGAGCTCTTTTATGAGCTAATTTTCATTATTTTCCGGAAGTGTAAAGTTCAAAATTTTGTTCTGGTACTGCGGGCAAGTTCTTGGAACCACGCTCAGACTTCTTGCCATTCGAGCCTTACTTTTTATCAAGGTAGATTCAAAAGTATAAAAAATAATCAGTTCATTTCCTTCATATATTATATATGTACAGTCGAGTCTTATCAAAAAATTATTATTATACAAGAACAATCTTTTGTCTATTGTCTAGAAGGCATATATTTTCACGTCAATAAATCTCATTTCTCTCATGTCAGAAATTCGAGTATTTATTCAAAAAATAAATATGATAGTTATTTGTACACACATTTTTTCATACTGTGTACAACAAAACACAAAAGACTGTGTTTTGTACTGCTTTTTCTCGATTTTCACCTTCTCTCTTGTTCCTCCTGTGTTTTTTTTCAAGAAAAAAAGAAAAAGATAACTACATACATATGACTTGAAATGTCAAGCACCATGTTTTTCCTGCTTGACAGGAAGAAAAAAAAACGAAAAAATGGAAAATTAGGTTGGGTTGGGTCGAACGAACTAATTATTCCACGCGTTTTTTCCGCTTTGCACTGTTGCACACTTTTTTTTGTTTATGGTTTTTGAACGGCTTGATTTGAAAAAAAATAAACAAAACTAATGTGTTCTCAAATTTCAATAGTAAACTCTCTTTCTTTTTTATTATTTAATATGACTCTTGTGATTTGATTTCAAAACTTTTATAAATGACCCACTTCAAAATATAACTGTTCAATTGAATTTGAAGAGGCCTATGATATCATATTTAATATCTACTGTAGTTTGCAAATGATAAAAGAAAAAAAAACGTTTTGCTTTCCAACCAAATGGCAACTTTCACTTACCACAAAGTCTATGGCAATATTTCTTTGTCGAAAGTTCAAAGCAGACAAAACAACATAGTCATGCATATATTTTTTTAAGCTATATGTGACATGCAGAAAATAATTCCTTTGGGATATGAGAATAAACGGAAATACAACAAAAAACCAAACCGAAGTGAACACCACCCCAGAAGAAGAAGAAGAAGAAAAAAAGAAAAAGTATTATTATATTTATAACATATATAGATATTACATTCTTCCTTTTTCTTTTCCTCTCGTTTTTTTTTATATATTCAAACGAGAAAATGTAATACTACGACATATAACAAAAAAATCTGCCTCTTCTCATTCATCATCAAATGATGAAGATTCTACCTCGATTTTGTCTTCGGTTTTTCCGAAAATTGGTGAGTTCCTAAATTTTTGTTCAAAAGAAAAATGAGAAGAAAAAAGGCCAAAGAGAATTTGACTACTGTAGATTAATAAGAAAACTAGATGTGTTTTTTTTGTTTTTTTTATTTGTAGTACTACTTTCATTTGTTAATGATTTTGTTTTACTTTAACTTCGTGTGGTTTTTTTCTCAGATTTATTAATTTTGTTAAGGCTAAAATATCGTTTTGGTAGTTCTTGTCGATTTTAGATTTTTTATAAAAACCTAGATTTTTGTGACAATTGAAAGCTCTGGAGGTTAATTTTGATTTTTGTTATCCTTTCCAAAAAATAAAATTACATTAGAATATTCGAATTTCAAATATTCAATTTATTTCCTGCTATGTTTGTATAATTTTCTCATTATATTGAAAATCTCAAACTAATGCAAAAAATGGTTCAAAAATGTTCTTATTTCATTGTGGTTTCACAAGAACATCTGTGTTCATTTTCCAACGTGCCCCCTTAGTATTACTGTAGATTTTTTCTCTCAATATATGCCCGCACCTGTTCCAGTTTTTTTTCGAAAAAAATTAATGTGAGAATCTGTTCAGAATGTTCATCAAAATTTTATAGTTCACACATGTTTTTCCGCACTCGATTGAATTTACTGTAGTTCTTTTCTCGATTCGGGTTTATTGCCTCTAAAACGTGGGTTTTGTAAATTGAAACTATCCTGTTTTTTTTGTGATACGATTAATTAGAAAAATAATTGGAACATTCTGAAAGTTCTCAAATAGTTCTCATCTCGGAAAAAACGTTACATGACGTTTCTGAACTTTTTTTCAGTATAAATGATATTTTCTGATCTTATTTCAACATTGTTTATTCTGACTAATTAAGACAATCCGAGAATTTTCATCCCTAGTCTAAAATTCAAACACGTCAGAAAAAAAAATAATTGTGAAGAGATTTGTGGTCATGTAAACAAGTAGTTAACAGATCACAAGAAGATTGTTTCAGTCAGGCCAGCCAGCGCACAGTAGTTTAACAAACAAACGTTTTCTCACATGAATATGATGATGAACACGGTATCCAAAAACTTCAGCTAGCAAGCACAGTTTGGAAAACGAACAAAAAAACTTTGTTTATCTTTCTCAAATAAAAATTGGAAAATGGTGACTTTCGTTTTTCTCATTTGTGAGATTTTCGTATCAGTTTCTTCGACGTTGTGTTGGTTTTGTTGGAGCGGCCGTTCCAGTGCTCAATTTTAAAATATACTGATAATCTCTTTTTGGCATCTTTATGTATCTCATAACCAGTGAATTCTTCTGATATCAATATTTCGATAGCGGAGAATTTCATCATATTTGTGGATTGTTCTACTTTGGCTCAAGTTCATTAATCTCCCCTGATATATGTACATGAGACTAATCCTCTGAATGGTGTGATCTTTCGATTTACGTCTAATATTAGTACTTTTATTCAAATTCGCCATGGAAAAAATTGAAAATTAAAATGTTTCTTCGATTACTTTGAAGCACCAATTATATTACTTTGAAGCACCGATTATTCAGAACAAAGTTTTTTTTGAAACGTATTTGACTTTAACATAATTCATCACGCATTTGCCTCGAAAACTCAAAATTTCAAATGAACGTCAGCAAGAAAATCATTTCCAGTAGCACACATTTATATGTGCATTGTAATGTTTCTCATTTTATGGATACCTTGCTTTTTTCTCTGTACCCTCTTTTTCTCTCTTTCATTATCACCGCCCTTCCTATTTATTCAAATACCGTGGGCCATTTTTTGTGCGCGCGTCTTTTTTTGTGCGAACACAATTGTATAATGATACTTGTTTTAGTTTTTGTCATATTCCTTGTCTTTTCGATTATCTTTATTTTGAAATTGGTAATTCCTGATTATCCTTTCTAATAGTTTCCACTCTTCTTCATTTTTAAAACAGAATTGTGTTGATTCTTGTTGCGTTCTCTCTGTTTATCTCTTGCAACATTCTCTGAATCGAATGATGTAAAGAATGATAAAGTGTTCTTTTTTACTTTTTGATTGACACCTTCCTCACAAATTTTCGAAAATTTTTCAACTGATAATTTTTAGTGACAAAAAACACATTCACTCATGCATGTGATATCAGTACTTGTTTTCTTGTGGTCGTTTCCAGATGTTCTGAATAATGTTTTTCTCTTTCTTGCTTGTGCACATATTTTTTCGATTTGGTGGTTTTGTCTTATCGCACATGTGTTATAAATTTTTCTCAGCAAAGTACAAAAATCAAACAAAAAAGAGTCAATACCCAGGTCAAACTCAAAATGTCAACAATAGGAGTTAGTCTGATATTATTGATTCTAATACATAAAAAAAAGATTTCATAGGTTCAGTTCATCCCAAAATAATTCTGTTTGTATTTGACTCTATTTTTATTTGCACATACATACAAACATTCAGTTCAACTATCTAAAAAAATAATAATAGTATGATTTTTTCAATCAGTGAAAGTTGTTCATTCATTTATTATTCAAAAAGTTTACATTAGCAAAATTGAACTTTAATAATTGATGCCCTTTCATGAAATTTGATATAAGAGCAAGACAGAGCAAAAACTGCTTTTTGAAGTGTGTTAGCCAATTTTACGTCACTGATAATTGAAATTTGAGTCATTTCACAAGTTTACATTCGTCTCCAAACAAATTATTTAATTTTGATCATTTTTGTTTTTTCCGGCACCGAAATCTTCCTTATAAGCTGATTTATTCATATTTATATTTATATGAATAAGAAAAAAATAAATCTAACTCCTACGAAATCCTTTTCATATTCATTCATTTGTTTGCTAGCTTGTACTGTATAGTTCATGTGTTTGTATGTAAATTCAAAAAGGTAGCACCTCCCCATTTTTTTCCTCTATTGAGCAGCTGCACATTTCGACTCCGCCCATTTTCTCGTATGTTTGTGTGTGAATGCTCCAGGCTTCATCTCTCATTTTATTTATATATATTTGTTAGATTTTTGAAAAATAATTCGTTGTGTGAAAATTTGAAGAAAAATAATAACTAACTGAATTTTCAGATGTCGTCTGAGTCATCTTCGGAGTCAGTCGGTGATGAGAGTTGCTCGAACGAGTGCTCAGCAAGTTTCACATTTGACACAAATAATAACAGCAGAGATAATGTGAGTTTCGAACTATAAACATCTTACTTCTCGCGCGATTTTTCTGCAATCTGAGGGAAGAAAAGATAAAAGAGCATACCAACACTTGAAAAATAAGAATGTTCAAGAGGTGTTGGTGTTCATTCATTTTTTCAGAGTTTTAAAAGATTGTGTGGTACTAATGTTTTTATAGGATCTGGCAGAAGAAACTCATATGAAATTGAGTATTACACCGACGCGCGAATCTTTTTCCTTGCAACAATTGGAACGTCTTGTAACTATTGGTGAGTTAAAAAAACGGGAGGGATTTTGTTTCGGGTTGATTTATGATAGATGATCAGCCCAGTCTCTTTTTTTGATATTGAGATGAGATGTGTTTTTAATTTTCTATTAGACATTGATAGTTAGTGTGAGAATTCTGATTTTTTCAAAATAATTATCTGTAACTCACATTCAGAATTGTATTGCAAAAAGTTTTTTCCAATTCTTCTCAAGCTGTTCCTAGTTTTAATTTCTCTAACGATAAATGCTTTGTACTGTAGTTTTCTCATCTTAAAAAATCAGAACCAGTTTTTTTCCGTCAAACCTCGTAAACGTTTTTTTTTGTTCAAAGGGTAATAGTTCGACATATGCCGGAAAACTGTCGATCGGCATTTTTCCGCAATGTTTACCCGTTTTGTGACGTGTAAATCCTCTCAATTCACACTCTGTTTCACAAGGATAACCTTTTTTTGTTGCTTCATCAAAAAAAGTCTCTTGGGTTTCAAAGTTCTGCAAGCTTGCACAAATGATCATGATAGTGATCATCATCTGGTCATTGGAAAGGAGAGAAAAAAGATGAAACATGTATATATTACGTATATATATAATCGTTGCTCTCAAATATCTTTCGTTTCCGGTGGTCCCGTATACTTTTCTCAGAATATAAGAATATGGCTCATTGAGTTTTCAGAACACTTGAACGATTTTTTGAAGAAGGAGCACAAAAAACAACAGCAAAAATTGTTGATTCAAGAGCTGAAAAGACCAAAAATTCATCAAATTAATTTCTGCGCGCATAGCATTTTAATTTCATATGACTCAAAAAACAATTTTTATAGAGGTTATGATGAAACTTCATTTTTTTCGAAAAGAGACCAGAAAAATGACTAATATTCTCACATCAATCAACAACTCGAACGACAACAAGCATAAAAAATTCCGCCATCTTCTTTTTTGACCACTATTACTTTCTTGTTTGGTTTTTTTACAAATCTATTTGTGCATTCTATGGTCGTCGTCCTAGCTTCCTTCTTCCATTTTTTTCTTGCATTACGACTTCATCTCATGGGAAATGAGCCAAGAGCCAAAGAGTACCTCTTTCTTCTTTGCTTTTACTACTATCAAAAAAAATACTGGGAAAAGTAAAAAAAAAAGTTTGAAAAGAGACACATTGTTCTAATCATGAATTATTTATTCGTATGTATCTATCAAATGGGAAATAAAAACTAAAAAAAGAGAGCAAGGCAAGACAAAAAATTTGGTTTATGACACCGAATTTATTGCTCGATGTTCGAGGAAACAAAATCATAAAAAAAACTTTTGTTTTTCAGGAAAAGGAACATTTGGTCGTGTAGAATTGGCGCGTGATAAAATCAGTGGGGCACATTATGCATTAAAAGTGTTGAATATCCACAAAGTGGTTGAGATGCGTCAAACTGAACATGTACATAACGAAAAGAAAGTTTTGATGAGACTGAAACATCCATTCATTGTGAAAATGTAAGTTTTCAAAGATAGATACAAAGTTTGAACAAAAAACGGTTCAAATTACGAAAAGTAACTGATACTTTTCGGAAATGTCGCGAAACATTTCTAAGAGAAAAGCAGAGTTCAAATATATTTTTTACAGGTATGCTAATGAGAAAGATAAAAACTTCTTGTATATGATTATGGAATATGTTCCTGGCGGTGAATTGTTCTCGTATCTTCGTGCATCGAGGCGAGTTTTGATTCTTTTCCCATAGATTAGCGGAACACATAAATCATTTTACGACATGTCGATTACCCTTTTTTGTTGTCATTTTTTCTTATATGTTATTTTTGCAGATCCTTTTCAAATTCGATGGCAAGATTTTATGCATCTGAAATTGTTTGTGCATTGGAATATATTCATTCACTTGGAATTGTTTATCGAGATCTCAAACCAGAAAATCTGATGTTAAGCAAAGAAGGTCATATCAAGATGGCTGATTTTGGATTTGCCAAAGAGCTTCGTGATAGGTAAAATTATAAAAAAAAATAGTTTTGAAATACAATAAGAAAACAAAATAAATCACAACTACACATCCACAAAACATCATAGTACACACTAATGTGATGACCAGTTGTAATGGATCGGATAGATAGATTTGAGTGGTTTTTTCTCTTTGCGTGGGAAGGAATTGAAGTATAAAATTTTTCATTTATTTTTTTCAAACCCATGTTTTTCACGGATCAAATTGATCATTGGCCAATGAATCCAACTGATTGATTCTTTTTTTTAAGAAAAAAAACGTGTCAGATTTTTATATTTTCGAAAGAACCAAACAATAACAAGGAATTAGAGATTTTTCCAGGAAGATCACACTTTCTGAAAAATTGTTATCAGGTAAATAAAAGTCCATTGGGATTTTTGATGGTTATTGATGACAGATATTTTATTCAAAGAGAAAAAACTATAAAAAGAACTAGATCTTCTAGGAAAATCATATTGTATTACAATTCAGTACGAATATTGATATCTAAAATGTACCTATGATTTCAAATATACTGTAATTTGTGACTCGCGTTTCCGTGAATAATATTTTCTGAAACAATCCAAGATGAAATACAAAAAAAACGGTGTCTACACATTATATGTGTACTTTATAACTCGCTATGTACTATATAACTTTCGTAAAACCGACAGACTGATAATCGGATTACTGCTTTTCAATGATTTCTAGTTTTTTGTTCATCTTCCATAGCACACACAAATTAAAATCACGTGAAATGAACAGGTGTTCATTTTTCTCTCAATCTCAGAAAAGAAAAAAGCGAAATGTTTCATTTCTCTCGCTTCCGGGAAGAGTTCTGCAAAATTTCCAGACAAAAAAAAACAAGATCAAAATAAAAAATTTATTTTATTTCAGAACTTACACAATATGTGGAACTCCGGATTATTTGGCACCCGAATCATTGGCGCGAACTGGTCATAACAAGGGCGTCGATTGGTGGGCATTGGGCATTTTGATCTATGAAATGATGGTTGGCAAACCGCCATTCCGCGGGAAAACCACCAAAGAAATATATGAGGCAATTATTGATCACAAATTGAAGTTCCCAAGAAGTTTTAATCTTGCCGCAAAAGATCTCGTTAAGAAATTGTTGGAAGTTGATCGAACGCAGCGAATCGGATGTATGAAAAATGGTACTCAAGATGTCAAAGATCATAAATGGTTTGAAAAAGTTGTTTGGGATGATACTCTACATCTTCGCGTTGAGGTATGTTTCCATGGCAAGAAAACCGAAGTCATATAAACTAATTCTCAAAAATTTCAGCCACCAATTGTTCCGACTCTCTATCATTCTGGAGATACTGGAAACTTTGACGATTATGAGGAAGAAGCTGGAGATGGTCCGATTGCTCTTCAAAGAGAGCGTGATCTTTTTAATGAATGGTAAAACCATATTTTTCTCTGTATTTCAAAATTTATCATGTTCTCTTTTCACTGCATACTCAAAATATTTTCTTCTTCACATGTTTCTTTTTTGTCTTTAATAATCAATTGTTTTGTTCATTTAATGTTTAGAAAACATTCCTTTTTCCTCCTTGTAAACACTTCATTTTACTTCTTTTTGAAAAAAAACAACCTTTTTAATTAATTATTGATGATTTGGTTTAGTTGTGTACACAATAAAAATTGCTGAACTTTGTGTTTTTTTTTTTTCTGGATAATTGATGATTAAAAGGGAAAAGTGAACTGTGACCTGATGACCCCGAGAAATCGAGGAGAAGAAAAAAAAATGAAAAACAACCAAAGACCTCTTCCTGATTCAAAGAAAGGTTTAATTAATTGCACGCTCTATCGTCGTTTCAATGATTCAAATATTTTGTTGGTAGAATTTGGACAGGAAAATATAATTTTCAGCGTTTTTCTGATGTTCAGATTTGAATTGCGAAATTGGATCAAACTAACTTAAATTTTGTATTATTGTAACAAAAATAATTCGTTTTTGATCGATTTATGAACATAAAATGTGTCGGTAAAATAAAGTTGTGCTGAATATGTTCAACATACATGTTCAGAACGAAAATCACTAAATAATTCGAGAAAAACCGATTAATCTGACGCTGATTTGAAAAAAAATTTAAAATTGTTTTTGAATAACGTTCAACATATGATTATGCATGTTTTTTCATTTCCCGTCCAGATAAAGCATTGTTTTCTGATATAAAAGTAGTTTTAAAGATATTCCTGGTACCGAGAAACACTAACAAATGTGCAATTGCGCGTCAGTTTTTGTGTGTCCTCCGCAGAGAGAAGCTGTGTACTTCTTTTGGACATCATTTTAATTTTTTTTTTATTATTTCTCAGAGATTCGCTGGCCAGCTCGCCACTAGATCAGGACCAGGTGGCCGGAAAGTTCAAAACGAGCTGAATTTGATTCGGCCACCAGGTCGCCTTGAGTGTTCCGGCCACGTGGCCTGTGTGTTTGAAATCCTGGAAAGCTGGCAAGACCGTGGTTTGTACTCAAAATAGTGCATTTTTTACTGTTTTTTTCACTTCCGAAGGTTTCTAGTACTCCGAAAATACAGAAAATGAGCCAATTTCTTCTAGAATGCTCGGATTCACAAGTTTTTTGGACTTTTTTCTCTTAAGCGAGACGATCTGGACGCGAGGTCGGGTCGAGCTGGACAACCTGGGCGAGGTGGTCTGCATGAACTGAACCACCTCGCGACCAGGTCGTCTGGCAAAAAATACGGGCAATGTGGTTGTCCGTGTCAATTTCAGATGGCCAGTCGGTCCCACCTAGTGACCAGCTGGCCAGCGAATCTCTGAGTTGTCAATTTTTCCGGTTTATTTCTGGATTTCGATGAGACTTTCAATTTTGAGAATGCGACAAATTACTGAAACAAGAAAATAAAACGTCACCACCATGTCTGATTTTTGTAGGGGCCTTTGAAAATTGCTAAAATTAGAACAGTGTGGAATAATCAAAATGACATAAGCAACATCGAAAATATCGGAAAAATTCTACAGATTTTCATTATAAATGGGTTCTACGAAAACGGAAGATGCTCCCTTTTCAGTTCGAAATCAAGTTGTGCTCATCTTTTAAAATGATCTGAATAAGAATTCATAGTAAAATTAAAAAAAAAATTATTTCTTCTGTTGTTTTGTATATATATACATATTTATTCAAATAGTTTAAATTTGCACACACAAAAGGCGAAATGAGACAAAAAACAAACTAATTGTAAGTTTTCAATGGGGATAAAATAATAGGATATTCACAGGAAAAAAAGGGTATAAACTATAAAAATGGGGGGGCAGAAATGAAATTGTGAGTGGAAAAAAATTGTGGGAGGCAAAAAACAAACTTCCCGAATTCTAAAAGAGGGGCTTGTGTTAGGCTTTTAGTAGGAGTGAAGCTCGAAACCCCATGATAAACACATGTATGATTTTTCGAGATTGATTGCAACAAGGGAACTATTTCAATGTTCACTCACAGTTTTTGACCAGCTGCTCACTATTCCGTCATCTGAATCTGATAGAATGGGGTTGTTCAGAATGCTTCAAGTTCTTCAGGAGTCGTTCTTTTCTTCATATCTGAAAATCAAAAGTTGTTAAAAGTTACATAATTTTCAAAGAAACTAATTTACCTTTTTGAAACAGCATTTCTTCTTTTTCTCAAAATCTCCGGCTAATGCTTCAAATTGATGTTTTTTTGGCAAATCACAGCCTTCTGATGTTCAGTTCTCAATTTTTTTCTGAAAAACAATTAATACTTGTAATGTTATTTTTATTTCAAAACATTAAAAACCCACCGATCATCTTTGGAGTTTGAATTTTTTTCAGCATATCTGCTTGCAATTCTGTTAGAAATGACGATCATATCGCAAATGAGAGAAAATGGAGTGGAACAAAACAATACAGTAGTGAACTTCATCCGTTTTGCATCATTAGAAGTTATGAGTAATGGTGTTCGTGTTCCAACGAGTGTGATTGGAACAGGGGGAATGGTACCCGACATTCATCTGAAAATAGAGAATGTTTGTTTTCCAAAAACTATGACTCACTTGATTGTGGCGTTTTCGAGCCAGTCGACTTTTTCGGTTTTGAAGCGTTTGTATTTCAATTTTGATGAATCCATGCTTGTTGATTCGAGCATTTGATTTTTTTAAACATGAAAGAGATCCTAAAAGAGTAAAATTGCGAATGAAAAGTTGCGATAGAAATACAGAAAGAGACGTATACAATCATTTAAAGATATTTCTCGTGGCGCAGAAGTTTATTTTCTATGTTCCTTGTAAAAAAATTAGAAAGATGTGAAAGAAAAAGAATGAATGAAAAAAAAATGATGACAGGGACATTCCAAGCAAAGAAGAAAAGTCGCCCCATTGCATCTTTTTTGTCTGCCGCCTCTCTCTGTTTTGTGTTGTTTGTCTCTTCTATTTTTTTCTTATACATTTATGCATTTTTTCAACGTTGTGGATAATTTAACTTGATAATTTTGAACTTATTGTTAATAAAAAAAAAACAAACAACGTAACTGTACACGTAAAACCTTCTTCTCAACAAACCAAAATTTATTAAATTGAACACAAAATAGAATGGGAGAATTTTATTGGTAGTGCAGACAATATTCTAATGATTTTCATTCCACTATTCATAATTTTGTAACAGCCAAACGGAGAAATGATAAAATACTCCCGCTACAAAATCAGCATTTCTGTCAAAATTTTTTGAGTTCAAAACATTGTTAGCCTATATTAATTTTTTGGCCAGGCTGTTGTAATAACCGAGCATTTTGAAATCTGATTGTTGTGATTTATACTATTAAAAATGTATTGTTTTGTGGGAACGAAATAATTCAAGTTAAAAACATTAATGAGGTTAGAAGAGATGTGTACATTGTACATACGGATTATTTTATTGACAACGTAGACTTTATTTTGATTCTTCTTCGCTCTCTTCGTCAGAGGAAATTGATGTAGTTGCTGAAAAACTCAATGTGAGTGAAACAAATAGTCTTTAAAAAAAAAATAAATCTCACTTGTCTCATTTTCGTCAGTTGTTGCAGAAACAGTACTGTTGTTAGAGGTAGTCTAAAAAAAATAAATTTCACGTATTTTTGAAATTCCCAATCAAAAGCAAACCGTTTCCAATGTTTCATCATTTTCATTGTATGACATTGAAGTCATTCGATTATTATATCGAACAGCCATAGTTTTGTATTTCATACAGCAAGTCATCTCACTGCATTTCACATACCTACAAACATGAAAACAGGTTATACATATTTCCCAAAGAGGCTATCCAAATTACCCAGCTGGACAATGACAAACATTATCATAAACACACGGAACCATCAAAGGAGGACTTGTGATACATTCATCAGTACATTCTGGCATACAAACTGAAAAAAAGTTCGTTATATTTTTGATGAGAAAATTTTGTACCTGGCTTGCAAACTTTTGGTTCAGCTCTCTTTGCCGCGTGTGAATATGCTTCGATACATTGGGGTGTACAATATGGCATACATTCATCACGACATTCGATTCGTTTTCTTGGTGAGAATCGAATATTTCTAGCGTTATCACTGACTGGTTGACCCATAACATCGATGGCGGTTAGAGAGTTCATGAATGATGAGACGATTTGATTGTATCTCTGAAAATTAGATCAGTATTGAAAACATCAGTTCTCAGATTAACTTGTTAGTTCCAAATTTATTACAATAATCACATATAAAATTATTTGGATCCAATTCCTTTTACAAAATTTTTTGCAAAACCATAGACAAGGCTTTTGAAAATTCCTGTGCCCCCACTCCTTTTCCTCACTCGAAAAACTTCAAATTCATGCTCTCTTTTTTGTTGTGTGAAAGTTCAAGTACTCTTGTATGCAACGTTGCCTAGCATGTTAATAATCAGTGGCCAAAAGCAAAAAAATATTTGTTATTCAGCTCAAAAACCATCTAACCTGAAGACATCGCGTAGTACATTGTGGCATACACGCTTTGGCGCAATGTTTGGCTGGTGACAAAGTTGTTGTTGTCGTTCGCATCACTGGATTTCTATTCATGTATGGTGTTTTTCTAGTGTTCTCCAAAATTCGACCATACTGTTGAGTATTGTAGTTTGGGTTTGGATAGAAGCGTCGAGTTGTTGATGTTGGACAACTAAAAATCACAATGCTAATTAAACATTTACAGCAAATGTGAAAATATTACCATCTGAAAGCACACCATCCTTCATCACCACAACCCATCAAATCACTGAAATATTCACCAATTGCTTTCATACGATTATCAGCATAATTTACACTATCAGATAATGGTGGAAGTGGTGTGGTAGCATTATCAAACTGAAAAAAAAACAAATGTTCGAATTGTTTAAAAATAACTGGAATACCTTTTCTGTTTCTTCAGCATTTATAAAATTATTCAAATATAAAAAGACTAGAAAAATAGAAAGAATCATTGTGAAAAAAGAATAAGATGATGATGATGAACAGAAATAAAATGAAAATATCCAAAAATGTGTCAAAAGGTGTGTTTGAACAATCGAAAATGTCATCTTATTATAAATCAAATAATTAGCACAAAGAGCTCCAATCGTGATCACATTTGTTTTGTTTTTTCTCATTTGGGATGAAAGAATAATCATAGAAGTTGTTTGATATAGATGAACCCATAATAATTTTGGGAAAACAAGGGAAATTTGTGAAAATCTTTGTGAACATATTTCTTATGCAACGTTTTTTTATTCAAAATTACATGTCTTATACAAATTTGGAGCTTAAGAAATTCAAAATGTAGTGTATATTATTTCTATATAGAATCGTAATGAAACAGTAGTTTCTCCCATTTTTATAGATAATTTTTGAATTTCAGATATTTTTTTCAGAAATCCAGTTTCGCTTTAAAGTTAATAAAAGTGACGTCATTATTATCATTCACGATATTTCCTCCCACAATGTTTATGTAACTATATTTCAGAAAATAACACGCACTACTTCCAAAACGTAATGTTGAAATTAGCAAATTGAAATCAAATAATTCCTGATTCATCATTTTACAAATTCATAATCATCGTTCAGAATAATCATTTCATCAAAAAATTTAAATTTTATAGTTTTCCAAAAATAAATTTCTCTCAAATTACGTTGACAAATCATTTTTCCAGACAAAACTCCAAATTTTCATTTTTCTATATATTTACACTACCCGATTTGCACTTTTATGAAAAATGCCATATATATTAAAAACTTCACAATCTAACTGAAAATGAAGAAGATTTTCTCATTTAAACCACATATTATGTACATATGTATGTTTGTATGTTATTTGCGCCCAATGCGTGAGAAAATTTTGATTTTCACACGTCAATTTTTGAACATATCCTTCTTCTTTGCTCTAGTATTTTGTTAGAAAAAAAACCCAAAAAAAAAAGAATTGTAATCATAATATCAATTTCCCATGTTCTAGAATATTATTCTCTTCATTTTTTCCAATTAGTTATTCAAAACAAGTGATAATTCTCAAAGGAGTTCGCAAAATGTATTGCATGTCTCTTTTTTTGTATTTGTCAATCATTTTTCTTGAGTTTCTTTTTCACACACCCAAAAAAACCTCCTCAAAATTGAGTATAACTAACTAAAGAAAAAGTTTTTAATAATAAAAAAATAATATGAAAATTTTAAATATTTATTCATCCTCTTGAGATTTCTTAAGGATTTTTCCTCATTTTTTTTCCTGCTCCAAAATATGTAACATGACCCTTTCACAATTTTTTGTTGGGTAAATTATTAATGAGAGACAAAAAGTTTTGGTATGGATTTTTTTGGATTTTTGTCGTGTTAGTAGGTGCACTTATGAATATTCTCCTTTTGCTTCTTTTTTCACAACTTTTTTACCCACCCTCCAAATTCATTTCATTTTATTTTATTTATTTTCGTATGGTTCTAGAGAAAGAGTTGTGTTGTAATGTTACACATTATTTTTGAGCTTCTCTCACACTCTTCTTATTGTTACATCTCTTTGACTCAAATTTTATTCACATAGTTAAATCTGATTTCAAAAAAAAGTCAGTTGGTGAAAATTTCGAAATTTGTGTAATATTGAAATATTAGTGTTTTTTCAGAGCTGACTGGAGAAAAATATTTTTGATAGGAAAGAAACCTGCGACATATAAATATGTAATTTTTTCAAAATATAAAAAAATTAGAAATTTTTTCTGGGTTTCAAATCATCAGTCCAGCCTGAAATCTGTTCACGAGATTTTCGAAATTCAGATTGTTGTATTTTCACAAAATTCTGAATTTCAACTTGAATCACTCTGTTTGTCTTGAACATCAAAAGCAGTAAATTGGAAGAAAAAATCCTCTCGTAAATTTCTTTGCCAAAAGTCTTCACCATAGTAATCCACCAAAAACATATGATTGAAAAAAACAAACAAAAATTCTCCCGCTTCTTCCCCAAATGTTTAGTTTCTGTCCCTAATCCAAAAAGTTAATCCATGCCATATGGTAGAGTTCCCTCACTTTGCTTTTCTTTTTTCGCTTCCCATCGTCATTTCATTTCATCTGGGTTTTTTTCACCTACACCTTTTCAAAAAAAAAAAAAAGAAAAAAAGAGCAGCCAAAAATGTTCAATAATTGATGTGTAGTTGAGTGAGTTTGAAAGTCATTTCTTTACAAATTCTATTCTGCCACCTATTGTTATTATGAAAGTTGAAAAAAGAAAATGTGCGATTATTATAAATTTTTCGTGTTGGTAATTTTCTTTTTTTTCTCCTTCTCTCTCATTTATTTCTCTAAAAAGCAAAAAAGATCAAGCCACCTAGGGGACTCGAACCCCTGACCTTAAGATTAAAAGTCTCACGCTCTACCAACTGAGCTAAGGAGGCTCCTGTCTAGCTGTCTCGTAACTACCAATATATTATCACACATTTTCCCTTCTCTCTTTTATTTTTTCTTCTTCTCTTTTTTTCGTCCATTATGTGTGTGTTCAAAAAATGAAGTAAATGTGTTTTTTTTTCGAAAAAGCAGAAAAACCTCATAACTTTTCGTCAATTTACATTTCCTTTCATTTTTAATTGAATGAAATGGGTGTTGGGTGGAGCCAGTTAGTCATTTTTTGGCGTTTTTTGTGGGGTCGTTGGTGGTGGATGCCAGATGTGGAGTCAAATGATTTGAGAGTATTTTTCATTTTTGAGTTGCACTTAACGAATCATGGTTTTTTGTTTGTTAATAGTGATGTTAAGACATGAAATTGAAGGGAGGAATGAAGGAGAAATACTAATAATAAAGATCACTCAAGTGTTTGTTTTTTCGCGTTGTTTCTCCTGTTTCTTAACAATTTTTTGTCCTGACCGCTTTTTGTCGGTAGAAATTTAGAGTTCAACTGTTCAAAAGGCTCTTTTTCGAAATTTTCTACGTTACGTGTTTTCAATGTCTTCATATGCTTGTTCTTTAATAATCTTCCATAGTTTTTGTTTTCAATTTATCAATTTCAAAAACCTCTTGAGCAAAGCGTTTTTCTTATTGTTTCTTGAGTTCTGTCGAGTTTCCAGAAATATTAAATGAAAGTTCATTAGAATACTATTATTCTGATATATTTTTGATCTTAAATTGGAAAAAAAACTTTTGAAATCAACTCCATATAAGGTTTTTTCAAACTTTGAACTCAAATGTTCGAAAAGCTTCTATTCAACGAAAAGCTTCTATTTCAGATGTATTCTCTGGCCATAATTGTGCAAGGTCGCCACATTTTGGGACACCTGAATTTCTTTTCAAATTTTGAATAAACAACCTTCGATTAGGTTCAACCCAGGTGTTTATATTTTCTAAAAATGTTTTACGCAACTAAACTCCGCCCTAAACGTTGTTAAAATTTTTCCTTCATACACTTTGAGGCACGGGAAGGTTTTTCAGTTCTTTCATTTTCACACTGGTAGAATTTTGAAATTATCTGTGAGACAACTAGAATTTCTGACTTTCCTAGTTTCTCAATTCGATAACCACATGTATCTTTTGCTACCAGATGTGAAGCTTCACATTCGGAAAATTGACATTTCCAGATTTTTTCGAGGGATACGGTATCTTTTGTTTTGTTAGTATTGAAAATGTCTCAACCACATAACATTACACAAATCTGAACTCGTCATTGATTCTCTAACTAGCTCCGATTGCATTTTCATGTGTGTTTGTGTTATTTCGAAAAAAGTCATATGGTTTTTCGCAGAACAAAACACTCATTTATCTAACTTTTTTGTCGATATATATAAGAAAGTAGACAGCTGCTATATTACCTTTCCATTCATCCATCCTTTCGCCAGATACCTCATCGCAAAAAAAAAGAGAAAGAGAAAAAAGAGCACAAGCCAACAGTTGTTGGTGGGTGGCTCTCATTTTATTACAACATTTTGTTGAGCAGTAAAACTTCATTATTATCATTCTCTTTTTGTTATAGTTTTATTGTTGCTCAACAACGTTTCTATGGTTTGTTCATTCAATTAGCTTCTTTATTCTCTAGTTTTTCTCCGCTTGTTGAAATTACTGTGTCTGACTGCAATCAGTATGTCCATTCATTCAATCTTCCTTTTCCTGACTTGCTCAATGGATATATTCCATTTTCCTCTTTTTCTATTTCTTTTATTCTTTTTTTTTGTGTCTTCCCGATGTTCCTTGAGAACAATCCTATTTTGAGAAAGGGAGACAAAAAAGATTGAGAAAAATCAAATTTAAAAGAAACCGAAAACGTATTCAAGTACACGACAAAAAGACGGAAACCAATTGTTCAAATAAATTGACTCAAGTAAACGGATTTCACATTCTTTTTTCAAAAGTTTACATTTTCCTCATACTGTAGAATTGATGTGTTTCGCACAAAAATATATGAGTCACAAAAGTGCAAAAAAAACTTTTAATATAATATATAATATAAACGTTTATATTTTTTCAATGTATCAACTTTGCCAGCTTTATAAACATTTCTATGCTTTCGGATTTATTGATTTATTTATGAATTTTTTCTAACTTACGTTAATTTAGTCCCTAGATATTAATTAAAGTCTAATATTTTTCTATCAAGCTGACCAAGAATCATATCATCTCCTTCCGCTCTCTCTAAACCATATCATATGATTAGAGAAGAATGTCAATATAGTATACTTAACGAAAAAAACTAAACTACATAGTGAGAAGAAGAAGAAGTAAAAAAAGATCATCAATATATAATAAATCCATGAATAGTCAGTCACATTCTTATTATGTCGTCTTTTCTAATATTAAATGCATACCATTTTCAGTATAAGATGTTGTTACACACATCTGCCCTTCCATCCATTTTCATTTGGGCAAATTGCCAAATCGAGTTTTTTTTCTCCATTTTCGTCACGATGTCAATTCTTCACTTCTTATCAAATCTTTTTCTCTTCATCTCTTTATGCCCTTCTTCATTGGGAGAAACAGCAAATTATTTATTTATTTATTTGTTATTTATTTTTTTCTTCCAATCATCATCATCTTTTTTCGTCGCCCCATTTTTTGGCTGCTGTCGCACACTGTTTACTTTTTTGTGTGCCTTTCGAGAAGAAATATAACCGGTCTGCTCTCGGACTGAGCACACGGGAAAGCAAGCAGGCAGGCAGAAAAAAAACAACAACGGGAAAAAAAACGACTATTCGGCTGCTGCTGTTGCTGCTTTTGGCCAGTTTTGTTTGGCAGCTGTTGTTTTCAGCGCAATTCTTTTGAGTTTTGGTGTTTAAAAGTGTAGCATTTATTATATCTGGTTACAGTCACACTGTAACTAACTTCTTGTCCAACTATACAATTATGATCAATATTTTGTTCGTGTGACATGGAAAATTTTCTAATGGATTACTGTAGTTGTTTTGAGCGGATAAAATTTAAAGCTTTGCTGAAAAATATCTCTTGAGAATACCGTATGGTGAACTTTAACAAACCCTCATTAATTTCGAAAAAGTTAATGATATCATAATTTCAGATTTTATTCATGAAATCTCGTAGATTTAAAGAATTTTGAGAAAAAAAATCAAAAATTGTAATGTTTTGAACAAAAAAACATGAGTTATTAGTTTTGTTGGTTAATACGTCTTCTATTTTCAACAACTGTTCAAAATTCAATTTGAACTCTCGAAAAATCTCATTTTAATCAGAAAATTCTGGAATATTCCAGTTTTTACAAAAACCACAACCCTTACAATATTTTTTCTCATAAAAACACCTGAAAATTAGAAGAAAAGGTTCACGCCCTGGCCCACCCATTGTATGAAATCGAAGAAGTGAAAACGAAAAACCAACCAAAAAATGCATGTTGTTGTTTACCAAAATCAAAACCGGGTGGTCCTTTTTTCCCCTTTCCTTTTTCTCAAGTTTTCCCATTTCTCTATTTTTTCTTGTCCAACTAAGAAGATGGAATTTTAAGAGTGATGACTGAATGGATGAGAATGAGTGAAAAATAAGAATAAAAATCATAATAATAATAATAAAAATAATAAGTGTGCTCCTCCTCTCTTCTTTTTTTCCCCTTCTTTTCGTTTTCTTCCCGAACAATTGGTGCATTGTTTAATCAGGCGGCCGCCGAGCCGGACTCTCGGCTCCAGATCACTTCTCTTTTTTTGCGCTGCTTCTTCTTCTTCAACTGTGTGTTTTTTTGTTTTCAAATGTTTCAATTCTTGTCCAAATATGTATATGTTAACACTTTTTCTTTTTCTTCTTCTTATTCTTTTTTTTTGTTTTGAAGTGTCTCTATTATTAGACTACGCATATCTCCCCTTTCTATACCAATGTTTCTAAATATGTTTTTCTTTTTTTTTTTCAATTAACTACAATTTTCCAAAACAACAAATAATATCACTAATTAAGCAAACGACCACCCTGATGGTCTTTTTTCCAAAATTTCATAAAAAATCAATAATTTTTCTTTGATTTCTATTTCTATTTGGAGAGCAGGAGGTGGGAGTTGACAGGCAGGCAGCCATGAGAGCAACCAACATTTCGCGCACTTTATTCGTCTTTTTAACAATCTCTCTTTATCTATCCGACATAATCATATTATTTTTCATAAACTATTTATTTTTTCAGTTAACATGCTTCCATCAGTATACGGTCAAATGCAAGATCCACTAGTACACGCGGCCGCGGCTGCGTTGGCTCAATCAACAAACGCCGAACCAGTTGTCGGTGAGTATACATAAGCTTCTCATGTTTCTTCAAAATACATGTTTTTTTTCATTCTTCTTCTTTTTTTCTTTCGATTTGAGGATCCTAGATCAACGGAAATTCAATTTACTTTTCTAAAAAAAAACAGAAAAATAAAACGTTTTTCAGGATCTCGTGACACAATGTTCACCAAGATATTTGTTGGCGGTCTTCCTTATCACACCAGCGACAAAACACTTCATGAATATTTCGAGCAATTTGGAGATATTGAAGAAGCTGTAGTGATTACGGACAGAAATACACAGAAAAGTAGAGGATATGGATTTGTAAGTTATTGATTTTTTGAAGGGAAGTAGAGTTGTTTTAGAAGATAGAGAACCGTTGAAAGAATATATTTTGCACCAAAATATGAAAAAAAAACTGTTCATTTGTGAAAGTTTAAGGAAAAAGTTTCAATTTTCACTTGAATTCTGATAAAATCCTCTGTTGGGTTGTTAATAATAAAAACCTTTGATTTAGTATATCAAACTGAATTTATTTAGGTCACAATGAAGGATAGACCATCAGCAGAGCGTGCGTGTAAAGATCCAAATCCAATTATCGATGGAAGAAAGGCTAATGTGAATTTAGCCTATTTGGGAGCTAAGCCAAGAACAAATGTCCAATTGGCAGGTAAATCAATCAAAAAATATTGTTTTTTCATATCAAAAAATTATCCCTCCGATTTTTTTCTTTGAAAAATTATCAAACCTTGCTGTTGGTTGTTTCCATGCTCTACTACTACTATTTCTTTTCTTATTTTTTTCTTCAAAGCTTCAGCTAAACCTCACTAAAGACTTGTTTCAAATTTCTAACACCAACGTTTCAAAATCCACCGATTTTTAGCGCTGGCCGCCGGACAAGTTCAATTACCATTGACGACACAATTGCAAGCTTTGTTCCCACCGCGAATTGGGTTAGTTTTTCAACTTTTTTATTTTTGGTTTTTTTGCCTGTGTGTGATAGCGCCCCCCGGAAGAAAAAACTTTTGAATAAAAAAAAATCTGTCGAAAAATATTCAAATCAAATCAAAATATTTTAGGTTCTATGATACACGATAGTTGGGAGAAGGTAAAGAAAGTGCGTGCTTTTTCTTATTTGAAGTGACAAAAAACCTAGATTTTCATTATTATTTTTTCTCATAAAAAACCAAAAACAGTGTCATACGCAAAAAGTGCCGTGTTTTGACGTGACCATTTCTTTCTCCTGTCTTTTCCCTCAGCGATTTTTATCATTTATTTATTCATTATTTTTCTCTGCTCACAAAACAAACACTAACTACTGTACAACAAATGAAACGAATCATTTTTTTCGAATTTTTTGGAATAAAACCCAAACTGTCCTTTTTTGTTGGTTAGGTATCAATAGCACGCATGTTGGCGTGTTTGGGAACCGTTATGTTATGATGATGATGATTCGCATTTACAAGGAAATCTTTGAAAAAAAACTGGCTGTAAATTTGTTTTTAATTTAAGAGTTTCCAAGAAAATTTTTGACCAAAACTTTTTTTTTCAAATATCAGAAATTTAGAGCTCTGTATATTTTAGAGCATGGTGTATTTTTGCTCTAAAAAGTTTGAATTTTCAGCCAGTTTCATAAAAGGTTTCCTTGTTAGTACAAAAATAGTTTTTGAATTGGTTACAAAACAATACTGTTTCAGATTGCCACAAATGTATTATCCAACAGTCGCGGGATTGGTTAACCCGTTGATGGCTCAAGGAGCTGCCGCTCAACAACAATTGATTGACTATTCGACATTGGCTGCCGTCATGGGACAAACACAAAATGCTGCCGCTTACGGACTTGCTGCGCAACAAAGCAAATGTTAGTTTTTTCTCAAATGTTTTTTTGTTGAAAGCATAAATTCTTATCATTTGTTTCTCAGTACCTGTTACATCGACTGCCACAACTGGATTAGAACAATATGCAACATATCCAGCGGGATATGGACTTGTTCCACAAGCTGCTTATAATATTGGAGGATCCCAATTACAGTTAGCTGCTGCACAACAACAATTAGAGCATCAACGAGTCTAACACCTCATTTTCTATCTCTTCATGTTTTGTTCGTCATATAGATTTTTGCCATTAATTGCCAGGAAAAACGGTGAAACTTTTCGTTTCTCACAAAAATCCTTGTTTATTTCACAACACCAACACAAACACAAACTTAATCAAACTAGTCCGAATTTTGATTGCTTTTTTTTCTGAAAATTAATCTCATCTCATCTTGAAACATTTTTGATTTTTTGGTTCAAATTCATTTTCATATGTATGTCTATAAATTGATCTGGGTTTAAAATATCAATAATCGATACGCCAGAGTTGCCTGAATTCAATGTGCCATCAAGTGCATACAATAATCATCCCCCTCTTTCTTCCCCCTTCCCAAGATTTTTTTGTGTTTCCCTCAATTTTGTTTCATCACATTTTGTACTATTTTTTCAATCTTATTTTACCCTTACGTTCTTAGCTCTCTACATGTTTTTTATATATACTGGATTTTTATTTGCAATAAATGAATGAGAATTTGTAAAATTGTTTCTGTAGAAAAATTTTAGGAAGGTGCTGTAGTATCACCTCTATTTCAGATAAAATTCTAAAATCATCCAGGTATTTGCGTAAATGATATTCGATGACATTTTGAAATAATTGCAGACGCCAATGTAAATGCGTGGGCTGGAATTTGTTGAATCACAAAAAACAAAGTCCTAAAATCATCTTAGATGACAATTAGTCCCATGATCTGAAGGTCCAAATTTGATTCACACAAAACACACGAAAATATTCAAGATATATAATTACAAAATACAAATTTCTTTAAAAATATAATGCTCCGCCGACCGACTTAATAAAGGTGAAGCGGTACCCAAATATATTTAATTGTTCCAGTCGGTTTCTTAGTAACTAATCTCTTTTTAATTGTATCTTCTGTCACCTAAATAATATTTAGTAAATATGCTCCGATAGATTTGTTATTCACCTTTTATTAATTTGAATTTGTTAGTATTTTTGTTATTACAATTGAGCATTTTGTCGAGAGCAATTCTTATTCGATAGTTTGTTTTTAGAATGATTTTTTGATCGTATATTCTTGATTATCTTCACTCTGAAAGCTATTTTTTTATTCCGGAACCTTTTCTATATTTTTTCAGAGATTTCTCAATCAAACTTAATTCCCAGACAACCTTGTCTATAACATTCTGATGGAGTCAAGAAACACAGAGGTTTTATGAATCAGTGTATATATTTCCATAATATCTGTTTTTTATTTCAGATGTCAGTTGAGCAGGTGTCAAACACTCCAATATCTAACGATTCCTTAAACAGAAAACAACAAAAACGTCGAAATGTTTCTGGAAAACAGAAACGAATTTCTAGAAAAATGCTCTGGGACATCAACCAAATCAAAGCCTTCATAAAAAGACGAGACAAATTGATGCTCCAGAACATTCGAAATCAGGAAGGAAAAAACAATTTTGAGGAAATCAAGAAAAGAATCGATGGGTTGGAAGAATATATGCAAACAGAACTCCGCTCATTGCCAAATCAAGGACATCAAATGTATCAGTTTATTGAAGTTCCTATTTCAATTGATCAAATGACAGCAGCATTCGATGTTTGGAAAAATGAATTTTTTGCGGATTTCAGAGAAATGTGCGAGCAATTGAGAAGAAACATAATGGAAGATAAGAAGACTTACGAGGAATTTATGGGAAAAGCAAGTCGTGATATTATGGCTATGGGAAATGTAATTCATGAAATCGAAAAAGTTATTTTAAATTCACAAAACTATAACAAAAATCAAACGAAAAACACCGAAGCGCGAAAAACAACAACAATTGCACAAACAACAGTCAATGTTCTTCGGCTTGAAACAGTAAAATCAGAAAGCACAACAGAATCACCCCAATTTGAAATTGTTCCAACCGAAATAGTCCCTGTTAGTATGGCAATACTTGTTGAATTCGAAGAAAAAATGAATAGAGTTCGTCAAGATATATTGGATGTGGAGAAACGAATTATGAATGTATTTCGAGAATTTGAAGATAATTTCATTGAAAGCACCAGAGAAAACAATCATCCTTCTACTTCGACTTTGACAAAAAAACTATCACATTCAGTGGGAGAATCAGAACAAGTGAAGTCTGAAAAATATGCTACAAAATTGGAACTCCAAGATGTTGTCAATTATGTTGCACAACGCATTTCATCAGTTCAAGCTGAGCAGGAAATAAAACTCAAGGACAAAGCTTCAAAATCAAATTTGGCAGAAGTGCAGACAACGTTAGAAATGTCTTTGAAAAAATCGCAAGACAAAAATCAGAAACGCTTTCGTGTAGCTGAAAACCAAACATTGAATTTGGAATTATGTGGGTGAATTATTTAAAACTATTTTAATACCTAATTGATGTTTTTGTAGATATTAGAAGAAACTTTCCGAATTGGAACTGCTTGCAGACTACCATTGTTAGTATGATGACAATGATGAATAGACCAACATTAGAAAACATTTCCACCCAACCAACATTTCCAAATATACTCTTGGAAAATCTTCCGGGGTAAGATAAATTTGTATTATTGTCTTAAACTATTGTCATTTTCAGAACCTCCTCTCTTCCAATGCTTCCACCACCAATCATCCAAACTCCAAATGCAAACAATCATGAAGAAGCTGTAAACGATAATAGCGTTCCTGATTCAAAATAATCAACTGTTTTGAATTGGAAAATCACTATGTACTCATAAACGAAAACACAATAATCTCATATATTTTTTTATTTTTTCCATATATTTAATTCTATATTCATTAAACCTATCAATAATCTCAAGAATCACACATACACAGTCTTTAAAATTTATTTTTTAAAAGTTTTTTCCTCTCAATACATTTGTATTATACCTGATATTTAGTCCGACTATCGATAAAATATTGTGTTTTCCGAAAAACTTGTTATTCATATGTTTGTACCGATTCAAAAGATCACAGAATTGCGATTCTAGAATTAAGTGAATAGTAATTTGCAGAATCACATGCCATGATTTCGTACAACACTAATTATACTTTGTTACTCGCTGCTATTGGAAACAACAAGTTAGTAATTTACCTTTGAGGTTCAAACGTTTTTTCAGTCACATGACTTTGCTGATTCAAAGTTTTTTTTTTCACATTCCAAAAAATAATTCAGATTTAAAATATTTCATATGTTTTACTGTTTGGTTAATTTCAAAATTGATGTTGTGTTGCAATTTTATGAATATTATCTGTATTTGAATTTTTTTAGGAGATGTTTTTTCATAGACATAATCAGACTTGGGTGAGAATGACAGAAACGGAAAATATCCAGATTTCACACTTCCAATCTGTCATATTTTTTGAAAAACGTTTTTCTCTTATACTTCAAAACAAAAATCAATAATGTGCTCTAAAATATGTAGAAATAAACCTAGCAATTAGTTAGCTAAAACCCTTTATATGCTGATATAGTCACTATGGCAATATCTTAATTTTCACGGTTTTTCATTAATTCGTTGTATTTCATTCATCAACTCTACGTTTTCAGATTTATTTCGAAAATGGAATCTACTTCTTCAAAAGATCCAATGGAAAGTTCTTCGACCAAACCAAATAAAAAATCTGTATGTTTTTTATTCATAAAATTTGATTAATAAAATAAATATTCCAGATGTCGGCAATTGTTGTACGTCGTGTGATGCGCCCAGTTGATAAGTTCTTGGAAAACGAGAAACAAGAGAAATTTCGAGATGCGTTAATAAAAAAGGTCCGCAATATCAGAGAATCCAATAAAAGTATGATGGAAGATATAAACACCCTGAATTGCAAATTGGAGGAATTGAAGATGCAAGTCGACTCAAAAAATGATCAGAAAGCTTTTGTGAATCGAGAAGAAATAATATTAGTAGTACAATCGATGCCGGAATTCCAAAATCGAAATGAAAAAGCTGCAATTACCAAAGAGGACATAATAACGTGGATTGAAGAATCTAAACAAACTTTTTCGGCGGAGATTGTAGATATCAAAATTGAGCTTATAGATGCAGTTAAGCAAGAATTCAGTGTAAGACAAGTAGATGAATTTATGGTGGCTGCTAATCAACAGTTTGTGGATTTGAATAAATATAATCAAGAAATGAGAATGATAATTTTGCATGGTTCTACTAGTACAGAAACTCTGGAACGGTACAGTAATGCAGTTCAAAAATTGGAAGCTGCAGAGAAACGGATTGATGTTCCAAGTTGTATTCAAAAATTTAATGAGTTTGAACAAGTTATATTACCAAGATTGAATAATGTACGAGAGGAAATTGTAGAAGCTATTCGTCGTAGTCAAAATGAACAATTTGAAACATTTGAAAGAAAAATGAAGGAGATTCAAGAAAATGCTTTGGATGAGGAGAAAAGAAGAACAGAAGAACATACAAAACAATTTGACGAAGCTTTCGGTGACCATGCTGTCATAAAAATCGAAGTCTTGGATGTTTCCAAACGATTAACTAATATTAGAAACTCGTTGAATGAAAGAATGATCGAAAAGGTATCAAAATCAGAATTCAAACAATGGCAAATTGATTTGGAAACAAGATTAATGGAAACTATTGAGAAACAACTCACGTTGAATCATCTAAGCCAAATGGCTAATATCAATGCCTATTTCAAACAACAAGGTGCTGAGAATAAAAAATATGTGTCAAGTTTATTTGATTCACTTCAAAAACATATTATGAAAATTGAAAAAGGTTAGTGTTTTCGAAATTGAATTCAAAATTAAGTTGAAATTTCCAGAACAACACAACTTTCCAAAATGGACTGATATGCACGAACAAATCACAAAAAGCTTTGTCTCACTTTTAACATCAATGAGAAATCCAAACGTTCCAGCTCCTCCTTCTCTCCCACCGCTTTCAGATTTACCAGGGTAAATTCTGGGGTTGACTTATTTCATGCGACGCATTTAATTTCAGAACTTTCAACTCAGCAACTTCCTCCACAATATCCCACAACTATACTTGAAAACGGTGATATGATTGAAGAACTTGCAAGAGGCATTCGTGATACTAATTAATTTCTCAGGTTTTATGTAATCTCTTTGAAGTGACAGTTAATTATGAAAACTTATTCGAACAATGAGGAAAAATCAAAAAATATTTGTTTCTATCAAGATTCGAAATAACTCATATTGTTCATTTTAGTAACTATTTCAAATTAGCAATAGAAATCTGGTAACTTTCCAGACAAAAAAATAATGTTTGATTTTCATAGTTTCTTCGAATTCAACTCATTCAAAAATAATATTACATTTCCGTTATTAATTGTCACACGTTTATCAATTTATATATCTCAAAAAACTATTTCAATAATATTTATCTTTGACTTTTTATTTTTATGCAGCTATTTTTTTTTTTAATTTTCAGAAACATTTCTTTTTTATGGACATATGAATAAACTTTGTAAAATTCAAACAATCTTGCACTATTAATTCACATAGTGAGAATTCCGAAGAAAATTTTTAGAGTTTATTGTGGTTGTTACAATTCACTTTTCATGTTTGATTCCTAGAAAATGAATAGTTCATTGAAATATTTTTTCATTGGTATGTTACGCAAATATGTATGTATTTTCGCACAATTCGCGCGTAATATGCACACACAAATAAGAAACCGACTAATAAGATGAAATATTGATAATACCAACAATAATATGAATAATAATACAATGACATTTTGATGGCTACTGTCAATATGTGTAAATATTCAAAATTCACAATTTCTTATTCATTCATTCCTTTTGCGCAACATGCTACTTCAACTATTTCTATTTTTCTTGTTTTCTCAAAAAGCCTTTGCTCAATTCAAAATTCAAAGTGTTGAGACTCCATCGACTTATTATGAATACATTAATGTAAGTTAAAGCTCCAACTTTTATCTGAACATAGTTTATTTGAAGTCAGAAGAAATGAACATGGGAAATGTGTCAAGATACGAACCAACAACATGTGGACCTGTTGAGCAAGAAAAGTAAGATTTGAAAGTAGTTTGCAGACTAAATCACAATAAATTCTAGAGTGAAAGAGTGCGCTGATCCGTTGTACAAAATGGGCGCAATTTCTGAAAATTCGCATCATTTGGGATGGGAAGGATTCATGTTCAAAACCAAAGCGTATTTTGCTGAAGTTTGTCAGTAAGTCGAATGTCTTTATAAACTTGGAAATTTTTGGGAAAAAATGTTTTGATTTCAGGAATTTCTTCCTCTTTGATGTTTGTATTGAACCATACAAAGATGTTTGTTTTGCTGCTGACAGTGCTAGAAACAACTACGATGTTGCAATTCGAATTCTCGATTTTCTGTGTCGTGATGGTTATGGTGAAATGGTTCGAAACTTTGAATGCTTCACCAAAACTCTCACAAGATCTGAAATGATGCAATGTCAAGCCGAACTTGTTTCAGATACTCGAAAAGTTTCAGAAACTCACACTGAAATGAGTGGAACAAATGATGCAGCGGTTTGCGGGTGAGAAAACATCTTCTAAAAATGTATTCAATTTTATTGATTGTAGAGCGATGAGAAACTACATTGATTGTGTCAAATACCCAATTCGATATGAATGTGGTTATAGAGCATGGCAACTTGTTCGAGAAATGATCACACGACCAACTAAAGCGTTGCTTCCGACTTGCCGCTTGAATTCTGCATACTTTAATTTTTCTTTTGTTACTATTTTGGTTACTCTAATCCTCGGGAAAATCATTCATTAAATAAAACAGTATTTGATTATCGAAATTCCAATTAAAAGTTGCCTTCATAAAATAGTTGTCAAAACTCAACAGATCGATGATATTCTGGAAAACTAAATATTTGCAACATCGTAAATATCTATCTGAAAACATCAAGGAATCACCAACTAAGCGAAACCACGGCTCGCACAGGAGGAGTCAAACTATATCCTGATTGACAATTCAATAAAACACCAAGCCAGCTATCCGAATATTGGCTGGCAAAGGAAGAGTTAAACACCACAGGGTTGATCTTCCGAAAAACTTTGTGGAGTTTTTGAAACTTATTATGGATACGCAAATAGATGTAGCTTCAAAGCGGCGAAATCCAACGGTTCTCTTTAGGGCCACATTTGATGCTTTCGAAACTTTTTATTATTGCGAATAAAAATTTAATTTCGAATGTGAAAAGGTGATGTTTTGGGCTTGAACTGAAATATACACTAAATTTTCAAGTATGAGAAACTGTCCACGTTTCTGAAGTTCTGATTGTGAAATAATTCCAATTTTCATACCAAGATCTATTAATCAATTGCTGTAACTCTTGAAAAAATTGAATTTGAAACGTTCATGATACTATTCATAAAATACATAAACAATAGACACAAAATATATTTAAAGACATAGTTAAAGTATATGAAATTAGTGGTTTCATGGACCAATATACATTCACAATGCTAACTGTGATTGATGAAAATAATATAAGAAAATATTCAGGGCTCATTTAATATGCAGAACTCAACGTTGATTCGAGAAGTGCTTCAGTGAAAGACGGATCAGGGCGGGCTAGAATATGTTTGTTTATTATGGGACTTCACATACTAAATTTCAAAACGTTACCTGATTCACTGGCTAATTGTTGTTCCCATTGATGAATCAGAGACATTGTTGGATCATTTTGTAATTCTCTTTCTTCCATTTCTTTGAAATACGAATATTCAATAATTGTTCCATCTTCCCATTGAAGCGATCGAAGTGCTGTGATTTCATCAGAATATGCATACGCCAATGGTGTATCGGTACAGAATCGGATTCGATTGGAAGATGAGGAATTTGTTGATTGAGAGTTCTAGAAATCATCATTTATATTTAGGTTCACAAACTTTTTTATTACAAAAAACCAACATTTCTTGGCCCATTGAGAGTAACCTTCAAAATACTGCTTGTGCTTGGTTTTTCCATTTCTTCAAATATATATCTAATTGGTTTTTCATTCAAAGCTACCAAAAAGTCTGGAAGATCTTCTTCGGCGACTAATGAAATCAAACTTCTTGTGATAACATTTCCATCGCCTCCAACTTCATCTTCATTTGCCAAACGTGTAAGCATAAGTGAATTTGGGCGAAGTGGTGTGACATCATATGATCCGATGCCATCTTGACTATCCTCGTCAGATGATGATGTTGAGCAAGTTTCGAAATCATCCTGGAAAAAATTAAAAATTATTGATTGAAGTCCATGGAGGGTGATTCATAAAGCTAGAAAATCTTCTGTTCCAAATGGTTGAAAATTTCGTCAGTTCTCCAAAATTTTGTATTTGAATATATACACATTTTCAGCATTTTGTCGTAGTTTGTTATCATTTTTCAACCATTTCGAAAAAAATCTCCCATAAATTTTGAACATTATAAAAACATACTTTCAAAAATGACGGCACTTCATTAGATAAAATTGTAGTTGTTGTTGTTAAGTGATTAGTATTAACTGGCGGATGAATAGCGTCAACATTTTGGCAAGTGTTAGAAGCATCCTTCAAGACAAATCACATTGTTTCATATTATTATATAAGCTAATGTAAGCAAAAAAAACTTTTAGAAAACTCACAGATTTCAAAATTGTAACATCATCACCGTATGGTTTTTCTCTTGGTGAGAGCAAACTGTTCAATGAATTTTGCATGGCCGACTGATTTTTCTCTTCAATATATTTTGTTGATAGTGAAATATAAGATGGTGAATATGTGGTTGGTGGTTTTTTGGCAATTTCTTCGGTTTTATTTTCGTTGATTGTTGAAGTCGATGTTGTGTCATCTGAAAGAAAAACATTTTTTGATAGGTTTTAAGAAAATTAAAGTTTTTAAAATTTTGTATGAATCCCGCTGAGAAAAGAAAACCACCATACATGCTCTAAGAGCTGCTGAAACCCAATGCATCTGAAATGTTGAGCAATTTCCAGTCGATTGAATTGATGGATACAACATTTCCTTCTGTGCAGTGAAAATCATTATTATTCCAAGAAAGAACAAGAATAACCACTTAAGACAGCCAAACGTAACAAATAAATAATATTATTCTTATTATATATAATATTATGAACGAGGCAAACAGAAAAATATAATTATTTGACAGGTAGGAACCAACTGGCAGGTTATTAAAAGTATTTTTGGAGGGAAAAACAATTTTTTTTGAAGAAAAAATGAGTCAGTTTTTTTCTTCTATTTTTTTGTGTTGAAAAAATTCAATACAATTATATAATACCCGAAATTCGTGGCAAAAACATAACAAAAGAAGGTAAGAAAGATGCGCGACTTTTGTCTACCCGACATAAATTGATGTTTATCTTTTTTTGAGGCAAGAATGAAAAAGATTTGTTCGAGATAGGTTGAGAAATGGTAAGTAACCTAGAAATAATAACCGGATAAATGAGTTTTTGACAGCCAAGGAAATGTGAACTCTTTGTTTTTTCGATCTGATTATTTGCTCGTGTTCGGCGCAAATAATTTTTTGTAAACCGGATAAGTGCTCGTTTTTTTCTGTTAGCGAGATCAATAGATCTAGAACAATGATCAGAACGATTTTCAAAAGAGTATTTATGAGTCATAAAGAGACAATGAAGAGGCTAATAAAACATGTCAAAGACTGAAAAACTGTAATTTTGGCACTTATTTTCATGTAAAAATATTTTATAAAATTGTCAGGAACGAGAAACGGTATAAAGTGGCACAATTTATTTTTGGAAATAGGAAACGTTTCATTGATACAGATGCTAACTTTGAGATAATTTCACAACTATAAACTGTTTTTCTCTTAAAAAAATCGAATTAAAGCTATGAAAAACATTTTCTTGGTTCAACTCTCAACAGATTCATATGTTCAAAAAAAAAAATCAAACACATGTGTGACAATATCATGTGATTTTTTACAGAAAAAAAAACACGATTTGTTCAATTCTTAAATCTCTCCAACAAAAAAAAAACTTTAAAAATACAACACCTTCAATAAAGCTGTCAAATCGGATTACTCTAAAAATCGGATTAAAATTTCAAAAAGAAAACATATTAATCTATAATTTTTTCTCTCTCTCTCAAAAAAATAAAGCCAATTAACCTAAAAATTAAGAACATCATCAACATCATTATATGTACATAAATGAAAGTATATTAATCAAATGAGCGCACACAAAAATCATAAGTGTGTTGTTTTTCGGAAAAAAAAAACAAAACAGGAGTATATGTCACAAAAATAGGAAGAGGAAGAGGGATAGAAGAAGAAAATAAAAAAATAAAAATCTTCCCGCGCGCACACATGCTGGGTGTCAAACCAAAAAAAAAAAAAAACAAGGAAGGGACAAAGACCATCTGGGGTGTTGTAAATCTTTTTTTCTGCTTTAGTTTTGTTGAATATGTCAGGTTGTATTTTACCGCAACATGTCTTTTGTTCGGTGTTGAATGAAAAATAGAGCTGATATAAATAGAAAATAAAACAAGAGGAAAGACATTTTGAAAGTGAGTGTAATAGTAATTTATTGATGGTCAATCAAACGAACACTTGAGAACAAACGGTCATTTTTTGTTGTTAATGAACTTTCTTTCTACAATTTGATCATTAATTGGTTTTTTCTACAACTAAATGGGAGTGAAATGAAAATGGAGAAATTTTCGAGAGATTTCTCTCTCTACTGAAACTACTGGAAAGTGAAATATTGAAATGTTCAATTTTAAGGCACTAAATTTGCTGGAATTTTAATTTTTAAAAAGAATCTACATATAACTGCAAAAATATTTCATCGTAAAAAATTAATTTTTTTTTACAAAACTTTATGAAATGTATTTTTCATAAACGAGTATGGGAAAAATATAGTTTTTCTCATGAAAAATTCATCGAAATTATTGAAATTGTGCCCCGGTTACAATATAATGATTGGGATTTTTTGGATAATTTTCAGAACCTTCAAAATGAATACCTTCTGTCAACCTTGAGTGAACCAGATTTCTTTGAAATTGAAGAAGGTCATTATGTTAAACACAACTCATTTCTGAAAATGTTTAAAACTAGTCTGAAGTTAAAATATTCCGAATTATTTCAACCTGGTTTCCCAAACTATCATCAATTCACTAAACTCGAAAACCTGTGAACTTTCTGTTTCAAAACCCAAAAAAAGTGAACGAACCATAACCTAGAAAAACTACAATAGAACGGGAAGTAAATGAGGAGGAGGAGAATGAGGAAAAAAGAGAAATGGATATATTATCCTCTCGTTTTTTTCCTGTTCAAGTGTCGCCAAACAGAAAAAAAGTGTGAAAAACTAGACCAAAATTTAGTTGGTTGGATGGTAGAACCGTTCTAACACGAGACAGATAATTGGTCAATCTCCGGTTGATCCAATTTTTTTTGTTTCAAAAAATATTTGAAAAAACATGTACTCTAAGAGAAAAATAACTTACAGAGATTGGTTGGTCTGCTTGGTCCTTTAACTGTTATCGAAACAACGTTTGGTGAATTTGGTGAAGTTATGATTGATTTTGAGCCAATGTCTTCGATTTTACGGCCAAAAAATGTGATCTTGAAGATTTCATTTTACTATTTTGTTTCAGAATAAGGAATTCGAAATTACCTTCTCTTGATCATCAGTTTTCCAGAAATTATTATTGAAGCTTGGTTTTGTTGGCGGAGCTTCATATTTGAACACACTATTTGCTATGGAGTTTTTGTCCGATGAAATATCGACAACAGTTTTTCGGAATGTTGATAACTGTTCAGACTGAAACCAAGAAAATTATTTTCAAAATAAAATATTTGAGTAACTAACCACAGTTGGCTTTGGTTCCTCTGGAGGGGGACTTGATTCAATAGAAACTGTTGATCTTGAAAGTTCTGGAGTGATTGGTGGAATCGGTTGTTTAGAAACTCTTGCTGAATGTGGATCAGGTGGCAATACAGATACAATATCGCAAGATTCTCGAATAACTTTTGCGCTCTCTGTTAGATTTGGCATTTCAGGTTGTCTTCTGTGCCATTTCACCGGAACTCTTGTGTTTTCAACTGGTGTTGGTGGTGGAACTTTGACATTTGATTCAAATTCCAGTTTTTTCTGCGATCCAATTTGTGTTGGAGGTGCAGATTCATGAACTTCTGGTTGAAATCGTCGTAATCTTCTAGCAATTTGAACAAATTCTGGTTCACTCGGTGTGCTTTCAGCATCATTTAAAATTTTCAAAATATTCGAAACCGGTTTTGTCACAGGTTTTGGTTGTGGGTTATATTTTGGCGCAACATACGATGGATTAACCTTGGTGATTAATTCAACTGGATCTCTTGCAAATCTCATTTTTGCGGCTTGATCTCCATTTTTCTCGAATCTCCTTCGTAGTTGTGTTATTGATCTTACCTCGTCTTGTTCTTCTGATTTTGGAATTGACACTGGTTTCACCGGGATCATTGGTTTTTCATGTTCTTCATTTCCTACCATATCACTTATTGATCTTGATGCTCTTCGAGTATATTCAAGTGGTTGTGATTTCATTGAATTTTGTTTACTGGAAAAAAAATGTTGTTTTTACAAAACGTTTTGGTTCGATTTTAAAGTGGCCGACAGTGTCTGGTTGTAGAAAATTCGGAAAAGGCCGGATAAAGTTAGTGAAACTAAATTTTCAAACTGACCTATCACTATTATTATCAGCTAATAAATCTTCAAAAGAACTAAATCGTTTATTGACAGTTTGTCTAACTTCAATTTCAGTATGATGTTGTTGTTGTGGATTTGTTCCCGAAAACCTTGAAAATTTTGCTCGCAACTTTTCAACGATTCCTGGACCATATTCCAAATCTGTAAATAAATATAATTAATTGAAAACACACAATGATATTCATATTTTCCCCATAATTTTCAAATATTTTTTTTCTTAAGAACCTTGATTAATGTTATGACATGATATTGAAATGGTAGTTGGTCGAAGTCGATTTTGATTCTGTGTCTGAATTTTGATTTCATTTGTAAGATCTGAACAACTTCGATGATGATGTTCAGATTTGAAACTATAATTATACAAGTTTTCATATTGTGGCGTTTGTCGTTCAAGATTAAGAGAGAATCGATATTGCTCCGAAGGTGTAGCTCTCCGATCACTTTGAGTTCGTGCAATTCTTCGTTTCAGACTCGATTCTGGTTTTTTCGTGTTATTCATATTGAAAGAATCTTGCGGATAACAATAACTAGATCCAAGTTTTCTTGTCAACAACGGTAAATTCTGATACTGATATTGTTCAAGATTCTGATAATATTGTTCAGGTGGGATTTCAGAAGGTTTCCAGAAATCATGAACATTCATACGTCGAAGAGTCATCTAAAAATCAAAAACCTAACATAAGCAAAGATTAGGAGAAGATTTTTAAAAGAGAAAAAGGAAGAGCAAAATCATCATGAATGGAACATGGAAAAACTAATGACATAAAGAAGAAGTGGTGAGAAGAGAGAGCAAATAATAATGTCGTGATAAAACCTGATTATTATGTTAACAACTAACATGACCAACGGCGAAAAAGCCAATATCAGTGGCTGCCAATAAAGTGTTTAGTAAATACATAATGCCTTATTAAGATTACATCTGCTCTAAATATCTAACTAACTGAATAAATAACTATTTAATTATATATATCCTATGAAAAAATCAGGTCGATTTTTTGTATAGATGTAGAACAAGCAAAAATTTTTTTGTCGTATTGAAAAAAAGTTTTGATCTATCTATTGTAAAACTAGTATTAATACTAATATTAGCAACAATAACAATAATATTTATCCATTTTCGGCATAAATTATTACTATTATTATTTGATACATGAGAAAAAAAAAGATGAATGAAACAAAGTTTGCTTGAAAAAGAATGAATCAAAAATGCGGATAAATAGATATAGATAGATAGATAAGTGTGTTCTTTTTGTGAGCAAATATCGTATTTATTGATGGAGAGGAAATAGGAAGCTTTTTGACACCTGAATGCGAGAAGAAATAAGACAACTATATATGTATTGCGTGATATTTTATTTGTATTGTACAGTATTATTTTTTGTAAATGAAAATCTTCAGATTAAAGTTTTTAAACTCGAAACAAATTTGGAAAAAAATGTGATCAGTAGAAGAAAGTTAAGGATTCGGAAAACATCAAAAGTAACTATTTGTTTTTAGACACTTGACACAAATTTGAGTGGAATGTTTCAGAAAAACAATCTGAAATTTGGTGCCTGAACTCTCAGATTTTCCAAAAAACCATTTGAAATTCTCTGCTACTCTTTGTAAAATCTTCCACAAGGTACAGGAATCGAGAAATGTGTTTTGGATATGGGGCTAGTCTTTGGACAGAGAGAATCAGATTTATAGAATTGAGCCAATTCGAAACTTCGAAATTTTTTTGAATCAAAAAGACTATTTAAAATTTTTTCAATTCATTTTTCCCAAGTTCTTTGTTCAAAATTTCAGACTAAAAAAATCAAAAACCGTACTGTTTCCCTTATCAAAAACACATTTCCGGTTTTTCTTCAAAAATTCTCTTTTCCCAAAAGCCCCCAAACACTAACCTGTTAAATTTGTTGAAACTTTAACTTCTTCTGAATTTTCCTCCATTTTGAACCCAATATCGGCGACTGCAAGAAAAAACGTAGAAATAGTAATAAAAACTATGCATAAACGTTAAATAATATCATATATATATACATATATATTCAAAACTAAAAAAAAAGATAAGAAAGAATGGAGAATCAAAAATGATATGGAAGGTAAACGACAAAAAGTTGGAAAAATTATAATCGAACATGAACAATTTGAAAATGTTTCAATTGGCTCATGAATAAAAAATATATAAATTTTGATAAATAAAAAAATTAGTCACCTTTTTTCGATGAATCTCGAATGACAATTGGACGCCGTCTGAATAATCTTTTTGATGCTCCATCATGCTGAAAAACAAGTATAGGTATTCTAAATTAATCAAAATGAGACAAACCTTAAGAAATGGATTTTCACTTATTGAGTTCCCGTTGTAATCCATGATTTATTGTGTTTTATATTATATGTTAATGTTTGCGTGCTTGAAATCTCCTATATACAGAAATAAACGCAGTCGTTCGTTTCTTCTGAAAATTCTTAATTTTTTAAAAATAATTTTTACTATGTTGTAGAAATTCAAAATTACTATGTTTTAGAAATTTCGTAATCTGCTGGGAAATTCTCTTTATTCGAAGAACATTAAAATTATTCATTTTCTCTTTGAAAAATTACAGTCTTGCAGTGAAAATATTATAGATCCTCAAAGCAAAAAATATTGAGCAAGTTGTGAAAAATTTCATTTTATCTGAACATTCGGCAAAGTTATTCTTTAACTCAATCAAATCTCAATTTTTTAGATTCCTAAATGTTTCGAAAAATAATCAAATTAAATTATGTGCAGGTTTGAAAAAATGTTTTAGTCATACATAAAATTTGGATGACTTAAAATTTTGTTTAAAAAAAAGTCAATATTACAAAAATAATTTCCATTAGTCATTTGAAAGCTTTTTCTGTCTTCTGATCTTTATAAAAATTTGGATAGATATATTTATAAATATAAAAAAAAACACTCACATTTTACAAAGCCAAATTAAGAAATGAGTATACCGTTTCCTTTTATCGGGAAACTGACTGCAAATTCGTCGTTTTTATTTTCTGAAAAAAAAAACACATGAACAATTTCAAAAAAAAAAAAAGATTTGCTTTCGGCATGACGACAAACAGAAAAAAGTATGAGAAAATAGGTGTATAGAAAGGTCAACTATGTGTGTCCACTAATGTGAATGAGATGTGTATTATATCTAGTATGTGCACCCATAATTATAACAGTAATTATTGACGGTTTAGAAATATGTACATGCAAAAAATATGAGGAAAAAGAAAAAAATAACTAGAACGATGATATATCATTGATGAGGCAATTTATTATCTTTGGATAATTAATCGTTTCTGACAAATATTGTAAAGCAGTTATAGTTCTAGTTTTTTCCGAATTTGAAAAAAATAGGGAAAATGATGTTCACATAAATTTTTTTTTGAAACAGCAATGTTTATTTTGCTCTTTTTTTCAAATGAATCATCTGACACAAAAAGGGTCAAAAAAGATAGAAAAATGGTAACCAGAAATTAATTCCCATTCCATACAAATATTTACCTATTGGAAAAAAATGGAAGAAACTAAACTAAAGCAAGTCTTTGCGTGTGTCGGTAATTCGGGTTAACAAGAATCGAAAAAAAACCAAATAGTCAGGAAGATAGAAAAGAGAGATCACATTTCGGCAACCGGAAAAAGTCAACTGGACGACGCGCGGCAGCAGCAAAAAAACGGACAACAAAAAAAAACACTGAATGTACACATATTTTTTGTGACATAACCGACGGTGACACCAACAAAAAACATACAAACATGTTCAATTTTTTTAATCATATTCAGCTTTCTTAATATTATTATTGTTGTTATTAAAGTGTAAAACATAAGTGTTTTTTCTTTTTCCAGCAACACAAACGCTAATGAGATAAAGACCAGTTTAGTGCGAAAAAAAGTACAGAAATGGATGGAAACCAAAAATAATAAGATGTGGGAAAGACACAAAAAAAGACAAAAGAATTTTCTAGTACTACATGAGACATTGTTGCTTGAATGAGTCACTTTTTTTGTGGCGTCCGATTCATTTATAGTTTTTTTCACAATTAATGGGATGATGTGAAAACATTGTGAGAATTGGATTAATTTCGAAATCATTTTGAGTCAGACTTGATGATTAAGAAGGTGATCTAAAAACCTGATCTAAAAATTTGAATAAAGTTTTAACTGTTGTGAGAATCGTACAATATATGTTTTTCTCTCGGAATAAATGCATCAGATTTCAAATTAATCTATTGAACCTAGCCAAAATTATTTTGGAAATCTTTGGAACTCGAAATCATGGTTCTCAAAAACAAAAACTATCCGAATCAACAAAATTTTTTTATGACTCAATAACGTCACCGTTCTGGTCAAAATCCGAGAAAAACAGATTTTCACTTCACCTTAATGTTAGAAAGAGCTCTAGAAAAAAACTCTGGAAAAAAATTATTCAAAATAAAATTTTGAATCATCAAAAATAATAAAATAATCAAATCTTTTTAAAATTGTGGTTATGAAATACTGGATTTTTTCTAGCCTATTTCGTAACATGAAATTCCATAAAATGAATTACTATCATCTCAACAATTTTCAAATACAAAAAAAACCAAAGTTTGAAAAAAGGAATCAGAGTATACCGTAAAAACATATAAAATCATTCATTCATTCATTCAAAACGGTTGAATGAGGTATTGAAATGAGATTCCACCCTTTTCTTATTCTTTTCCCATTTTCAATTTCCAAAGAAAGAGAAATTGTGGCAACGAATCAAAGTGGAAGAAAACAATAAGTATTATGGGTGGTCAGAAATAAAAAGTAATTCGAAACCACAGTAAAACAAAACAAGTGAGAGCTCGTTTTCGTTTCCCGTTATGTTTGGTGAGTTTTTATTGACACTCAATGCACAATGCCACCAGCATCTTCTTCTTCCATCTTCCATCTTCCAAATACTATTGTTCTTTTCTTGTTCATCTTACCGCCATTCGGAAATACATGTAGAAACAATAGATAGATATAAAGAATGATTTGAAAATGAATTGAACAAGATCTGGATATGTTTGAATAGATGGGAAAAATGAGGAAAATGGAAGAAAGATAAAGTAATGAGAATGAGATGAAAATGATTTGGGAAAGAAGGTGCAGCCGGAAATGCAGATGTCCACTAATCTGAATGAAAAAAAAATAATAGAAGGCACCTGCAAATTTACTTGCATCTGGGTAGAACTAAAGTTTATAACATAGATCTGCAGAAAGAAAGCTAATTTTCAAAGAAAATGAATAGGGTTTGGTTTCTGAAAAAATCAATTTGTTGTTTTCTACACTTTTCAATTATTTTTTTCAAATTATGCGAACACTGGAAAATCGAAAACATCAACGTTTTTCTTTTACAAAATCCGTTGATTCAAAATTTCATATGGGACGTGTGAAATAAATAAAAAAAGGAATATTTTGATTTTGAGAAATTTTTTAAATGAATTTCAGAATCCCCACAGATTTACAGTAAAACATTTCATATTCATAAAATTCGAAATGTTGCAAGGTAATAATTATATGTTTGTATCAATCACAGACGATGAACAATAATTGCGCCATCATCAGAATTTCAGATTTAATCTCAATTTTCAGATATATTATTCAGTTTTTCAGATAAACGAAAAATTTTCAACAATTATTTTTTATTCGGAATGGAAAGAAAATCCAATAAAATATTTTGTTAATTTTCCAAATGGAACAAAAATTGACATGAAACAAAAAAACTATAAACTACTCTAGGAAAACCCAGATGTATATTAAATACATACACACAAAAAATACATAAATTTTGAGTTCAAGGCAAATGGAGAAAGATTTTTGTTTCTGCGCAGAAAAAAAAACACATGAACATCTGGGTTGGGTTATTTGCAAAAATTAAGGTATTTTACATATGGTCACAGGTTTATTCGTCCATCGGAAATACCTTTTTGAAAAAGACAAAAAAGTGAAAAGAATTCATGCAAATGATACATATTTATTGAAAATAGGTCAAGAAAAACGAGATTCTTGTTTTCAAAATTTCAAAATAACATGATATGGAACTAGAATGAAAATAAAAATCAAAATAAAATATTAATCCGTTAACTGAGGATAATTTAATTGGCAGACAAATGATCGGCAATTAGTTAAAAAAGAAAATGAAAACTGTGCGTAGACACAATAATTTTTGCTAATTTGCCCGTTGTTTGCGGGGAAAAAAAGAAAAAAATTCTGTATACAAAGAGTTTTTTGGGAAGTAACAACAAAAAACAACTTGAGACTCTTCAATAATTGAGGATTGAAGGTTGTTTTCGACTTAAAATTGGACTAATTTGAAATAAAAAATGACGAGTTTATTTGCCGGAAAAATCGTTGCATAAGATGCGCAATTTAGATATCAAGAAGAAGGAAGCAAAAAACATCTGAAATGGTTGGCCTAAAGTCTTTTGAAGAGGTCAATTCAAATTAAAACCGGATTAATTGACCAAAAAAGTACAAACCACGACATAGAAAGTCATGAAAACCGAGAAAGTGGAAAAATGGACAATTTCGTTGAAGTTTTGTTGGAAGACAACACTAATCTAATCAGCAAATATACATTTCTTGGCTCGGCAAAAAGGTAACACGATTTTTTGAACAATGCAATTATATGTTAACAATGGTATTAGGTTGTGGTCTTCAAGCATTTGATGTTATTTTCCAGTTGCTCTGCCGAGCAAAGTCGCCTGGCAACTATGAAAAATGTTATGCAAAAAAATGAAAAAAAGGAATTTTATTCCATTTTTCTAGATGGCTGCTGCTGCTACTTCTAATACCAAAACGAAAAATGCGAGTAACAAAGAGAAAGCGGCAAATAAGTTTTATGAAGAATGGATGGATTACAAAGAACAAGAAAGGCGATCATCGATAGCGACAACTGAAACTGTCAAAAGTATCAAGAATAATCAAGGTGGCAAATATAAATTATATGATGAATATCAGAGAAAATTGTCACAAACACCGGTAAGATATGAGAAAGATAGATTTTTGTTTTTCAGAAATTAGAAATTTACTTATATGAATTCTAATTTCAATCAATAACTAGTTGTATAACAAAAAAAACGAATCAAAATATTCATTCATAGTTTTGAATACTATTTTTGGAAATTTGAATAAAAAATTCTAGGTTTTTTCAATTAAAAAATAGTTTCAATTTCCAATTATTTGAGCTATATACATTCAAAATACTCGAACTATTTCACACGGAGTGCGTTCCGTTACGCCAGAACCCGCCGAGAAAAAAAAAAGAAAAACAGTAGAGGGTCAGAGAAAAAAACAATTGAAAAGTAAATGAGGCAATGAGAAAATTTATGTGCGATAGAGCGCGTTTTCTCTCCTATCTGAAACATTTGCCGCGGCGTAAAGAAAAGCGAAATTGAAACAATAAAAGTCATTTTTAGACATTTTCATTCAAATTGTATTAGTTTCGAAGTATAACTGAATTTTGAAAAACATTTTTTAAAAATTCACAAAAATCATTCAAGCAAAAACATTGAAATGCAACGATAGACAAAAATAGATGATGCATTCAGTATATTTTGAAGTATATTCAACAAGAATTCATGGTCGAAGTATTTCAAAACAAATATTTACAAAACAATAAATCTCATCTCTCAAAAAATGCCGAAACCAACAAAAAACTTTTTCGCACAATTTTGTATTTTAGACAGCAACAACACCGCCACAACCAATAATCTCGTCACCAATAAAACGACAATGTAAGTTTTTTTTTCATTTTATGTATGTAAAAAAATTGTATTGTAAAAGGAAAATGAAAGGTTTTAAGCTTTGCCGATAATTCATCCGATTAGAGAAAGAAGAACATTAAGTCAGGCGTCAACGAGATCTTCGAACAAAATGGTTGATTGGGATAACCTTGATGAAGATGTGAGTATTTTATAGATTTTTATTTTATAATGTGAATTAAATATGCGAGTGCCTAGATTTACATATGTATAGAGATGGTTTTCTCAACAGAAAAATAAGATTTTGTATGGTTTTTTTCGAAAAAAGATTGTGGGGGTGGAAATAAATTTAAACAACTAAAAATTTCAAATTGTTTAAGAAGTTCGAAGGTTTTCAAAATTCGGGAAAAAATCAATCCAAAAAAGTTAAAATAAATTGATCTTGATAATGAGAATTTTGGTTTGAAAATTTTGACTTCATGCATTGAAAAATGTAGAAAAAACACTTGTTTAACATTATTCATGTGATTATGACCAGAAATACCAAAAATTCATCTTATCTATTACAGTAGCTCAAAATTAACATATAAAAAAGAAGAATCATTCCTCATGACTAATAGAAAACTTTGATCATCAAAATATGCCTAAAAACAGTAACTTTATGTTCTCTTTGATAGTGAAAACCGCATTCTTTTTGGAATTTATGATCCTATCTCACTTTCATTTTCCATTTTTCCTTAGTTTTGTCAAAATTGCCGACAGTTGTAAAAATCCAATTTTTACAGATTCTCGAGGAAATTCGCAAAGATTTCGGTCCATTTTATAAATGGGTTAAGAATGGAAGAACTGACGATTTAAAAAAGGAGATCATCAAGAAGTTGTTGTTCAAAAATAAATAATAATTATGTATTCAGATAACCTTCTCGTTGTATGAAAATAATAATTTATTAAAAATACTGAAAGAATATATACAGTTCCCATCAATCGATATGTCAAAAAATATATCAAAGAAGGGCTAAGAAAAGACATTGCAAATAACCGTAATTGAAAATGAAAAGCCTGAGAAAACTAAAGTACGAAAAATTGGAATTTTAGAAAGTTATATGTGGTGATAAATGAATCATAGATTGCAAATTCAAATGAACATGTTCAAAAGTTGGACGACGATTTGCATCATAATTCCAGCAAGGTAACATTTGTTCAGCATATAACTTTTGAGGGCATAATCTTGGGCGGCAAAGGGTTTGCTGCAAAAAAAACAGATTCATTTCACAGTTTTGAGCATTACAACTATTTTAAACTCACTTTTAAATTACCGCTGGAATTCATGCTTTGTAAATTTTCAACAACTTCATCGTCTGATAATCCAGAGAACGGTTTTTCAGTGCAAAGTGAAAAGATTTCCCACATTGTTACACCAAATGCCCAAACATCGCTAGCAGTTGAGAATTTTCCTAACAACAATGCTTCCCACGCCATCCATCTGATTGGAAGAACAAATTTACCCTCAACTTTGTAATATTCTTGAGAATAAAGACTTCTGGCCATTCCAAAATCAGCAATCTTGACATTTCCTTCAGAATCAACCAAACAATTGCGAGCAGCAATATCTCGATGAACGAAATTGCACGATTCCAAATAAGCTAAACCAGCAGCAAGTTGGGTGCAAATACTAATACATCCTGAAGTATTGATAGCAGGGGTTTTCATGATAAATGATTTCAAATCCCCATTTTCCATATATTCCATAATACACAAAATTGGTTTTTGAATTGTGCACACACCAACAACTTCAACAACATTTGGATGCTTCAAACTTCCTAACACACGAATTTCTCGATGAAATGACATTTCATCAGCTTGACTGATTCCGTGTAGTCGTTTTACGGCTACTCGTCTATTTTCCAATTGGCACATGTCCACTTCTCCAAATTCGCCTTGCCCAATCTTGCTTATGTAGATTAATTTATCCCTTGCGATTTCTGGTAAAGTTGTACAATAAACTTCTCCATAATCCGAATATTTTACAAGTGATGACAATGGGTTACTGTAATAATAACATTTATGAATAAACTATTGATATTTTCCAAAAATAAATAATACCTTGGTTTATGTGTGTCATAAGGTCCATCGTGTCCATATAACAATGGGGTATTGGCAGTAATGTCAGAGCAACTGAAATAAAAACATTTGGATGATACAAAAATACAATGCGCGAAAAATTAAAAAAAAACATACTTGCTAATATCAGGCTCGGCATAGTCACCGATGACTGGACCCATTGGCATTTTTTCGATCATTGCATTTTGTAAATTGTCTCTTGCCATTTGATATGTTGATGGTGATACGTGGTGTTTAATAGTGTCACCATCAATTGTCAATAGAATTTCACGTTTGGCATTTGGAGATGGTGACGATGCTTTGATACGGTAGTCACGTTTTCGATAAACGATGATCATAACGATTATAGCAATAATGAGGAAGGAAAAGAAGAAAATGATGAATGCTGAAATTAAAAAAAAATAGGATTTGGTTTTTTGTTTGGAAAATATAAGGTGGAGAGATATAATAATTTCCGAGGGGTGTTTTTAAGTGTTCAATTACTTACCAAACATGCTTGTTCCATCTTCATATTCTACCACAGAGTAGAATGTATTCGGGATCGTGAATTCTTCATCAACATAATTTATATTTGTATGATTTGATTCAAATGAAACTTCCGAGATAAACATCCAATCTGATCCACTGGCAAAATTCAAAATAATTCTAATTGATTTTCCAATTCGATTATCAACAGGAATTCGGATCCATCGTGGAGATTCGTTTTCAGAATCCGATGGATTTATGAAAAATGTACTCATTGGTGAAAATTCAATATTATTGGTTGTATAAAAAATTGTAGCGTCGGAAAACATTTTTGCATTTTTACTAAACTCGTTCGCTGTGTGAATGAGAATTGCAGATATATTTCGATTTTCTGTGAAATTGAATGTTAGTTTCACATTTTCGTTTCGCTTTCTTCTCCACCCGACCCATTTATGATGGTTTACAAAAACATTTTCTTTTCCGATTTGTGAATCATAAAGTTTTCCAGTTCCATTAACAAGTTTTGGTTGATGTTCAGAACTTCCATCATATGCGAAATCATGATATGAAATTGCAGATTGCTGATCCCCATCAATAATTTCGTAGCTTTTCAAGCTGTCTTCAAATGCACATCCATATAATTCAACTCGCATACAAACGGTTCTGGTTGAATTGGACACCGGAACAATTCGAACACGCCTTGCAATAATTGCACGATCAAGATCTCGACGAACCGCATGTTTTGTGTCATTGTTTGCCGGAATTGTCTGCAAAATTCAATTGTCTTGGGAAACTCTCTAACATATGGGTGCCAAATAATTACTTTTCCTGGTGTTTATCCCTTCCCCTTTTTCAAAATACCGTGTATTTCTTATGAATGCATGTAAAAAGTAGGTGTAAGAGGATTAGATTAAGCTACCGGATCAAAAAAGGCACACCGCCTAGTCATTTAAGGATTGACCTTGCATTAATAAAATGAAAACATTGTTTTTTTATTCTCCCTTTTGGATTGGATAGGAAAAATATCCATGAGAAAATAAAAAACCAAAACCGTCTATACACAGATTTGTATTATGTAAGAGTGCAACTGTCGACATATGGGCACTATTTTCGATATGATCTTTTATTTAAAACAAAAAGTGTGGCCTATCTCGACAAGTGGCCTGACAGATGTATTGTCACTCATGTTAGAGGCTACCGCATTCAAAATTATGTTTTTACACACATTGTCTCGACTAATCCTTGAATCAAGATGTGTTAATTTGAATATTCTTGTTTAAAATCGACAAAAAAAAATTTAGATGCAGCAAAAATCAAAAGGCGGCTTTTTTGTTGTTGTAAAAGTTAACAATGCCGCCTGTTTCGGTGATTCATAAGGAACAACAAACTTTTTATGCAAAAACGTACATAATTCTTATTCTTTGTCATATTCAAAAAAGTCCCTTTCCAGAATGAAAAAAAATTTCTCAATGATATAAAATGCATGTCTCTCTTCTCACTCTTCAAAAAAATGTTCCATGTCCTTCAAAAGAATAAAAAGAACCTTCCGATTTCCTAATGCTCATCCTTTATTAATTGTTATACGGAGTAAGTAGTAAATTATCCGCGACCTTTTAAATGGGTAATTAGCGGTAATTTTATATGATTTTGGAGGAAGAGATTGGGAAAAGGGGTTTCATTTTCTTTTCAAAAACTGACCTCGAGCTCGTTATCGTCTTTATATGAAGCCCAAGCGTTTATCGAAGGTCTCCAATATTGAAGTTTGAAAGCTGTGGCGTATTCCATTCCATGTCCTCCACCATATCTTCCCTGTGTTTCAACACCAGTGATTACTGTATCTGCAGAAAATGAGATTTGTAACCATTCGTTGCTCATCGAATGAATTTGATGTTTTGGACACCATGCTCCACTTCCAGTTTCCTGATGTGCTCTGAAAAACAAAAACATTGTATAATTACCGGAACCTATGACCTTTTGTATTTGTTTCAAATTGTATGTTCCTAATAACCCTAGCCCCCTAATTATTTCTTCGGCTGGTGCGATATCATCAAAAAGAGAAGGATTTGTTGCACACCCCGTCGCAGCCGTCAAAACAAGTGAATTAGGGTGATGGGTGGAATATGTTGGCGGGGAAATTAGATGAGTTCGAGTGGAGAAGCCTTCATTTTAATCCGTTTTTGATGAGAAACGAACTAGGATGAATGAAGGAGGAGAATAGAAGGGGAACATGCAAATTGCGATACTTTGTAAATGAGATGAGATTCTTGGAGAATAATTGAAATTTGGAATTGGTGGGTCCAAATGAGCAAGCTTTGAGAATTGAACATCATAACTTTTGGAAACTTTCAGAATTTTTGAAGACTATTCTAACATTACCAATAATTAAAATTGAAATTCAGTTTTCAGAAAAATTGTTTTTTTCTGAATTTGTAACTCAATGTTTTATAGGCCCCTTTTTTAACTAACAAAAAATTAATTCTTCACCACATTTTTCTAAAGAAACGAAAATTATGCGCCCTCTCCCCCATTTTTTCCCACTAAACGTTCAAAACTATTCATTCACCCATCGCGATCCACCCAACCCAACAAATTCATTAAATTTTCAAGCGACGTTTTTGCTCTCCCCTAACTTATACGAATTTTAAATGACTTTCTCGTAAATTGACACCAACCTTGCATGTTGTGCTCCAGTACTTTGTTGATCAAAATGCGATGATGCTGAGATTTGTTCGTTTCGAATTTTGTTGTTTGACATTCCCAATTGATGTCGACATTCTTCTGCAAATCATTATTTTTCTATTTTGTTATGTATGTACACGGTAATGGACCATCAAAAGGATGAGTATTTGTACTAATCGGTAGATTCTCAAATTACAAAAGAGTGGACCCTCTTGTGATATCTATGTTTTTCTGTTTGTATTCCTTGATATGTATATTCAATTATGCCAGCAAAAAAACACATGTAAAATCAAATTTCCCTCACGAGAAACTATGTAATTTTATTATCGCCAAAACACAGTTGTTTCTAAATGTCAGTCAGTGAGATTAATCTCGCGCAAGTCGTAAAGTTTTTCGGTGGATTGTAAATCATTGTTGTTATTCTTATAGGTGAGGAAATTAATGCGAACGTGTAAATGTGTGATGTGAAAAATAACAATAGAAAGTCATAAATTATCACAGGAGATATGTATTTGCATATTTTCAAGGAAACCCAATAAATGATTGAGAAATGTTATGGCTATTCCCTTTTTACTTGAAGAAAATGACCCTTCTGAACTCCAAAAAAGCCTGACCTCGCTCTCTTTTGTTTTTTTCCTAACCCTATTCACATTTCACACCCTCTCCCACCATTCTATTCACACCAAATCCTTCACAAGTTCGCCGAGAATTGCGCAACTTACACCCTTTTCTTATCATCTTAGCTACTGATTGATTTATTGTATGTGTTTATGACCCATTTTATATAAACATTATGACTATTTTCTACTCGGCCCATAAGCACACACAAAAAATGCTCCAAAATTGAATAAGTTTTTTTACTGACTCATATGTCAAACCAATCAAGTTTTTTTTGGAGTGCAGACAATTACGCGCGTTTTTTCTCGCATCTTTTTATGTATGCATTTTTTGGAAGAAGACTAGAAAAGGTCCATTTCGTCCCAAAGGAATTTACTTTTTTTTGGGCCAAGGCGAGAAAATCGATTTATGACACTTGAGAGAGATTATATTCATCCGAATAATACCACACAAAAGTCAGGTGCAATATAACCATAAATGCGTAATTGCGCAATAGGATAATGAGAAGAAAAAGTGAATCTAAAGGAATTTATGTCACTCTGGGTATAAATAACATCTGCGAGCCAGGAATTTGGATTCAAAATGTTTGAAGGGTAGATCAAATATGATCTTTGAAACTTTCTATTCAATTTTCAATTATCTATCCAAATATTATATCTAAAATCCAAAGTAACGAAAATGCTTTTAGTGGTGTAATAATAATAGAAAATAAAACTACAGTATCCCAATCACTAAATTTGATTCACAACAAAATGACAATATATTTTAATTGAAATTCCAAAAATATTTAACTAAAGTATCTATAAACAAAAATCAGTAACTCCCAGAAAAAATCGAATATTTTACCGCCTAAAACTTGCATATATTATTGTAATATTCTAATCATATCCTAACCTCGCATAAATATTTTGGGGGTGACACACAAACACACCCAAAGAATTTCCGGCAACTGTTGCTGCTGCCAGAGACTTTAATATATATGAATTTATATTTATCAAAGAAATACCGCTCGAATATTTCTGGTGTCACGATGATGGATTGATTTGATTACAATATTTAATAAGATGCGATTGTTATTTGGTGTGAAAAAAGTTTTTTGAGGTTTTTTCTAATTTCCTTTTTCAAAGAGAAAAAAGTCATCTCATTTTTGAGTCAGTTAGATGATATCTCAAAAGACGCAAAAAACTTTGTTTCATTTTTTCGCGCAAAAAAGTCCAGATGGTATCTTATTTTGAAAAATTACCATGAGTTTTTGCTGGCCAGGACAGGCAGCACATTTATTATTTTTTCTGACTTGCATTTATTATTTGACGAAAAACGAAAAACTTACTGAGCTCCAAACTTGTTGAAGTTTTTGCAAACACCAAAAATATGAGATATAAAATTGCAGTCGTCTTCATTTTCAATTCTTCATTGACTGGGGATGTTCTGAAATTTAAAACTGTTAGTGAAATAGAAAAGTAGGGGAGAAAATAGGAAATTCCAAGAAAAAGACAGATGCACAAATATCCGGGACCCATTTTCTATTTCTTTCACACATTTTCATTTTTATATAATCCCGACTATTTACGGATGTATCTCGTTTTGTGTACATATCTATTTAATGGATGTGTATAGAAAAACGTTTTATCCATCAAAAATATATTATACTGTGCAAAAAGCTTTGAAAAAACAGAAGAGAAACAAGGAAATTTTATGGAAATTAATGGACATTTTGCAATAGTTGAGCAATGGTAATTAATGAGAAAATGGGCTAGGAATTTAAATTTATGTTTACATTTAGTTAAAAGGTGACTTTTATATGTTTGAAAAAAATAACAGTTGGCATGGGCCAAAAACCGAGAACAATACAAAGGAATGAATAAGAAAAGAACAAAAAAGCTAAAAAAAAATAATAATAAAAAATTCAAAATGTCAGTCAGTCAAATAGAATAACGTAAACCATATGTATTATATTGATGAGCACATCCCATTCATTCAGGGCAGAACCACCACAAAAATTTAAATTTTCTATAAAAACTAAACGAAAAAAATTAGCATCCTCCTTCTCATCTAGTTACTCTACCACAGAAGTGTCTGGTGTGAGGCAGAGAGAAAGGGGCGGGGCTTATTTTGAGGGAGGGTGCAACAAACATGTGTGTGTGTGTGTTTTTTGTATGCGTATTTTGGTTCAAATGAATATGTGTATCATAATAATGAAAATATAAATAATAATATAAATAAAATACACATGAATGAATGAATGAATGAAATTTTTGTACGAAAAAAATTCCGATTTTCCCCCGTATTTATATGTACTAAATACTGAAAACCATCAAAATGACAGATGTTATAACATATAAAATCATATAGAATCTGGAAGAATTGAACAGATGAAAAGAAAAAAAGAAGATGAAGAAAAAAACTGATTTGTGGCTAATTTTTTATTGTTATTTGGTGAGAAGTGAGTTTGAGAAACAGCAGCTGAGAATAATGTGAAGAATCATAAAAGAAAATAAAAAAGTTTGGTGATAGGATGAGATGAATGGGAACACACAACAAAACAGCAAGTAGTTGTTGGAACAAAAAAGTGTTGGTATACTTTTTTATGACAGGGTTTTCAAAATATTCATTTCGTATTTTTGAAAATTGATTTGAAACATTTTGAACAACAACATGTTCCTAAAAAACATTGATTTTGATAAGATTTATTTTAAACTAAATTCTTATCTCAATGTTTTTCCGTTTCTTCAAAATAAAAAAAACTTGTTAAACCTCCGGGACATACAGTAATCTCTTCGGAATTTTCATAGTTTGCAAATCTGGTATACACTACATTGAACTGATTTTCTAAAAAAGAAGCAAATCTGGTTTCGTAAAAATTTTTCCTTAAAAGCTTGTATTTTCATTTGATGGGAAACTGATATTTTTCCATCAGTTCGAATTGTTTCCTTTTTTTCAAAATTCAATAGAACTACGATATTGTGAATTCCGATATTTTAAATACTGAATTTTATATGTGAGAAACCTCAATTTTTCTATTATATTTTCAAATTTTCAAATATATCTTCTGATTTTCAAAATCACATTAAAAATTCAATTGTCCAACAACACGAAACCATATGCTCCCACATAATTTTCTGTAAAATTCAAAAAAAAATGTTTTTCTCTGTTTTGTCTCCTTCTAATTAAAAAAATAGTGAAAAAAGAAAAAGAAAATATTTTTGCGCTGCTCATTGGCCTCAATCGTTGTTGTATGTCTAATTACGCTCATTTTTCTCGTTTCAATGGTTTTTAGTGTCGACGATCGGAGGTCATACAGTTTTTAACTATCTAATAACAACAATATGATATTTGAAAAAGTAAGGGAGGAATGAAAAAATAGAAAATTTACAAGAATAAAGTATGTGTAGCGTGATAGATGCGATCACCATATGACCCATGAAAAAAGATCAATTTCCGGAGAATCGAACACAAAGAAGTGTGTCGATTTGATTGATTTTAGAGAAAGAGTTACTCAACAACATGAACAGCCATGTCCTCCAACAGAAGATGTGATGTGGAAATAAAAAATAAATAAATAAAAAAATCCGAGAGAAATTTTTTAAGAGCTGTGTGTGTGTTGATGATTGAAGATGGATAATTAATTTGTAACAAACAACCCGGCGAAGAAAAATGAGCCTGGCATTTTGACATATGTTTCGGTTAAATTGATTGATTCGTGTTTGAAAACAATGAAATATTAGTAGAAATACATAAGAGTTGAGTTCATCCAAATGACAACACAAAAAATGTTACAATTTTTTTGACTGGGAATTATAGAAAAAAAATTAATCCATATATTAGCTGATAAATTGAGGGATTGGACAACCTAGCAAAAACTTCAGATATTGATCATCGAAATGTTTCTGAACCTGATATATCGCAAGTTTTTCCTAAAACTTTGCGGATTAAAATACAAAACATGTTCTTTGAGAAAAGAAACAAACTTATAAAACCTGGTTTTCATACTTAAATTATAAATGTTTGAGAGTTTCCGGATTCCAAAATTTTTCAATTGGCTCAGAAAAGTTCAAAAGATCAAATTCATAAGCTGGTCACTGTTAGAGAACTTCAAAATGAAAATATATAATCCATCAATCTCACATTAGTTCTGAAATTATTGCTCCAGCTTACATGCGCTCGAAAAAACTATTACACTTTCTGAAATCTCTCTCTCAAATGAACAATTTTTTTTTCGCAAAAAAAGTCAAAGTCGATAATAGTAACCTACACATAAGCCGCACTGCAAATTAAAACAATAAAACGGGGTAATAAAATATTATGTTTGAAATGGGGGGAGCCTGATTTATTTCATTTTCACTATATATTTTGGGTGTCTGTTCATTCTGTTCGATTAGTATGAAAATAAAAGTCAAAAAAAAAAAACAAAAGACAATAAAATAATATTATTATTAATAATAAAATGACGGATTGATGGAACCTGTTTTCTAAACTGAAAAAATGAAATGAAATGATAAATAAATTATTTGTTAAAATTTTCACCCATCTTGACCGAAACAATAATTATATACTACACACAGTATTCAGAAAAAAGACTCGATGAACCAAATAAAAACTCGCCGACATAATAAAAAAGCTTGGATCTATAACATATAATTAATGAAAACATTGTGAATAATTAAAAGGTGGCCAGAAAATGGAACACTTTTTTGTGTTAATGGGTAATAGACTCGGAAAAATGGACAGCCAGGAATACAAAAAAACTATGTTCGACCTCGAATGTATTCTTATCCAATGACACCATCTTCATGTTGATTTCGTGTCTTTTCTTCGCCAACCATAACCCGTCAATTAGTCACACTCTACCGTAAACAATTGTCCGTGAGAAGACAAAAAGGCCCCGAAAAAAAGAAGATAGTAGTAGTAGTACAACTTGTCGTGTTCGTTTTTTTCTGGTTCATGATTTATGGAGGTTATACAAGTTTATGATGAATTTTGTTAATGGGTTGAGGTTTGAAAAAAAGATGAAAGATTTATAAGTTTGAAAAAACACATAGTTAGTAATATATTTTGAGAAAAATAGGAAATATTTAGGAAAAAAGTATAATAAATGAGTCATAAAGAAATTTGGCAATTACAAATGTACATTTTTTGAGTTTTTCAGTGTAGTGTTTTCAGTGTAATTCACAAAAAAAACACGGAAGAAATTTGTTAAAGATTTTTCTGTCAATTCCAAAGTTATGTTTACAAAAAAACAACTTTTTTCAAAAACCCAAACAGACCCAAATCTCTAACATTAGATTAAAACTTTTTCTCAAAATAGTCAAAACTCAAACTAAAAGTAGAAAATAAAATGGCCAAGTTCCGCATCTCCAAAAAATCTTAACCTCCTCAAAAAAAGAGTCAACCAAAAAGCAATATCCTTCATCTTCGTTTTTTTCTAAACAGCATCTATTTACATACATATGAAAGTATGTATTATAATAACAACACATAAAAATAGCGACAAATAGCAAAGGCAGCATTGTTACCGCAACATAAGATTTCTTCTGAATATAAATAATATTATTTTATTTATACAGTAATCGATGCCAACCACCAACAACAACAACAAATCTTGTTCTCATCTAATTTAATATAAGAATATCTCATTTCTCACCTTCTCGTTCTAATATATTCTATATAGTTCACTTTTTTTCGCATTTTAATTAAAAATATCGGTCATTCAACAAAAAGCAGTAGTTTTTCTCTCGAAAATCTTCCATTATAGTAATTTGATGTCTTGAGATTTTTTTATTACACTTTGCTGACCTTTTGGTAGACTAGGAATATGGGGGATTAACACCTTTTGACATGACAAGTAACCACTAAATATAACACAAATAAAAAGTGTCAAATTTCATTACAAAAATATAATGATTGACACCAGAAGAGAAAAATGTGAGTGGACGAAAAGCAAAGATTTGAAATCAAATGTTATTCGATTTGAATTGAATAATTTAAGATTTTCGAATCGGGCGGACAAAGAACATTAGAATGCATAGATAATGAAGTTTTTTTTCTTTTTGTTGTCAGAAACAGATTGGTTTTAAAAATAAATATGGAAAAGGATTACTGTAGAAAATAAAGGAGAGGGGAGAAAATAGAGGAGCTTATCAGAGATTGTAAAATTGTTTTAATTATTTTACAACTTGAGAAAATGAAAAGTTTTCATTACAAGAGAATTTTCGTTTTTAAAACTCGCATTGAAAGCTTTGTAAAAATGTCGCAGCAAGAGACATCGGCGTGATACACGGTGAAGCTCTAAAATACAAAAATTCGACATAGCTCGGTACCGAAAAATTTTCACGGTTGCTAGAAACCATAAACATAAAAGAAATTAGCTCTGGAACTTGGCACATGTTCATTTAAGTCCAATAATTTTTTTCTGAGAAAATGTCTAATAAATTTTTCGATGCTATAAAATTTCAACAATTTTTCAGCAGAATCCTATGAAAACAAAAAATTCAATTTTGAAATTGACTTTACTATACCAAAATAAACCCTTCCTCTTTTTTTTTTAGCTTTTCTCATCCCATCCCATCCACTTTTAATACCTACTGATCCATAATATAATTGAAAAAGCAGACAAAAACAACAAGCAAATAAAAACTACTAAATAAATGTACAACTAGTACTAATACCCTTCCCATCCAACACCCTAAAAATGGCCATTTTAGGCGTGAGAAAAAAATGCGGTCTTCTTTTTTTGTTCATTTATCTAATTCATCATGTGAAAAAAATAAAGTAGCAAAATAAAAATAAATATATACACATATGAATGTTAAACGATTCTTCCTCACTTCAAATAAATATGAATGAAATATGAAAAAACCACTCTCTCATCAATGTGTATTAAATTTCAATATTATGCCACATTTTTTTGCTCCAGGGAGATTTATTTCATTTTTATGAAGTTTTTTTTTCATAAAAAATGGATTTTTTTCATCAAACTGAAAATAACAAAATAAATTGAAATGAACATTTGAATAGATGCTACAGTAGCTCGAGAAGGTCAATAAAGAAAAGTGATGTTAATCCTGTCTTCTTTTTCTTTTCCTCTAATCTTGGCATGGTTCACCGAGTTCGAATATGTATATTTATATTAAAAGGGACTCTGTTTGCCTTGGCCGAGAAAAATCTTTATTCAACGTACAAAAAATTATGAAAACTAAACGTCTAGAACACGAATGTTTTATCCATTGAGCTGGCCTGAAAAAAATAATTATAAAAAATTACTATGGGAAATTGACAAACCCGATTTGTGAATTTTAGCAAACTTCGTCGACGATTTGGCGACGGTTGAAGAAGTGGCTGACTGCAAAAGGTTTTTTGAAATGAAATTAGGCTACTGCAAAGGAAACCAAAAATCAGTAAATCGTTATGAACACATCTAAATTATTTTGTATACCTCTAACATAAGAACTCACCCGTTTTCTCAACAATGGCGCTTTTTCATCCATAATCAGAGTCGCGTGCTGAAAAAACATCAATCAATAATCTCTCATACCGAAAAAGTCCAACTCACTCTTGAAGCAACTTCATAGTCAAGTGATTCTATGATATCACAAACTGCGCGTTGTTTTGTTTCAGGTAAATGCCGATACAAATATAGAAGCATAAGTGGTTGCGAAATCATAAATGGAACATAAAATGCTGGCAAGAAGAAATTTCTGATTATTGGGAAGAAAACAATGAATGGTACGAATGTGAATAATGTCAAGACTGCCATATTCTGAAAAAGAAACTCTGACCTTGTACACAATTTTATAGAAAATAATTTATATACCTGTGCTACTACAGTTCTAGCTGAAGGTGGGAAAATTTCAGAAAGCAACAATGGCCCAACTGATAATAATCCAGTACTCAATTGAATTCGATTAAGAACATCACATATAAGAACTGAAAAAAAAACGAAATTGAATATTTTAAATTGAAATAAAGTGAAACACTTACTCAAAATAGTTGTCAGTAAACTTGGTTGAATCATTGATATAATTACAGTTCCAGACATCAACCATGTTTTGAAAATCCTGAAAATATTGACTTAAATTTTATAATATATTCTGAATTATAAAAATATATTACATGACAAATCCAGCAATCATAACTATTCTACGTCTTCCAATTTTGTCAACAAACACTGTTCCAAATAACAAACCAGGCACAAAAATAATATTCAGAATGAGAGTGACTTGCAAAGTTTGATCAATTGAAAGACCAGCATCGGTATGAAGTTGCATTGAATAAAGATTTTCAGCCATTGATGGAGTGAACATCATAAAAACATACACGCAGGTTACAATTTTAAAAGCTTCTCGCATTGTTTCATCACTCCAAACTTGTTTGATTGATATTTTTTCGCTAACAGTTAGGTGTTTCTCACGAATCATTGAGTCCAAAACGTCATCTGGAACAATAAAAATTAAAACACGAGACTGAAAATATCACCAACCAATATCTTCAATTTCATGATAATATTTGATACTTTCACTAGCTTCTTCCAATCTGTTTTGTCCAACCAACCATTTCGGTGATTCTGGAATATTCCTTGTCAACAAGAAACACACAATCGATCTGAAAATTGAAAATACATTCTTGGAGTTGGATTGACTTTCACAAGAAAACTATTTTCTTAATGTATATTGAGAAGTTGATGAAAGTTTATATTCATTCTTTCAATTGATATTACCAGCTAAAACTTACATAATCAAAGTTAACAGCGGGAATACAAACCATCTTTCCGGAGTTCCTAGAATATTTGGCGAAGCGATTGAATACATAACGATACCGGCTAATGAATCAGTTAACATTAATGAAAATGTAGCAAATCCTAAACTTGAGATAGAGCTCATTTTTTCTAAATAAATCAAAAACCTCTATGTTGATCCGGTGAGCATTCACTGATATAAATTGCAGTTGTGATAACTCGCAAAGTTATTTGAGAACCAAGAAATATTTCTGCTAGACAATAAAATTCCGCGGATCCTAATAATGCAGACAGTAGGAAGCTGACCGATCCGAAAACTCCACAAAATGATCTAAAGATAGTTTTAAACAATATACTGAATGTTTTTGATTTAGAAAAATTACCTGATTTTTACAGATACAAACTTTCTACCTTTTGTGTCGGCTAAAGGTAATAGAAAGAATATTCCAATGATTCCACCAATACTTCCTGAGCCGTTCATTGCTGCGGTAATAATTGATGAACTGTTTATTAAATAATTGTTTGAATTGCATAAATTAATAGCAACTCACCTGAGACTATCAGGAACCAAGTCATATCGAAGAAGTGTTGAATTTATGACACTTGAAATCGGAATAGGTAGAGTGCCATATAACATGAGTAGAAAATCATTATAAAATCCATATAGAGAAAATCCTAAAATACTATAAAGAAGACCACCAGGTATTTTCGGCAACATATTTACTTGGTCTCAAGAAATAAGTGCAAACAAAATATAATTGTGATAAGAAACTACCTGCACTTTTATTTCTTGTAACATGAATATTCCACCCTTTTTTTGTTATCATTGTTTAGAATAAACAATTGCAAGAACAAAAACGTTCATAATGTTTCTTTCGTCGAAACAATCATCATGGTACCTGATTTTTGATCATATTTATGTTAGTTTACTGTAAATTTTATATTTTTATAGAGATTTCTAGATTATAAAAAGGGTGGTATAAATTAATCCATCTAACACCATTAGTTTAAAAAACGCAGTATTTATGTGAAAATTATGAATAACATATATTAGTCATAAAAAGACAAAGAATACATCACAAAGCACCAATCTCTAATTTCACACGTCATTTTTGTCAAAACCGTAAATTTTTGAAAAAAAATGATTAGAAAAACTATTATGTGTTGGTGTTGAAACAGATTGAGTTTATTCAAAAAATGAGGCACAATCTCTGATGCAATCCCATCTTCCAGTCTGGATTTTCGTCGTCCGTGGAATCTTCCTCAGTGTCTGGCTCGAGTTGAGCTGATGGCACGGGATTCCGATTCTGTTAAAACATAAAAAATTTTTCAAACAAAACATAAGTTTTTAACATGATTTGATGTACAGGGTGTCAGAATACATTTAAATTTTATGGTAAATGCATTTTATATCTACATTTCATCTTCATACAAAGACGTTTTTCGGTACTAACATTGATTATTATTTGAACATATTCTTTTGTTAGACTTACCAATGAGTTGAAGAAATTTTGATATCCTATGCAAATTGCACACTTCTTAAAATCATGAATAAGCGGTTTTGGGTCATTTTCGGGCTTCACAGGTGTTGATAAACTTTTCGAATAATAGTTCTCACATTCAGTTTTCTCTGAAGTTTCAGCATTTGGTTGCTCCTCAGCATTCTCGCCACAATTTTCGAGATGTTTCTTTTGCTCATTTGCATTCTGCCGAGCACGGATTCTATCCACTAATTTGACATCCCATGGTATTTCTTCAGTCTCCTCTAGCTTATTCGCATCCGTTGTTTTGATAGGCATTTTACAGCCAGCCATGTTGACGAAAATTGTTTATGGTAGCAAGTTTGTAGCTGAAAACCTCATAAGTTAAGTTAACAACAAAAAAATCCAAAAAATTCACTAAAAATAGTTTCGATAAATAAAAGATATTAGGGGAAAGAAACAGAGAAATTATGAGTCAGAGCACTAGCGAATACATGTTTTTCCACATCGATTGATAAAAACGTTTTGGCTAAAATAAAAACATTACAATCCAATCATTTATTTTCTAGAAAGATTGAAATACTGTCTGTTCGCCTGCAAAGAAAACGCGCCCCATCGTACTTTTTTTTTTCTGCTGTCCCAATTTTTTTTTAATTTTTGAAAAAACCGTAATTTTTATTTTTTTTTGTGTTTTCGAAACTTTTTCAGGGTTTTTTTTAATTGGAATTGTTGTATCGGGGGCAGTTAGTGCACCTTACATGTGATTTGTTTCATTTTATGAGTTTGTAGTGGAAAAAAACACATATTTTTCAATTTCCAGGATGTTCCAAGACCGAAAAAAATCGAAAAATTCATATCTTCGACTGGGATTTGAACAACATTTTTATTTAACTCAAAAACATCCAATTTTTTATTTTCTTGGATTGTGTTGTGCAAGATATTCTTCTTTGAATCGTTTGAGGTGATCCATAGTTCGTGACTGAAAAATTACATTATTTTTTAAATATCTCTTCATTTCTCTGTTCAATAACTTACTCGTTTTCTTGGAATTTTCAAAACAGCTCGTCTGACATAGAATGATTTTGCTCTGTCTCTGAAGAATAGTGGAGTTCCCTCACTAACCATTGATTCTCTCTGAAAACCACAATAAAAATGTATTCCATTGTGAAACAGTTGAAAGTCTTACCCTAGATGCAACATCAATGTCCAAAGTTTCAATAATATCGCAAACAGCTTTTTGTTTGGTTTCCGGTAGATACTTGTAAAGATAATAAAATATCAAGGGATGAATAATCCAGTATGGAACATAGAACGCTGGAGGAAAAATCGATTCAAGTATTGGAAATATGATTGAAAATGGGATGAATACAAAGAGACCCAAAAATATCATACACTGAAAAATGTTTTGATTGTTAGAATTTGTTTGTCAAATTTCAATGAAAAAAGAACCTGTCCAACAGCAGTTCTTGCCGATGGTGGAAATAATTCAGAAATTAACAAAGGTCCAATTGATCCAGCACCAGTCGCATGAATCAAGTCAGTCACTACATCGTTTGTAATTACTGAAAAATTCAAGAATATGATGTTTGAAATTTCAAGAAAACTTACCAAAAATTCTCGAGATAAACGTTGGTCCGAAAAAGAAAACTGTTGAGAACATTGAAGTTGAGAGGAATATTTTAGTCATTCTGAAAAAGGAAGATTTTCAAAAGTTTAAAGCTCGAACATTTTCATTTCAAAGTTACACTAGAATCTCGGCAATAAATAACATCTTCCGTCTTCCCAATTTGTCAATGAGAAAAGTTCCAATGAGTCGACTAGGACTGAATAATATTGATAAAACCATTGTTATCATCAGTGTCTGTAACAATAACCTTATATATTCTCAATTAGTTTTAAAATATACTTGATCTATAGTTATTCCAGCATCTAAATGAATTTTCATTGTATAAACACCTTCAATTGCAATCGGTGATAACCACATAACCGAATATGCAACAAAAACAATTTTTACAGCTTCACGCAAAGTATCATCACCATAAACTTCTCGAAAACTCAATTTTTGAGCAGATGTCAAATTTTTCTCTCTAACCATTGAATACAAAACATCATCTGCAAAAAAACCATTAGTGGTTGATTTTTGCAACAAATTCGAAAAACAAACCTTGATTTTTTGATTTCGATTTTCCGTGATAAAAATTTACAGCTTCCATTGCATCATCCATATAATTTTGTTGAATCAACCATTTTGGTGATTCATGAATCCTTGTAGCCAGAAATAAACATACCACTGACCTGAAAACGAAACAATTTAATAATCTGTTGCCTTTTCCGATGAACAAGTCCAACAAAAAACTTAAAATACGGCAGATGTTAATGGAAAAATGAACCAAAGATCAATAGTTCCTAATAAATTTGGTGAAGTTATTGAAGACATCACTAAAGCTGAAGCAGAATCAGCTACAGTTAGAGCAAGTGTTGCCAATCCTCTATATTTATCTGGAGCACATTCACTGATGAACAATGGAGTTGAAAACATTCGAATTGGTCCTTGAAGTCCAAAAATAAGTGATGCCAGCGTGAATAATTCCAAAGAATGGAATTTTGCACTTCCTACATATAATATTGAAGAGACGAAACTGATTGCTGATCTGAAATATTTCATTTGAAAATTGAAAACTATTTGATACATTTGAGATTTACCGTAAATAAATACATGTGAATTTTCGACCTTTAGAGTCAGAAAGTGGCACGATTAAAAATAATGAAGATATTACTCCAATGTTTGATGTTCCAATCATAACTGATGTGATCATAGAAGTGCTAAAATAGGTTTGATATATGGATATAGAAAAAAATTAGTAAGAAACAAAAAAAAACTAACCTAGTTTCAGTGACTGGAATCCCATATCTAATTAATGTTGAATTAATCAAATCACTAACTGGAATTGGCAACGAATTGAAGAGTGAGAAAAGAAAATCACTATAAATTCCGAATAAACAGAAAGTTAAAATAGTTAACACCAAGTTTGGTGCAATACCTGTGCCTAGAAACATTCCTCAAAATCGAAAGAGGGAAATGTTTCTGCAGGCAGTCTTAAAATGATATTTTTGCTCGCTTTTCGGGCAATCAAAATAATTTTCAGATAAGACTTGCCGCATCGTTAAATTGAAAAAAAATAATCTGAAACTTTCAGGCAAAAAACTTAACAACGACAGTTTCTGGCGAAATATTTTTATTGCCTGTCTGCGGTTCGACTGGAAATTTGTAAAAGATTTGGTTGAACATTGAAGCTTATTTCAATTTGAGAGGTGTAAACAATTTTTAGAATTGGATTAGTTCTGTTCTTACGATACACTTCTGAATGATTTATTTTTTTATGTTTTTTTTTTTAAATAAATTCGAGATTGCAAAACTATGAGAAATCTTTAGAATATGGAAAAAAACCTTCCAATGATTCTGGAATTGAAATCTCATATCTACTTTTCCATTTTAGTAATCTAGAACCTTATCAGTTATAACTATTTCTCAAACCACATATTTTAACCATTCAAAACAAAAATGTTTATCAAACTAAACACATATCCGATACTTCCACTCTTATAATTCGTTTCAGATTTTTCATCCAAAAATGCTGTCGAACATTATGCTTTGAACCATCTTCGCTCATTTGCACAGTTTCTGATCTTCTTATCATTTTTCTGGCAAAACTATAAACTTTGCTGTTTATTCTCAATTTCCCAACAAAAACCACTGATATGATGATTTTTCCATCCTTGTTCCCCACATGCCACAATATATTGATGTATGAAACGCTTTCAGATAAGACAAATATTTTATGAGGGAATGAAACAAATATACAAATGAAATTTTAGAAAATTATAACATCGTTGAGATCAAGTTTTTTGTAATCCATTGTTTTGGACTGAAACAATGTGATTAATTTTGGAGGAGGATTTGTAAACTCACTCGTTTTCTTTGAGTTTTAATAATGCTGCCGCGTTTGGTTGAGAATGTTATTGCCTGAAAATTTGTCAAATTACGAATTTAATAAAGAAACTAGAAACTCACTCGATCTTTGATCAACGGAGATTTTTCATTCAAATATGTGTTTCTCTGAAACAAAAAAAAATCAAAATTCAATAAATTTTTTGAAACTCACTCGAGAAGTTACAACATCATCTAATGATTCAATAATATCTGCAACAGATCGAAGTTTGGTTTCAGGCAATTTTTTGTAAAGAAAGTATAGGAAAATTGGTTGCAAGAACATGAATGGAACAAAAAATATAGGTGTGAAAATAGCATCAATTATTGGAAACACAATCACAGATGGAATATATGAAAAAACTCCAATAAGTGTGAATAGCTGAAAGTTTCAATATACAATAAATATAGAAAATATTTGAGTACCTGTCCAACAGAAGTTCTCGCAGCTTGTGGAAAAAGTTCTGAAATAAGCAATGGGCCAATCGAATTTATACCGATAACATGTTGCAGATTCCCGATCATATCAGTAAATATAACTGCAAACGTGGAACACAGTTATTACAAATAAAATAGAACACAAAAACTGACCCGAAATTCGAGTCAAAACACTGGTCCCAAAAACTTCAGAACACGTCAATGTTGTTGTTAAAATCCATGTTTTTGAAATCATGACAAACCCGGTGAAGAATACCATTTTTCGTCGGCCAAGTTTGTCAATCAGAAAGGTTCCTATTAGTGGTCCAGGTAGAAAAATAATCGAGAATACGAGTAATACTGTCAGAGTCTGAAAATGATATAAAGTCAGAGTCGAGAGAAAATCATATCTTTTTAGAGAACTTAAAGAATGAAAAGTATTTCCCAAATTTTTTCAACTCCCGCTTCTATAAACTATTCAAATCCAACCTGTTCAATAGTTAGTCCAGCTGTCGTATTTAAAGATGCCATATATACACCTTCCGCAGTATTTGGAGAAATCAATATAAATGCATAAACAAAACCAACAATCTTAAAAGCTTCCCATAGAGTGTCATCGTTCACAATTTGTTTCAATGATAATTTTTTTGATATCGTCAAATTTTTCTCACGCACCATCGAATATAAAATTTCATCTTTATTCACATTTTTTCCATGATAAAACTCAATGGCTCTTTCTGCTTCTTCGAATCTTTTTTGACGAATCAACCACTTTGGAGATTCGTGTATTCTCAGCAGTAGGAAAAAACAAATAACCGATCTGAAATTTAAGATTTTTTTTGGAAAATGGGAGTGTAACTTACAAAATCAATGTTGTTAACGGGAAAACAAACCAAGAATTCGGTGATCCGAATAGACTTGGAGTTGCAAGTGAAAACATAACCATATTTGCCAGAGCACTTCCAACCATTAATGCAAATGTTGCGAATCCTTAAGCAACCAAATTTATTATAAGGAGCAACTAATAGTCTTCAAGCTTTTTCAAAAAGAATTTTGTGATCTCTAAAAGTGAACAAGTTTCTTAAAACCCGCCTCTACATTGATCCGGAGAACTTTCACTAACAAATACCGAAGTCGCAAAAAATCTAACAGGCAATTGCGCTCCATAGACAAATTCGGCAAGAATGAAAAATTCAGCTGATTCAAAATATGCAGAAACCAAATAGAAAAATGAGGAAAATAATCCACAGTATGATCTATAACACAAAACAAAAATGTCATTCAACTCGTCATTATATTACCGTATGTGCACACAAACAAATTTTCTACCTCTTTGATCTGAAATTGGTAGGAAGAAAAATATTCCAATTACTGTACCGATGCTTCCAACTGAATTCATAGCTGACGTCAATAATGAAATACTGAAAAATATGAATATTCTTGAAAAATTATTAAAAATTGTGAAACCTCATAGAATTCGGCTCTTTTCCATATCTAGAAATTGTTGAGTTTATGATATTTTCCATTGCAACCGGAAGAGTTGAGAAAAACATGAGTTGAAGATCATTGTAAAAACCAACAATACAAAATATTATCACAGTATATAACAAGTTTCTCGGAATGTTCAGCAACATTACTCAATTTTTGATGAAAATGACCGAAGATCTATCACTTGACTGTTTTCTCGTTCCAGTGATAAAAAATAGGAATTTCCTGCACAAACGCCTTTGAACGTGACTTTTTGTCATATATTTGTGCAACATTTCCACGCAAAATAACAACTCTGATAAGAAATCGAAAACGATCAAGAAATTTTGTTCCAATGGGTTCAATTTTGATTTTCACGATAATCGACTGAAATCTAATGGTTTTTGTCAAGGAAATCTTGTGAAATTTTGAAAATAGTTGCGTTTTAGATTCCTATTTCTGTTGAAATATGAAAAAAAAAATAATTTCCGAGCCACTTTTTTGGCATAACTTTACACAAACAAAGGTCTCACAAAATGACCATTTGCCAAGCAACTGTGCAATGTTTGAATGTTAGATAAGAAATCGAAAACGATCAAAGAACTTGATTCTTCACATTTGCAGATATATCTTTAACTTAATGGTTAATAAAAAATTAATATTCAAAATTTCTTTCGAATTCAAACAGAAAATCAAACAATTATTTCTATTCATAACAGTTTTCATTCATTCCAAAGCTTTACATTTTTCATACAAAAGAAACATGACTGTATAAAAACAAATCCAAAAACTGAAAATATCAGAAATGTTACCAATTATTTTTCTATTTTTTCTGGCTTTTGGAGATTGTTCAATTCGACAAAAAAGACAATTATTGAACAATATATGGCCAAATGCAACATTTCTATACTATTTCGATGCAAATTTTACCAAGTCACGAAAATCATTGGTTTTACAAAAAATGGAAGAAATACGTTCGCAGACATGTGTCAAGTTTAGAAATACCAATAAAAAAGGAGCCAGAATAATTCAAGAAAAAGAAGATGATGGTTGTTGGTCAAATTTGGGGGCGAGTAACGGAGCACTGAATATCCCAAACAATTGTGTGAGTCAAACTAATTATGCTGTATAATTTACTAACAAAAACCGTTAGACCTCAACCTTCTGAGTTTGTTTCAGGCCTTCAAAGAAATTAGGCAAATTGTATGTATAGTAATATACACTCACACTGAATGATAAAATGAAAAGAAACTTTTTGAAATTCCAGGAGAATTCAATAGGTCATGAAATACTACATAGTCTCGGAATCCTTCATGAACAAGCTCGAACGGATCGAGATGCTTATCTACATGTTAATAAAACTGGCAATGTGAATATCAATTTTAAAATTCTCTTGATATGTATTTTTTCAGAATTTTAATATTAATCCATCATCTTCAATTGTTTCACCATTCGAATATGCAAGTTCAATGATGTATTATTCGGACAAAGATCTTTATCCGGTAGTTGGTGATTATAACAATACCATGGGTTTACGTCAACTAACGTTTTACGATATTTATATGGTTAACAAACTTTACAGCTGTTCATGTATGTCTTCTTTCAAGTTTTAGATGTCTATGTTTGATTTTAGGCCCAAAGAACCTGGAGTGTAAAAATCGAGGCTACACCAATCCAAGTTCTTGTGATACATGTATTTGTCCAGATGGATTTACCGGAAAACTTTGCACTGAATTGGTATGAATAAACAAACTTTTTCAAACTCTGATCAGAAAATGAGAGGTTTTTTTCAGAAAAATGATATATATTCATCAAGTATTGAATGGAAAACAATCAGTAGAAAAGTAAAAAACGGAACACTTCACGAATACGATTATATTAAACCAATGGCAGGAAAATCATTAGAGATATATGTAGAAAGTCAATCCTTTTACCCAGATTACAATTGGTGTGGCGGAGGTAGTATTGAAATCAAGTATATGGCGGACATTCGAATTACGAATCCTATGTCTGTTTATTTTTATTTTATTCTGACTTGAATGTAGATTGTTTCAGAAGTTGCGGCGGTTTCAATTTATACAAAAATATACGTACTTCCTTCAACGACCCGACAGTAATTGTTTATCGCGGTGGTATTAGTGAAGCCACTTATAATATAAGATTTCGTTCCGTTTGATAATCTATGAATGATTTTATTGCAGTGTTTGATTTTATTTTCCGCGGAAAATATAGAAAAAAACTGATCATGCAATTTTATCACCATAAACACACTAAAGACCAAGAACATTCTTGATTTTTGATGACTCTTGATTTTTTATCAATATGCATTTTTATTCACTGGTTCCACATCAAATGATCAAGAGTGACTGCCTGCAAGTACACAAATATGACATTTTGTGTATTATAATCTTGATAAAAACCTACCCTGGGTTTTTTGATGGTTGCATATTTTCGAGTGTTATAGGAAGTTGTGAATGACTAAAAGCTTTAGATAGTTGAGAATTAGCACAATTACTCACTCTTTTCTTCAATAAAAAACTCTTTTCGTTGTTTTGGCGATCGAGACTGTCAATGATTTCATAAACTGACTTTGATTTTGTTTCCGGCATAGTTCTGAATAATTTTAATTTTAATGATAATGGATGTGGGGTACACAAACCTGAGAAGATATAAAATAATAGCTGGTTGAAGAAAAACAAATGGAATATAATATGCTGGTGGCCAACTTGCATTCAACATTGGATAAAATAGTACTGGTAAAGTACTAGAAAATAATAAAGGAAGTGTGGTAATTTGCACTACTGTAATTTTTGCCGATTGTGGAAATAATTCATTCAATAAAACTGAGCTCAATGAAATACCACCAATCCCTTGAAAAAGTTCGGATAGTGAATAACCAAATAAAACTGTAAAAATTACAATTTTTAGCAAAACTAATATTCACAAAACAAACATAATATCTTTACAAAACTTCCGGAGTTTGTTAACTCGTAATTCAGATACACAGCAATCAACATTGACCAAGTTTTCATTATTCTGAAAATTCAATATTATATATACATTTTATGTTTTCCCGTTTTTCTGAATTTACAAGATGGTTCCAGAGAGATAGAGAACAACACGTCGTCCAAATTTGTCAACAATATATGTTCCAGCAAATCGAGATGGAATGAAGATCAATGTAATTATAAAATTGAATGTCAAAGCGAAATCTAAACTGAAACCCATTGAGGTAAAAATTTGCATTGTGTAGAATTTTTCCACAGAAATTGGACTCAAATAATGAAGGGTGTTCAAAGAGAATACTATGAAGAATGCTTCTCGCATAGTTGGATTCTTGAACAATTCGCGGACGGAAATCCTGTTTTCTTTTGTTATTATATGAGCTTCTTTTATCATTGAATCCATTACAGCTCCTTTAGAAAAGCTTTGTTAAGGGATTCGGAATGACTTCAAAACTTACTTGTGTCACAATTATCACCATGATAAAACTTGATTGCTTCTCGAGCTTCGGAATACCGTTCCATTTTTACTAGCCATTTCGGTGATTCTGGTATTCTTACTGTCATCAAAAAAGCTGCTATTGTTCTGAAAAAGTTAAAATAATTCATGAATATAATATCCAATACATACAATACTCCAGTAATTGTTGGAAAAACAAACCACATCTCATGAGAACCGAAAATTTTAGGTGATGATATAAAATACATCAAAAGTTGGCCAAATATATCGAGAACAACAGTAGCAGTAGAAGTAGCACCTAAAAAGAAAAAAAAAACTCAAAAGTTCAACATTATTGTATTTGTTACCTCGATATTCATCTGGTGAACATTCACTGATAAAAACAACAGTAACAAAAGATCGAATTGGAATTTGAATGGTCAACATAAATTCGCTACACATGAATAATTCAGATGCGGAAAGATAATATGCGCCAAGGCAAAACAATGAGCCCGAAAGTCCAGCAAAAGATCTTCAAAAAAATTATTTCTGAAACTCTAAATGAAAATTTTACCTCATATAAACAGTCAGCAATTTCCTGCCATATTTATCCGATAATGGTAAAACCAGAAAAATTGCAGGCACAAATGCAGAAAATCCAATGAAAACTGTGACAGATTGGATAATTGATAAACTGAATTTATCCGGTTGAATTCCATAATGATTTAGTAGAGTGTTATTATGCATATATTGTATTGAATCCGTAAGAAGTGGTTGAAACTGTGTTTGAATATCCGTATAAATTCCCATCAATAAAAACGCAAATATGGTGAATAAAAGATTTCGTGGAATCATCTTTGTTTACATGCAAAAAAGAATGTGTTTTTATCAGGAAAATTGAGTGTTGTTGCATAAAACTGTCACTGATTATTGCCAACTGATTAAAGAGGAACACCTCATGGAAGTTTGCGGTTTTTGAGGGGTTTGATTTGTATAAAATGAACAATCGGAATGTGCATGAATACATCTCGAATTTAATTATGAGGATTCTGAAAACGAATGTTCAAAACAAAACAGAGAAATTTACAAACACTCACTGTTTTGACACGATATTTTTTGAAGTTACATGGAAGTCTGAATTGGTACCACAGGCTGTCATTCGATGTTCCTTTTCTGTATAAATCATTTGAACCATCAATTTGAAACTTCATTTTCCAAAGTTAAAACTATCGTCGAATAATTTTTTTGGTTGGTGTGTTCTGATCTTTTCTAAATATATGGCTTTCTCGGCTTAAACTCGCGGTTGATTCGAGTGATATCATAGCTTCACATGCAGATTATCTGAAAGTATATTCGTACGAATCAATAAAAAAAACTCGGAGTAACCTATAAAATTGCTGTGAAAATACGATTTTTACACCAAAAGCAGAATAACTCACTGTTTTTCGTGAATTTTCTATCACAGGGACTACAACAAACGCGCTCTATTGACTCTCTGTTCGTCTCACACTCTCTCAATTTTGCTTTATTTTTCTTTAAGTAAAAATAAAAAGAACGCGTCCGAAGGGACCTCTCGAGTTTATGGCATATTCTTCCAGTTTTTAGGTTCTTTATTTTGCAAGATGGTTTTTTTTGAGAAATTGTTGATCCCTGTTCATGAACCTAATAAGAAAATAGATAAAAACCACCTTTTCCAGCTGAATTTGCAAGATTTTACCTAATTCCTGTAAATTAAATAAAAGAAGAAAACTGCATAATAATAAGCATTTATTTGTTACTCGAATTAATGGACAAAATACAGAAAATCAATCACCAGATGCAAAATAAATAGATAGTTCCATCATTCTCTATTGAGATCGATTTCAAGTAGATTTATGTATAAATACAATGAAATTTGTTTGTAGAAAAATTTTTGCTGTTTTGAAAAAAATAATACTTATCAAGGGAATGAAAGATATTTCAAAAAAGAATTCAAAGTAGGAAAAAAAAAGTATTGATATGGGAAAAATAAACACAATTTTGTTTTTAATTGTTGGATGACATATCCATTGTAAGCGCTTGAACAATCCATGGATCAGCTTTCGAGCCTTCTTTAAATTCATCTCTTGTTAATTTTCCATCAAAATTCTTGTCCATATTTGTGAATATTTTCTCAACACGTTTTTGTGGTGTATCCTCATCTTTAGGTAATTCCAACATATTTCCAATCATACTATAAATCGCATCAACAATATTTGCCATCTCGTCTTTTGTAATGAAACCATCTTTATCCACATCATAAAGTGAAAATGCCCCTGAAAAAAAACTATTTGTTGGGTTCTTTTTTCAGGAAGTGGAAAACATACAATCCAATTTTTCATCAAGAGTTCCTCTCGAAGTGATGGATAACGCAGCTATAAATTCTTTGAATGAAATATGGCCATCTTGATTATCATCAAAGACATTAAAGACAAAAGCGGCGAATTTTGAAGGATCGCCATTTGGGAAAAATTGTTTGTAAATTCCTTGAAACTCTTCCATTCGAAGTTCCCCCGATGGACAATCACGAACAAAATCTTTATACCATTTTTTCAATTCTTTCCGGCTGACTGCAAAAGTTCTCATGTTCAATTCAAAGCACACAAAAATGAGAAAAAAATATAATAAATAACTCACAGTAAGTGGTTTGTTCAAGTTCAATGGCTTCATCCGGTGACAATTTCTTGTTGGCCTTTTTCTTTTTTGGAGATTGAGGTTTGCTCTGATTTTTTCCCATCCGTTAGAGCACACTGAAAAAAGGAAAAATATATATAAACTTTTTGTTTTTTTTTAAAGAAAATTGTGGAAAAAGCATGAGAAAATAAACAATTAATTATGAAAACAGAAGCTCATGTTAAAAAAAACTCCGAGCAACTGCTATCTAGTAAAGGTCATACACCATAAAAAGAATAAACAAAAACATTATTCTCTCTTGAAAAAAAAATCTGGTAGAGGAGAAAAAATTGCTCATCTTTTCTTGTAAATTGGATTTTATTATAAATTGAATGTCAACAAAAAAGAAAAAAGATTTTTTTTTTCGAAACTCTATCATTATAAAGTATTCAAGCAAAAAACACAAATCCATCTAATTGAAAGCTGATAATCCAATCGTATATATGAAAAATATGGGAGGGGATAAAGAATATCGGGGCAAAATTGATACAAATTTTGTATTTGAAAAGACAAAAAATGTATATTTTCTTGGATTTTCTGAGTATTTTATATAGTGAATCATAAAAAAACTGAACTATACGGTTTTTTTTTGGATTTTTTTCAAAATATCAAGAGAGGAAACATGTAATTGAACAATGTAAACTGAAAAATAAAAAAATAAAACTAATCTTTCGGTTGAATAAACATGAGAAAAGAAAATTGGTATATTTTCAGAATAATCATTGATGTGCTCGAAAAAAGATTAGCTGGATTTGATGACTAATTATGACATTTGGCACATTTGGAAAATAGTACGAAAAAGTTTTCTTCGTTTTTTATTGGATTTTTCAATAAAATGAAATTATCAACAACCAACAAAAAACAAAGAAAACAGAAAAAATTGAGACGCTAGAAAACATGCTTTACTGAAGATAATTTTACTCTAGGGGTTCGGTCTTTTTATCAAAATTGTTAATAGTCTCAAAGTGTTCTTTCCCAAAAACATGTTGTTTTTCAAGGAAGAAAAAAGTTTTGAAGATTCTGGTAACCATAGCAATTGATTTTGATTTACATTTAATAAATATAAAAATAAAAATACGAATATGAAAAAAAACCCAACAAATCCAAGAACATATATTTCTCACGGATAGAAAATGGAGCCAAAATAACATCTGGAAGCGGAATTGGAAAACGAACGAAACGCAAAAAAAAATTGTGGGAAAGACATATGTTTTTGACTTATTGGAACAATATGGAACAGTCAATAAAAATTTTGGGAATGTTTCCGGATAAAGTTGAGAAGAGATTATTTGCTTACTCCCGCATATTGTAAATATTTCATTTTGAAATCTGGTTCAGAGATAGCTTGCTTGTAGAAAAACTGAGTGGGAGGGTGGAATAAAAAAAAAAGAGATGAACAAATGTTGCTCTTAATTTGATTTTTGTTCGATAGATTAGTCCGATCAACTATACTATAATGTAATGGGATTGTTTTTGTTGGAGGATTGGTTGTTGGTCACAAATTAATCATATAAATGTTGATTTCTAATTAATCAAAAATCAAGGGATATCCAATTTGTCCTAACGTTACAATTTTTCTAAAATTGTTTTGTTATATCAAAACAAATTTCACATGAATGACTTTAGCATTGAATAAAATGGCTTCAAAAGTTATAAAAATTCTAAAAACTTTGAATAATTTTTAAAGAATTTGACTCACAAAAATATCGAAGATCTAAAAAAATTTCAAACCCCAAAATAAAACTTAAAAACCGTAAATCATTTTTCCAAATCCAAATCTACCTGTTTAAACTAGAAACACCTAAACTCACATTCAGCAAAAATATCACATGTTATAAGAAAAAAGCATCTGCTAGTTTTAAAAATATCGTTTCAAAGACTAACTTTGTGCTCTGCAGTTCCTCCGCCTATTCATTTTTTTGTTGAGAAAAAAAAATGTTTTTCTCGATTCTGTTCAAAGACAGATATCAGTTATAAAAAAAATGAAAAAAAAAACAAGTCAAAAACCAATAATTTTTATGAGGTGTGAGTAAAATTTGATCAATGAGGGCACTCATTTTAATTATCCAATTAAAATTGAGAAATGAAAGAGCGGAAGGTTTTTTGTGAGAATAAAAAAGTGAGAGAAAAATGAGAAACAAAAAATATGCTTTGAGCAGTTGTCAAACTATCATCAATCTATATGTTTAACACCAAATGGATTTTATGAAACAAAAATAACACATGGATTATTTTAATTTAATTTATTTTATTATGCGTCTATTCATTTGCGAAAAAACCGAAAAAAATGTATTTTTTTACAATTTTTTCTATTCACCAAAATGCACGAAATAAATGTCAATCGTGACGAGACCCACACACATTTCAAGGAGAAAAATATGCGAGAAAAAAAACAAGAAATGAAATTTTCGAAAGCATGCATTTTTCACACTCGTTGCCTTGAAATGAGTGTGGGTCTCGTCACGATTGCATGTATTTCGCGACAATTTGTGATTTTGGTGGATAGAAAAATATTGTAAAAAAATACATTTTTTTCGTGCTTTTTTGCAAATGAATAGATGCATTATATAAAAAATCAAGAAAAGAAGATTGAAAAAAAAACAAAATTCTTCGATGGCGATGATGAGATTGAAAAAGAATAAACTGAAGAATGCACTTATGAATATTCGGGACACTATTTAAATAATTATCATGCTAATTATTTCATTTATGACGATCGTGAAACAGCAAAAAAACAGTGTTCCTCAGAATAAAAGAAAACATGTTCATTTCAAAAAAATGCCACATAAAAATATTCATGAAAAGTTTTAGAAAAGTGCAACAGTGAGTTGTTGTTTTCCTGGCTCTGAAAAATCTTAATGCGATTTTTAATGCGTTTTTTTGCTTGTTTGTTATTTTTTGTCTACTCGCATTTGTTATTGAACATATTTGAAAAATCTTTTTTTTTTGAAAAAAAGTGCAGAGAGAATTTTGACAGGGTCAAGTGGGTCTCGGAGCATTTTGAAATTAGAAATATCTTGATGTGAGCAAGGAATGTTAAAATAATATGAACAAAAGATGAGATGAGAAACAAAAAACTTTATGATCAACTATAAAAAAGGTTTGATTAGTTTTTTCCTACGAATTTTGTTTCGGAAGCTTGGTATTTAACAACAAAGAAAAAAAACGAAATTGGAAAAGTGCACATATCCGAAAAAGGTATCCTTTTCTCTCAATTATCTATGGAAGACCACAAATAAATGGATAAAACATTGACAAATTTTTGTGGCTTGTGAGATTATCTATGTAAGAATAAGAAAAGAAAAAAAACACAACTTGAGTTTTTTTTTTCATTTAATTCGTGTGAGAAAAAAGTGCAAAAAAAGAGGAAAAAAGAAAAGAGGAATTAGAAAATAAATTTTCTCATCAAATTTGAATATGTTTCTTTTTTGCTGCTTCTGCTTTTGCATCTCGAAAAAGTCTGAAAACGAAAAAAAAAAAAGAAAAATCTTTCTTCCTGTTGTCTATCTATCTATCTATTTATAAAAGAAGTAGGCAAAAAGGAGGCGGGCGAGAAATTATAAAATAAAACTAATCGAAATGAAATGTCATGAAACAGAATAACGTAAACGTAAATGCAACAAAAATGTAATTTAGGAAATGAGAGTGGTACAAAGGCAGAAAATACATACACACACACACACACACACTTTTGGGAATATCCGAAAAATAGATGGACATAACAGAAAAAAAAGTTGCAATTTATCAAATTGTTGTTCAAAAATCAAATTGATGTCACAGCTTTTGAAAACTATGTTTATTTTTCATTTCTATTTTCTTCCAGACTCGTTGATGGATAGAAAAAAGTTATCAAAATAACGTATGAAGAGGCGGATGATGAAGTGCCTACCATTCCTTGATTTTTTATCAGTTCATTTTTTATGAAACTTGACAAGTGTTCTTTGACTAACAAACCCACACAAAAAAATATCATTGAGAAAAAAAAAACATATTTTTGTCGGTTATCTTGACGTGGGATTTTTTACGGATTTTTTGTGGATAAAAAAATCTGATTGATGTCACAAGATTCCCTGAAATTTGAAGGGAACAGTATGAGCAAATCTTGTTTCAAAATGAATCGTGAATTTAGCTCAAAATGTTCAGGAAATCAATGTGCTTAACAAAGTTATGACCGGAAAATAAACGTCCAAGAAATTATGTTAGTCAATGAGTAAAATGACGTGATTTTACATCTTCAAAATATAAAAAGTTATCACATGTTCATATTTTTCAATACAATTCATAAGACATGTTTTCTCATTTTTATTTCAGAAATGGTGAGTAATTTGATCAGATAAAAGTTGAAATGAAATCATTATTTTCAGCCAAGGAAAAATAACTGGAAAATGTATTACAAATAAATTGAGGACAAGGGATCAGAATTTTATATTCGATCAAACAAAAAAGGAACTGGTTAAAAATACTTGGGATTATATTTAAGCAATTGATTACGTGTTGGAATAAAAATCAGTTGGGGTTGAGTAAATAGGTCCAAAGAACTGCAAAAATTAATATTCTAAAATTGATATTTCAAGGAAAATGATAAAAAAAATAAAGGTTAAGAAATTTCAGTAAAGGGTGAGGTTGTTGCGATATTTGAATATTGATTAGAAAATGTTTAATTGTCATTCAAAGAGTTGAAACGGTTTTGGACATCAATTTTGAACTTCTTGTTATTTTTTGATTTCTTTGGAGTATTTTTAGGAGTGTTGGATCCAGCAGATTCTTCAGCTCTATAAAAATTGCATTTTAAAAGTTTTGAAGTTAATATTTTCAACTTACTTTGACTCGTTTTTGGTATTCTTGAGATTTGCACTGGCAACTTTTAACTCTTCAATTTGCTTACTGAAAATGGAAAATGTTAACTATAAATATATCTCTACAAAAACTTACAGTGCTTCTAAATATGCAGCTCTTGTGACGACTGCTTCGTCCACAGAACTGAAAATATATTTTTAAGAAGCTTTCAGTTAATATGGAACTCACTATTGATTTTCTCTGTTCTCTGGGATTTGAACTTCTGAAGATACAATAACAGCAGAAACACGTTTCATTTCTTCTGCATCAGAAGATTCTGAATAATTCCAATCTGAGCTGGCGCTCAATTCAGTTGTCTTTTCTTCTACATTATCCTTGACAACTTTTTCCGAAGTGTTGGTCAAACTATCTACCGGAACAAGCTCATTTCTCTCTGTAAAAAAAAACAATTACAAAATTATTACAATCAGAACTATGGATACCATTGAATTTGAGTAAGGCAGCATTTGGTCGTTTTGGCAATGTGGAAGACGACTCGCCAACTTCTTCAATACGAAGAGCATGGTTTTTTGTGAAAGAATATGAATATGCTTTCTGATAGAATACTTGATCATCTTGCAACAAGTATTCGGGAATTTTTTTGTTACAGCACGCACAGATGAGTTTTTCCTTTGGTTTTTGTGATGGCTCATCTGAAATGAATTTTTCGTCTGACAGTATTTGGAAAATGTAATGGATCCTTACTTTGCTGTTGTGCTTTTGTATAGAGTGAATTGTTAATGGTATAAATAATTGGTTGTTGTGGGGAATTATTTTGATTAACTGGGCTGCCAGGATTTGTTGGAGATGTTCCTGGAAGAATTACAGAGTTTGATTGAATTTTATGTCATACTTCATCCTGCAGAATTAGGATAAACGTTTATATTTCCAAAGGGACACGCTTCCATCTCATTTTTTTTTAGAATTTGAAGTTTCATCCAAGGAAATATTCAAGTAAATATAAATTTTCTTGTAAAAAACCACCCTGATTGGCACCTTTTTCAATTGAAGATGTGTTGTCCGACATTTTGTTGCTTTGCTTGGAAGATAGCGTTTATGTCTGAAAAACAGATAAAAATATATGAAATTATATGGTCACATGTTTCAAAATAACACAAATAGAAAGAAAAACGCAGGATGCATGGTGCCAAACAGAAGTGTTGCCACAGGCAGACAGAAAAGAAAAAGAAAAAAGTCGGCAGATGTTAACAAAAATAAAGGCTTTTGAATGAAAAACAAAAAACACTGTTTCAATTCATGAATAGAATGTCGACTTGTCGGCTCCAACTTTGATGTTTGAAAGAAAAAAAAAGAAAATTTGGAAGTTGCGCAACAATGTTTTACATCTGACAACCGAAAGGCAGGTTGGACAAGGTTTCAAGGGCCTTCACAAATGTGTCAATGTTTCGAAGCATTTCAAGGTGGTACATATTTAGATGATTCTTGTACCAAGTGGAAGTTTGTTATGACAGAGACACCTGATGGAAGTTGACAGAAATTTGAAGTTATAGTTCTGATAGACACCTTAATTGAAAACTTAGAATCACATTTAGGAACAATTGGATGCTAATCAGTTGAAGGAGTTCTCGTGAAACCAAAAAAGATATTTCAATTCAAAAACACATTAAAATTTTGGAATCATTTATGTAATAATAAAATATAAAAAAACAAAAATTAGCTAAACGAGTTGAAAATGGCTTATTATAAAAAAACCCGTTGGTTGAAGTTGCGGAAAAAATGTTAATTAAATTGATTAAGAGGATAAGAAGAATGAAGCTCCAAATTATATTTCAGGTAGGGTTGGAAAAAATACACGGATACACGCGCTCGATACACGGTACACGAATACACGCAATACACGAATACACGATTACACGCTTTTTTATACATTGCTTGAGAAGAGAAGAAAACCGTGTATTCGTGTACAGTGTATTTGTGTATTGCGTGTATTCGGCTGCGCGTGTATCCGTGTACGCAAATACACTGTTTTTCCAACTCTAATTTCAGGACAATAAAAAAATAAATAAAAGTTGGGAAATGGATTATAGATATAATACAAAATGATAAATAAGAAATGAATACCCATACAAACATAATTGAAAAAATTAGTAAGAATCAGACAATACAGTCATGAAAAGATGATTATTTTCTGGATCGAAATCCATTTCACAGTAAACGTCTTCGCCGAACAACTCATAAATCATTTTTTCAAATACGCTGAAAAGAAAATCAGCGTCGTCTTTATTCTCGAGTTGATCAATAATAAACTGCCAATCCGGAATGCAATGCATGTTTCGGAGATCCTGTAAATCTTAAATTATTTAGATAATGAAGTGAATGTTAGAACTTACAAATACAGAATGAGCACTATCTCTAAATGCATTACAAGTCATTCGAATATTGACATCCGGGACAAATTTCATGACTTCAACAAGGTCATATAGATCGTCAACGTGGTCCGTTATATCGAGAAGGGTTAGTTTTGTTGTTCCTGCCATTCCAGCTTTCCAACACTGAACCTTGGCCTCTACGTGATTCAAGGCAACCATTGATAATTTGTTAAGAACGTGCTCTTCGAGATAAGGACCATAATATTTAATATCACCAATTGAATCACAACATAAAACTTGATCTAATAATTCCACTGGCAAGTTTCCATCTGTTTCGATAGTAAGAATATGACAATTTGCATTTTGAAATACTAATTTCCAATCAGCTAATGGTATAATCTTTGAAATTTTATTGTTCAAAACAGATGAAATTGATAGATCCAGTTGATTATTGTATAATTTGATAGTTGCATTACAAGCAGTCCCAGCACTATTTTGACGTCCCTCATTATCATCAAAATCAAATAAATGGCAAGTATTTTCAAAACTGGGAACATCTTCAAGCTGAAAGATATAATTTCGAATTTCAAAGAAAATTATCACTTGAAATAAAAATGAACTTACCGTTTCTCCAAGGCAATTATTCAGCAAGCATGAAGATTTCGAATCGTCGGTGAAAATATTGATAACATTATTGGTCGCCATAATGACCTAATAATGTTAGTCGTAAAACAAGAAAAAAACAATAATAATGTTGTGCAACGAATGGACAATATTCACGCTCGTTTACTTCCCAAAGGCATATTACTGACTACATACATATGAGGGGGGATATCGATCCCCGGTACCTGCCCTTTGCAGTTCATAAGGTAAATTGGTTCTGTATTTTATTGTTTGCATGTTTTTTTCTTTATTCTGATAAGTCAAAATGAAATAAAAAACTGTGCAACAAACTTATTTTCCAGCTGAAATATGTTTATGAGCAATCTGAAAAAAGAACAATTTCGAAATTTTTCTCTGTTTTATTGTTATCTTTCATCAAGAAATTGTTGACTGTTGAATGATGAATTACTTCTGATTCCGATTACAGAAATAATTGACAGTTTTATGATGCATTTTCAGCTGATGTCATTATTTTTCAGCAATATTAATGTGAGAAATGAAATTAATATTTAAGGCAAACAGTCTTTTGTCATTTTCTTATTCATTTTTTTCAAATGATAAGAATTTTATCTTGTTCAAAGAATTTCTGAAATTTTCTTTGAACATTTGAAGATTTTCTTATTAAAATTATTAGTTTCCGTTTTCAATTTCTCTTGTTATTTTATCTAAATGTGCGATCTTAGAAATAGTTCCACAGTATTATTGAAAATGTTTTCATGAATTCGCGTTCTCTGAATGTTTTATTTCAATCAGAAATGAATCAATAAAATGTCATTCGTTTGAATACAGCTGGGCAAATATTAAAATTTATTTGGATAATTTTTATAGAAGTGTTCACAGTTCCTATCAATTTCAATTTTAAACTGTTAGTTCAAACGATCAGTTTCTTTGATTGATATAGTTGTTTATTGTTTGGATTAACTTCTTATTGATTCTTCCGTTTTTTTCGTGGCCACGTGGTTAACATTTATGAAAAATAATTAATAGTAGTTTTATCATTTATATATTTTTATTGTATTTTACTTTATCATTTTTATCGTAAAAGACGATAAGAAGGTTAAAACTCTTGATTTCTCATTTCTCTTTGTTTTTATACTCACATTTTTGCTAGTAATTTTTAAAGAATGACTCGAACAACTCTATCAGAATTATCAGAAGATGATCAAAAATTGGTGCAACAAGCTAGAGATATTATGGCAAATGCTTATTGGTATGTTTGATGTTTGGAGGCTATTTTTCCTAAATCTCACTATTCGATAAATTTCTAAATTAATCATTTTTTTAGCCAATACAGCAAATTCAAAGTTGGTGCAGCTCTTTTGTGTAAAAATGGTGAAGTAATTGTTGGTGCAAATCACGAAAATGCCTCTTATGGTGCAACTATTTGCGCAGAGAGAAGTGCATTTGCGAATGCACTCACTAAGGGTCACCGTGAATTCACAGCAATCGCTGTTTGTGAGTTTTAGAAAATATTTTCAGTTTTGGATACGCAAATATTTTTTCAGCCACTGAGCTCGAAGATCCTTGTTCACCATGTGGAATTTGTCGTCAATTTCTCATCGAGTTTGGAAAATATAAAGTGAGTATTTCTGTCTATAATTTTCTAAAATAATGTCCGAACCTGAAAAAAACCCTTTTTCATTTTCAGGTAATCCTCAGTTCTTCCACAACTAATGACATTATTTTGACTGATACCTATGAACTTTTGCCATACGCATTCACACCAAAATCATTGGACGATCATGAAAATGAGCAAAAACATCATAAATAATCGCATTTCCTAATAACGGAACAATAAACATTTTCGTATTTTTAGCAGTTAATCGAAAGCTACAAGTTATATTCATTTCAAACATGCGAAGTTCACCATTTACTACAAAAGTAAGACGCAAACAAATTTCTAGGTTCTATATCATTTCTTGTTTCAAGATAAAATTTCTTATGATCATTGTAGTTTGCATTTTATCAGAAACCCTCCCTAAAGTATTGCAAAATATTGAAAAGACACTGTGACTAGATAATCGTGTTAAAAAGTGAAAATTGTTTCTAGGTATGTGTTTTTGAGCGCAATTTATGAAATTCTCGATTGAATTTTCTGACAGAGTGTGGCCAAGTGGAAAAATCGAGTTGGATAATATTTGTTTTCGTATGAAAATAGGAGTTATGTTGGAAAACTCTCTTTAAAAATTTATCTTTTGCGGTATGTAGCACATATTTCAAACAATTTCTGAAATTGTTTTCAGTTTCCTCTTTATCAGTGATTTTATTTGAAATAAATTTATATATGTTCTTATTACCCGAAAACTTTATGTTTGCAGAAAAGAAAACATATCGACGCCAATTAGATATTTTTTGTTATGTTTTTACCGTCTAACAAACGTGTGAAGTTTTTTTTTCTCGAAAACATCTCCTTTATTCAAAAACTTTGTATGATTCAAAATATTCAATGTTTTTTCTTTTTTCCCTTTCCCATTGATTCAGAATCTTATATTAAACAAAAACAGGTGCGAATTGAATAGATGGAAGAAAACAAAAAACACATTGAAAGAAAATATGACCATGTTTGTTCAATTAGTAGTTTCAATTATAACAATGTCATCAGCAAAGAAAAAATATATATGACATTTTGTGGATTATTATTATTAGTAATACTATTATAATAGTAACCTGTCAAAAATAGATATTACTCATAATAATTTGAGGCGAGACCATTGAAGGTCAGATGAATTGTGTGAGATATCGCACATTGGCGAAAACAAAAAGAATGATGATCCCGAAAGAGTGTCGTTTTATTCATCCATCTCAAAAAAAGGAGACAAAAATGAAAATATTCTTAATTGGCTCCAATTTACAGCGGTTCCATTGAACATACGTTCTTTTATGACCTTTATTGAATTATGTACAAAAGAACTATACATTTCAAACGTGTATTGTATGTATAAATATTTGAACACAATGTGCAAATATATGTTAATGTTAGTTTCAAAATGGAGTTAATTAGCAGATGTTGAGTGGGAATAAGATTGAATTAATTAAAACATTCAAAAGAAATGTGATTGATTGATAGAAGTTGATTGGAGTTTCTATTTAGAAAATGTGGATATCGAAGGTCAAATTTTTGAAAATAGCTCGGTTTTTGTTTTGATAGGATTTTTCAAGAGGTTTTTTATAGAGAAAAAAAAATGAAAATTATAGTCGCCTATTATCGTATGGAGTTATGATCTTCAAAAACTTTGAGAATTTTCGAATTCCAAGAATATTTTTTTCTCGAGAATTATTGCTATTTATTTTCAAAACGATTGAAGACTAGATTTTTCGATTGAGAAATGTTTTTTTTTCAAGTTTTGCAGCTAAAAGATTTCCAAGCAAAGACCATTATTACACAATTTTAGTTTTGGTGTCTCCTTCGATGTTCAATTCAGAGCCGATTTCAGATTTTCTGCTCGAAATCTAAAAAAGTGTTCTAAAAATGTTGCCATTTTTTGAAACCAAATTTTTATTTTCAAATTTTCCATTCTCTCTCAATATTGAAACAAAAATCCAACATGACTCACTCGGAAATGATAAAAGCCTTCGATTTTCTTTCAAAATCCTAATATAAATATTATTACAATCCGGTGTCAATTGCCCATAAAAAAGCTACAAAAACGTAATGTGTCGCATTCCTCTCCTTTTTCTGAATCTATTCCCATTCTTTCTGTCCGTATGCAAATTCAAAAACACAATAATGGTTGAAACATACATACAAAAAAGAGAAGAGATCGCGTAAAATAGTATGGCATTGAGGGAAACATTTAGAGAGTATAGACAGAATAGGAGAGTACTAGACACCAAATGGATGGAGGTAAGATGGGCGGCGCTTACGCCTTCTGTATTTTATATATTTTTTCTGTTGTGTCCCTCTACTGTTATATTGATTTTGACATTTCAGTTAGTTAGAGGAACGAGACGAAAAAATAACAATACATATTTGAGAAATAATATTTTTTTTCATTTTTTTCAGAATGAAAAACATTTTTCTATTATTAATTTTCATTGTTTTCCTATTCCAAAATATTCTTGCGAGAAGAGTTCGAACCGAACAAGATGAAGCAAAATATCTTGAAGATGTAAGTTTTTATTTTCCAAAAAAAACTCTCTGTAATTGTTATGAAATGTGACATGCGTGTATTTATTTCGAAAAAAAACTGACAAACATTATAACTCTGACATAGGAGAGAAACCAGTTTTCGAGCGTCAGTAACTATGCCGAAAGGTCATTTTTATTACGTTCCAGTTGAAAGCACGAGAGTTACAACAGTTTGAAGATGAACAACGAATGCAATCTGAAAAAAGGAATTCGCGATACAGTAGTGCTGCTCAAAATGCTCAAAGTGGATTGATCAGTAATGGGAGAGCGGAGAGCACAAGTTATAATTTGCCGCCAGAATTGAGACCTCGAGTTGAGAAAACACAGAAGAATGCACCAAGACATGAAGCATTGGTGGCTTCTGGTAAGTATTTTGATTTTTTGGTGGCGTGGGGACGAAAAACTGAATTGTTATCAAAATTATAATTTTTGTTCTTTCTGAAAAAAATAATTTCAGAAATAATCGAATCTTTCCGATCTATTTTTTAATTTTTGAAAAAGAAACAGTGTCTCGTTCAAAAAGGTCTTTTTGATTGCGAATTGTCCAGTAATATAGTAATATTATCATACCTTTTCAAAAAAAAACTACGACAAAAAACTTCGGCAAACATTTTCACATCAAACACTTTTTTTATGTACAATAAATGACTCATATTCAGATTCAAATGCTGCTGTCGATGAGTTTGGTGATGACGAAAACTGGTGCTACGCATGTGTCACACCAATTGATCACTTGAAACCACAACTACGAAAATCGATCAGAAGTTTGTTTGATATGAGGAGAACATCTTTTCCACATGGTAAAAAATGTATTCATATACAAAAGTAATCAATAGTTTTTCTTTCAGAATATGTCACACCGGAATGTTTATCAGGAAGAAATTTGACAGCTTTGAAGAAAAAGAAATGTTCATATAAATATTGTCAATCACTATCAATCATTGATCGTAATTCGGCAGCATCTTTTGTTGTTCGAGGATGCGCTGAAAATTTCGGAGCAATTGATCCAAAAGTTATGGAATCCAAAGAAGATTATTCATGCGATATGTGAGTTTTTCATTATTTCGAAAAACGTAGAAAAAACATTTTTAGGCTTCATGAAAAACTGGAGATCAAAGAATGCATATGTAAAAACGCAAAATATTGTAACGCTGGCTGGCGAAAACGTAGTGCAGCATCTGCAGTGAATTTACACATGTTCTTCACAGCTGCACAGTTCATCGTATTCTATTGGTTATATCAATAGATCAATGATTTTCTCTTAATGATCCTTTAAACCCCTTCCTCAAACTTCGGGTAGTTAGTAGAATAGTCTTTTTTTGCTCATTGAATACTTATTATTTATATTTTTGATATTTCAACTAATAAATACAGGACTTTAAAAAGCAACAGTTTTATTTTGAAATAAAAATAAATTACAAGCGAACCGGATAAAATTAACTTATTAATAGCTGTAATTATTAAAAATTGATTACATAAATCAGGAGACATTAATTATATCATAAAGAAAAAGAATTTGTTACTCGTTTTTGTAGCAAGTACCGCCATGTGGCCAATAACCCGAACAACATTCTGCATATTCTTGCTGAAAAATAATATTTAATGAAAGAATATTTTCAATTCACACTGAAACTTACGAAATAAGCATCATTTGATCCTTCGGATGGTTTCTTGTATTCCATTTCAATTGTCAACAGACCGGTTGGGCAATTATATATGAATTTCTTCTCGCAGATTCGAGTTGCAGTTTGACGTTTGACACGACGAATCGAAGAACTGACAGCAAATGCAGAAGTATTGGCATTTTCAGTTGCGTAGAATGGGGCTCTTTGAGAAACGCGAGGAAGTGGGAGCATGTTTGCTGGAAATAATTTTTTAAACTGAAGAATAAACTTTGAACACATTTTGCATGTTCTAAAATCTATTCTTGAAAATTGGTATCAAAATTTGCAATTTCAAAAAAAGTCTTGGTACTTTACAAAGTCTAGATTGTTGTCTGCATGGTCAAGTTAGTACAATATTCTAATACATGTTATCAAAAGCCCTTATAAATAACTTGTTGATAAATAATGGTTTACGTTCAAAGATCTACTTTCTCTTTAATATGATAATAAGTTAACCACGCTGACAACGATAGAGATCATAAATGTTTGTTTTTGTTGTGTTGAGTGAAATAGTTTGGGCACTCTTAAAAATCCAAACTCACGACTGGACACTCCAGACTGCTTCAACTTTGGATTGAGATAATTGTTAGATCCGAATGAAAGTTTTGAGAGAAGATCACATGGAAGAAGAAGTCGACCATTACAAATCATTCCTTTCTTTGGTTTTGCGCATGTTTGAGTGTTGCAAGGCTCCGATACGATATTTTCTCCACTGAAAAATATCTACGAAGTGATAATCAAATTGATGTACTTACGGGCAATTTTGATTTCCACCATAACAGGCGCGAGCTCTAGTCCGAACACCGCAGCCACCGCAAGGTTGAGAACAGGCGGACCATTGACCCCAACCTCCCCAACTGGCGACTGAGGTTGTGGTTGTTGGAGGCTGTGTAGTTGTCTTAAAATATAACTTTTAATGAAAATTCCAGGTTTTTTTAGTTGAAAATAAAATGAAAATCATAAAAACATAAAAGCTGAAAACTGAAAAGTGTCGAGTTAGAATTGAAACGGAAAATGTTAGACATAGAAAAAAGGATATCTCACGATAGAGGATAGTTCATGCAATGGTGCTTTTGATGGATCTTCAACAGTCCAAATGGATCCATCGGGTGTGTAAATTTTTGTGCGTTCCCAGTGAATCCAACCATTTTTGGTGCGTGTCCAATATGGTCTCGATGTTCGTGTCTGTTTTCTTACCGTTGTCGTAGTTGTTGTGGTTGTGGTTGTTGGTTGAGTTATAGCAACTGTGGTTGGTGCAATTGTTTGTGGATTTCCACCAACTTAATTGAAATAAAGTTTAGTATTTTTTTAATATTCACTCAAAATAATGTACCTGCTCTATAATTCAAATTGAAACCTCTCCATCCGTATGGTGCAGCAGAATCACTTTTATAAATCACAAGAACGTCATCGTTTTCCGATTTGATGGTGGCTGGAACATCACAGCAAATTCTCGCACCGGCTGATGTCTTCTGACTCAACCATTTAACTTCAACGTAGCTTGTGCAAGGATCAGAACATTGGAAGTTTACAGAGTCAAAGTTGATTTCGATCAGGCCTCCAGGATTCTGAAATTTAATAAACTTGAGTAGTGAATTTTTTTGTAACAACCAAGTTCATGAAGTTCATATCATGATTATTTTTTAAATTTACACGTTTTCTAACTTACTCTAATTCTCCAAACACAATGCGAATCCGGTGTGACCATTCCACTTTTGATAGTTTTGTACGAGCTTCCAGCAACCAAATCTCCACCGCAAGAAGTATATTCAACATTTTCACAATATGTTCCACCATAACCATTTGGACATCTACATTTTGAACAATTATTTGGATCTGTGTATCCTTCATTGATGCATGGAAGTTTTCTTGGGCAAACATCTTGACAATATCTTGTATTGATCATTTTTGCATCTTTGAATGACAACCCTTCACGTTGTCCAAGAGTATTTTGATATCTCGCGTCATTTGTCAAAATTGTGTTACTACAAATTGTTTTTTTCTATATGCCGATATTCTATAAAAAAGTTTACCTAACCCAATCAAAAGCGAAAGCTTTTGACCCATAGTGCATAACTGATCCTAAATCATACGGTTGTCCCAAATTATCACTGTTCTGCGGGGTTCTTTTGGCAAAGTTTCCTTCAGTTCCTCTAGTAATTTTTGAATTATCAATGGATATGTAATTATCTCGATCATCTCTTGATTGTTCGTGCCACAAACCCAAAGCATGTAAAGTTTCATGAGAAACAATTCCCATCTAAATACATTTTAAAAATAATTTCCTATGAAAAAAAACTGCTCACATTTTCACAACCATATCCAATTGAAACCAATTGTCTACCTCCAATTCTTCCAACATTTGACCAACATCCATTTCCTCTGTAGTATCTTAAACCATCACGATCTCCTCCATTTTCCTTGAATCTGAAGCAGACATTTGATTCGACGTGTTTGATAGCTTTTCTAATCAAATCTCTCCATGAATCTTCTCCTCCGTAAAATTCATATGAAATTGTTAGGTTTGGCCAGAAATTACGAGGATCCAAGTGGGCTTGACGTCTAGCGCGGGAGGCTTTTGGGGAATCTGAAATATTTAAAATAAGTATTTCATGATGTCTCAGAATGTTCTATAGGTTTAAACCAAGTTTGTTTCTAGCTCACTTGATTCTGATAAAAGTGCTTCAGCTTGTGGAAGTGTCAGAATGATATCATTTTCGAAAACCTCATTCCAAAGTTTTCTATTGACTGTGACTTCACTCTTATCGTTCTTGATTGATTTGTCCATATTTTCAGCTACAGCTTGAATTGCTACCGGATCCTAAAAAACAATATTTTCAGAAAACCTTTCTCTTCGGCAGAAAAATTTGAGAACTTACATAATCATGTCCAAATTTTTTAGCATGTCTTCTATAAAATGCCGTGAGTAATTCTTTGACTTCAGCATAATCGCTAACAACATCATTTGCAATATAAGAAGCACTAAACGCTAATTGAACAAACCCGAAAAATATGAGCGTTTTGAGACAAGTTTGATGATGCATTTCGAGAAAAACCCTGTGAGAGGAAACTTTATCCGATCAATCATCAAATTGTATCCGCATTATCAAGAAAAAAATTGGGTATGGAAAAGAAAGCAACAAAAAAAAACAAAGCTAATGTTACAAATACGATATGACATTTTGAAACGGTTTTTATAGATATATTGTGGTGTCTCGAGGAAAAGCGCCGCCTTTCGATATTTTTCAGAGATGGATATCTCGGTTTTGACCGATAATTTGAAACTATCGGTATGTTGTCATCTCATCAAATTAATTCGAAAAGGATGTTCTGAGGCGGAAGAAAAAAGTGTTTCAAAGTGGTTTTTCTGTTTGAGATGTTTTTTTTTCAACTTTTTTTTGGCTATTAGCCACGGGAGATAATGTGAACTTTTCTAGTTTGATGATTGGTTTTATTGCGGTTCAAACAAGAAACATACACATTCTTGATCAAGGTGAGAGAATACACACTTTTTTCAAGTTGGAAATGGGAAAATAAATTGTTTATAGAATGAGATAACAACCTGAATCTATTAGAAATGGAAATACTAGAAAAAATATTCGGGGAAAAAAGTTTGGGTTTTTGAATTCTGTAAGGAATCCTGTTCAGTTTGGGGTTTTCAGAGAAAATATAGGTTGTTGTAAAGAATTTCATTCAAAAAAAAAATTATTTCAAATTTAATAGTCGGTTTTTTTCTCAAGAAAACTTTTGTTTTTCAAAAATGAATTCAAAAAAAATGTAATGCTCAAACCCTGAAATCTGAATTTCTCAATCTTCCAAAAACAATTTTTGAAAGGGTTTCCTGGAATTCGAAGCTTTACCAATTGAGAATAAGAAATTCGAAAAATTTTTTTTGAAAAATAATAATTTTTTTTATTATGTCTAATTAACAGATTAAAAAAACTAGTTATTCGGCTGAATTTCAACAGATCTCAAGTATGGGACCATTTTTTCCAGAGACATCATTTCTCAGACTCTCCAATCCTAAATATTTCGAAGAAAGTTGTAATCCCATGTTTTTTTTCGCTTTCTACAAGTTCGAGAAAAGTGTGAAAGGCGAAATGAGGCGGAACAGTGTAAAGATACAGGTCAAAACTATTTGAAAAACGACGACAAAAATAGAGAAAAGTCGGATAAATAGCATCATTTATGTAGAAAATAAGAAGAAAAAATGAATACGACCGCCTACTGAGCTGAATGTTGCTTATATAGTGTTATCCATGGCCGCTACAAAAGTATGAATAACCGCCCCTTCGGCTAATCTTGAACATAAGATCAGCATCAAAAATAAGTGAGGAGATACACAAATACAAAAGTGTGCACTTTTCAGATCACTGTTTCTTTTGTAAAAAGGCGACAAAACAGATCCAAATCTTTTGGGATAATTCGAATTAGTAGGTGTCACAAAAGGAGTGTGCGATTGACACCTAAAAAAAGGTGCGAATAAAAAACAGCTTGCCTAATTCGACAAGTGCAAATATACTTTTAATCTATCTTGACTTGGACTCTCAAACATCACCAAAAAAACATTTGGAATATCTTGGATTACTGTAGATCAAATATTTTTTCTTCAAGGTGGAGGAAAAATCCTTGAACTATGTTATGTTTCTTTTGATATTGTTCACTCACGCAGAAATATACAATATGTCCAATTTTAGTTGAATATTTTATCTCTACATTTTTGTTTTCTTATTTTTTCTCTGTGATGCACTTTTATTGGGTCAGCTGGATGAATCATATCAATTAAACCACAACTTCCTCATTCGATTTTATTTTATTCTACCCTTAAAGTGCACTGTAAACATAAATTAACACAAAAATACACTGCTATGAAACCATTTATTTGGGTCAATGTGTTCTAGCGTGAAATGTGTTTTGTGTTTGTTCTTGTAGTTCATACAGAGTTTGTCCAATGAAACTACCGTAATTGATATGATATGATAACTTTTACGTGTGAACGAATTCTTTAATTTATAGCTGTTTTTTATGTATGGGTTGTTTGCATGACTGACAAATGGATTTTGATTTGATGTGACAGTTCAAACGGTTTTGATAATGAAGCTAATTGCGAAAGATCAACATTCGTGTAGGTATAAACGAGATTCATTCAAGTCCAGACTTTTCACAAAAAAACTTTTTTTTTGTTGATTCTCTAATTGGGAAATTTAATGATAAGTTCTAAAATGAACTATGATTTATCACAACAACAACATGTATGGTTGGTTCGAAAAATTGAATTGATTTTTTGATTGTTTGACGCGAGTTGTATAATTAAAATTGTACTCATAACTACTGCGCGTGCTCTGTGTACTGTGGCTTTAAGAAAAAACTTCAAAGATGTAAAACTTGAATAAAAAATTCACAAGTAGGCTCTTTACACATATTCGAATCTGTTTCTGAAAATTGAGGAACTTCAAATTTTTATGACCAAACTTTTCATGGTTTTTAGATTCTATTTGAATCCAGTATACAACTTTTTCATATTCAAGAATGCAAGTATCGATTTTTCTTTATTTAAATTGATTCAACTGATCCGAAACATTTCACACCTAAAACAATCACATTATTTTTAATTGTGACAAACTGTGATACAAAAGTTATGTTCTAACCTGAAAATTCACATTTCAAACTTCTTGCAAAAGTTCAAATCTTCCTCCCACATTGACTGAATTCAAAAGCCGAAATCTGGAATATTCAAAATTGTTAGAGTTTAATCCGCCCTTTAAGAGCTCTGCATTTCTCTTCAAATTTTGAAAAACTAGTTCTTACAGGCTTAACTTTTAATCATATTACAGAACTTCACTAATTTATTAGACGCCCATAACAAAACAAAAGTTCCGTGTTCCTCTATTATTTTTTGTTTTTTTTTCAAGTTCACATGAACTTCTTCGTTTCTTTCCTGATCTCGCCTCATCTTCATTTTTTTGTCCAACTTCCGAGCGATATTTGTAACATATCAGAGCACACAAGAATGAATGAACTCTTATATTTAGCAAAAGTTTTCTTACACAACAATTTTGCAGACCACCCATTTGTCTACCAACTGTTCCAGACACTCAAAAAAGCAAAAATCTCCTAGACAACTTTTTATTTTTTAGATAACAAATCTATTGGCCATCATACCGTACTCTTCTTCGTGTCTTCTAAACTAAACCACTCTTCTCATTAGGGTCACAATTTCCTTGTTTTGTCCTTTAGTTCTTCTTCTGGTTCAATTGATTCTCGAAAAAACCTCGGTTTGGTTTAAATAAATCGCCGAGAAATGTCGAGGGACAAATGTTGAATGAAAAACACCATTTATTTCCTGTTAGTTTTGTATTGATTGGAATAGAACCATAATAAACATACTCTGTTAAATATTTAGATTATGAAAAAAAAGAAGAAGAAGAAGAAAGAGAAGAAAAATAAACTTTGCAGGTATATAAAAGCATAACGCAAATCAATGAGAAGGTTAATTATCACATTTTTATTCCATAACTTCATACTCGTGTAATTTCAAACCTTTGAGATTTGACTCAAGCGATTCGACACCCATTCCGATTGCTTCATCACGAACATCAGCGTACAAAGCCGAAGAGCTGAAAGAAAATATTAGGAATGTTTGAAGCAGATTAGAATTGTGATAACTTACAGATATCTTTCTCCAAAACTTGGCAAAACTGTAACAATAAGTTTTCCAGCCATTTCCGGTCTCGCGGCAAGTTGTAAAGAAGCAGCAACATTTGCGCCAGATGAGATTCCGCAAAGAATTCCTTCTTCAAAAGCTAAACGCTTTGCCATAACAATAGCTTCGTCGGAATGAATACGAATAACATCTTCGTAGATTTTTGTGTCCAAAACAGCCGGAGCAAAACCGGCACCAATTCCTGCAAAAAAATAAAATCCGCATGGAAGCCGAGAATTCCACCACCAAATAAATAATTTATTTTCTCCTTTTCACTATAAATAAAACATGTGAACTAGTTATCAGAAAAAATTGAACCTTTTTTGATAAATTATTTATTCCCACGTCTATTCAAAGTTCATTTTATAGTTCTATTCGTGTTCTCTGCTCTTTTATCAATTTTCAAACATTCTCATTATTTATGATTCATATTTTCCCCATTTTGCCTTTTACTGAAAAAAAAGACAACCTTTAATTTTCACCATTTACATTGCAGAACTCAATTTGATCTTTGATCCGTATGTAATCCAATTAGAAAAAAAAACACAAACCTTGAATCTTATGTGGTCCTGCAGGATTTCCACTCAAAATAGCTGATTCTTCTGGTTCTACAGCAAAAACTCTAACTCCTGGTTTTGTTTCTTGAAGGTATTTTCCAACTCCAGTTATAGTTCCGCCAGTTCCGATTCCAAAAACAACAACATCAACTTTTCCTTTGGTTTGTTTCCAAATTTCCGGTCCAGTTGTGTGATAATGAACCAATGGATTGTTCAAGTTATCGAATTGAGCGAGGATAACCGAGTTTGGCAGATTTTTTTGCAGCTCAGTGGCTCTTTCAATGGCACCCTTCATGCCCTTTGCAGGGTCGGTGAGCACAACTTCAGCTCCATAAGCTTTCAATAATGTTCTCTGGAAAATTGTGGGTTGGATAGGTTGAAAAAAATGAAACTCACTCTTTCAACAGACATCGAAGCGGGCATAGTTAAAATACATCTGTAACCACGTGCCGCGGAAACGAAAGCCAAAGCGATTCCAGTATTTCCAGATGTTGGTTCAATGATAGTAGTTACCCCAGGAATTAGCTAAAGTTGAGTTGATTTTATAAGGGGTTGGTAAGAAAGTTAGAACAACCCTAGAACAGTAATATGACTTTTTGGAAAGTCTTCAATTTCAGTGGAAAAGTTTGAAAAACAAGTTACTAGGAATACTAAACTTCCTGTTTACTGACCTTTCCCTCCTTTTCGGCTGCTTGAACCATGGCCAATCCAATTCTGTCTTTCACTGATCCAGCGGGTGACATATATTCGACTTTTGCAGCTGAAAACAAAAAGTTTTGAAAAAAAGTTCTCATCAGAATGAATTTATGTTTAAATTAACATTCACAGTTTCAGGAATATGAGATTTCAAGTTCAACACAGTTTTAGGAAATCATACAATTCATACGGGGATTTTAAATCACAGCTTAATTGATCTCAAGGTTTCGAGCAGGTTGAATAACTTTCTGGGGTTTTTCTATTTTTACCCACATTTCCCAGTAAACAAACAAAGAAAATCTCTATTCTGAATTTGAACTTACCAACTTTTCCTGGAAGCCCTTGCGAAAGCTTATTCAAATACACCATTGGCGTATTTCCAATAAGTGCAGTTGCATCATGCCCAATTGAATCACGATCCGCCATTTGCTGAAAGAATGAGAGAAGTCACGAGGAAGGACAGAATATATGCAACACTGATAAGAAACTATGTGTGTTTTTTCGTGTTTGATATTTGCGAGAAAATGGCAAGGAAGTTTTTTCAGTGAAAAAATATTTCGAACATTTTGAAGAGAAAAAATATTGATGAAAATGAAAATGATAAACAAATTATATCTTATTTATTTGTAATATGCGAACGAACGATGAGAGAATGATTGATTTTTTTAAATAAAGGGTCATTTATATTTGAAAATGTTATTCTTTGAAATATTTGGAGAATTTTTTGAAGAAAAAATTCATAAGTGAGAAAGGCAAAGATGTGACAAAAGATTGGAGAAAAAAAACCGGTTTGAAGAAACTTAGAAGCACCAAAAATGACACAAGTTATTGAGGATTAAAGAATGAAACAATACACACTAATCTCATCAAAATATCATAAATCAATTGTTTTTTTCTGATTTACTGATTAACATTTTTTTCAAAAAAAAATTACAAATAAATAAGAAGTAAAGAATGAAAAGAGGAGAAAACATACTTGGCTGCATTTTTTCTTTGCCTGCCATGTTTTTCATTCATTCACAGGGTCGTGCGGACATTTCAAAAAAAGTTGTTTGTTTCTCTGTTCTCTCTCAATTTCGGCACACTATTTCGTCTAGTGTTGGTGTAGAGTTTTCTCCCGCTCGAGAGTTTTTTGTTCTGGATAATTTTTTTGCTATTTTTTTTTTGAAATTTTTTCTAATTAGTTTTTTCGAGAATATATCATGCAATTAAAAGATATTTTTAGAAAACCGGCTGCTTTTGCTAAAAATCTCACTTTGGTCAAAAAGTAGTGTGGGTCTTATAAACTGTGGGTCCTAAAAATATAAAGGGAAGTACACTTCACACAATGCAATTTGCATTAATTTTCCAGCCGGTTCCAAAAAATATTTAACTTCCGAATAAATTGAGAATCAAAACACAGTTTCGTAAACAGCTGAAATTTTAGCACAGTTTTTATTTAAATAAAATGACGTGATGAGTTTTTGTGACTAGAAATTGCTAGAATACATTTATTGAGAAAAAACTCACCTTGCGTGCTTCTACTTCTGAATACATTTTTCTTCTTCTTCTTCTCAAATAAACCACTCCGTTTGAATTTCTAAAATCTGAAAATGCAGAAACAATTTAAAAATATATAAGACGCTTATATTTATGTATCATCCAGCTAATAATAAAATATGGCTCAATATTTTAGCGTTTAATATAAATAAATGGTGACAAAGACCACATAATTGTTTATTACCACATTATAAGGGCAACACAACAAATCAAAAGATCAAATATAATTGAGATGTGGGAAACTAGCGGTATTTGAATATAAAAGCAAGGTTTAATCCGCAGTCCTTCTCCAGATGTTGTTTAAAATGGTCATTAAATGGATTCGTACTACATAGTTTTGAATGTGAACAGATTTTCATTTAACATCGGTTGAATATCATAAAAAGAAGAAGAAGAATCTGCAAAAAATAAAAGAAAATATCTATGAACAAATCATTTCTGACATAATTCATCTTTTAGACATCACAACTGATCAATTCGATTTATCAATATTTTCTGTATATGTTTGCTGCAACTTTCCAATGTTTTGTTGAAGTTCCTGGAAATTTAGCTTTATCTCAATTTTTATCAAATTTAATTTTATGGAACAAAAACATTTCGGTTTTTCATTACGCTTTTTCTAATATTTTTTATACAAAAATTGAACATTGAACCTTTCATGTTAAATTTCTGGATACTAGAAAACTGGAATTTGATTTTGAATAGTCACAAAGGCAGTGGAAACAATTAGAACCTTGCTATATTAGAAATAATTTTGAATCGACGCGTTTCAGACCTTTTGAAATTCATTTGAGCATCAAAAGGTTGAAAATCGTTTTTTGTTTGAAAAATTGAGATTTCGTATCCAATGAATTTCACATTTTGAAAAAAACTTATACATTTTTTTCAAAAAAAAAAACCTCTCCCCAAGTCATATTCAAGATCTTTATAGAAAATAAATTAACTAGTTGTGAATTTAAAATTTTCTTGTAGGATAAAAAAACCTAAATTTCTTCATCGGTTTTGGTTTTCAAAGGTCACTGATCATGTTTCATTTTTATAATCTTTTTTTTGGTTTTTTATCGAGTATCTGTTTCTTTTTCAATTTGAGAATAGAACGTGTACTCATTTAAATTTTTATCAAAACATTCTTTCATATATTCCAGCAAAAACCATTTTTCCTAGTGTTCATTATATCTTTTGTATATAGTTTCATGTAAACCAAAATCAAATTTCAACCATTTTTCATAATTGTTTCATGCCTCTTTTTATTTTTGCCAATTACCCAACACTTTTTCCTTAACTTATTCACAATTTTCAATTTTATTTCCCATCATCTTTTCCACTAATGATTCCAAATAATTTTTGCGTTGAGAGTAGAGTAGTAATTGAGAAAAAAAAAAGAAAAAGAAGCGCACAGGTCCAACTGGCTTCTAATCGATTGTTGTTCGCTAGAGCGTGTATGCAACATACATTTTCTACAACGCGTCTCATTTTCTTTTTTATTCCTTTTTCTCGGTTTTTTATCTTTCTTTTTGTTTCATTCAATCTTTTATTAATTTCAGGTTTAAATTTAAGTTCATCAATGAATTGATAAAATTATTCAACATATTCTGCTCTGCTTTTTGGTCTCATTCGTCATTTTATAACATGAAAACTTATCATTTTATTTTATTATTTCTTGGAACCGTATTATGTCATGATTTGAATATTGAAGAGCTTCGGTGAGTTTCATTTTCTGAATATTGATATGTTAACAATAAGGATTTTCCAGGCTCGAAGCTTATGAGATGTTTATGCACGGGTACAATTCATATATGAATTATGCGTTTCCAGCAGATGAATTGATGCCGTTATCATGTAAAGGAAGAGTAAGAGGAGTTACTCCATCAAGAGGAGATGTTGATGATAGTCTTGGAAAGTGAGTTGTTATTGTTTGTTTTCCTGTTTTCAGAGAATTTATATACATAAATTATTCCAGTTTTTCTTTGACATTACTCGACACTCTTGATACACTTGTCGTGATGAATGAGTTCGATGAATTTGAGAGAGCTGTAAATCTAGTCATTCAAAACGTGAGATTTGATTCTGATCTGATTGTTAGCGTTTTCGAAACAAATATAAGAGTCCTAGGTGGATTAATATCAGGTAAGCTGGTTTTACAAGAAAATGTGAGAATAATGTTGAATTTTGCAGCTCATATAATGGCGGAACAAGTGAAACTAAAATTCCCAGAACGATTGCAGAATTATAATAAAGATTTATTAAAAATGGCCATCGAAGTTGGAAATAGGTTACTTCCAGCGTTCAATACAACATCAGGCCTACCATACAGTCGGGTTAGTTATTTTCTCATTCAATCTATTTTTATGACGACTACAGACAACCAATGTTGCATTTTTTCAGATAAATCTAAAATTCGGAATGCTCGAACATTTGAAACGGCAAAAAGATACCTGCACAGCATGTGGTGGAACAATGTTATTAGAAATGGCAGCACTTTCGAGATTATCTGGTGATCCTATTTATGAGAAAAAAGCAAGAAAAGCTATGGATTTTCTATGGCAACAAAGACACAGATCGTCTGATTTGATGGGAACTGTTTTGAATGTTCATTCTGGTGATTGGGTGCGACGAGAAAGTGGAATTGGTGCTGGAATCGATTCGTATTATGAATATTGTTTGAAAGCGTATATTTTGTTGGGAGATATCAATTATTTGGAGAGATTCAATAAGGTAATTTTTTGAAGGGTTTTAGTTCAAAATCTATAATTCTGTAATTTTTCTGAATTTGACTTGATAGTCGCTTTTCTGAAATTTAAAAATTTTTTTAAAAGAAAAATTGCCTGGTATTTTTACTTGATTATTGGATTTTTTATCCAACAAACCTTACATTTCTTCAACTAACTTTACCTTTTCAGCATTATGATGCAATCATGCGATATGTTAACAAGGGACCATTATTTGTTGATGTTCATATGCATCGACCAACTGTTTCAACGCGAGGATATATGGATTCACTTCTAGCATTTTGGCCAGGTCTTCAAGTTTTGAAAGGAGATGTGAAAGAGGCTATTGAAATGCATGAAATGCTCTTCCAAGTCATTCAAAGGCACAAATTCCTTCCTGAAGCCTTCACACACGATTTTCAAGTTCATTGGGCTGAACATCCATTGAGGCCAGAATTCGTTGAAAGCACCTATTTCTTATATCGAGCTACCAAAGATCCACATTATTTAGAAGTTGCCAAGCAGGTTCGTTTTAAATTGACAAAAAAAATGAAACAAAATAATATGATTTTCAGATGATGGATAGTATCAATGAATATGTTCGAGTACCTTGTGGATTTGCATCACTGAAAGATGTTCGAACAATGAGTAAAGAAGATCAGATGGAATCATTTGTGTTATCTGAGACTTTCAAATATTTATACATGATATTTACTGATCCAAAAGATTTGATTTTCGATCCTGATCACTTTGTATTGACGACAGAAGCGCATTTCTTGCCATTGAGTATGGGAAGAACTCCAGATGTTGATGTAAGTTTATGAAGCTTTATTTATCAGGCAGCTTTTGAGTGGGTTCCGAGAAAATAGAACACCCGTGAATTGTACGCTGTCGATTTTTTTCAAACTCAATTCAAAATAAAACCCTATTTGTCTGGACTTATTCAAACACACATAAAACTCACACCAGTACCATTCTCATATATTCTATTTCAGATTCCGAGAAAAATGATCCTCCGATCGGATGAAAAGCAAAACAAAAATTTCGTTTGCGCAAATCCAATTGATTTCACAAAATTGCCAACAGAACGAGAAGAAGCTCAATTGATTCGTGAGAGAACAAAAATGATGTTGGGAGAGTTGAAAAATTTACAAAATGGACAAACAGTATCAACACCAGTTTGTGAATCACCGTAAGTTGGATTTTCTTTTGAAACGCTGAAAAACTATCTGAATTTATTTTCAGAACTGAGCGATTGAGAGCTTGGGCATTCTCCTCATCAAATCAAAATCACATTAAAGATATAGCAAGAATGGGTATTGAATTAGTAAAACTATCGGATGGTCGAATGCATTTGAGTCACAATCCAGCAAATGTAAGTTATCTTATTGTTTTGATATTATTATTATTATTATTATTTATATTTGAAAACATATGTATGTCTGCGTGCTTCGGGTTTTCAATGATACTATTATTTCCACGCAACACGCAAACTAACTTGCACAACTTTCAGTTTTCATAATTTATTATATTTTTTCAAATACAACCATATCAAAAGCAAAAATAGAAATAATTTGCGTGTTGCAGGGTGGTAAAGTATCGTGTGAATTGCCGGAGCAAACATATTGTTGGGATGATCCACGCACAGAAAACGCTCGAAAAATGACATCGCGACAAATTCAAATCGATCAAATGATGTTCCTTCTTGAACTATTGTTCTATGTTTTTGCATATGCTTTTGTAGGATCAGCTATTTATTTTTGTCTAGTTTATGCGTATTTTGCATATAAGCAACGAAAACAAAACACTTCGAATTGAATACTAATTAGGTTACTATACTTTTTTCTATTTTTTATTTATTTTTCTTATATCTAGTTCATGGGTTAATTTTGGTTCATCTTTTCAAAACGGGTTATTTTATTAAGATCACTTGCCAAAAATTGTGCACTTCTTTGATAATTTCTTCTAGCTGTCATCATTTTTTTCTGAAAAAAAACCTCAAATAAATTTGTTCAATTAACTTTCAAGAAATAACTGAATTCAGGCAGCCAGTGTTGAAATGGCAAGATGGGGTGATGAATTTATGAAAGAGATGATTCAAGTGGTTTCAGCAATGGAGAAACAAGATGGTCAGTTCATTTTTTGAGGATTTATATTGAAATTAAATTTCACTAACTTTTTTCAGGAGATGGGATGAATCGAATAGATTGTTATGTGCAACTCATGAGTTATCCTTACTTGGGAATTCCTATTTTCAACGCTTCGCCCGCTCAATTCGGTCAACAACTTGATGAAACTCCTGTGGTTGCAAAAATCGTGAAAGCTATACCCTTCAAAGCCTGTAATGACATCCTGAATTTCAATGATATGAAGGGAAAGATTGCTTTGGTTGAAAGATCTGGATGTATGTTCCAAGAAAAAGCTCGAATGGTACAATTGGCTGGAGCGGTTGGAATGATTGTGATCGATAATGTTATCGAATCTCAATATTTCGATGGAAAGCCATTATTTGCTATGGCCGGCGACAAAGATGCTCCCGATGATATTGCTATTCCGTGTGTTTTTGTTTATAATATTGAAGGAAGAGCTATTCTGAGATCATTGAACAACAATAGAAACGTTATCATTCAAATAACCAAATATGTAACAACAACAGGTAGGTCCGGTTTACTTGAAAAATTCATTGATTGAAAATCATTTTAAGTAAGAAACATTTTTAAATTTACAACGGTATTTCAAAATTTATACTGATATGTTTTGATGAAAATTTCGATATTCAGATCACATTGTTGGTGATTTCCTGCGCAGTGGTGAAAATATTGCGATTCCGGATTACACGGTATTTATTCTTTCAAAATATTTTCAATCATCAGTTTTTTTTAGCAATGTCCTTTGAGCGATGGAAATATATTGAATTTTGACCAAACTTCTTCATCAATTATTTTCAATGTTCGTCTCGATGGTATTGATCAAACAAGTCCGAGTGATCTAAAAGATCAAATTATTGAGAAACATATCGCGGAACTCAAAACATTTGTTTCATTTGAAAAAGTATCAGCCGAGCAAGTGTTTTATGATTTCTTTAGGACTGCCCTTTTATCAACATTTGGAGAAAATACACAAAAGCTACAATTAATTAATGTTCTCTTATCAATGGAAACGATGAAAGTTCAAAGCCAACATTCAACAATAAATGAAAGATTGCCAGGGCCAATTACAAAGGTAAATATTAATAGAATAAGAGTGATCTATTAATTGAATTGTTATAGATCCGATGCATACCAAAAGATGAAACCGAACTAGTCTGCTCACGCCTTTCACTCATCTAACAGAAACCTCAAAATCTGTGATTATATATTATTTATGTTAGACAAAATATTGTCAAAAAGTCATCAAAAATGGGTTACAAATAGTCACTGGCCTTCTCAAAAATTATTTATATTCTTTTATTTTTATTTCTATCAAAGTATCGGGTTTATTTTTATTTTCGTTTTTACTTTTACTATCAATTCCTTATTTTCATGAAACGGAGATATTTCAATTTTTCGAGTAGTTTATTTTTCAGATGAAAACAGTGGCGTTCAAATTAGTTTTTTTAATTTCACTTTTGTATCCAATAAAGCATTTTTTCAATATTTTCATTTTTATTCTTTGGTTGCAATTACTGCAGACGTTTCAGATCGTTCGTAATATTTATTTGTTTTCAAAAAATCTTTCAATTGATAAAAAAATAAACAAAACAAATGAGTGAAAAAAGACACAAAAACAATATTTCTTATCATTTTTTGTTGATTTATCTATCAGTTGAACTTTTTTCGGTGGGAAAAGAGTAGCAAAGTGATTGATTTTTGCAGATAAATGGACGATTCTACTGAATCGGGAACGACTCGACAGAGGAAAGTTCGCTTGGAGGATACAGTGTATGTTGTTTTATTTTTGATCATTTTCATCATCATATTTTTCTTTTTATTTTTTCTCGCGTTGAGAGATAGAGAAACACTTTATATTTATATGATAGGAAGAGATAGAGAGAAAAATAAAAAGATCACTCCATTTTTTCTCCTTCTCAATAAAATCGGAAGACCATAACAATTGAAACAATCATTATAGAATGTCGGAAGATGGCGATTCATCGCATGATAGATTTGCCGACGCTGGCGCCTATACAACTGAAGCTGAACCAGATGCTGACGAAGAATCGTAAGTGTTTTGTTTTATTTTTGTTTTGGAAAACATAACAATGATTGTTTATAGAGAACGCAGAGTTCGTCGACGAACTCGGAAATTAGAAAGAATTCACTATCAAATGGTCAATGATCGTGTTGTTGAAGATATTACTGTTGATTTTTTATACAAACCGCATACTCTCACAATTTTAGCCATTCTAGTCGTATTCATCTCATATAAAGCATTCACAGGGTGAGTTTTTTTCGAAAAACGTTTAGTAAAAAATTTACAAAATTAGTTTCAAGTTCTCTCTGGAAGGGGCATTTTTTTGATTAAAAAACTGAAACGGAAAAAAATCTGCAAGCACACCAAACTTTACGCGCATGTACGCATATTATTCTTATGGAAATTTTATTGCGAAATCCTGTGTATTGGAAACCCTAAAAAGTCCTCACAAATAATAAATCATTGAAATTTTGAGAATATAACAACCTTCACTCTTCATTTAAAGCTTGGGGCGTGAAAAACAAAATCGATTTTCAGAGCCAATGTTGCGAGCACGGATAAGAACGTTTATGATGGATTGATGGGAACTTTGGCATTATTCTTGGTTGTCAGTGCGTTGGCATTTCCAAATGGACCATTTATCAGACCTCATCCGGTATTTTGGAGAGTTGTATTTGGTGTATCCGTTATCTATTTGATGATCCTTCAATTCACACTTTTCCAAACCTATCAAGATATCAAAAAAGTGTTGACTTGGCTTGATCCAGCTGGTCTTGGTCGCGAAACTCTAGTCGAAAAAGAATATGCAATTAATTGTTCCGATGTTAGTCTTGAAAGAATCTGGAGTCATATGGATATTTTTGCCGTTGGCCATTTCACTGGCTGGGCTATGAAGGCGCTTTTGATTCGTCACGGTGTTCTATGTTGGTATATTAGTATCGCATGGGAATTGACTGAGGTTTGTTCATTTTTCATGAGTTGAAAACATGAAAATATAAAAAAAACAATCACTTTCAGATTGTGTTCACTCAACTGCTTCCAAATTTTGCCGAATGCTGGTGGGATGCGATTATCCTCGATGTACTTTTGTGTAATGGGCTGGGAATTTTTGCCGGACTTGAGATTTGTAAATGGTTATCGATGAGACAATATCATTGGGAAAGCATTAAGTGAGAATAACAAAGAAATTTTCATTCAAAAACATTCTTTAAAAATTCTTTTCAAAACCTCAATTTCTGAAAAAGAAACTTGTAAATAAAAAATATTCAGGAAAAACTCAAACTTTAATTTGAGCCGCTTTAATTTTAATTTTTCACAGGAACATCAAAACCAATCGTGGACGTTTCAAGAGAGTTGTCATGCAATTCACACCAGAAAGTTTCTCCGAGGTAAGATTTTTCCTTCATTATCAAATCAATTCAAGATTGCAAAATTTTCAGTTCGATTGGGGACAATTCACGGGAACAATCAAAAGAACAATGGCTGTTTACATGTTTGTATTGATTTGGCTGGTATGTTTATTTCAGTCTAATACAGTTATAGTTATTTTTGTTGTTTTTTTCAGCTCACCGAGTTGAACACATTTTTCATGAAGCATGTTTTCGCCGTAGATACCAAGCACCCTGTAGTTTTTTGGAGACTCATTTTGGTAGCTGTGATTTCTGCACCATCTATCAGGTAGTTTATTTAGATGTTATCAATCAAATTGTCATTTTTTCAGACAATTTTATCTCTACGCCACCGATCCACTCGTCAAACGTCTTGGAATGCAATGTTGGGTTTATTTGGCGGTTTGTGCTCTTGAAGCTGCAATTTGTGTCAAGTTTGGTGTATCGATGTTCCCAAGTATTGCATTAACACCAATATTTTTGTGGATAGTCTTCTTGGTGAATAATTTTCAAAAATTAAATTCAAATGAATATGAGTATTTTTGCAGATAGTGGGAACATTCTTCAGTGTTTGGCTTTCTGTCTGGTGGGCGAATCAATCATCAGCCACCGAAGCACGCGAATTGAACGGAGAAAATCATAATATTTATCTCGACTCTTCATGCGAAAATCTTGGTGCAATTCATGACGATGTTCGTCGCCGTCGTCGCGATCTCGGCATCTCAGAATCGGATTTCAACTAACAAAAACACGCTAGAAACATTCCGCTGCTGTCTTTTTTTCATTTTCAAATATTTTTTCTTCTCACGCAGGTATCTCATATAATTTTGAAGATTATTTCTTTTCAATCCAGTTACTTTTATACGAATCCTCTTTTTTCTCTTTTCAGTGTTTCATATCCGCATTTCCGCCGCTTTTTAAATAAATGCTCATTCAAAAAAACGTTTATTTACAAGTACAATAGAATACTGTTTCATCAAAAATATAAAACTGGTATTGTAAGTGAATAATACTAATGAATTATAAATGCAATAAATACATGTGGAAAAAGAAAGGGAAAAATACATCAAAAAATACAAACATTTGCTGTGGTTAGTAGGAAAAAACACGTATAACGGTTGAAAAAGTGCACTTTGTGCTTGTTTATTATCAAATCTTGATTAATAATCTCAAGATAATGATTTTAACATTAAGAGGTTCTCATTGAAAATTATTTCAGTCTTCGGTTTGAACCCGGTTCGATGGAATTATGAAGGAAAAAAAATTGAAAAGTTAAAGTTGTACATTTTAACAGTTCTAAAGCTAACAAATTTTCACGCGGTTTGCTCAATTTTCTTACTTGTTAGTGATGGAAAAAACACCCGAAAGATAGTTGATTCAGAAAAATTGGAAAGTTGGAATAAGTCTAATTAACATAGACAGGCCTGGTTGATGATTTGTTGAACTCATCTTCAGATAAAATTTTTGGCTCAGATTCTTTTGAAGAGGTTGAAGAGGAAGATGCTGTTGTCTCAACTGTAGATGATGTTGAAGCTTTCTTGGTGTTTGAGTGAGCTTCTGGAAACAAAAACAGTTTTCGATTGATTTTTTGAAATTGATTTGATTATTTTGCGGTATCGTATTACAAAATTTATTAATTTGTTGTTAAACGAAATTTGAAATTCCAATTAATCGAATTTTCAAAATGGTTTATCATGTTAATTTCTCGAAAAACATCACAAAAATTGCAGAAACTGGGAATGATGACACTGTTTTTCAAAATTGTACCAAAAAGCTGTTGTAACTAAAATGGTTTAAAGTTAGGGGTCATTGAATAATTTTTTGTTTAGAATTCAGAATTTTTTTCAGAAAATCAAGTAAAAGTTTTTCCAATCCAAATTGCTTTGTTTTGCAACTTACCGCGAATCTCGTTCAAAAAATCCAAACTCGGTCTATCTGGGCTGGAATGTGCTTTTTTGGCTGGAATCATATTTTCGATATCATTGAAATCCAAATATTCCTTGTGTCTTGGAAGTGGTGAATTTTCAAAATCGAAATAGGCAGATTTGTGTGAAAAAGCAGTGGAGAAGCGTTTCTTCGAATCGAACATCATTGACACTGAAAACATACAGTTTTTTTCTGTAATCTCTGGAATTGTAAATCGAAAAAATCCTTGGAATATATGCATTTCAACCTCATTCTAAAATTATTCAAGTCTACCAAACTACATCCAAAAAAAGTTTCCAAAACTTTTTTTATTATAATAAAACTTACATTTTCTAGTTGTCAATGTGTCAGCGATGCGACTGTTCTCTTTTTCTAAGCGATTTGCATTGATTGTGTAAATGGGATTTGTGATTTTTGGTCGAATTCCAATGGCTAAACATTTCTTTTAATTTAAGCCAATTTCTAGAAAAAACTTACTGCTTTCTTGTCTGGCTGGAATTCGTCGATTTGGTTCAGCTGGTGATGGTGGCTGCTTCTTATCCTTTGATCGAAAACAGAAGAATAAAATGAAAATAAGAAGAACCGCCAAAATTCCGGCGATAACCGCCAACATCACGACCACCCACGTCGGCATTCGAATCTGAAACAAAAATAGAAAATAGGAAATAAAAAATTATGAGATTCAATTTGACACATTGTGATAAAGTTATGATAAATGATTGAAGCAGTGGAATGGGGTGTAATAAGGAAAAAGAGACACTTGAACCAGGAACTGATAGAGTGTCTATATTTTTTTGATATTAAATTGACAAGTTACTAATAATTGGTATTTTCTCTCTAGTGTAATGGAAGAGAAGTTTGACCAATTTGATGAAATCATAATGAAATCATCATAAATTATTTGAAAATAAATAATTTTTTCAGACAGAGGTCACGTTTTTTTGTTTTGCTTTGATTGAAATTTTCGAAATCAGTCCAGACATTATTAAAAATGTGTAACAATAATCATAATAAAATCAAATAAAAAACTTGGCAATGAACATGATATATAACGAATGTCAAAAAAAGAGAAGAAGAAAAGCAGAAAAAGGAGAATCATAATAATAATAATAATAGTCTAATAAATGTTAATAATATATTAGATAGAACAACAGAATAGAATAGTGCAACACTTTCATGATATGATGATATAAAATTGGATAAAAAAAGACAATATATTATTTCATTTCAGTTTTTAGGAGATTGAAGATTATTTTTAATTATTTAATAAGATATGTACCTTTTTTATTTATCAAATAAGTTTGTGGTAAACACAATAGTCATATGATAGATATTCTATAGTCATTTCCGGTATTTTGGTATTTTTAAATTGAGACATTCTTTTTTGAAACACTCCTCGTTCTTTTGAAATAAAATGTAAATGTGAATGATTTTTGTGACTGACACAAAGGCTAATAAATTACGCAAGAACCAACAAAGAAAAAAGTTGTTTTTTTTTTAAATCATCTCTTTTTTGAATGTTTTACTGTTATCATAGGATAAATGTAGAACAAAATAACAGTGATCTAAATCAATATCGCGCTACAGAAAACACATTTTTTTGGCCATTTTCATGGAGCGAAATAAATCAAATTGTTTGAAAGAAGGATGCCGCGCGGTAAGAAACTGAAATTGAAATAGAAAACAGTCAGTTTTGTTAAATTTGATTCGATTTTTCTCGTAATTGAGAAGATAAAATTGGTTCTACTGGTCAAAAAATGGGTGAAGTGTACTTGGAACATTGATAAAACTTTGGAGAAGAAAAGATCAGCCAGATTTTTGATGTACTGTCATTTCAAAAGAGAGCGGGCCGACATAGGAAAAATTTCATACATCTCATGTAACTGGAAAAAGACAAAAACTTTTGAAGATTACCAAGAGAAAAATATTTCAGAAAATTAAGGTAAGCTGGGTAACTTTTATGAGTTTCTTTAGCTTTTGTTGAGAATTAAACATTTTCAGAGGCTACAGCGTTTCTTCTCAAAATCCGAGCTTCAAAATTGTAGAACGAAAAAATAATAAAAAGAAACAAGAGAGAGTCAAGTGCCAAACCCAGAAAAAACTGAGTCACTAACTAAAAATCAAATAATAAACATGATACCAGCCAGGCACACAACAATTAATAATGTCAACAAGACAAAAATTTTTCAAGAAAAAAAAAGAACTTTTTCGAAGAAAATCTTGGGCAAAAACTGTCACGTCAAAACGCATGATTCCGGAACAAGACTTAATAATGTGCGAAATTAATCGGATAATGGGCAATTTGGCACTTTTCGCTCGCCGACACACACACACACATATATAATTTTCCGTATTTCTCAATTTCTCTCACCTTTTTTTTCACACCGAGCTCCCGATAAAACAACAAAACGATAGGAAGGCAACGATATCTATATGATAACAAAAATAAGAATAATATAATAAACAAGAAAAACGGTCAGAGATGGATAAAGGTGGGAAAATTGGGAGGAAGAATATGCAAATATACGTATAAATATATAGAGAGACCGGGTAGAGGTACTTATCACATCTTCTTACAGTGTCGAAAGAAAAAAAGAGAGGGCACGCTGTTGGTTGCCTTTCGGTTCGGTTCAATTTGGTTATGTTTGGGTAAATAAGTATGCATATAAGTTAGTCAAAAATAGGAAGAAGTTATTATTTGTTGTTGTTATGCACAGAAGGTTGCGTATTACTTGCATCAAGTGCAAAAACAAACTCCGACTCTACAAATCGAGTTATGTATGTGACCTTGGAGAGTTTTTAGAAAAGAAATGGGAACATTTTTGTTCGTGTAAAAATAAAATATGAATCATGCAACATTTGTTTTTACATTTTTCTATAGGAAATTATTGAATGGGGAAAATGGCAAATAAAAACTTTGAACGGTTTATTATTTTTTTCAAAAAAAAAAAAGAGAATTATTCGTTTTAAAAAATGAGAGAAAGGGTCTGAAAAAAAAGAATCTTTGGTTTTAAACGAAGTACTGGCCTCTGAAAAGATAAATCGGTTTTCAAGTTAACAAAAAACTTTGCAAATAATTTTTTAACAGAAGTTCATCAAAAACATATATTTCAAATATCAAAATTAACGCAGTTGGAAAACTTTAATTCAGAACACACTTATTTTTCTAAATATCCTCGATTCTGTCAGAAACTATAACTCTCACATTTCTGAATTTTCGGAATTTATCTCGTGACCAAAAATTTCTCAAAATTAAGAAATGCTTGTTTCTAGAAAGATGCCCTTCCTAAAAGTCCAATTTGTTTTTTTCACAAAAAGAAAGCGGCGACGACCCAATCATAAACAAAACAAATACATAAATAAATAAAACATATTCCTCCATTTTTTCCAAAAACAAAAACTGTTTCCCACTATAAAAAATGCAAAAAAATCTTGGTAAACTAAAAAAACTAAAATAAAAATATTGAACCCCCTAGTTAAAAAAAATCTAGCTTTCATGTTAGATACATACAGACAGTCAAATATTATTTACTTATAGTTTGATGACACAAAAGTTGAGAGGTTAAAAAACTAATACAACCAGTCATGTTCCAATGAAAATTAAGAGACTATGTATTTTTTCATAGTAACCTTAATCCAGAAATGATGACGGTTTTTAGAAAAATGTAAAAATAACCAAAACTGGTCATTTCAGGAAGTTTTGTATTTGTGTATGAAAAATGAAACTATAGACAGAAATACGGAAATAAATGTACTTTTTTTGAATATCTGCATTTCTGATAAAGAATATGTCCTTCAAAAGTTTGTACTTTCACGGATGATATTTGGAACAGCGAAAAAACACAGAAAAAAAGAAGAAAAAGAAAAATATCAGGTGGGTGAGATAATAATGAAGATATGAATGAATTACTAGTACAAATAGTCGATTCGATTCCCGTTATTTTTTCTTTATGAATAACAAACTATATAAATTACTAGAATCAATTCATCAAAATTGAGTTTAATGGGAAACATCAGTAGAAAAATATATATTGACTATAAGTAAAAAGCTGTCCATCGTCAGATGAGTCACATTTTTTTGTTATTACACAAAGTTAGCATTTTGTTTGAAAAAAAAGTTGTTATCTGATCTGTAGGAAATTTTCTGGACACTTATTTCTCACCATTTTGTTTTATTTTATTTTTTTTTGAAGCCTAGTACTAATAGAAATAATATATAGTTAGTCGAAAAAACCACCTTTTTTTGTTGTTTTGTTTCGTTTCACTTTCAGTTTGACGATGATAAATACTATCACAAACACAAAAAAGTGAGAAAAGTCAAAGCGTTATCACAACATGACATAATTAAACAATAACAATTAGGGCGACGGGAGAAATTGAAAAGTTTATGAGAATTTTTTGACAATTCAATTGCAAAAAAATTCTACCACTGATGTAGGAAGAAATAAAAAAATTGTTTAATAAATCTGCTAATTATGACGAAAAAATTAAGCGACATAACAATTGAAGCGTAAAATATTTTGGATAAATTCCTGCCTGCCAAAAAGCTTTTTTCTTACAACAATGAACAAACATTCAATCTAATTATGTGTAAAATATTCAAAAAATCACCATTTTCTTTTGATTGTGTACTTTGAATAATAAACAGTTGTAATGAACAGAAAATGCTTTGAATGGCAAGAGAAGAATTTTATTTATGCGCATTTTGTGGTGCCGCCTTCGACTTCGAACTGGTCTAACATGAGAAAAATGAGGAATGTCTTCATTTTTTTGGGTGATTTCTCGATAATTTTATAGGATAATTTAATATGGCCAATTACCGTAGTCTGTCTTTTTTTCATTAATGGTGTTAATATAAAAAATGTTTTTTTGTAAAAACACGATAATTAGAAATTAACATTCTTTTATTTTTTTATGTGGAGATTTAGTAATTTCATAACAATTCGGATTAAAGGTAAATTAACACTGGAAAGTAATACGCAATTGATGAGAAGTTGAATCTAAAGTTTTATGAGAAATCAAGAGATTATGTAAAGAATAATAATGAATTTGGAAAAAAAAGTTTTTCACTTTCAAATTTTCTGGATATCAAAAGTTAAATCTTCTCATACCAAAATCGAAAAATTACAAATTAATCACAAACCACATTTAGGCTTGTTAAAAGAAACTGATTTTTCATTTTCAAGACAACAATTTCTCTTCTAAACATTTAGCATAAAATGTCACATTGACATTCACAAAAAATTGAATGTCCGAAAAGTGTACAGTTGAAGAAAGAAAGACAGCTGAATCAGTCAAAATGATACATTTTGTATTAAAAAACTATACATACATCTGCCAAAAAGCCATCTTTTTTGTTTCTCTTTGAAAAAATAAGAAATTTCTAATAAATTTGAAAAAAAAGCCACGCTAATCAAACTACATGTATGTAGACAGCAAAAAACAGTGGTCATCAGGGCAGAAACTGCAAATTCGGGTTGTCTAGGATGCTGACAAAGACTTGTAATCCTAGGCGCAAATATTGCTTGCTCGTTTTCAAATCGAATTGCATCGTTTTTTATTGTTTTATTTTTCGCTTTTCAATACATATATACTATCAAAAAATATATGAAACAAAAAAGAAATATGTTTCGACATGGATTATTTTTTCGTTTCGTTCAATGGAAAAAGAAATATAGGAAGATAGATGAGTAAGAATCCGGAAATTTGAAAATGAATGAAAAGTGCAATGAAAATTTGTTTGAGTTTCGGATTCTACCAGAAATTAAATCAAAAGTTCTCATTGAATAAATATTCATTAGAAAAAACAATAATTCTCGAAATCAAGAATGAGTAAATCAAAAAGTTAAAAAATTTCGTTATTTATTCATTGTTGATGAAACTATGAATCATCATAGAAAAAATCTATTTTTAATCTGTCTAAAATTTTGAGATTCAGAAAAAATCAAGAAAAATATAGAAAAACACGTAGATGAAAATTTATGCGAGAAGTTCAAGAAAAAATTATATTTCAGTCAACTAGAGAGTAATACCGAAATTTTTCAAATATTTCTTTGAATCCTGACACAATCTTTGGGAAAATCGACGGAACGAAAACATGAGCAAAAATTATGTTATTTTCACAATTTTTGATTGTTTAGCATTGCATTTTTTGAAAAACGTGAATAAATATATTTCTCATACTCAGAAAAACTGAAACTTTCAGAGAAAAATATGAGTCATAATTGTGCAACATCAAACATATTTTTGGAGACTACAAATGTAAGGAACGTGCAAACAAGACAAATTCCAGCAAGAATAAAGTACGGGCAAAAAAGTCAGGCTCGAACAACAACCGATTAAGGCAAAAGAAAAAAAGGTCGAAGATGGGTTAAGAAAATGTGTAAACATCCTTTTCTTCACACACTCACTTTATTCAAGTTTATTTTTTCATTTATAATGCCAAAAAACACATAGAAAAGGTCACAATGAACCGTTTTCACTTTGACCATCATATGTGCGTATTTTATATAAAATTCGTCGAATATTATTAATCTTGCGTTGACCTACCGAAAAACGAGAATAAAAAAAGACAATCGGCAGTGATGAGAATGGATGAATGAATGAATGTATGATGATCAAATTGAATTGCCCTTTTTTTCAAAAGTTGAGATATGATGAGTTGTTTGGTTATTGAAATGAAAGAAAAAGTCGGGATTGATAAAAGGGAAAACTCTTGATTTATGATTATTGACTTTCTTTTTATTTTTATTAGCATAGATAAATAAGATTTGTTTGAACGAAAAATTTTAAAAGTTCAGAAATGCATTCAGATAAATTTCATAGTATGCTGGAAAGATAGAAGAATCAAGAATATAAATTAATCCCACTAAGTTAATTTTTAAACATTTCTATTTTATTGATTCGAGACTCGATAGTGCTCAATTTTGAAAGAATACAATCATATTTTTTCTAACATTTAGAAGTTCTAAAAAATAAATATCAATATTGCACCAAGATTCAACAAAAAAACACTTGCCCTCTTCAAATTTTAAGTTGGATAAAAACACACAAAAAAAACTAAAATCAGAACAACACAAATTCCTCTTCAACATACAGAAATAAATTGGAAAAGTCACAAACAGACAGTTGGCAAATCCAATTATCCCATCAAACAGCTCCTAATTAGTCATCCTTTTCAACCAAATGAAAAAAAGTTGAACAACATGTAGAAAATTAAAACATTTAGATGAACATCGAAAAACGGAAAAGAGGTAGACAGACAGCTGAATAAAATGAAAACACCTTTGTCAAAATGATGAACCGATTAGACAGACGGAAGGAAAAATATGAGATGAAAATGAATATAAAAATAAAAAATGAATATTAATAATAATAAGAAAAACGATGAGAAGAGGGGTAAATGATCTATTTATTGCATAACTTCTACTTTTGGGTAGAAAAAAACGTTTCACTTTTCACCGAATAATTTGCTATTATTAATATTAATTGGTGGATTCAAAAGATTCCGCATTTTTAATGTTCTAATTTCATGGTTGGCGGTTTTTTTCTAATAAATGAAAGTATATTTTTTATTCGGTCAAGTGGTTTCATTTCAATTTCAAGAAAAGGAACAAGCTTCTTCAAATTTGACAAAAAACTGAAAAAAGTGTTCATTTCAACTTTTTCAGAGATTCAATTAGAAGATATTGAATTAATTTCACTTATGATCCGAAAAGTTGTGTTTTTTCTAATGAAATTGAAACAAATGTCCCATAAGGTTTCCTTGACCTCGTATATTTTCAGAAGAAGACAAAACGTATAGAAATTTTTTTCAAGAAAAACAAATGAATACCTAATAAGTTTTGTTCAAACAAGACTTTTACTCACTCACCCAATTTTTTCTCATTTTTTTTCAAAAAAAAAACTAAAAACTCACCAAATGATGAAACATTAGAAATGCAGCCATTTTAGTTAGTTAGACGTATTGAAAATGAGTTCAAATATAAATATATATGTCAAATCCGTGATCAGATCAGAAAAGTAGATTCGAAATAATAAATAGTAAACTAATCTTTTTGAAAAATCAAACCAGGATATACAACAATATGTGTTGTGGAAGAAAAAACGCAAAGCTGGTCAGTTTTTTCTCGAGAAAAAATAACGCAGCTGATCAAATAAATATTCATTTTCCATTTTTTTCAATGTTTTGAAACACCAACGGCATTGTTTTGAGATTCAAATCGGGCAAATATTTGTTTGAATAATATTTATAGATAATTTTGGAACAAAAAGCAATATTACTACTTATTATGAGGCGTCGATTTCCATTTGAGATATTTTTCAGTTTCTTGATCGCATTGGATCAAATTGAAGCGCCATTTGAAGAATTGCAAAATTCTACCAGGAGCAAATTGATTCTCACTGAAAATAAGATAAATAACGATTTAGATTAGATTGAATATTTTCATAGGTCACCTGAAGGTTGCAGCATCCACGTCTTTTAGAAAAACTCTTCCGCCGGTCCACGATTTTCTTCCCTCTTCAACAATATTCACAATTCTTCGATTAACATCATAAGAAAGGATGAAATGCAAACCATAAAGAATTGAAGGCGCGTCAACCATGGAACATCTGAATCGTAGAATCGATGGAGAATTGAAAAAGTTTGATGCAGGCGGTCCATCTTCCAGTATCTCAAAAAATATAAATGAAATGCTAGATAAAAATGTTCTTTTTCGGAATAGATTTTGATTCTAATATCGACTGAAAAATAAGCAGGATATTAGAATGTTTCAAAATTTAGTCCAGTTTTCAAATTTCAATATTTCCTAACACAGATCATAAGAAAGCTCAAACTTTTGTTTTGGTTTCTCACACTGAAATCTTGCTGATCCTATCATCAAATTTTGCAACCCCTTTTATTATGATTTTTTATAATAAAATAAAACCTGGCTGCTGTAATGTGCAAAATCGGTTTCACCAAATTGTTGTCGGATAAAATTCTTGGTTTCTTCAGTCGCACATTCGAAAACAAACATTGGCCGACAGAAAACGTCTATCCAAACACCTGGTCGAATATCCCACCACCGATAATTTCGACGAGGCATTTCTAAACAATTTTTTTCAAATCAACTTCATGTAAAAGAAAACTAACCAGGATGGATTGGATAAGGCAATTCAATTCTTTTCAAAAACAATTGACCTTCATACTCTTTTGTTTCTTCAATCAATGCTACAGTATGATCAACGCAATATACAAAAAGCCTGGAATTTGTGTTTATTATTTTCAGAAATGTTGAGAAAAAATAAGAATTTACTTGAAAATCCGTTTCATTCTACAACCATGAAAATCGTTCATATGATCTAACCAACAACAGCGATAAACAAGCATAGCTGGACGATTGATGAATTCTCGTTGATCTGGTAGTTTTGGAGCAGTTCGTGGATTTCCTCGACGTCTCACAAGCCATGGATCTTCTGGTAATTCTTCATTCTCGTTTACTTTTATACCATGTTCTTCAAGATATTTCTATAACAAAAGAGGTTTCTTTTTGAATCAATAACCAGAAAAACTGACTCTGGTAAACGCATCACACGAGGTTATTCTATAAATAGTTTCAAACAAGTTCACATCATTTCCAACATTCAAATCACTCCAATGAATATATGGTTTCCCAATTCGATTATTTGCTGGAACTTTTTGTCGACGAAAAATTCTACCGTGCAAATAACCAGTGTTGTCGACAAATGGTTCATTCACAGTGATTGTATCGTCACATAAATGATAATTGATTTTAAAAATCCGAATTCTGTGGATCTCTTCATCAAGACCATCTTCTTCGGCATATGCGTCAAATGACAATAAGGCTGAATCGGCAGCTTCAGCTTCATGAAGAAGAGGGCCAGCGCTAAAAGTTGATTCAAATTTGTTAACAAATGAGTCAAAGATTGAATTTTTCTCAAAACAACTTACTTTCCTGAATATCGCAAGCTATTTTGTTTCGGATAACTTTGAACCAACTCTTCTTCATTCACAAAACATTCTCCATTTTTATATTTTAATCGATGTCTTCGATGAGGATTTGGATCACTGCCAAAAGCTTCCAGAATATCTTCAGTTGGTAAATCACTAGAATTTGACGACGACATGTCAATAAAACAACATAAATAAAATGAGCATATATACTGCTTCTCTTTTTAAACGTCGGAAATCTATCGGGAAAGGAATTCGATGAAGAGTGAATAATGACATCCGGTAGTTGTGAAAATAGTTTACCCGTGTAGATATTCATCTTACCTTCTTTTTTCGTGGATTGATCTTTAGATCATTGATGATATTATTGATTTGTTTTTTTTCTGTGAGAAATCAAATGACCACAAACCTAATGTCTTCTCGCGGTTCCCATAATAACCAAATGTTATCAATTAAGGCGTATCAGCTGTATTGGTAATTTTAAGAACTGGTTTCATTTTTTGGTTTTGTGAAATAGTCTGAAAATGTGAGAGATGATGATTATTTTGGAATGTATAAAATAGAAGGGAACCAGGAAAATAACATTATTCCTAATGTCGAAACCGATATTGGTTGGTTCTCTAATTGTTCTGGCAAGTGTTTTTGTCTCGATTGGGGTCATTTTCAAATGTCTTAATGATATTGATGATCTACAAATTGAAATTAAGGATGGAATGCTGGAATTCAAGGTTTTTTTTATATAATGTCTTGAAGTTGAAGTTCTGATAATATTTTAGGAAATAACTCAATCTACTTGGGCAGGTATGGTCAGCAAACATTTGAATCCAACTGGTGAAATTGGTGCACCTGAAACATTCGAAACATTATTCGGAGTCCGCCGAACTCGTGGAGCATTCGATCAATGTAATTGTGGTCAAAAATCACAAGGCTGCCCACCCGGTCCACCGGGTCCCCCAGGAGAGCCAGGAAACTCTGGAGAACCAGGAGAGCCGGGATCTGATGGTACTCCAGGAGCAAACGGTGCTGCTCTATCCGCAACTCACAATATTCCCGGAGGTTGTATCAGATGCCCTCCAGGTAGACCAGGTCCACGCGGGCCACCAGGAGGTGTTGGATCAGCCGGACAACCAGGAGATAATGGAAGAAACGGACCACCTGGTCCACCTGGAGGAATTGGTGGACGAGGAGAGCCGGGAGATTCTGGAAGACCTGGAAATGCAGGAAGACCAGGGCCACCAGGACAAAGAGGTCAACCCGGAACACAATATCGACCAGGACAACCAGGTAGACCGGGACCACCTGGACTTCGCGGACAACCGGGAGCTGTTGGAAATCCAGGGACACCTGGAAATGATGGAACACCTGGTCGTCCAGGAAATAGCGGTAGAAAAGGTTCACTCGGAAGACCAGGAAAGAATGGAATTCCTGGACATCCTGGAGAAAATGCTCAACCTGGTGAAGATGCCGGATATTGTCCTTGCCCAGCTCGTTATGCAAAAGCTTGATCAAATCATTTCTCGTTATAAATAAATAAATTCATTCGCAAAACACACAATCAATAAACAAAAATCATAATAATACAAAAATCAATTCAATAGTTAACCCCATATTTAAAGAAGTTGTGAAACGACTAAATTCGATGTGAAACCCGAGTTAACAATTGGGTAATTACTAGCCATAGATTCTACCAATATTGTAAATTCTTGATAAGTAAATCCAACTATTTACAGTAAATATATGATTAGAATATGTCAAAAAAGCGAAAATTGTTTACCTATAAAACCATATGACATTTAATTATGCATCATTGGGCATGGGAAATATTATAATACTATTATAATACAAAACAAATCATTCAAATTTCTCCCATCCATTTTGTGCCGGCACAAATGATGAAGAAGCTGGTTGACTAGGATTTGGCGGTGTTTCCAATAATGAAAATGGATCAGTGAAAACATTCCTGAAAAAAAAACAAAATTTTATAATAAAATAAGAACATTTTTAACAACTTACGGTTGTGGAATTGGTTGTTGAAAATTGGTTGGTTTCAAAAATTCATTCCACTTATTTACAGATGTATTCGGTACTGGACTATCAAAATCGATCAAATTAGCAGTAGGAACTTCTGAAGATTTTGGCGCATCAATTGGTGACGTGTCAGATTCATCACTACGCTGAAAAAATACAATTTTAGAAATACAAACGGACATTGTTTCTTGAACTGGATACTAAACTAGATACTAAAATTCACTTACCATTCTTTCCCATTGAACATTATCAAAAGACATTGGATTTACATTTCCATTTTTCTTTTTCGATGCAGCTTTTCGAATTTCTTTTGGTGTCAATTTATTGAGCTTGTTAGCAAGTTGTATCCCAGAGACTTTATCTTTCAAAGCTCCAATAACATCGCTCGCATTATCTCGGACCTATAAGTAATATGTATTTGGGTGCATTTTGAACTGGACATGGGACAGAACAAATGAAAAAGTTCACAAAAAAGACATTCCAAAATGTCCTACACAATGAAGGACACACAACAAGTTCAAAAGTCAAAACAAAGTGGTTTATGAAGAAAAAAGATCACCATCCAACTCAACTCACACCAAACATTTTTTTCAACCATCGAAATTTTTTGCGCTGACAATAATGAAAATACAGTAAAAAAATATAAAGTGCTACGTTCAAAAAATGCGCAAAGTGCAGTGCGCAAAACAACACAAAACAACATTTTCAAAAAGTTCAAAATTGCAAGATTTCTTACTGATTGCATAGCCTGCTGGAGCGCTTCCGAGTTCACATTCTAAAATTTTGTTGTTTGATTTTTTTAATTTGCGCCGTTTCAAAATTTAGGAAATCTATGCTAATAATAATTCATAAATTGGTTACCTGGCGGCTTTTCAAATCCATATGCTCAATTTCTAGTTCAAATTCATCACAAACCGCAGCACCTTGTTTCAAAATATCCAAACGATCGTGAATGAACTGAAAATCAACTTTTATTTTTTATTCGAAGTTTATCACTAGATTTTAGATTAGATTTTATTTTTGAAGTGATATGAAATTGCTGAGGCTTTGAACTATTCATACAGACCATTTCTATACAAATTAAGAAATGATGATTCATTTCCTTAAAAACCCAGTTAAAACGTACTCTTTCCAAATATTGCACCCCATCAGCACCTAACAACGACGATAAAAACTGTTGAAAACTCGATTTCTGATTTTCCACAAATTTATCTTTATCCCAATGAGTATCTCCATTTTCAGAACGAACAAATCCCGATCGATAATCTCCAAACAAAATAACATTTGCTCGCAAAAAAATTCTAGCAAATGAGTCATTCATATCAGTCGTCGATTTCAATTGGGATTTCAAAAATGATACAACTTCATTTGGCATCGATGCCACGTCATCAAATGGGCTTTCTAATGTTTTTTCATCGACATCAACGATAACAATATCACCAACATCTTTCAATTTCTGAAAAAAAAAGAAATTAGGTGGTGGAATTTTGGAAAAGGGGAAAGAGAGAGACTTACGCTATTCTCCAAAACTTGTTTTGGAACACCAATGAGATATGGCATTGGTGCCATAACCATTTCATCAAGACTAGCTGGCAAAACAGGAATGAATACCGATTGCCTGGAAAAAAATATTTATTGAATGTGAGAATTGAAATGACTCGTTTCTGCTGACTGTTTTATTATCCTACTGAACTGTGGATTTCAGACTTGTATCTTCATATCTTTATCTAATATTTCAGAAATCAAAACTGATGAAAACTTATGAGAAATATTTCGACATGTTTATTTTTTTTAATGTAAAACTTGAAAACTTTTATCAATTCGACAAAAAACTGACAAAGGCACTTTTTCAGTTCATTTTCTCTCATACTATTTTACATAGAAACTTTCTATAAGAAAGTGTAATTTAGGCGTCGTGGGTGGTCTATGTATTCTTTCAAACATTAAAAAACTCACCAAGACATTGGCGTTAGCAACATCGAGCATGCATGAATACACGAACTCAGTTGACTCAACTTTTTACCAGTAAAAATGATTCGTCTCTCTTTCAACATGCTGAAAATTCCCAAGATTCAAAATTAGCTCATTTTTCAATCAAACCTCGAATAAATTGCAATTAATTGTCTAGCTGACACGGCATTATAAAATTCTAACATATATTTGTCTTCTCGAAGAGTTGGAAGTTTTGTCAAGTCTGGGATTTTGGCTTCAAAACGATGGTTTGACTGAAAAATTGTTTTTCATTTTTGAAATTCAAAATCAAAAAAAAATCGAAGCTTACAGTTGGAAGTGAAAATCTCAAAACATCTCCAGCGTTTGGAATATCTGTGTGATAAATTCTTGTCAAAATGGTATCCATATCCGATTGTGATCCAGCATTCATGACCATCGAGATTTCGTTCAACGCTTTGTAAAAAACATTGGGCCAGAAAAACGCGCTGTAATAAAAAATGTTCCATTTTTTTGTTCTTTCTAGAACAAAATCGTCATTTTCCACCCACCTCAACAAACAAATACACGTATCATTTCTTGGTGTATATCTACAAAACCCAAATGAATATTTCGACGCTGAATCGGTCAAAACAAAACTGAATAATTGAACAGCCTCATTTTCGCCGCTTAAAAAATCAATTTTAATGTGTTTTTCATCCAGAAATATGAACAAAAAACAAAAAAAAAAACGAACCTTCTCATATTGCATGGAAACGCAAATTGTTGTATACTTCGTAATATCGATTCATCATTATAGTCTTCTGGATAACGCGTTAATAATTGTCCAGATTTTTCCCCTGGCAATATTGACCCGATCTCACAAAAAACATCAAAAATGGTCGCAACATCTTCCCTTAAACAATTTTCTTTGATAAAAAAATACTAAAAATTTCTCTGATAAACCTAAACATACCTGAATCTTGACGAACTAGTCATTTTTACATGTAACAGAAATGAAAAATAAAAAAAGCAAGCCGAATATAAAAATTTTGCAATCGAATGAACGCGACCGCTCAGAGAGAGACAGAAAAAAGGGGAGACGAATCAGCTGATCGCGAAATGTGTCAACAAAATATGCGCCAGTCTTTGGCAACGCGTTGATGCATTTTGTGTGCAAAAAGGTCAGACGCACACAGAAAGAAAAATGCTCAAAACTTTTGTGAAGTGCATTTTATTCATGTGATAGAAAGAATTTATTATTGGAAAATAGAAGAACGTTTTTTTTTCATTTTACACAAAATATAAAAAATTGGGCCGCTATGTTTTCTGAAGATATGAGTAGAAAAAGGAAAAAAATCACAGGAAAATCAAATAAAGATAAATCATCTGAAAAATAGAATTAAAGCTCCAATCTGTCCATGGTTTCTCCAGTTTCACCGCCAAGTTTATTATTTTGTGCCAAATTGCGGAAATGTTGAGAATTGTTGAATTCGGACATCAAAGAAAAGAGCAGGTGCAATGAATGAACACGACTTTTCGAAACTGGGATATCAAACATGTTCAAGAGAATATCAGCATATTCATCAGTTGATACATCCAATTCAGATGATGGGAGCTGAAAAAATATGTTCTTTGATGTTGAAATATGCCAGATGGTCCAAATAATGAGCTCAATAATTACATATTATTTATAAGCTGTGGAGGGCTTGGAAAACAAATGAATAATATGTTATTTTGCAACAAAAAAATATTGGGTTTGGTTCGAAATGCTTATATTTCGAAAATTTATATCAAATAATATCTTTTGAAGTATGACAGATGAAAAAAAGATATTAGGTGAATTTCGAAATGTGTTGTCAAAATTTGATTGAAAATTTAAATTAAATATATGTCAAATACACGAGAAAGTTAATTTTTCAATTTTTGGAAATGTGGACTCAATTGAGTTTTTGAGAAAAGTTTATAAAATTATTTGCATTTAGTACCAGGAGAACCTTTCTCATAAAATGATAGCTCATGAAAGTCTTCGATTATCAATTAAAAAACAACTAACAAAATAGATCAAAAATAAGGTGGGCTGAGCCGGGGATCGATCCCGGGACCTCTCGCACCCTAAGCGAGAATCATACCACTAGACCACTCAGCCACATTTCCAACTGTTTATTATTAGTGAGATGAATTGAGAGAACGGAAAATAGTTGTTTCGGGATGAAAGCGAAATGTTGTTTATGTTTATGTTTTTCTCTATCTCATATGTATTAATGTGTAAAACTAACTTTGAGATTTTTCATCTTCTCTTCCAAATTTGAAGGCCATTCTTGCATTAATGTATCCATGTCAGGCATAACTCCTTTATAATGAACTGTTTGTGCAGGTTTGGTTTTGTGCAATTCTTTTATATTGCTGATCCATTTTTCAATTTCATTCGAATTTTTATCGGCTCTTTGAAGTTGTTTAACCGGCGGGTCATCCATTTTTGAAGAAGAACCCACTTCTTTTGAAACATTTCTCAATTGCATGTTCAAAATTGTTGCGTCACTTTGCTGGGCTGCCGGTTCGTCCAAACTCGTCAACCCGTTATTATCGTCTACCTGCAAAAAAACACTATCACATATGTATTCATAATGAGCAATAATATTTGATTAAAAAAACATACTTCGTCTGGCCGCGGAATTTTGACAAATCCGTCAATCTCACCAATTGCAGGAATAAAATCAAGAACAAACGGACGGAGCTGTGGTTTCAACTCAATCTCAACTGGCTTAAAAGCGTCGATATATGTCAGCACTTGGATTTCCTCTTCCGTATAATCATCATCTATAGGAAATGTTAATTATATGTGGGGTTCTCAGAAATAGTAATAAATTGTCATTATTTTTCCATTTTACTAATGAAAATTTTCCTATTTTCTAGCAAATCAAACATGTAATTAAAATTAGTTATACCTTTCAAAAATAGTTACTCATTTTTAGTTTGTTTTCCAAAAGTAATATGAAATATAAATTGTTGTTTGAACATATGTACTACGTGACTTATTATAACTTGCCCTTTTGTTAATATCGTCATTCTCTAGTTATTTTTGGAATTAGTGAGTAAAAATTACGAAATAAAAATGACAATGATTATTAGTTTTTTTCAATGTGACTCATTCAATATTTCAGAAAGTTATACCTTCATCATCTTCATCTTCGCTTGTTGAATCTTCTTCCATTCGACTTGCTCTTCTCATCATATTTTGAAATGGTTGTGCAACTTTGGTCAACAACAATTCGTTCAGTGATCCACGTGTTTTTTCTTTAAAAACAATTTTAAGGCTAAGGTTTTTTTTTCTTGCTTTTGGGACTAATTTAGAAACTGGTGTTTGGAATCATTCTAAATGTTTCAAGATTACACTCTATATTTCAAAACTGACAGCTTGACATTTTTTTACTAGAAGAAACATTGAAATTCTTTAAAAACCTAGAGTAATAGTTTAAATGTTGTTGTTATTAGAGTTGCCCAAATTTTCCGAATATACGATAACTTACTTGCTGGCGGTTTGGGTTCTTCTAGTGGCGTTGGTTGTGGTGGAAGTGACAACTTTTTCTGTTCGTCGCCACTTGTATACGCTGGCGGAGAACCAAGAGGATGTTTCTCGTCTTAAAAAATTCAATAGTTAAAAAATATAATATGTATGTATGTAGAAAAAAATGAGGAAAGTCGGAAAATCAATATTTTATGCACCTGTCATAGACATAAAAAGCTTTTCTTATTTATTCTTATAAAAACAATTACCTTTCGGTCCTTTTACCAATTCTTCAAAAGCCTCTTCGTCTTGCGATTTTTCGTCATCATCTTTTACCGACATTGGATTTTCTAGAGCCTGAAAATTAAAAAAATATATAAAGCGTTATTTTTTGTTCCAATTGAACAGCTTCATGAATCAACAAAAATATAACAGGTGAAAATTGTTGTAAAATGGAAAATGCCGTGTTTGATCTATTATTTGTGTTTTTATGTGTTTTTTGGGACATAATTGCTTTCGTGGGTTAATTGAAGGGTTGAAGCTCACCTTTATATAACGCAGGCTTTCTGGAGACGGGCTTCTTAAATGTTGATTTGTGCCGTCTTCTTCTTGATCATAAGGTCCGGTGAAGCGGACTGATCCTAGAAAACAACAAATTTTGAATGAAAAACCCAACAATTTTGACTTCCGCTGAAGTATAAATTATTTTCTCACGAAATTTTGAGAGAACTTCATAACAAAATTATTTTTTCTAGCTATGGTTTCTATGGATTCCATTACTTCCGGATGTTTTTTGGAGATTATCTAACCGAAAAAATTTGTTAGTCTCGTTTCTCTGGGCACAAAACGAGCAAATATCAAAATAAACGATAGAGGTAAGATAAAAATAAACTATCAGGAGGGATGCGGGGAATATTATTTGAGGTATTTCTCGTGGGAACAAAGGTTGATAATGTTCACGATCTGGTATTATTCAAAACCAAAAATACATTGAATATTTTTTGAGTCTGAAGAGGGGACCGTCTTGCAAAACTGAAAAAAATATTGAAAAATTTCACGATAACAGCTTATTAAAATGTATGTAGTACTATAATCTCCGGATTGGGGTCGCTGGAAATGCGACATTTTTATTTTTTTTTAGATTTATAATTTATGACAACAGATCGTCATAAAAATTTACTAACGATTTTGAAAAAACAATTTCAAAAACTTTGGAAAAACATAAGAATTTGAAAACAAAATAAAAATAAACCAACTTCTTCTTCCCATTCTCGAAGCGGTATCTCTTCCATCATCATCATCGGTCATTTCTAAACTGTCGTCGTGGTCCAAATGTTCGATATGCTCAACTTCTGTTTGTCTTTCAAGCGATCTTTTTCCGCCAACAAGAATATCTTCGTCGTCACTTTCGTATTTCGGTGGAGCAACAACTTCCTCGTGATAGTAAATACCCTAAAATTACCTCGTTTTTTATGGGTAAAAAATTGTTTTTGTACAAAAAAGGTTGTCATGGAAATGAAGAAATTCGTGAGAGCGTAACGTATTTTATGTATGCATAAGACATAATAGATTTATGTCGAGTCAAGAATAATTCAATATATTTATAAATATAATAACTTGAAAAAGGAACATACTTGGTCTTCTTGGAGTGCAATTATTTGACTGGCTTCATCTTCTGACGAATCATCGCTTATTGGAATACCAAGACGACCAGATCCATCAACATGTGCGTGTTTATCTCCTGCTTCTTCTTCATTTCGTTTCTCTTCGTTGCTCATTTAATCCTTTTCAATTTTTTCTTTTTTTAACGACCAGGTTTATTAAACGAATGTTTTGCAATTTTCGAGGTCTCTTGAAAGCGTACATATAGTTGTCATGGCGACAAAAAGGAACAACGCACTTCCATCTTCATTGTGTTCGAAAAAATGTTTGGAAAAGGGATCCTTGAAAAATATTAAAAATGGGGAACACATCATTGAAAATGAAAAAATGATAGATAAAAAAATTGTTATTTGGATATAATGATAAAACACAATGACAAAGCTTCAAACGAAGAGTGTTGACAAGAGAATATTTATTACTTTTGCTTCGATTTGCTGAACAACCTTTTGGGTTTTGTCCTCATGAACAGAGCTTGATTTTCTGTAAAAACTCAAAAAAAAACTTACATATATAAAGCAAAAATTATGAAAGTCATGTGCACGCGTTTTCGACCTGTAATCAATTTATAGGTCAATTTATTTTACGCGGTTTAAACTACAATTTTTCAAAAAATATCTTGAATTTTCTCTGACATTGGAAATTATAAATTACAAATTTCTAGATATAACTTATTTTGAAGTAAAAAAGTGTTCTTGAAGTTAAAAAATACTTTTCAGTTTCAGGACTCATAATAATGTTTGATTTTCCCATAAAAATCGTCCAAAACTGTGCCATTTTGACAATTTTCTTGGACAAATCAAGACTTACAAAGATATTCACTTCGCAATAGCTTCATGTAAAACCGTTTGAGATATGCCTTTAGTTATGTATCTTTATCACTGATTCAAAATAAATAAATCAATGAATGCAACAAACTGAAAAAAAACAACCGACGATTATGATTTGTATCAAATATGTAGATTTTTTTGAAAATTAACATTCTAATTGTTCTGGTAACGATTACAAAAAAATAAAGACTCTTCTTTTCAATAAGATTTTGTTTATCTCACAATATCGAAATCAAAATTTGAAAAATTCTCGAAGGATTCACAAAAAACGTTTCATTTTTATTACAGGAAGCTCTAAAATGTTAAAATTAGTAAAAAAAAAAGAGAAAATGAAATAAAAATGACACGGTTAACTGTAATGTCAAAAAAATCTCAAAAATAAAGACAGAAAAGCGGCAAGACCTATTTCAGGAATAAAAAAATGTGGAGGTAACATCGGTGGTCACAATCAATAAATTAGAAAAAAACATAATTATAAGATAGGGGAAAGGGAAAAAACACGCTTCAAATAATATTTTGCGTTTGTGCGGCTAGTGCACCATAACCAAAAAGAAATCTGGCGGCTGCAGATGCATCAATTCCAGCAGGCATAACTGGACGAATTGTGAGAGGAGAACTGGTTGGAACTGGGATCAATCTGAAGAAAGAACATACTTCATCATGTTAAAAAAGGGCATTTATAAACTTACGATGGTTGGCTTGTTGGATTTTGTTGAATTGAAAACATATTAGCTCGATGCATTTGGAGAGAAGTTGTTGGATCATCAGTTTGTGCTTGACGTTTGAATTTATTTCTTCGATTTTGAAACCAGATTTTAACCTGGGTTTCAGTCAAATGAAGTTTTTGAGCAAGATGTGATCGTTCTTGGCTGCTCAAATATCGTTTCATTTCAAACGTCATCTCAAGTTGAGAAACTTGTGATCTACTGAAAACAGTGCGTGTTTTCTTTTTTCTTTGGGCCATTGGATCATTGCTCATATTACCGTCATCATCAGATCCACGAGCTGAAAAAGAACAAGTTTAAACTCGGAGTCTTGCGAAAAAATGTCATTTCTCACCATAATCATCATCTTCAACATCTGATTCCATTGGACTTCCACCAATTGAATTTTCATCTTTTTCATCTGATTTTGTATCATCTTTCTCATCACTATTATCCCCCATCAAAAGTTGCTGTTGTTGAGATTGTTGAAATTCTGAAGAAAGAAATCAAATTAATTAATTGGTCGGAAAAATATGTGGCGGTATTTTCAAAAAGAACAAGTTATGTTGTTTGTTGCTCAACAAAAGATGAGCACAGGCGGGTGCCAAGATTCTTATCGCTAATTATAATAATATGAATAAAAGGTGAGGTGAGGCTGTTTTTTTTGTGAGTAGGTAGAAAGGTTTCAGAAATTTGAGAAAGTGTTACAATTAATGACAGACTTGGATTATGTCATATGAACTTATTTGTTTGAATGAAGATTTTTGAATGAGAATCAGATTTCAAAAAATTATTTGAGTTATAAGTATAACTCTGGCATACTCTATCTAAAAATCTATTTTGAATTAAAAATTGAAAACTTGATTTTCCCTATTAAACAATGAAATAAATTATGAAATAACGGAAGTTTTGAGCTCTAACTTTTGAAAAATAGATAAATTTAGCCTAAAAAATCGATATATAAATTATTGATTTTTGCTCACAATAATTTAGGTCTCATAACATTTTTTGAACAAAGAGATGTTTGAAATTAAAAAAAAACTATTTGAAATATCGCATATTTGGTGGAGAAAAATTACAATCTTCTAAAATTAAAAAATCAATTGTCCCTCCATCTTTAAGTTAGCCTAATTGGCTCCAAAAGTGAAGCTTTTCTTCACTCTTTCATCTAACATGAATTTTAATCATATCAACTTCCACTTCAAGAAACAATTATAACAATCGTCAAAAAAGTCTAACCTTGAAGAGCTCTCAATTGTTGCATGAATTGTGGGTTTTGAGCAAATCCCAACATTGGAAACATTGGCATTGAAGCTGCGGCAAGAATTGGATTCTGTTGTGTGTTCATGAAACTTTGTTGTAACATTGCTGCAAATGGCAGTGATAATCTGGCATCAATCATGAAATTTGATGGTTGATGATCTGTGTCAGTTGAACTTGCTTCTGATGAAGCTGATGGAGATGATTGAAGCATTCTGAAAATATTAAATAATTACATGTTTCAAAAATTGAAAATATGGTTATGAAATATGAAATGAAACTCACGGCTTTTCCAGGATCTCGCTAATATTAAATTTGATTTTCTGCTGCTCGGAAACTTTTTCATCAGATCCTCCATTCTCCGATCCACATTTCTCACTCAAACTCATATCAATCGGAAAATTCATCGTCTTCTCCTCTATTGAAAAAAATATATAAATAAAAATAATATTACAAGTAATAAGACTAATTAATGGAACGACCAACAACAAAAACAATAGGCCACGCCCACTTTATTCCATAGGAAGAAAAAAAGGGGGGATTACGGTAATTGAGAAGGGAGGGCTTTTTATGTCATAGAAAAACAGAAAAAAAACGAAAAGGCTACTAATGTGTTGATGCGGGAACAGTAAGAAGATGAAAAAAAAATGAAGAAATCAACGAAGACGCCTAATTCGTTTAAGTGGTTTGTTATACATTTTGTCGTGATTAACTCTTTCTGCTGCAATCGTTAACACATTGTTTAGAAAACATACAAAATGGACTAACTGACTGACTGTTTATTCTGTTGATTCCGGGAGTTTCTGGTAATTTGACAGTATTGAAATACTAATTGATAAGAAAAATGATGGTTTATAGAAAGAATTAACGAGATATGATTATATTTTTTAACGAGTTTTAATAAAATTTCATAAATTCTTCACACAATTTAAAATGAAAGTTACTACATTATATAAAATTTGTAAGTATTGCAATCCTTCAGAGATTATTCGATATATTTTCTGCGATTTTCTCTGGGTTACTGTAGCGAAATAAGCTCATTCAATAATAATATTTGGGACACCAGGATTAAACTGGCGAGGAAAAAATCAAAAAAAAAATTTCGAAATTAACCAGAACATTTTCTAAAAACAAACTTAAATTGGTGAACTGTTTGAAATTTTGAAAATTCCGGCTGGATTTGGTTCTTCAGGTCCAATTTAGTCAAGAACTAGAGTTTTGCTAGTCGGATTGAAATAACTTTGAATGTGTATGTTAGAACGTGTGATTTGTTAAGTGGGCTTGGGTTGGAATTGTGAATTTTGAGTGCTTCTAGATTTTGATTTATAAAAGGATGGTTTCGGAATTTTTCTTTAAAATCCAACCCACTCTAGCACCCTAATGGAGAAGATAAAAATGCTCAAACCAAAATAAAATCTATATCGCTAATTATTATTCTTGAAATCGGAGACGTTTCGAAGGTCAAGCGGCAGCTTATCTCTTCAGAGTCAAATTCGCCCATAAAAGTGGAAGGGCTATTAATATACATATGCAAAATGGGTAGAAAAAAGGCAAAAAGGTAAATGAGTTGTGGTTGGGGATTAATGTTTTGGTAGATATTCACCAATAGAGCTGCCATTTGACTCCGCCTATCTTTTGAAAATATAGAGAGAAATGATTACTGTAGTTAGAATTTCTTGAGCACAATCTCATTAAATAATAGGAAAGGAAGAAAAGAAGAACAAGAAGAATGAAAATGAAGATATATATATATTATTTTTGTTGTTTGAATGAAGCAAATGTAATGAAAAACATGATTACTTTGGGATTTTTCATACGGTAGATGAACAAAAATATTATTATTTCTATTATGTAACAAATAGCTATATATGTACATACATTGAAAAAGGTGTCAAAAATGGTAGTACATAAAAAGAGTTTTGGCTATCGACACCGGAAGGAAATGTTTGTCTATCTCATCAGACCATTAGCTAGGTATAGGTGTCATTTGTTGGGAAGTTAGTTGTGTTGGTGAAAAAAGGGATGAGAAGTGTACTGTAGAGATTCTTGTGTAATATAATTAGGAAGGTGTCTGTGTTCGGTTTGACATCAAAAGGTGGATAATTTGAGGTGGTCATTAGAACTAAACAAAACATTGCCCATAATTGGTAAATATGTTTGTTCAGGGTATTTTATTCTAATTTTCTTGAAGAATGCGAAATTGAGATTTTTAATTAATGAGGTAAAATTTTAATGACGCGAATTCGTAATAAATTAGATGTCAATAATATTTTCATTTTTAAAAATAGAATCACACTAGTGAAATAACACGAATGATTTTCTGCGACTTTTTTTCGAAAATAAAACCAGACATGTGAAAGGGGTGCTTGTAAAAAATCACAAGTTTTCCGAACAAAAGAAAGGGCAAGATTCAAACAAAACTCATAAATCTATCAAATACACCGGGTGTCATCAGAAAGACAAAACCACCTCTCCGAGTTGCACCATAAAATAATATATCAGCCATCACAAAGACTAGGTTTCCATATGTTTTTGTCTTATTGTAAATATGTGACTTATTTATGATTTTCGACATTTGAAAAAAAAACCAACGTGTAGACTTAAAAAAATATACGGTATCTTTTTGAGCAATCAAAACACACAAACACCTGTATTTTCTGTAGAGTCGGCAAAATTGAAAAGAGGTGTCACCTAGTTAGAGATTCAAGCATATGGAGATGTTATCAGATATTGTTACACGCTTTTTGATTTGCACTGTTGGAGAGCGGGAAATTTATAAAGAGTTTTCAAATTAGGGGTGAATTTTTAGACAGGTGACGATGGGAGAATGGGAAACTACAGAAGGGTAAACATCGCAAATAGATCAAGTCTGAGTTTTTTTTAGTATTTTCCTAATTTCTTTTATTGTTGATGAAAGAATCTAAAAACGTGCTACCAAGGGAACAAACTTATGAACTGAAAAAAAAACTTCTTTAAAAATGAACATGTTCAAAGAATCCAATGGATTTCACAAAATTAAAGTCATATTTTCAAGATCTTCTTGCATTCCAACAATATGAAACATATATAACTGTTCCAAATATTCAAAACTATAATATTCTGAAATTGCAGTATACACAACTTAAAGTTATTAACAAAGATAATTGTGGGAAATCATGTGATATTTATTTATCAACAATCTGGAAATATCATTCTTAGGATTTGAATAAAGTACATACGTGCTGATGGCTTATTAAAAAAAACTATGTTAAAGAAAAAAAAACTAATACACTTAACTCACGGTGAAATGAACATTTTGATTTGGCTCCATTTTTCACACATTAACTCCTTGCCTGCTGTCAAACATCATCATTATTTCGTGTATGTTTTTTGTGCTCCTTTCTTTCATTCATTTTTTCCCATTCTTCTCCTTTTATTTTTTTTCTCAATTACTTAAAGGGGTCAGTCCATACAAGATGCGCACTGGATAAATGTCAAATTAGCAATATGGTTAACAAATAATGGAAGAGTGAAAAACGAGGAAAAAACGAGTCAAACATGATGGGTTTTTACTCGTTTAATCTATCCGTCTTCAAGACTACTTACTTTTTGTTTGGAAAAGAATTACCATGAAAGTTAATGGGGAGACAATAAAGTATTTATTTTTGGGTATTATTTGGTGTCAGTAAAAGAAAAAGGATTAGGGATATACATGTTCGAGTGAAAAATTAGTGGGATTACTGTAGTCTGTGACAATTTCCAGGTGAGAGATAATCTTGAATAGCCAATTAATTGATACACATTTATTGGCATTTGTTTTTTTTTATTTAATTGTAATTGCATCCAGCAATCAATTGAAAATTTCTCACCTGATTTTCTCATCTTCTCCCCATGAGTTTGTTTCCTCTTACACATTCTCAATGTGTTATAGAAATCTTAAAACTCATGTGCCAAAAAACCATGAAGGGTGCTAAATTTGAACACCAATGTAAGTGTGAACAAGTGTTTCTTGGTAATGAACAGGTGCTGAAAATTGAAGTTTGAGGTAAGAGGGAGCAATACAACTCTTCTTCTTTCACCATTCTAAACATGGAAATTATTATCACCCGCCTAGATCTCGAGTTCGATAATTGAAAATTAAATTCAATGAGTTTGAATTTCAGTTATCACAAAATCAATAAAATATTTGGAATAACAAGAAACTTTTTGCTAAACTTTTATACTTTTGAGAAGTTTATATATTGTCAAATTCAAAACTCTGCATATCTTTCGATGAAAATATGTAGCATCATAAACTTCGAAGACGGTTTTCGCAACGAGAGTTTTGTAAATTTTAGTATCTGATGTTCCCACAAAATGTGTACATTTTTCATATAAAAAATTCTAACATTTTTCTTTGTTCTTGAAAAATATCAAACAAATATTTTCCTTAAGCCAATATTTGGCTCAGAACTAGAAATCGGCTTTTGTCGGAATTATAACTATATTTGTAAAATTCAACAGAATTATCGTTTGGGAAGTCAGAAACTGAGAATTAATACTTCCCAGAAAACATTAGATCTTTTATAAATGTTTTTTTCTACCATTCAATAAAATCGCTCAGTGTACAATTCGTATAGAAATATTTTTGAATTTTTGTGACAACGGCGGATATTTTTTCCGAAAATATGCGTTACCGGATATAGGGACAAAACAGCGAGCAGTGGGACTCGAACCCACAAAATTAGGCGGGTTGAATAGAAGACAGAGCTCTTCCCCACTACATCACGCGCCAAGTGTAATTCAAAGCTTCATCTAATGATTCAAACATAGTAATTTATAAACAACTTTCCTCTAACATCAATAGTAATTATGAATAAAAAAGCTCAAATCTCACCTCTTAGTTTTGTTCCCCCCCCCCCCAACCTCAAAATAAACTAACTTGAGTGGCCCGTTCCGTGAAAATTTGTTGATCTCTTCGAATGTCCTGTCCAAACGAAACATCTTCTTGTTCGGAAGCCTGAAACGTCTACATTCTTTTTCTCAAAATTTTCGCCTATTCTTAAACTTACATCAGAAAATGACAATTGTGGATTTATGAGTGACTGTTGTCTCTAAAAAAAATAAGAAAATTAAAAAAATGTACCAAACCACCCCATTAATAACTTTTTCTGCCCTGAAAAAAACCACTCAAAAACAAGAAAAAAAAATAAAAATGTCGTGCAAAAAAAATAAAAGAAAAACAACGATACTCCGCGTGCGCGTTGTTTAGTTTATTTTGTTGTTTTTTTTGCAGGGTAGAGAGTGTGGGGATGGAGAGAGAGAGTTAGGGAGAGAGAGAGAGCAAAACTAACAGGTGAGATTTGGGCTTCATTGAAAAATATTGGGTAAAGTTATTATTGATGAAGCTTTCAATTATACTTGATGGTATTGGATCAGCTTCAATATTTTATTGAAAAACAAACTATGAAATATTTCATAGGTAGGTTAATTTTTTCATAGTTTTATGCACGCGATTTCCATTTTGTTTTGAATTTATTTTTTTTTCTTTTATAATCTATGTCTCATTAAACTTCACAATTTGTATTCCCATGCGTAACTTTTTTAAAAGAAATCTTTTGCGAAAAATAGGGTTTTCTTCAAAATTTAGAAGTTTTGAGAATTTTCTAACTGTTTCGCCTAGGGGCACCGCCCCTAGTCTGATTTTGAAAAACAATAATCAATTTAAATTTGAAAAAGTGTTATCCATTTCGACAAATCCGTTTATTTAAGAATACAACAAAAACAGTTTATTTTTTATGGTGTCCAATACATGTTTTTATCAGAAAAATATTCTTGAGAGAAGAACTCGAAAACTGTGTCAATTCATTTTACACCTTGTCATGTTCTCATCGTTTCAGCCTAGTGTCAACACACAACACATTTGATTGACACCACCTAGCGGGGTATCGAACTCATTTCTTTTTTTCACACCTGGACCACCCAAGATGTTCGCTGTTTCCTGTTAGCATGGGATTTGTTGTTCATCACTTCCGTGCAATATTAATATTAGTATTAGTCTTATTAACAAGCCACACATATCATGGCAATTAACAACTCAACATAATATGGGGGTAATGACCACCCAATGAAATAATGATTATATGCTTTCACATTCTTATTTGATGTCAACAGCAGATTCTTGCTCCATTAGCTATAATGAATAAGCATAATTAATTAATTCTTCATATTAGTTGGGAGATTTTGGAACCCCTTAAGCAAAAAATTAAGAAAAATGTTTATTCACATTGGAAAAAAAGATTAGCCAAAAAGGGCAAAGCTGGTTTTTCTTCCTATTCTGAAAAGTCACTTCCAGAAAAAAGAAGAAAAAACAATTAGCTATGCACTTTTTTCATAAAAAAGCTTTTCACTAGACTGATATGTAACATACATATATAAATAATAAAATTAAAGGTTCATAAATAAGTGTCAAATTCGCTGTGCTCAATGACGATGTCTGAAAAAAACATGATTTTCATATCGGAATTTTATTTCGAAATTTGAAAACCTTTCTTGATAGATCTTTTCCGTGGTGGTGGAACAACTTTCGCTTTTTTCTCAAAGATCGCTCTGAAAAATATTTAGTTTTCATAATATTCTCAAAAAAGAACTAAAGTTCGCCTAACCTTTCAGACTTCTTCTTGGCGCCAAAAAATTGTTTGATAACAAGTTGACGGAATGTTGGATTGAGCCATGCATATAAAACTGGATTTACAACTAAGTTTGACATGGCAATACTGAAAACAATCTTTGGAGCTTGAAAAATGTCCAAATTCATTTTTTCTATAAGTATAATTTTCTAAACTGTTTTTTTATTTTTCGAAGAATAACGAATTTTTTAAAAATCATCTATGCAATTTTCAGTTTGAAGGTTATTTGAAATTTTTCTCATTCTCGATGTCTATGTGCATATAAATTTGTGATACTTCCGCTTTCAAAATCTTGAATTTCAATCCAAGCAGTACAAAGTACAAAACTCACCAATGTGTAAAAAGATTCAAGAGATAACTGATATCCCAATCTTCACGATTTGAAATTTGGAAAAATTGATGTGTATCATCATATTCAATAATCAATGAAACAATATTGTGAGGCAACCAAGTTCCACCAAACCAAATAACCATTGTCAACAAAATCGAAGTGGTTCTTCGATTTTGATGCAACATTTTTGTTTTTTCACGTTCTTGTTTATCCAAAAATGTGTTCATCTCATTTTCATAATTTGCCAATCCGTGACTTGGAAATGCACAAGAATTTTCCAATGCCAATGAACGTTCATCCATTCGTCGAATTTTTGACTAAAAATTTAGTACTTTTTTGTCATTTCCTCTTTTTTACGTAAATTTTTTGGTAATATCACAAATAATTCAAGCTTTCATGTAGAAAAACCATAAATTATTTATAATAAAATCTTATTTTATATTTCACTTTTTTTTGGAAAAAATATGAGGAAGTATGCTATTTTAATTCTACGTTCAAGCTATACCTGAGTTCTTCGATTCAAAACCGCAAAAATGTTATAATAACAAAATGCCATTATTGCAAATGGTAAAACGAATTGCGATAACATAACAATGAATGTATAGATTCGCCGTTGTCTTGCAGTTTCCCATCTTTCTGTGCAAAAGAAACCACAGATTCGATCTTCCTAAAAATATTTTTGATATAGATATGGAACATTGAACTCTATCGTGACATGAAACATTTGGTCATATCGCATGTCATATTTAAGTTAGACAAAGTTCAGAAATCATTTGAGGTGAAATATGGGGAAAATCTTGACATCAACATTTTTCCAAACGCACTAAACTTCCTAAAACAGTAGTTCAAATTCAAACAACAGGATATCAATTTGAAGATCTATGTTTAATACGGTGAAAGCTTTAAACTTTAGGGTTTTTTTCAGTTTTATTCAAATGAACATTGTAATTATCTTTTCCAACAAATAATTCTATGTTTTTTTCGTTTTTGGACATCTCAAAACATATGTTCATAATTATCAATTTTATCATATTAATAATAATTGGGTTCTTGAACTTTGAAATTGTTCATAACATAAAACATTTTGTCATTGTGAATAATTGACATTTTCGAGTCCAAAAATGATCTCTTGGAAAAAGTCATCATCACAAATTCGGTCTGACGCTCAGAATATTTTCATCCCGGAAATTGGGTTTCTTGAAAGTTCTTCCGGATATCAAAAAATTCATAGTTTTTCAGATTTTTATGTACCTTGTATTCAACCATTTGCATATTAAAGGCATATGGTACAGTAACCACACACGAAATGATCCAAATAAAAATTGTTGTCATAAGTGCTCCTCTCTGTGATAATGGTGTGCGATGCGGTTTAACAACCAAAATATATCGATCGATTGCAATTGCTGTGAGACTAAAAGTGCACACAAATGTACTGATGCCTGAAAAAATTGAACACCTACGCGTGTCGGCCAAAAATAAGAAAGTTTTTGGCTTAAATCGAATTATGAATGATTCGATGCGTTTTACTTAAAAAGGGGTTTCCGGTGTGATCTTAGTTTTTGTTATATGTACTTGTGTGTTTGAAACCGTGAGTGAGTAAGTTAGCAGGGTGGCGGAAACAAGTTTCAAAATGCTAATAAAAAATTGTTTTTGATTTTTGAGATTTTAGAAGGTGTTATTGCGTGATTCTGTTGTTTTTCAGTCTCGTTTTCAAATCATTAAAAAACTTTTCAGTTGAATGCCTTGTATGATTTTCCAAAATTACACTTTATTCAAGAAACCAGGTTGAACACTTGAAGTAAAAAGACAACCAGGATTGCATTATATCTCAAAAGTTAGAGGAATTTTGGAAAAATGATAAAGAATCCCTTAGGTTAGTGTTTCGATTTTCCCAAAGATGTTTGTTTGAGAACAACTTCGATTCTTGTATCATGTTTCTTATATGATACAGTTTTTTTGAGCTTACCTTGAATACACGGTATTAGATGACAGAGCATGTTTCCGAAGTACCAGTTTTTTGCAACATTTGTTATTGGGGTTATGGGAACTGATAGAATACACATCATGATATCGCTAGCCGCCAGATTCAGAATGAATATATTTTGAACTGTCTAAAAATGAAAATAAAAATTCTGAACGTTCTGAAATGTGAAAAATGAACTAACCAGAAGTGCTTCATTGTTACAGGTAACAAAAATAACAGTTGCATTTCCAACAAGACCCAGAATGAAGATACAAACATAGACAATAGCAAATGGAATTGTTGCATAAGGACTCAGTGATGGATCCGGATAAAATTGTGAGTATACTGTACAATTTTCATCCAGCGCCTCCCAGAAAGTGACATTTTCATTAGACATTTTTCAGTCTCTCACCCACTCTGAAAAAATGAGACTTGTTCGTTTTTCTCTTTTTTTTCTTCTTCTTCTTCTTTCAGACGCGAAAAAGACTCCGCCTTTTTTGGAGCGAAAATGCGATAAGTAAGTTTCAAATAATCAAGAAAATAGAATAAAGTGAGTGAATAAAAATAATCGTAATAATGTTGTTTTGTTTACCATTTTTCAGTCTGAGTGTGTAACATTTCAGTAAAAATAGGAAATTGAACGGAAATTATTTCTGATGATGAAATGATCACACAACTTATGAATGAATGACTGACTGAATGGTTAGGCTGGTTGACTGAATGACAAAAATGAAATATGAAAAAAAACACAAACACAAGGAAAAAAGAAGAAGAAGAAACAGAAAATGAGCGAAACGTCACGCTGAAATGCACTTATGTGAAATGAGTTGAGTTGAAGTTGAAATGAATAAAATGATGGATGATGGATATCGAGTTATGAAAAGATATGTCAACTTATTCATAAATATAAATATATAAAATAGCAAAAAAAATAGTGTGGAGTTTTGTTGGAAACTTTCTGGGATTCCTTAGATTTCGATCAGACTCGGAAGACATATTGTCAGAAAGAAAAGTGTTTTGAGAAATTGAGAATCAGAAAAAAATAATAGTCGTTTTACTAGGCAATCTAAACCCGGAAAAATAAAAAAAAGACATTTGAAAAATGGACATAATTTTCAGAATATCATTCAAAATTATTGAACAATGTTGACTATTTTAAAATGAATACTGTGACAATATTTGGGATACTTTGAAATATATTTTTGTGATTCAATGGTAATTAATCAGACTTAGTTCCTCATGTCACTGAAATGATATGAAATAAACAATCCTATCTGGATTACACGAACATATCTCACACATTTTCCAAATTTCTCAGGAAATTGAAAACAATACATCACTTTTTTCAATATCTTTTTTTTTTCGAATAAAAAATCTAATACAGTAATCCGATTATTTCCATTCATTCATTCATTTTTTTTGTTCAAAATTAGAAGTGCAATCTCAATTCAATCCAATCCGATATCCGAAACGCAGATGCTTGTTTGTTTTTCAAGATTTTCCATTTATATTTTTCGTCATGTTTTTTCTCTTTATCTATTTTGACAACATATGTTCAAATGATCTACTTGATGAGAAAAATGAGGAAATATAATCAAGCCAAAATATGGCTGCATTCAGCAAAAATAAACAATAGTCAACAATAACAAAATAATGAGAATATTCAATTTTATAATTAGAAAAAAAATACCAAATTCATTTCATCTCATTGTTTTCATGATTCTTCTTTTTTTGATACGGTAAGACAAGGTTTGAAAGAGTCAAAAATCTTCTGCAAAAACTATGTTTTCTGCAAAAATGAAAGAAAACAAGAAAAATTAACAACATAAAAAATTCTGATGAATTTTGCGGATCACAAATATTTTCAGAAAAAGTTCGGGTATTCTGAAAAACGTGGTAGGGATTAAATAAATCTCGAGAAAAATTCCAGACAAAAAATGAAAACAATTATAAAACATGTTCGAAAAATGTTACTGGAAGGTTCTGAATAGCTCCTCAGAATGAGTTGTAAAACAATTCAAATTTTCCGACTCAATTTGTCGTTTTTTGAAACATTGAAAATGTTGCAAAATGAACTCAAGAACATGCTTTGTTCTAGCTGAAGTTATTTTTGGAAACTTTTTATATTTTAGAAAAAAAATGAGCTTACGAAACGAAAAAATGATATGCAATGAGCTGTCTCAAAAAGGTTCAAGTGCTTCGAAACATTTCTTATGATGTCATAATTTTTCAAATCAGAATTTATTGTCGATAGTTCATTTTCTAATAAGAAATAATCGAAAAAATCAGAAAATAGAAGAATCTCTCCATAAAATTTTCCCAGTGCACTTTTAGTAGAACTATAAATAAATCCATGTTAAAATGAAAACGCTTGAGAATGAAATCGTAGAATGGCAGCAGCCAAAGGGAAGAAAAAATAAAAGAAAAAAAACAATTGAGGGTGGTCGCAAAGCCAAAAAACACCTCATTCAACCAGGCCAAACGATTGAAAAATGAAGGAATTTGGCACAGAAAATAGGAAAAAATAAAATGAACGAATGAAAATAAGAGGGACGGGTTTGAAAACCATCCGTTATTTATTTATTTTTTCATTTCCCAAAATTATTTTGGCTTTTTCTTGAAATGTTGATGAATCGAACTCTACATATCCTCGAAATTGAGCAAATTATTTTTTATCCTTTTTTCAGTCTTCATGAAAAAGGAAATGAAGCCTTTTTAAATGACCTTGTCTCAAAAAACGCCCACTGTTTGTTTTTAAGAAACCCTTCAACAAAACATAATGTTTTCCAGATAAAAATTTCAGATTGAACAACGAAAACACTCGACAAATTAGCTGGAAGTAAAAAAATCGAATTTCCGAAAAAAAAAGGTTTTTTTGGTTTTTGATTTCCGGAGCAAATTTGGGACAACAATTTATCTTGGTGTTCATTAGGAAGTACAATTTTTCTGAAGAAAAAGAAAAGATCAAAACAGTCAGATGATGTTTGCAGAAAGATCTTTGATTCTTCTCAAATTGTTCCTTATTCTGGTTAATAATTCATTAGGATTCCGAAAAATCTGAAATTTTTCCACCACAATTTCTTTAGACGGCTTTTCGAAAAAATACTACGACAAATAATGAAGTTATTTTTAGGAGAATCATTGCAAATAGTTCAAAACACAATTATTTGAAATCCAATATCGAAGAAAACTTTGAGGATTTTTTTTCAGAAGTAAGAACAACAATTACATAAAAAAAAACGCGGTCAACAGGTTCACTGGGTGCTAAGGATTTTTTTTTTTGAATTAATGGTGCATTGCTGCGTTATTGCTAGAGAAAAGGCTTTTAGTCTATTTTAAATAATATTTCCCTTTTTAGATAAATCTTTTAAAATTCAAAAAAAGGCAGAAAAACAGCATCCAAAAACTTTGCAAAATTAGATTGTTTTTTCGGTCCAGTTTCTAACAATAATAGGTTAGTTCAGAAGATTTATCTACCCAACACAACATTCTAAAAAGCGAGAAAAAAAAGAAGAAGAAACTAGAAAAGTCATAAATATTCAGAAAAAGGCGCAAAATTGCAACATTTTACCTCATTGAATTTGCAATATCGGAAATGTGCAAGTTTCCGGGAAAGAAGTGTGTGTGTGTGTGTGACTAACTAGATAAGTATTTATTTTTTGACATGAGATGAAGAAAAAAAAAAACAAGAAAACAGGAGTAAGAATGACATAAGTTATGTAACAAAGAATAGGAAACGAGCTGAGAGAAACACGAACAAGAAAATCTTATTTTTATTCCACAAAAAGTTGTTTTTGTTATCATTCACAAAATTATAGGATACGTTTCACAAATCCTCGAAACAAAAATATACACATAAAAGAGCTCACTGATCAAAAAAGGGCGTCACCACTACTACTATTTTTCCAATTTTGAAATTGGATTATTTATCGGCTTCTATTAGTCTTTTTGAAATTGAAAAAAAAAACGAATTGGTGTTGAAACTTTTGGTTAGAAGGGGGCTTTATTTTGGTCTTTGGTTGTACCTCTTTTTTTCATGACAAGAATTTCTAATCCTCTGTGGTAAACGGAATGTAATTTTCTTCAACACTTTTGCTGCAAAAACCTTGACATTTTTTGATGTGGAATACATTTTCAATGAATTTGCACAATGAGAATTTGAAACACTAAAAACATTTCAAACAATCAATAGTATTTTTATTTTAGAAAAACACGAAATGTGACAAAAAACAACCCTAGGAACATCTGTTCTGAGGATATGTAGTAGTATCAAATAACATAGACACATGTGAAAGTTTGAATCACTAATTTTCAAGCGAGAAAATGTCTTGTTTAACATAGACAAAACAAATTAGCTGGATAATTTGTGTAGCTTGCAAAAAACATCCGAGATAAAAAATGTAACATGCAAAAAATTCAAACTCATATGTATTTCAAAATGCAAAACATTTGAACGTTGATCAGAATAAGTCATCATCCCTTGAGCCAAATTTGACACCAAAAATGCTCTTTTCGATCTACTTGGTTTGCATAATAACTATATTTCTTGAAAATTTTGCCTATGGTAATTTTTGAAGATCATAGACTCTTCAAAAGAATGTTATTGACATAAAATTTGACACCTTTTTTCCAAAAAAAAAACTTTTATGTCAGAATTAATAATACAAATGTAAATTTTCCGAAAAAATCGTTAAAATATTTCAACTCGAATCTAAACGTTTTAAAAAGACAATCTTCAGTTGTTTCTTATATAATATCCATATGAACATTGAATAATGGAAATGTTGTACGTTGACCAGATTCTTGGAGTTTCTGAGCTTCAACATTATTTTTTATTTTATAAATTCCACTTCCTTCTGGATTAAGTTTTGCGTTTTTGCGGACGATTGCGGTAGAATTTTTGAAAAGCCATACATATTCTAAATCATTGTTCTCATTCAAATACCAAACGGGTATATCCCATTGATATTTCCAAAATGGATAAGGTGTTTGATTATCTATTTCTTTCAATTTTCCATTATCAAATCTACTTTGGGATAGAATATTATGCGTTTCATTAAAGTGATCAACCGTGATAAGTGGATGTCCAACTTGTTCAAACCATGGTCTCAAAAATTCATCAACTGAAGATGGTCCATTTCCTCTAGGCATTTGAAAATAACTGAAGAATACTCTCGAATTTGATGTGGAATACGATTGTCCTTTTAAATATTGCCTGATTGATTCATCAAATTGCTTGATTCCAATAACTTTTCTGAACATGTTCAAGATAATTCCACTTTTTGCATATGTCGCAATATCAAAAGCATTTGCTATTGATGCTAAGGAATCGATTGTTTTAGTTGCAGGTTTTGTGTCGTTTCCTAGTGAATGAATTGAAAGATACTTTTTCGTGTTAGATTCTATAAGTTTTTTGAAGCTATATTTTCCATCACTTATATAATCAGTTGCCAAATATTCATATAGTGAAGCAAAACCTTCATTTAACCATAATTCATTCCACCAATGTGTTGTAACCAAATTTCCAAACCATTGGTGAGCAATTTCATGTGCTATAACTTGAGTTACAAGCGATTCCTCACCATATAGAAAACGTGATTTGAAAGTTATCAATCCCCAATTTTCCATTGCACCAGCCTTAAAACTGTCGCAACCTATCAAATCGACTTTTCCAATTGGGAATATATTTCGAGTTATGTTTTCAAAATAATTGAATGCTTTCACAGCCGCATTCAACGCAAACGGTATTTTATTCCTGTACTAGGAGCTTTCAGCTCCCAGGCGTAACAGTCTCCTTTTTTAAAACAAATATTTTTTCTCACGTCAAAAATTTTTCTTCGAGCATTTCTAAGCGAATTAATGGTCATTTAAAATTTCTTGTGTCAGAAATGGTCAAGTGGTTAGATCACGTGTTTTTTGTTCAGAAGGTCCAGGATCGGATCCTTTTGGACGTTCGCGAAGGTATGATTTTCGGAAAAAATGGGAAATGTCCAAAATTGCGACATTTGAAAATCCTGCTTCCATCGAGACACCACCCAACCGGGATTTTATTAAAAAGGTAGATTCAAATGGAGCATGCACATTAACCTGGAAATATGTTTACAAAAATTAATATATTTTATATACTTACCAATATTCCAGATTTCGTTTCTGCGCTTTCATAAACATATTCCGATATAGCAAAAGCTAACAAATACGACGACATTTCTGGTGTTTCTTCAAATGTAGTATATGTGAAATTCTCCCATTTTTCAGAACCAGCCCCGTATGGTGTTGTTCGAATTCCAGGTGTATTTGAAAGTGCATTTGTACCTTTAGGATGGTATATATCAACTTTCCATATCGCCTGAAAAATTATCATATTTCAATAGATATGTTGAAAGCAAAACTCTGAAAAATAATCAAACCTTGAATTCGGGCTCATCAAAGCATGGTATAGCTGATCTTGCTGAATATGGTTCAAATTGAGTCAATGCACCATATTGCAGTTTTCCTGCTTCATTTTTATATGAAAAATTATAAAAACCCATCATATCGTTGTTAAAATTTGACGAATATTCAATGGTCAATAGAGCTTTTCCTGCGGGAATAGTTTTGTCAAAATGTAATTTGACTTGTTGAAATTCATCGCTGTCAGTGATTTTGATCGGTGATATTGTATAATGTGAACTTTCATCCGGCTTAAAATACGGAATAAACTAAACCATATTTTTGTTGTGAAAGACTTACATTTGAAAATTCTAAAACTGTTTGACTGAAAATAATGTTCTTGTTTGCATGAAGAATTATATTATTCACATTTCGTTTGATGTCTAATTCGATGCTGACTATACCAAAATATTGTGGTTCAATCGAATAACCTGGTAGGTATACTTCTAATTGTAAATCATATGATAGAGGCTTAATATGATCAGGAAGTCGTGGAACATCGCAAATGATGAATGTTAAAATATTCAGAATAAAAAATATAATCACCATTTCAGTTAAACTCTAAATCTTCAGAAATTTATTTATACTGAATTATTGGCGATAAATTGAATAGAAACGTTCTGTTATTCATCATTTTTATTTTTTAACAATGTATTATTATGAAAACCGTTTCAAAGAAAACATTGTTCTGAAATAATAGGTAAAACATTTTTTCAAAAAGTTCAAGATAAGAAATGATGAATAAGTTTATTTTTGACAAAATCATCAGAATTATCAAAATGTTTGGTTTCTTATTCAAATATGTGATAAATACAGAGCTTATAATTCGTTGGTTTGGTATGATTTGATATTCTTGGAACTTGACATAAAACCAGTGGTAACAGAAGAATTGACAATGAAAGTATCATGTTTTGTCAATATTCTAGAAGTTCCGTTTGAGATTTTATTATGCTTCAAAAACAATAGCTTTTTGTTCAATTTTTTGGGAAACATTTTTAAGCATTATACTTTGAATTCATGGGCTGATATTGACAATAGAAATATTTTCAGTATAAAAAGCTAACTGAATAACACAAAAGATAGATGAACAATGCATTTTTTTCTAGTTTGGATTATTTTTCCAGTTGTGTACTGTAACGTACCACGATTATCAAAAAATGTTGTGCCAACTAACTACAATCTCACGCTCATCACCCATTTACCAGGATATGGATATCAACCTACACCTGAAAGAAACCTAACATACGAGGGAGAACTGCATATCGATTTGGAGTTATCTGAAAATCTTGACAATATTACAATTCATGCTGCGGATAATATTGTTTTTAATATTGAAAATTGCAAAATTGTGAATTCAGTACGTGAAAAAGATAGATATATTTTGGAATGATTTTAATTTCAGAAAAATGGAAAAACAGTTGCAATTAAAAATATCACTGAAAGCGACTTGTTTCAACAAGTAACTATTGTTTTTGAGCAATCTGTTCAAAAAGGATCATTTGTTCTTATTCTTCAATACGAATCAATATTTTCCCAAGGACTACGTGGATTTTATATTTCGCCTTATACAAATCAACAATCAAAATTGGCAGCTGTTACCCAGTTTGAAGCATTGTCTGCAAGATCAGCTATTCCTTGTTTTGATGAACCTGCTATTAAAGTAAGTTAACTTTTTCAATGAAAAATCAGAAATGCAGAACATTATTTTTAGGCAACTTGGGATATAACCATTATACATCCTGAAGGAACACATGCATTGTCTAATGGAAAAGAAATATCAACAAAACCTGCGAATAAATCGCAATTTTTGGTGACAAGATTCGAAAAAACACCAAAAATGTCATCATATTTGTTAGCATTTGTTATATCTGCCATGGAATACAATGAAATTGTGACAAAATCCGGACTTCGGGTAAAAATTCACCGAAAATGAATCAATTACTATATTACTCTTTCAGATAAGATTATATACATCGAAAACGCATTCGAAGAGAGATATCAATTTCGCACTGAAAACGGCAGCAAAGACTTTTGAATATTTTGAAAACATTTTTGGAATTAAATTTCCAATCAGAAAAGTTGATATTGTTGGACTAATTCTATTTGAAAGTGGTGGAATGGAAAATTGGGGTCTGATAACATTTTTTGAAGAGGAACTTTTTGTTATGGATGAATTTAGTATGAAGTTACTCACTCATGAAATTGCACATCAATGGTTCGGAAATCTTGTAACAATGGAATGGTGGACAGAAACTTGGTTAAACGAAGGATTTGCTGATTTTTATGAAATATTGGGTGCTCATAATATCTCTAATGGAAAATATGATTTTGAACAAAATATTGGTGAATTGTCTTACGAATATCTGGATTATCATTCAACACCAAATACAATAGGTTTTGAAACTCCAACAATTGTACCAGAATTTAAGACATTGAAAGAAGTTGAGAGTGTTTTTTCATTGACAACATATACAAAAGGTGGTGCAATCATTAATATGTTCAGAGACGCGATTGGTCATTTACAATTTGATGAAGGCATAAAGAGATATCTGAAAGCTAATGCGTATTCTTCAACAAACTCATCTGTTTTATATGATTATTTTAAAATGCCACAAGGAAACGGACCATCTTCAGTTTCTGATTTTTTAGATCCATGGTTGAATCAAGTTGGTCACCCTTTGATAACAATTGATCAATACAATGATACTCATAATATTTTAACACAAAGTAGATTTGATAATGGTAATATATTGGAAATCGATAAACATTTCAATCAAACAATTTGGAATTATCAATGGGATATTTTAGTTGAATATGAAATCAGTCTCGATGAAGTTGGAAAAGTTTGGCTTCTGAAAAACTCGACAGCATACATCCCAAGACATTCTACTTTAAACCCAAGAGCCATTGGTATATACGCAGTTCTTGATAAAACAGAAATAACTGACGTCGAAGAAATTGACAGTCCTGATCATATGCAAACAAAATTGAGTAATATTTTTGAGTTTTGGAGAAATGGACGAATAAGTCGAAATAAAAATGAGAAAGTTTTCCAAGATTCTGAAAAACTTTGGAGAAGCAATCGAAAAATTCGATCGAATATCAAAGCACAATCAAAAATTGTGGCAGGACAAAGGGCCATTCAGAATTATAAAAATATCAGACGGTGAGTTTCATCAGAATCATACTACAAGTGCCTGCATTCTTTTACAGATTCCGTTCAAATCGCAAATTCAGAAAAGGAAGAATGAATACTCCAAAATATTGGTCAACATTTGAAGAATTTGTGAAATGATTTTAAAACAATTAATTCAACAAAATGAATAAATTTTTTATCTTTAGAAACTTTTAACAAAAAACAGATTATGAAAGGAATAACCAAATTCCCTAGATGAGAAGTCTGCATGATGTTCAGTTGATATATTTACCCCGAATTGAGGCTCTAATTTCTCAATTTGTAAAAAATAGGTTTCAACAACCCATTAATATAATAAACATTCATAAAAAATACCGATGTGATCTCAAAATCAATAGCTGTTAAAAAATTGACATAATTTTCCCGTCTAATAGAAAAATGCAATTTCGAGGAGACGCAGACAGTCGTGGGTCTCGACGCGCTGTGTGTCTGCCACACATTATTTCTCTCCCTCTCTCCCTTCGGCGAGATATTTGTCTGCACAATTTAAATTCTGCGTGTCCCTCGAATTGCAAAAAAAAATACAGTGTGATCAATAATTTCCTTTTACAAAATATATTAGTTTGAATATACGTCTCCTTCCTCTCATTTATGTTCTCTACGTTTTTCACACTCTCTCACATACTCTACTTTTCTAACTTTGCCCCCTCTTCTCTTCGTGTTTTCACTGTTTTTATTATTATTCCGTTGTGTTAAACTAAATTCCGCTTGTCTTGATCAATCTTGGGTTTTCCAAATACTGAAAACATTCAAATTTTTATAGGTTTTGTCAAAAATGCCACACCTTTCATAAAGATATAAACCGTCATCGAAACTGTTTAAAGAAATGCCAAAATTGCGGAAGACAAAATTATATTTGCGGTATTCCGGATAAACGTGAATGTGAGGATTGTCACAAATTTTTATTTTGTGGATCAACCAATAATAATATAGATTATTTTTCAGATTACAAGGTTCTAAGATTCCATGAAGTTTGGCATTGGGATGATTGGGCAGTTGGCGGATTCTTCGCACCAATCATCAAATCACTCCTGAAAATGAAACACGAGACTACAGATTTTCCTGATTACGTGAAAACCGTTGCTGAGGAAGATGCATTTATTGAAGCCATCAAAAAACATGAAAATGTTATTCTTGACAAGGATTCAATCAAGAAAAATCCACCTATTCGATTGATTGCCTAAACAACTATGAACAGCACTTGGGGAATGTTTGCTGAGGATCCTCAAAAGATTGAACTGAAACTATTCTACACCCGAGATTGAGAAGCACAAAAGATGTTCCGAAAGACGGCTGGCTGTCTTTTCAGAATTTTCAATATGCCAAATGATGTCACCATGATTATCCGTCGTTCATAATCTGAAATATGTCACCAAAAAACGATTTACGAACATTGTTATCAGAGTCGTAGCAACTGCATTGGCCGGACTCCGCTTATATGAAGATTTGGAAAAATTGGAACACAAACTTTTGCTATATTGCGGTAAGTTTTTTTTTAATATTTTTAAATATTTTCTAAATAAAAATCTTTTCCAGACACTGACTTGGTAGTCTATCAGATGTTTGATGTTGAAGATGAAGGGATTCTGGATGAGTGGTGAACATCAGAGCCAAAGGCTTCACAATGTCCTCAAACGCCCACCAAACTAACAATATGGGTGCCTAATTGAAAATCGTAATTTTTTTTGCTGTGAGCAGGTATCAAATTAATATTTATTGCGTAATCATAAAAGGTGTAATTGAAAATGGTTTGGTAGTAAACAGTTATCCACATAATATGTCTGGTCGACATTGGCAAAGTATTTTTGTTGAAAATTACACCCGTTATTTTTTGAAAAAAAAAACAAAAAGATACGTGGCTCACTATACTGCTTTACTTTGAATTCTATATAAATTAAAACAAAGAAAAAATACATACAGATCCTGTAATTTTTCAAACAATTGATACGATACAATAGAATATAATACCGTTTTGAAATGAACAATGCAAAGTTCTTCACAATGGTTCAAATTCCATATAAAAGCAGAGCTCGTAGTCAAATATATTATCAAAAATGAATTTGATATATTCACTTGTTTTATTATTTCCTGCTGTATTCGGTAATTTTCCGCGACTTTCGAAGAATGTGACGCCAATTTCATACACGTTGGAACTCGAAATAATTTTACCTGGTTATGACATTAAAGGCACCAATGGTTTTACGGGTAACGTTCATATAAATTTGAATATTGAAGAAGACACCGACGTCATCATATTACACGCAGCCAAAAACATTCAAATTTCACGCGGCATAACCTTGTTAAAACAAATAAAGGTTGGATAAAATAGTTTCAATGCTAAATATTAATTTTTCAGGAAAATGGGAAATCAAAAACAAATATCATCACGAAATATATTGAAAACAATGAATATCAAGAAATTCAGTTGCATTTCATGGAAACTATCAAGAAAAACCTTCCAACCTTTCTGACTATTTATTATGAATCAACTTTTAATGAGAATAGATTTGGATTATTTTTGTCCGAATATAACGATGGGAATAATGAAAATAAAACTGCTGCATCCACTCAATTTGAGCCATTTTTTGCAAGATCGGTTGTCCCGTGTTTTGATGAGCCGGATTTCAAAGTAATCAAACTTTTTCAGGAGTTTTTGTTTCATTTCAAATTTTTCAGGCAACTTGGACAGTAACTTTAAGACATCCGTCTGGAACTATTGCATTGTCTAATACTCCAACAGTCTCTGAAGAGCATAGTTATTTCGACAATATGATAGAGACTCGTTTTGAGAAGACTCCCAGAATGTCTTCATATCTTTTAGCTTTTGTCGTATGCGAATTTGGTTTTAAAGCAGCTAGATCTCAATCTGGTACTCCGGTCAGTTCTCTAAACTCACATTTGAAAAAAAAAGATACTATTTTTGCATACAGGTTCGAGTTTTTGCTCCCTCGTCAGAAATCAGCGATGTCGATGTTATTTTAAATGCAGCCGTCGAATCATTGAATTATTTCGAAAACAAAACTAATATCCCTTTTTCGCTTCCAAAATTAGATTTGATCAATTTTGATTTCCCAGCAGGCATGGAAAATTGGGGATTGATTGTTTTGGGAGGTGTTTTATATAATGATACAAATGAACTGAATTCATTAATTGCACACGAAGTGGCTCATCAATGGTTCGGAAATCTAGTAACTGCTGAATGGTGGAATGAAATCTGGCTGAATGAAGGATTTGCGACATTTTATGAAGCCTTAGGTCTTGACTATTTGACAAATGGAAACCAGAGTTTCGCAGAAAATGTTCCAAAAAACGCTATGACATATTTGAATGAGCATACTTTCGGAATTGACAATGAAGTTGCAACAATTACCAATATTGATTCTCTTCAGAGCATAGGAAACACATTTGGTATTGGAACCTATTTCAAAGGAAGTGCAATCCTGAATATGTTCCGAAATGTTATTGGATGGAATAATTTTGATCAAGCGATTATTAACTATCTAAAAGAAAATGCATATGCTAATACCAATTCTTCAATTTTCTTCAGTTATTTCCAAATGCCCAATGAAAATGGTCCATCGTCAGTAGATGAGTTTTTGAGACCATGGCTTGAACAGGTTGGACATCCACTTGTCACAATCGATCACTTTAATGAAACTCATAATATTTTATCTCAAAGTCGATTTGATAATGGAAAGCTGAAAGAAATAGATGATCAGACACCTTATCCAATTTGGGAATATCAATGGGATATTCCAGTTTGGTATCTAGACACCCATCATCAATTAAAGTTAGTGTGGCTTCGACAAAATTCAACAGCTTTGATTGGAAAAAATGTGAGTATAAATCCGGGTGCAAATGGAATATTCCGTGTATGGTCTGAAGTTGATTTTTCCGATGATAAATTCCAAGATCCTGCCAATCGGATAGAAATTTATCAAAAATCAAGAATTGATAATGCATTTGCATTCGCTTTATCCAAGCGAATTACTATCGAAAAGTATGAAAGAATTGTTCATCAACTTGGACATTTATATCCGGAAAATCAACATTTACATAATGCCCAGATTCAAGTTTTACATGGAAGTGAAAATATAACTAATTACAAAGCAACACTCGGGTAGGATTATTGTTTCATAATAACAAAAACAATATGTTTTTCAGTGCCAATTCAATTATGGAAAGGAAACAAAGGAGATTATCAAATATCGAAGTCTCAAATGAAACCAACTAATGTTAACTGTAAATTTCGTCATTTCTAATTAAGTTTTTTTCTCTAATAAAAAAAATTCATTAGAAATTCATAAAATATTTATTATCAAACAGTCCCTATATTATTTATGACTCAAAGCGACGCATTTTTCAGTAAAAGATAAAGGAATTGTTGCTCTAGCTCTTCTCGAATTTTCCACCAGAAAACATTCTCCATTGAATCCAATCGCTTTCACAATTTCTCCAGCTCGTAGCATTACACCAGATGTTGGATCTGAATTATGAATTCGATTTTCAGAAAAGGAAAAACTTGTTTTCTACCTTGAAAATCAATCAATATGTTTCTTCGTTGTGGGAAGTGATGCTTCTTACCATCACGAATTGTATATTGTCTTGGTGATGGAAGTTTTGGAATCACTACTGGAGGAGGGGAAAGTGTACTGTAATAAGATCTAGTTAGAAAATGATATCATTAATAAAAAAACACTTACCTTTCAGTCAAACTAGTGACATTTGCAAAAACAGATCGATAAAGATCCAATTGATAGCCAAGACCATTTTCATGAACTCTAGCATATTCCAAAGATTCATTACTCTGGAAGGTAAAGATTATTTTCATTGAACCTCTCATTAAAAATTTACCTTCAAACAAATAATTTGCTGACAGCTTGTTTCACCTATTTCTTTTTTCAACTTTTTGATACATTCCAAAACATTCTCTACAATAGATTTTCCATCATACGGCCAACTAACAGCTGATGGCACAAAATTGTCATCTATTATGATACACTCAACATCAGATGAAAATAAATTAACTCCGAATTGAAAAGAGCACGATCGATAATCAAAAATGGAAATCTGAAGAACATTATTTTTCACACCCGAATATTTTTTGAAACTCACTAGATCTCTTGGCAGTGCATTTGTATTCCTCTCAATCATCAATCTTGGATCATAATTAATTTCAAAATAATCTGAGCAATGTTTCAAGGTCATTGGAGAGCGCTCTTTCCAATCTTCTTGATTATTTGTTCCAACTCCAATACTTTGCAACATTTTATGAATCATTTCAGAATCTGTTCCTTGCACAATATCATTTGTAGAATTCACAATAAATTCATTCAATGAATTTTGTGTATTTCTAACATATCCTGGTATGTCAACAATGTGAATTATATGACTGTTTTCATTGAATGTTCCAACACTAACTCCAGAATCAGTGATAACACTTGTTCGGTCATATGAATCAGGAAAAATATCTAATAATGCATTGATTTTGTCCATCATATATTTGACAGTTCTTGAATATAGAGCGGTTACAAAATTATCTCTAATCATTCGGCTCTAAAATCAATTAAAAAAGGAATTTCTTTTTTTTTTTGAAACTCACATCCATCAGAGCATCTGAAACCATATAGCGATACATTGCCAGAGCAGAAACTTCCAATAAAGAACAAGCATCCTCAAGATCTACAAAAATAGAATGGAGAATTTTGAAATAAAAAATCAATATACCTGCAATGTTTTCAACATCTGTGCCTGTTGACGTTTTGTTGAAGCTAAGATTATTCAAAAGTATACAGGCGGACACAATCTGGAAAAAAAATCGTCTAATTATTTTATAAAAAGAGGGTTTAACCTTGAGCATATCGGGAACATCAATTCCAAGATTATTCAGAGCCTGTCGCACATCTTCAAAATTACCATAACTGTTGCAATTTTCACGAAGACGAAAACCAGAAATACGATACTTTTCTAAAATTCAATGTTTTCATAAGGTGTTTTTTTTAGAATTGCTAACCTTTTTCTTGTTCGCTCAAATCATTTGCAACCATGGCAAAAATATTTGCTCGACAACCACGACTCATTGATTCAATTGGAAAATGTCGTAAAACAATTCGGTGTAGACGATTATCTCTTGTTTGAAACACATAATGCAATACCTAGAAAAATTAATTAATAGTTGAGAAAAAAGTAAATCAGATCAACCAACCGCTTTAGAGCACTGATTATTGTTAGTGTTGTTAGCCGACAAAAATGGACGGAGTACGGTTAATGCAGTTTTAAACAGTGAGCTGAGTTGGCCTTGATTATCAAGCCGATTTACAATATCAAGACAAACTAATTCAGCAATATGCGATTTTCCAGAACCAGAAACACCTCTTAAGAATAATGTAGAAGACTTGGATTCAAATAATGATGATGTAATACTTGGAATGACTGAATAAAATGAGCATCGGGAACTTGTGACATTGTTAAATGGATTAACAAAATATAATTGACCACCACGAGAAAACTGAAAACTATGATATAAAAATTTTGAATTTTTTTTTGAAATGAAAAACTGACCCAACATTGTCCTTGTGTGAAGCGTTTATTGATTGCTTCCACAAATTCTTTATGATTACACATTGATAAAAATGCAACAGAAGATGACATAAATGATGAGGTAGATGATTTAAATTTATAATTAGGATGAGTATCTTGAATAAAAGTTCGGATTGGTTTTGGCGGTGCTGCATCATGTAATCTTCCAACCGATAAAGATTCAGTTCTTTTAACTTTTCCAAGTTTTGCTTGAAGCTCTTTTGTGATTTCATCAACTTTACTGAATGTCTCTCTTCTTTTTAAAACTGGTACAAAATTTGAAGAAGATGATGGAAAACACATTGAAAATCTCTTGTTCTGAACTTCAGTGAAATTCGGAAGATCTGTATGATTTTGAGCTAAATGAGTTGTCGACATTGATTTTATCCTCGACTGTAATCCTATCACATTTTCAGTTGGATGAGGAGTTGATGTATATGAATTATTTGAATCGGAATGTGTTGATAATAACGCCGTGGAAGTTCTTGAATCAACCGAATCATCTCTTACAAGTTTTTTGATGATTGGAGAAAGTAAGGGATTTTGTTCCACAGCCGCTTCAATGTCTGATTCTTCTCTGTCTGCAAGAGCTGATTCTAGACGAGCTTTGACCATTTCTAATTGCTGGGATAGCTGAAAACAAGTTGTTTCTTTCTTTTAAAAATCACTCAAATTAGCCTAAATTTGAAGTTGTTTACAAGCAACATATGACGTACTGAAGCTACTTCAAGTAACAAAATTCAACTTCAAACTTACAATTTCAATATCAGATTTCAGTCGATTAACATCTACAGCTCCCCGTTCACTATTATTATTATTATTCATTCCATTATTTCGATTCCTCATCAGAGTTGCCGATTTCATCATATGCGGGGGAGGTGGAGGTGGAGGATCATTTGGCCGTTGACGTGGCAAAGTAGTACTATACCACATAATAACTAATAAATAAATCAAGTATAAATTAAAATTTTCAAGAAAAATCGGACAATTCCGGACAGATTTATCAAAATGTCAATAACGCATTTCTGACAGCCGACGGATTTTTTGCCCGGGAAAGAATATTTATGTTTATTGTTTATTTTTGTATCTCCTCATTGTATGAAATGAATAAAATGTTGATTAAATATGTGCGCTCCACTAAATTTCCAATTTGAAGAAACATCGAAAAAAACAGGAGAAAAAAAAAGTTTCAACAAAAAACTTTCATTTTCCGTTAGATAGGAATTCTATGGGGTATTCTTGGTTACTTTTATTTCGCAACAAAAAATTCGTACTTCTTTTTTGGTTTTTTAATAGTTATGAGTGTTAGTCATTCTGTTCTATTTTTGGTCAAGGAACATGTTTCGCAAATATTTGGTTTTCAAAACTTCGTTTTTCATACTTTTTATTCGTTTTTTTTTGTTCTTCAAGTTTCTTTCCTAGAATAAAAATATTTTTTGTAAGCTCAACGCTGTAAGATCAAAATTAATAAAAAATATTTTGAATGCTATATCCAACATAAAAATGATAAATTTAGAAGCATATTTTTTTCCAGTAGAAAAAATTGAGCTCCAGAGGTTAAGGATGATAATTTACACACCATTATTTATTTATTTGTAAACCCTTTATTCAAAAACCACAGTGCGGCCAATCTCTCATCTTTTCCATGTGATGTCAAGAATCGAACGACAAAAGGTTAAATATATTTCTGTTCACAAGTAACCCAATACCTCGTCCTCACATCAACAATCCATTCCAAAAAAATGAGTTGCTCTTTTTTTTTTGTGAAAACAACCTATGTAGTTCTAAAATCCAAAATCATATGATATTCGAGTCATTGAACAAAAACAATGAGCAGAACGAATTAGGCTGAAAGAGTAAAGTACATCTCTTTTTTTGCGGCCTGATGTTCTTTTCTCTTTTGTTCGAATCAAATTTAACCGAGCGCATCTAAATAATGTTGTTTTATGTATTTGGTTAGGAATGAAAAAAACTACCGTAATCCAGTTTGATCTATGACACACATACACGTACACAAATTTCGTAACATCTATGATGAATACACAAAAAAAACAAGAATTGAAAAATTACACTAATTTTCTTAACTTCCCGCCCAAATTAATTCAACCTGTCCTTCACAAACATTAACAACATTATTTTTATATTTTTTCTGAAGAAAATAACAACAAAAATGTCGTATGTTTAAACTGTTTTTTTTTATTTTTGAAAAATGAATTAAACAATTTCAGGTATATCACAACAAAAATGGCACATTTGACACCTGAACGTAAGTGATCGATCATGTTAGGGCAGTTGTTTGAAATGAAAAAAATACTTTTCCAACTCGATAAACTTTGCAAAAATTTGTTTGATCTTCCGGTTTCCTTGTTTTTAGAGGCGAAAAAAAACTGAATTTGTCCCAATGAACTCAATAAATGTTGCAGTTGCAAAACGATAACTTTGTTTTGGAGCAGGACAGTTAGGCCATGATTCAATCTTCCCAATTGAACTGAATATATAGTTCAGACGTCCTGAAAATCAGAAGTCTCTAAAATTCGCATTTTCAATTACTGTAACCAATTTTCTCTAAAAACAGAGAAACCTAAAGAGAACACGAAACTTTCTGCAATATCTTCTCATCCAAATTGTTTTTCTATTCGAAGTCTCATCTTTTTTCTCCAAATGAGAAAAACTCATGAATATTTTCTCATCGCCAAAAAAACACGTCACAAAAACTTGTAGTATTTTTTCCTTACCCCGCAAAAAAAGAAAACAGTCGTAAAATTTGGATCTTTCGCAAAAATTTTGGTCTCGCGCGTTAAATTTTACAGCTCGCTGAGCAAAACATAGGCACGACACATACTCGAAAGAGCATCTGCCCTCAAGCCACGCCCCTTCTAGTTTTTTTTTCTTTTTTCTTTTTTTGCGGTGCCTCCTTCTTTCTTCTTTCTTTTTCCTTCAAACTCACGTCAAACACTTTGTGAGCATCTTTGAAGATATTCAGAAGAAAACTATCTCAAAGTCCAAAAGTTCGCTAACTTTTCATTATTCCAAATTTCTGTTCTACTAAATAAATATGACCGCAATTGCAAGTCCTGTCAGTCACGCTATCATTTGTCAACGTTATGTGTTAGATGATTCACGTAAGTATTCTGCAAAACGTTTCTGAAAAATAATAATACATATCGATTTGAAACAAAGACCAAGAAAGAACATCATCTATAAATATATAAACATTTTAGACTTTGTATTTTTATTTTCATTATTTTTAGTCAAGTGTCACATGTTGCAAAAAAGAAAGCATCAAGAATTAATGAAAGTTCAAAAAAAATACAAGAATTTCTGAAAGCGAAAAAAAATACCCATCAAACGTCTTTCTCTAATTCGGTTTAAAATTAAGTGAGGAAATAAAAAAGAGATACCGTAGTTACTTTTTAACCAAATCAAGTTGAGAGTCTTGAAAAGTCAAAAATCGAAAGTACTTTCATAGATGAACGTGACAGATGAGAATAAAAATAGAAGTAGGAACTCGCACGGAGATTTGACTGAGGATACTGTAGCCCAATTCAAACATGAATAAATTTTTCTCTCTTTTCCATACTCCGCTGATTTTTTGAAAGAAAACGTGTATTTTTAGTAGGCAATTTTTCGATAATTCAAAGCACAAAACAATTTTCTCTTTCAAATTATGATGTCAAAAAACTTCAAAGACCAAACAATTTTTCCAGTTACCTTGTTAGTCACAATTTTACACTTGGCTTCAAAAATATTTCTTTTTTCTTTCAAAAACCAAAAACTTGTTGTCTTTGAACTTTTCCCATATCATCCTGACAGCTGAACCAAAAAAAAAAAGAAAACGAAATTTGTTTCGTCGACGTTTTTCTTTTTTCTCCCAAATTAGGACTTGGTGTTAGTGTTGGTGTGATTGACGACGACGACACCAAAAAAATGGGCAAAAGCAAAAAAAAGCAGAAAAATGAAAAGAAAAAAAGTTTGGCTGTCAGCGACTGGTCCTGTCCTTGATTCTTTAGGGAATCAAAAGGCGCTGAAGTGCATCAAAACAACAACAAACATGAAAATGTTTTATTTTTACTATTTTTGTTGTTGTTGTTTTTTTTTGGTGGAAGATGAAGAAAAAGAGAAAAAAGTACTACTTGAAACTAGGAGCCAATGATGGTCTTTTGAATAATTGAATGAGCATTGGTCGTTGAAACATACACATTTCCAAAGACAATTTTTCAGAACAAAAAATGAGCAAGAAAAAAACCAATTAACTTTTTGGTGTCGCACATTTCAATTCAATTTTCTTTTTCCCATTTTTCCTGAAACTAAACGGAACAAAAAAATGAACGAAGGAAAAAAATCATTATTTATGCAAAACTCTTGAAGAAGGGCCCCCATAAATATTGTGCGTCCAAAAAATGTGCAAAATTTTTCAGAACTCTCGGAAACTTTCGATTTATTGGATGTTGATAAAGATGGCAGATTGTCGAGAAATGAAATTGCTGCACTTTTGAGAACAATTAATGTTGAGCCAACACGAGTTGAACTTGATTTTATTTTTCAAGAAATGGATACTGATAGTGAGTTGAAAAAATGAAATATGTACCGTAATCCAATTATTCACAAAAAAAAGGAAAACCTTTTTTTATATAAAGCTTCAAAGACCAGAAGCACTCTCAGCAGATTAAACAAGTTGATAGGCTTATAAATCTTCTGAAAGATCAATCATTAGAAACTAGAATTTTTATATTGTTGTTCCGGAAAAAATCATATATCATTTTTCTGAAGCTTGAATCAAAATTAAAATTGTTTTTCAGAAACTGGAAAAATCAACAAAGAAGAATTCATTAACTATATGAGATCTCCACCAGTTCATCGAACAACACTTCGAGATCTTGAAAAACAATTCCGTAAATTTGACCAAGATGGAGATGGAGCCATTACTGAAGGTACGTCTTTTTCTCATGAGCAAAAAAAATCGCAGAACTATAAATCACGCTTTTTCTAGAGGAAATGGCTCAAATTCTCGGAGAAACTGCCGGTGTGATGGATGGCCAACTAATTAGTCAAATGTTCAAGGCGACCGATTTGAATGGCGATGGAAAAATCACGTTTTTGGAATTTGTTAAAATGATGCAAGAATAACTTTTTTAATTGAAATTCAATTGTAGTGCGTTGTATATTTTTTCCCTATTTTCCAAGAAAATGTGTATTTTTCATTCTTATCAATATTACTATTATTTTGAAAACAACTTCTATGCTGATATTGGATTTTTTGTCATATATAAATTATATGAACATATATTTATATATATTTCTGTCGCTCGTCGCTCACTTCTTACTTGAAATAAAATATTTTGATGAAACTAGATATTTTAAAATCTGAAAATGACGTTCTTCAAATTTTTGAAAATTGGAAATTCAGGAATCATGATATAGTGAAGCAGTTCTGTTTCAAATAAAAAAATCGTAATTGTTTGCTTATTGTGAAACATAAAGAAAAAATCAGAACCATAGGTAAGAAGCACTTTGTATTATACTCTAATCAAATATAGGACTTTTTTTTTGATTTATTCGAATTTTTTCTTCTCTCCTACAAAATTTTCAAAAAGTTCTCATTGAAGCCACATGATTTCCCCAAGGAATTCTCAAAAAAAATTTCCAGGTGACATTTATATATACAAACATTCATATTTCAAAAACGTTTTTTTTTATGTTCGAAATCTCAAAAAAATCATGTTTACGGCGCATTTTCAGAACTATCAATCATTTTTCCACAAAGGTGTACATCTCCGGACATAAACCGTTGATCAAAACATATCCCTAGGGGATAATTGTTCAACAACATAAAAAAGGAGGCAAAAAACCGATTGTTTATCCGGTGTTGCGAAGTGCCTGAGACCTTACCGTGATCGATGATGTGCAGGAATTTTTCGAGAAAAAAAACGTTTGAGAAATGCTGGATTGCGAGTGAGGGTGAAGAGGGAGGATTTTTGGTGTCGGAAACGAGTTGAGGGTGGATATTATGAAGAGTGCGAGCTAGTGTTTATGACAAACTGGAAGATTTGTTCACATTTGAAAAATAAAATCAACCAGATTGTGAACATCTTCAGAGCCACTATTTTTATTGAACAAGGGAACATATTTTATCGGGGTTGGCTAAAAAATATCTCATAAACATGTTTAGAAATAAGGTTAATACAGTATTTGACTCAAAAGCCTCCGGAAGTGGATTTTTGTTTCACCAATACATAGTTTAACAAAACAGGAAGTGTTTAAGAGACGTTATTTGTAATTTCTCGAAATACGAAGAACAAAAAAAAAGTGATGATCTTCGATTTGGGTCTATTTTTGGTAAAATGATGCCCCACGCCTATAGAGTTGGAAAATAAAGTGAAATGGCGCAAAAAAATTTTTTGAGGTCGGGGGGATTTTTTTGAAAAAAATGTGGCCGATCCGTAAAATGGTTCAAAATTCATATTTTTCGTCGTTCAAAAAAGCATTCTGCTCGTAATTCAATGATCTTTCCAGTGGTAAAACGATCCATAATTCATTCTCTAATTTGAAATAATTATATTTTTAAAAATTGAAAAAATGATAAATTTTTGGTTAAAATCATCATTTTCGACCTTAGGGAGTCAAAAGCGCACTTTTTAACTGCGTGCAATCGCTTCCTTTCGCAATTTTAGCCCCGGGGGCGTATGTTTAAAAAAATAAAACGCGGAACCTCGTCTTCATCCAGATCGGTGAAAAGCGCCCACTAAAACATTTGTAGGTGCATGTCGCGAAGAGATCACTTGAAACGCTTGATTTTGCTAATCTAAGGGTCACGGGTTCAATTCCCGGTGGCGACTTTTTTTAAAAAGTGGTTTTTTGTTCGAAAACCCATTCAGATAGATACAAATGTCATGTCCTAAAGACAATATACTAAAGGATGCAAGAGAATAATACAGTGCATTTTATAATAATAGATTCGCCTTCTATATTGATAACATTGTCTAAACTATAGTTGGACATGGTTCGAAAAAAACCGAGCGAAACCAGTTTTTTTGGTTCGCTCACTCATTTGGTTTTCGGTTCGCCCATTTGAACTGGTTTGGTTTGGTTTTGGTTCGCTCACTCATTTGAAAACCGGTTTTCGCTCAAATGTCAACTGGTTTTGGGGTATTAGGTATTGATGAATTTCGAGGTTTTCGGCTATGGGGATTCACGTGATGGACTTATTTTCACGTAAAATCACTCTTAAAGGCACACATCAAGCAAAAAAATTTTTTTTCGGAAAATGGGGTATTTGGGCACGGGGAACATTTTGGTGAGGTATACGCTCCAAAACAGACTTTTAAAGACAATACGCATTTTTGCTAAAATTTGCATTGAAAAATTGATATTTCCGAGAAAAAAACCAATTTTTCACTCCTTAGGAGCAACATTTGAATTTCGGTCCAATGAGAAAAATTTTAGCTGACGACGAGCACGTCAAAATGGCTGTCGAAATTTTGAAAAAGCTCAAAAAATGACAGAGTTATGATCGTTTTAGTTTTTGTGTCTCGAAAATGTATAATAACCGAAAAAAAAATCCGAAAAAAATTTTTTTTTGCTTGGTGTGTGCCTTTAAGAGTGATTTTACGTGAAAATAAGTCCATCACGTGAATCCCCATAGCCGAAAACCTCGAAATTCATCAATACCTAATACCCCAAAACCAGTTGACATATGAGCGAAAACCGGTTTTCATATGAGTGAGCGAACCAAAAACCAAAACCAAACCGAAACCATTTCAAATGAGCGAACCAAAACCAAATGAGTGAGCGAACCATTTCAAATGAGCGATCCGAAAACCAAATGAGTGAGCGAACCAATCAAACTGGTTTCGCTCAAACCATTTGAAAAACCACTCATGTCCAACTATAGTCTAAACCATCAGTTATTAAAGCAAACTGAGTCAAAAATTGACACGTACGCACAAAATCAGGCAGGTAAACTCAGTTTCATAGAAAATAACCAAATATAAAAAAATATCTGACCGAACAATAATTACAAAAAATTTGGTGTCCAATAGGTTCACGGTTTTTGTTTGTGAAAAAAAGAATGTAAGCAAGAATGCATTTGAAATTAACAGGGCATCATTTGCTTTAATTTCCGACAAAGACATTTGAATTTTTAAGATTTTAAGATTTACCATTAAAATCATCATGCCAGTACAAAAATGTGTTGTTTGCCATTATTTCTCGATATTTGATCATCTTATTTTATTACAAAAAAGGTGAATCTATCATTTTGAAACACTAATTTTTTTGAATTTTTGAACATCGGCCAGATACGTTTTTATATTTGGTTATTTTCTATGAAACTGAGTTTACCTGCCTGATTTTGTGCGTACGTGTCAATTTTTGACTCAGTTTGCTTCAATAACTGATGGTTTAGTTAATGTTATCAATATAGAAAGTGAATATATTATTATAAAATGCACTGTATTATTCTCTTGCATCCTTTAGTATATTGTCTTTAGGACATGACATTTGTATCTATCTGAATGGGTTTTCGATCAAAAAACCACTTTTTAAAAAAAGCCGCCACCGGAAATTGAACCCGTGACTCTTAGATTAGCAAAATCAAGCGTTTCAAGTGATCTCTTCACAACATGCACCTACAAATGTTTTAGTGGGCGCTTTTCAGCGACCTGGATGAAGACGAGGTTCCGCGTTTTATTTTTTTAAACATACGCCCCCGCGGCTAAAATTGCGAAAGGAAGCGATTGCACGCAGTTAAAAAGTGCGCTTTTGACTCCCTAAGGTCGAAAATGATGATTTTAACCAAAAATTTATCATTTTTTCAATTTTTAAAAATATAATTATTTCAAATTAGAGAATGAATTATGGATCGTTTTACCACTGGAAAGATCATTGAATTACGAGCAGAATGCTTTTTTGAACGACGAAAAATATGAATTTTGAACCATTTTACGGATCGGCCAAATTTTTTCAAAAAAAAATCCCCCCGACCTCAAAAATTTTTTTGCGCCATTTCACTTTATTTTCCAACTCTATAGGCGTGGGGCATCATTTTACCAAAAATAGACCCAAATCGAAGATCATCACTTTTTTTTGTTCTTCGTATTTCGAGAATTTTTGAGTTTTTACAAATAACGTCTCTTAAATGTTTGATACTAATATTCGACTGCACGTTCTGCCGATATTTGTACAAAATTGGTTTGGAAAAGTTCATCAATATTCAATTTCTAAGAATGAAGTATCAAGTTCAATTCGTCATGTTTGTTTTTTATCGTGTGAATGGTGCTTCGGAGTTTTCACACCGGGATTTTTTTTTTCAGACTATAAGCATATAGTCCCAGAATTGTACTTTTTTTTATTTGAAGTCAGAAATTTTCACCAAGTCAGAATACTTTATACCGATAATTTCTACTAACTTAAGCAAACGAAACAATTTTTATCAAATTTGAAAAACTTACTTTCTCGAATTCTAAAAACAAAACTGATAATACCCGTTTTTCATTCAAAATGATATTTTTTCACCAAAACTCTCTTTCTAAGTTATCCATACAATTCGAAATATTAAGAAAAAACATTTTTTCAGCGATATAAGAATACCCATGTGTTTTTCATTCACCTTAAAGTGTTGAAAAAGAAACGCAAAGAACAGTGTTTCCCGAAAAATTTCGTTGAAATCATGAGCAACTATCAAAAAATGGGGAAAAGTAGGCGGGTTTGGGTGCAAGAGCACACACAAACACACTCACAAAAAATAATAATAAATACAGTGCGATCGCACAAAAAATTGAAAGCTACTAACTGATAACACAAAATAGTATTCCGCTGAAAATGTCTATCAAAATGCTGCCGCTCGAAATTCTCGAAACTGTTTTTCAGAATGCCGATTCACAAGATATCCCAAAATTTCGATTTGTTTGTAACACTGTGAGTTTTTTTTTGGGAATCTGTTGGGAATGAAATGTGTTTCTAAAGGACCTTTCCAAATGTGTTTTTGTAAAATACGAAAAATTATTTTTCAGTTCAACTCGGTGATCAAACAAAACTACGTATATCTTCCACGACAAGCTTATCTCACAAAAATATTTATGAAAAGTGGCGAGGTTTTTGTGAGCCATTTGAAATCTGGAAATGCATCTGGTTGCGAACAGGTGCGCAGAAATTTCAAAGACTTTCATGTTAGTGACAACTCCAAAACAAAGAAAATTATATTTTTGTATTTTGAAACTTTTGTCGTTCGATTTCTTATCTATTTTTCCACGAACCCACTCGATTCGCTTTCAACGAATAGTCTCTCTCTTTCACTTATAAAAAAGGTGAAAAACAAGTTATCAGTGAGAAAAATAATCTCGTTTCATTGAAATTTGACCCTGCTCTTTCTTTTTCTCTCGAATAACTTTTACTTTTTTATTTTGGGAGTGAAAGTATATTCTTTGGAAAGTGATAAAATGGAGTGATATTTTTGTGATGAGTTAGGCAAAACGTGTTTTTAGAAACTGTTCGATTTCGAGTTCAAACATTGGAGAGAAATTGCGATTGTTGATTTGGAAATTGCTGATTTCACAAATTCCGAGTGTAGTAAAGAAGCATTGCAAACAATCATCAACCAATTATATAAAACAAAACAACACGAGCTCAGGTTTTTACACTCTTTCTGGGAATTATAATATTTTTTCGATTTTCAGAAAAGTGACCTTCTCCAACATAAACCTTGATGAGAATCATACTGAAGAAATCTTGGAACTCATTCAAATCGCCTTCCATCAATGCGAGGTGAGAAATGTTTAAAAAAACGGATAAACGTTTTCACATTTTTGAGCATCACTCTGTTTGATAGTAATCCTAGGCTCCAAAACTCTAGTTTGTTGTAGTAAAGGATTAAGTACTACTTTGAAGTTTATTCGGATTTCAGCCATTTTTAAATAAATTGTTCTTGTTAATTCAGAGTTATCAATAATTTCTCTTCCAGAATGTTCTAATCCAAAACTGTCAACTTCCAATTATCATCGATGACAATTTGATAGCCTCTTCATCTTTCGATCATTTTCGTTGGGTCACTTCAAACGCCAAAAACCAATTGCCCAGTGATAAAATTCTGCGAAAACTACAACACGATATGCGAAAAGCATTGAATCAACGCAGTTTTCTGGCCGAAATGACTAGTGTTGATGTTGGAAGTGCTTGTAATTTTATTGAGGTGAGTATTTAATTCACATGACATGATAGTTGTTGAAAAGGAAAGCGGAAAAAATTGAGAGAGGACAAAAAATATGGAAACATTTGTGTTATTTATTATTCGTTGATAACGAGATGAAGCACACGAAAAACGAAAGTTTTTCCTCGAGGTTGATAAGAGAGCAAAAAATTCTTCTATTCTATGATTTTGATAAGTTTTTTGTGGCGGACAGGGGTCAATGAGAATGTCAGTGAAAGTGAAATTGGAAAAAATGAAACACTGGTGGGAAGGGGACATCTTTAAATAAAAATATTTCAAAAAAAATTGTTTGAGCAGTCTGAATTATATAGTGAAAGAAATACGAATTGTTATGAAAACTGTTGTTTTTCAGTGCAGCAAAATATTTAGAGATCATTCAATCATCGTGACCCGAGATCGTGACCCTATTCCCATTTCTCAAATTTGTTTTCCGCTACTTGTTTTTTTTTTTAATTTAGATTTACATTGTTTCAGGAATGGCTTCGCCTCCCAATCGCATATTTCTTCAATTTATCATTCCATGATTGTGATGATATGTGGAAGACTAGATTCCTCAACGAATGTGAAAAAAGAAAATTGACTCATAATTATATGGAATTTCAATCGAAAACACACGCTGATGCTCATGTTAAAGTCAGCTTTTCACAGGTATATCATTCCTTTTGAAAAACTCCATTTCATATATCTAAGTTTTCAGGATGCTAGAACTTGTTGCATCTGGCCAATACTTGATGTTCCAGCTCGTACAACTGGTCAAACTGTTTGTTATGCTAGATACTTCCGCGATTTCTAAAAACTCTCTAGAATTTTTTTTTACTTTTTAACGGGTCATTTCCATAGTATTTTACACATTCACTGTTACCCCATTTTTTTGAAAATAAAATATCCGATGAAAGATGACGTTTGACAGCTGAAGTGACACCTGGAAGAATGAGAGGTCAGAAATATAAAGAAACAGAAGTAACAAAAAAAGGATTGTAAATTTTATTCATGTGAAGTGTGTCTGAGTTTGAAAAAAGATACATTTCTTCCTGTTGTAATTTTGAAGAACAAAGAAAAATGTGGTGATTTTTACAAGGCGAAAAAATTTTCTCTGACAACTACTGATTTATTTTATTTTTTTAATTTTTCAGAATTGAAAAAAAAACAAATGAAAAATTATTGAACTAATTTCAAGAATATGGATGAATAGTGGGAGAATAAATTTTCTGATATCTTGAAGGTAATAAAAAACTTAAAATATTTATCATGACAAGTATTATAAACGTGTGAAACATTTGATTTTAAAAGAAAGTTCTAGCTTAGATTGAATAGCATAATATTGAAAAACATCAAGTCGATAATGCTTGAAAACCCTTTGCCAAAATTTCATTATCTCTGTTTGATCCACTTTTGTAATGAAATAATCTTTATTAAAGGTATCAAAAAATCACCCAAAGACCAAAAAACACAAAAACCCTGGTTGATCTAAGCTGTGCATGATAAAAAATCAACAAAAAAAAAACACAAACACAAACAAAAAATAATAAATGGGAAACATACAAGTAATTAGAGACCCAAAAATGAATGCAAATAAAAAATTCAATGTTACTATGCATCAAAAATTTCGAAACCGGAATAGTGAAAACATTATATAACTAGACAGCGAAAAAATATATTTAAATATAACGAATTAAAAAAAGCTATTCAAGCTCGATGCATTCACAACATAATGCACTTCAATTATCAAATTTGACATATTTTGCACACCCGTAGAAGTTATTCAGAAATTCGACTACAGTAAATTTCTATGAACATCATTTCGAACATAAGTGTATTCTCCACTCATATCCAAATTTTGATTCATTCGAACTGCATGAAAATCGTTTCGAGAAAACGGACCATCGCTGAAAATATTGATTAAGATTAAGGTTCGCATTAAAAAAAATGATCTTACAATTGATGATGTGGGTGATGTTTTCTTGGTGTGAAACTTGAAGCAGCTGACGGTGGTGGCATTTTTGGAGGAGATGGTGGATAAAATTGTGGTGGGTCGGGTTTGTTGTAGTCGGTTGTTGTGGATTGAGATGATGCACCTGTAAATATAGGAGATGTTTTTGCTGCTTTGTTCAGCTTGTAATTTCAGCTATTTAAAAATTGGTATAATTTTGTTTTTTTTTGGAATACAAAGTGAAGTTTTGTACAACATATTAATTATTTTTTATATTTTCAAAATTTAGTTTCAGAATATTCTGTTGTTCAAAACAAAAATCAAATTGACCCAATTTCTCTTTTCCGTTACTTTAGCTACTGTTTGTTATACAAACATCTAGCAATCGACTCATCAAAGTAACATGCCGCTTATCTTGCCTACCTTTCCCCCTAATAAACTCCTAATCCTTTCTATATTCTCACCTTTAATTGGTGTGCTTGGTCGAAGACATTTACACAAATAGCAGACAAGCATCATAACTCCACAAATCGATAAAATAATGATTGCCGAGAAGAGTAAGACAAATAAACCACTGACTGTAGTTAATGGATCGAGTTCAATATCTAAATATTTATAGTAAAATACAGGGTGTTTTATTTATTTTCATATAAAACCCACTCTGACAATTTGCAGCAAGTTGTTTTGAATGAATCAAATCTTCACCATTTGAACAATCTGCATATTTGTCACAAGCCAACTCAATTGGAATACATTCTCCATTTCCACACGAAAATTCACCAGTCACACAATTTCCGGTTCTTGACACCCTGTATGATCCCCAGTGTAATTTGAAACCTTTTGATGGTTTCCCAGAGGCTGATACATTTGCGTGCCACCATAAAGTCATTGCATTTTTTGTGCTGACATTTAAAATACGGTTTTCGTAATGACCGCAAAATTGGCCTAGAAAATTATTTTGTCGGTGAAGATCAAAAAACTGTGGAAAAATGATACCTATTATTGGGCCAGGCGATGTTATGTCATCGATGCGGGGAGGTGCATAACTTTCCGGGTCAACTGTTGTTTCGTGCTAAAAATAAGATTCGTATATTTATTGAGTTTTTGAAAAGGAAAGACAGATATTTATTTACTCAAATATTATAACTGTTTTTTTCTCGTCCCAGCCAATTAACTGTTTTTGAAATAAACTTGTTGATCTTTTCACTATATTTTTATTTTGAGAATGTGTTGTTTTTATGCTTACATCAAAAATATGCAATGTATCCTTTTCACAAGTTCTTGAATTCGGCGATGTTGTCACATCAAAAACCAATGCTCGAACTCTAATATTATATCCAACCGGTGCAACAAGCATCAAAACACAATTTCTGCTTGAATTATACAACTCTTTTCCATACAATGAATGTGAATATAGGATTCCAGAAAATCCGGCAAGTCTTCGATCAAGTCGAGCTTTACATTCGTTTCTTGCATCGTGTCCATCGAAAAAGCCTAAAAATATACTACGTCTTTTTGTTATCTGATGTAGTTTTTGGTTATTTCTTCCAGTGACACATTTACTCATCCATCTTACTGATTCATATGGGAATAAATGTTGTGTTTATGAACACAGTTGGAAGAAAAGAAGGGGAAAAATATGATGCATTATTTTTTGAATGACAGCCTTCCGGGAAATTGAAAATATTTGTGAAATCTGTGTGTCTTATTGGAATATTTTGAAGCGTGATAATTAATTGAAAATTGAAAATAACAACAAAATTTGCTGCAGAAATGATTGGAAACTGGGAGCTTGATGTTTTAGAGTTCAGAAAGTTACCTTCAAAAATAAATGTCTTAATTTATTTTTGAGAATCCGTGGAATATTAGCAAGAAAAACTATTTTCAAAGCATAAATATGAAAGTCGTGAATATATCACCGAATTTATAGTAAAATTCTAAAAATGTTGGATTAATCTGAAAGCTCGGTTTTTGTTTAAATACGATAAGGAACTAGATAACTTCTAGAGAAAACATTTTCAAACATTTTCATGACTCTTTCACTGAAAAAGTAAGCCCACTAGTTTTAATTTTAAAAGAATTTAAAACATACTTGCGATAGGTTCCGCAGCTCCATTCAGCACAATAATAACCAGTAGAAATAAGGTAGTCCAGCGCATCTGAAAAAGAATACTTTCAGAATATTTGAAACGAATAAAAAAAAAGAACGATCAAAAAAGAGTATATTAACCTATATAAATTAATATTATATATCAGAAGTGCAAATAAGGTCAGGCCAAGTTAGGCCAAGTAACTAAAGTAAATAAAAAATCAAAACTAAAAAGCTACAAATACCCTCGCTCATATTTCACAGCACCTACTAAACATGTTGCGCGATTTATGACTCCCTTAAGACACTCCTCTTTTTCTTTTAGGCCACGCCCATTTTGGAATGTTTCGAAAAATGTATATTTTGAGGAAAATGCAATAATAGTCAATAAATCATTGATAACAATATTATTGATAACTGACTTTTTTGCCATATTATTCTTTCTTAACACTTTGAGAACAAATCATGAAGGTGAATATAATAGAATTAATATTATGAAAAATTGGATTTCAATTTAAATGAAAATCATGAAAAAAAAACATGACAAAAAATAAATTGTACATAAATAAATGATATACGAGTGTGGCTCTATCTAGGAAGGTCACATACATCCATCATTTTTAGAAAGGAATGATTGACCAGATGAGCCTTATATGATCCTTTGACAGATCCACCCGACAATTTCTCCTCCCTAATAAGAGTCTGACTGGATTATTCTTTTGTTGTTGAATTGCTAATTAGAATGTTACTTGTTGTCAGAATATTGAATGAGTAAGAAACGTGGATTACTGTAGATATGTGAATAGACAAAACAAACATGAGAGTAGAAGTCAACGAATAAAACGATAAGTGAAAAAATCAAAATGTGAGAATATGTACATCTGGGTACAATGGCTGACTATTTTTTAACAGAACATCTGGGAATAGAAAAGAAAAACGAAAACTCAGAGAAGTATGAGAAAATTAAAAACTTCGAATTTGGAAAAATGTGATAAGACCAGGACAATATCTGAATTTTGTAAGTTTAAAACTGAAAAAAAATTCAATCATCGCATAAGCATATTCTTTTTGTGAATATACAAAATCAAAACTTAGTAGACTATTTGATAAACACATTTCTTCCAAAAAATTATAAATGCAAAAAAACCGAATAATCAAATTCGATTACAGAAAATTAGGGGTTGTCGTAAACCTTTTCAATATAATCATATTGATAGCAGTTGGCTTTTTTTGTCTAAAAAAACAACAAATATAAATTTAAAATAAAACCACCAATAAATTGTGGACACAGTTAATATATCAAAAATGAAATTAATGTGTCTCATCCTTTCTTCTTTTATAAGCCACCCACCTCGGCAGTCCGCCAAAAAGCAATTAATTAACTGGTTGGTCAAGACAAGAAAAGAGGAATTGTTGCGTTTCAAACCGCAATATTTCATATGAAATGAGCTGAAAACGGGTGTGCTCTTTTCGTTTTCTTTTCGTCTTCAGAAGTCTTTTTCTCGAGCCACCAAAAGTGATTGATGACGACGAACGACACCACCAAAAATGGTGAGGGACTTAACTTTCTGTTTTTGAAACAAATATACACCAGAAACTAACTAGATACAATAGGAAAAGAAATATAAATAGAAATGAACAAATATGAAAAGAATCTGAAAATTGAGAATAAAAAATAGGCAGATGTTCTTCGACACGCTCTTCCATTTTTTCTCCTTTTCTTCTGGCAGATTGTAAATCTGTTGGCAACAGGCACCAGGTAGTCAATGATTGTTTTACAAGCTGTCTTCTTTTCTATACAAAAAGAAAACTTGTAAAAAAGTTTGATTGTGAACATCTGCCGGGGCTTAGAAAATATTGAATAGAGTAGAAAAGTCACTTTTTTTGAGATGATGAATAACATAAATAGGAAACATTGTGTAAGGACATCTGGAGTTTTTTATTTTTTTTTGTCATTTTGTTGATAGGAAATGAAAGAGTTCTTTCTACAAGTTAGGAAAGAGGGGTGAACCACTAGAACTTTGCATGATATTACAAAACCGTATGGAAAATTAAGAACACAGCGTACCAACTTTAAAAACGCGGATGTTTAGAGTATTGAAAGTTTAAACGTATGTATTTGAAAAATAATGTCTGGAACAAAATAAGTTGAAGATATATCGTAAATCCAGAAAACTCAATATTTGAAAAAAAACGGGAAATACAAAATCTAAAAATTCAAAATATTCCATATTGTATTGTAAATGTTCAGCTTCAAAAAAATTACTTTTTTTTATTTTGAAACGATCCCTTTTTTCATTACTAATATCATAGTTTGGGTGGCTATACCTTTGTGCAATTAAATTCAGAAAATGCAGTAAAAGCAAATTATAGGTTGTGAAGTTTTTGTTCTTACACCCCATTGTTAACACCCTCATTCAAATTATTTTTCAAGTCTGAGTTTCAATCGATAAATTGAAAAAAATTCAAATGAGATACACTGAGACGCGGTATAGAACCAGGACCTTCTGATTCGCTTCCTAACACTCTACCACTATACCAGTGATCTCTGCGGAAACAAGTCGTTCAATAACACTATATGATATGGTTCTCTACATTCAATATTTTTCGAAAGAGAAAGAGAGAAAGAAGAAGCAAAAAAAAGAATACATAGAAAAACTAATAAATTTACATCACACATTTTCGAAATCAAACAAAATAAAAAGAAGAAACAATAATAATGATTATTATGATATTAATGAGCTAATAAATGTTTCAATATGAGAGAAGATAAAAAGGGTCAGCTGGTAGCTATATAAAAATTGAAACAAAACTCTTGGTTGTTTTTGTGTTTCTTTTTTGCTATATTTTCTATCTTTCTCTAAATCTCTCTGTCTTCCTCAATCATTCGATGCGTGCTAAAACCGATCATTCAATCTTTTCCGAGCATATCCATCAATAATTGTTCGATGACAATTGTTACAATTGTTTTGTGTCTGTCTGTGTTCCAGTCGCGCACACAAAGTTTTTTTTATCTAAATTTTTCCGGATCCGGCTCAAAAATTGATAAAAGTTTGACAGTAAAAGAATAAGTGTGAAAGTTAATCAAAAATTCTTGGGACAACATGAAAACTGTTGTCAACTCCAAAGTTCCGTGAAAATAACTCAAAAAACTAATATAAATTTGATCTACATTTTTTAACAGAATCTGAATATCTCAGAATGTATTTTATGTTCTATCCAAAACGTTTAACAAATGTTTTAAGACCTGATACATTTTTTTTTCAAAACTTCGCAGCTCTATCCGGCCCTGAAATCTACATGGGTTTTGAAATTTTCAATAATATTTTCATATATTTTTTTTGCTTAAGTGCTATTTTGACAGCACTTCAGCTAGAAAAATGTTTCAAAATCTCTCAAATTGAGACAAATTTCAATTTACAAGAAAATTTGGTAAAAACCGTAACAAAAAATAATATGCAAAAATAACAACAATCATAATAATAAAATAAAAAATTATCATAATCTAATCTTATTTTTTCTTCTCCTTTTTTCGCCTAAACACCACATCAATTATTACGCAAGGGACAATACTAATATGTACACACTACTCAAATGCGCAACTCTTATCATGATTTATGGCATCGTTACTGATTGACAATAATGAATAAATAAATAAAAGTGTGCAAAAAATAAAACATATTGTACATAGAAATGGTTAAAAAGTGTATTCATTCACAGCGGGATTGTCATTTTCGAATTTATTGTGTCTTTTTTTTGTTCGGAATGAAATAAGATTTGAACGAGATTGATGATGGTTTATGAACTAGTTTTGAAGACATTTCAAAATATAGATGAAATTGATTTGCAGAACTTTCCTAACATTAAGCAATATAAAAAATTAACATGAAAGTCTTGATGTTCATTGATGTTCGAAATGCCAGTACAATTAAGACCAAATAAATTGAAATTTTTTCAAAGTTAGTTTTGAGATAATTTATAAAAAATGAGAAATTCGGGCATGTAGAAAAAATCCAGCAAATATTGAAGTTTGAAAACATTTCATTATCTAAAATTTGGAATACGTTAAAAATTTGAACATATGACCCCAAGTTTAATATATTTTCGAAACTCAAAAACAAACAGAAAATGTGTTGATAATAAGAAAGCTTATTCAAAAAACTCCGGCTCTTTATCTCAACCACAAAGCCCAGAAAATCCCATAAACAACGCTTTCAAAAAAGGCATAAAACTAATAAATAAGATAAATTTCGGCCATTTACACTCGACTCGTTTTTTGTTGGTGTGTCCGTCTGCCACCAACAGAAAAATATGGGTGTTTCTTAGAGAAAAAAAGAGAAGAAGAATATGCGGCTCTCGGATCGGATCCCATTGGGAACTAAACGAAATTGTCATAACCATGTCAATCAAAGACTCTCACTTTTTTCTTCCTTTTTTGTGCTTCTCAAATATCCTTTTATTTTTCTTTATGAAAAAAATAAAATACAAAAATACAATTAAAAGAGAGAATGAGAGAGAAACAGTAATACAGTAAAACCCAAACAAAAATGGGATTAATTGTACATGGAAAGATTTGAAAGTTTCACAAAAATAATCATTTTCAATAACAAAATGAACAATTTGTCTGACACGTTGTGTGTTCCATGGATAAATTGATGAAACAAATTAACTAACACGGGGAGTATAAAAAGATGAAATAAAATGAAATATTGTTTTTTCTTGGAACTGGATTTTTTCCTAATTATATTAATATAAAACTGAAAGAGAGGTATCGCCAGGTTGAAAAAATAGAATAATAAAAAATATATGTAATTAAATTTGGACGAAAAAATGAAACCAATGAAAAAATGAAATCAAGTTGAATCGATATCCTGAATCGATGTAAAGGGAAAATATGTAAAAAAAAAGAAAAGAATTTGAAAGAAAAAACTATCAGTAAACTATGAAAGAAAAGGGGTTATTGAAAGTTATTTAATACTATTGAATACCTAATGGGTCTGACTGACCACTATATCATTCTTCTTTATCACGTGCCAATTTATGTCATTGCGCTTTTCTTTGCCGATGTCACAACTGAAGTCGAATTCGATGGACCAGGTGCGTTAGTATTTGTGTTATGATCAGCAAAAATTATATGTGTGGTAAACATATATTTTTCACCACATTGAGTTCCGCAAAGTGCACATCGGAATGGATCGCCTTCAGCGTGCAAACTTTTGTGCAAAAGGTACATGGTGTTGTCAAAAAACATAAGTCCACAATGATTGCATTCCTGAAACGATATATTTTATGTTTTTTTTTCAAAGAAAATGATTACAGAGAACAAAAATTGTTAAGTCTAAAAGGTTCAATTTTTCAATTTGTATAATTATAAGTTACTAAAACTCTAGGTTGTAAGTTGATAATATTGAGATTGAACCAAATTATATGCTAGAAAACCAACATAAAAATCAAACAATTTTCTTCTCTTCTCATCAATGTTTTCAGGAAAATGTTCTTCACCTGGACCTTGATTTCAGAATTGTAATTGTTTAATATACATATGTATAATGGATAAATGTTCTCGTAAAAATTAATGATCAGATAATCCCAAAATATTTTTTTTCCCAAAATACAACTACATATGTATTGTTATTTCCTATTATTCCCTATATATTCTCATTTCCAACAAAAACAGGAAAAGTTAATAATTTCCCGTTGTTTTTCATAAAAACTTACCACATTCTCATCTTCTTCTTTTTCCGGACTCGGTGATTTTTCAGTCATCACATTAATATCTTCCTCCTCTTCTTCTTCTCCCTCTTCGCCATCAACTTCAATTTCTTCTTTTTTCGGAATACTCAAATCTTTTGGTGCATTGTCTGGTGTTCCAGCTTTTGGGGTCGACATTTTTGAGAGTTCAGCTGATGGTGAATGCGATTGCTCACTGGGACTTGGAGCACTGACACTGACTGAGCTTGATGTTTGTTCTGACCACAGTTGCACTGATTCTTGCTTGATGGGGTTTGGAACAGTTTGCGGAACGGCTTGAGTAATTTGTTGTTGTAAAGGAAGTTGGAAATTTGACATTCCCATGAGAGCTTGTGGGAGGTTATCACCAAAACTTGGAAACTGTCCTTGGCTGATATTTTGAAGACACAACATCAAAAGATCCTGGCTTGATGGGAAATTCTGCGCCTGAAGAAAAATGAATAAAAAAGATCTCACAGACAGTGTGAAGAATACAACTCACCAGTAAATCATAATCAGTGTTCATAATTGGGTTCTCTGATGTTGTTCCAACAAAATCAGACTTGACCAAATTTTGAAGTTGTTCCGAAAAACTCAAAGATGACGACTCGGAAACATTGGCACTCAACTTTTTACGTTTTGGTGTTGATTCACGTTTGGCTGGGGAGGAATTTGATTGCTGAAAATAATTGAAAATGTATGAAATTTTGATTCAAAACAGATTGTACCTCTGATTCATCGTGTCGAGTTTGATAATGTAAAAGTAATCGGCGAGAATTTGCAAACATCAAATTGCATCGTTTACAAGATGCCTGATTTCCAGATGAAATTACATGTGTTTCTTCAAGATGTGTTCTAGAAAAATCGAAAGTTAGATATGTAAAAAATGTAATGCTGGAGGTGTTTACCTTAAAGAATTATGCTGACTGAATTGCATTGTACAATGAGCAACCGGACAATCAAATCCAAAACCCGTTTTAATATGTGTCATTGAATGCTCTTGCATCTGAAAAAAATGTATGATTAAGATTTTCTCACGTTCAGAGATGTTATGTTAGGATTCTTGAGGAGGATTCATTCCATGAATTTGAAACTCCTAATTATGAAGCCTGTATTTTGAGAATTGAAAAGTGTTTAAGTCAACTTTCAATATCAAATTTGAGTTTGATTGTTCTCTAACACTATTCAGGGCTCGAGTTTAGTCAACAATTTTTGAACAACTCAATGCAGAAGTTCCAAATTAGTCAATAATTGATCGACAAATATGAACCATTGCGCTTTTCTCATAAACGTCCCTCACAATTTTCCAACTTTTTCTTGGCCTTCTTTTTCTTGTTTTGCACACTTTTATCATTTTAATTGGTTTACAGCACAAAAAATGTTTTGGTTTGTTTTGATTTCTCAAAAATTCTGTACTTTGTCTCGAATCATTTTCCCATCCAATTATTTTTCTTTTCTCCTCTTCAATTATTAATATCTTTCTCTCTCTCAATATTTTCGAAGTTTTTATTTTTTTTTTCTCCCTAATCACTTGCTCCCAACTAACGTCATGATAAAATGAACTCATCGAAGCGCGAAGTGGAAAACCGAAAAATTGGCGAGAAAAAATCTAGATATATTCCACCTTTCACTTATTACAATTTAAGAATAATGACTTTTTTGTCTTCGGCATTTTTTCGGGACGGGCAAGCAGGCAGGGCTGACGGGGGACGGACGGGAAAGAAATCAAAGTAGAGATAACAAGCTTTTTAAGAGAAATAGAGAGAGTTGAGAAAAGGTATGCGCGGGGGCAACAAGGGAAATAGAAAGAAAAAAGGGAGAGCGTGCCTGATTTTCTCTTCCTCCCCAAGGTCTTGGGCTCGATGACCTTGAGGAAAAAAGATGAAATTGAAGCGAAAAAAACGGGTATATGCCATCTTCGTCTTCTTCCCGGAGGAGGTCGACCTTGCCGATCCAAAAAACGTTAGAAAGATCAATTTCACTTTCGGTTTGATTACGAAGAAAAAAAAAGTGAAAAAAGGAGAAAAAAACAGGATTTTTTATCTCATAAATTTGCATTTTGCTAGACATTGAATTGCGCAATTCAAAAAAGAAAATTTTGAAAATACAACAAACCTGGTCTTTCCGGAAAAATCTCTTCTTACAAAAACGACATTCATACGGCTTAACACCGCTATGCCTCATTCGATGGCGATGCATATTTGCCTGAAATTTGAAAAGTTATTGATTGATCTTTCCTTAAAAAATTAATCCACCTTTTGACTGAACTGCATTTTACAAACATCGCACTGGTACATTTGACCTTGATGGCGTTCGTGTGCTTCCTGAAAAACAATATGAAATCATGTGATCTTAGTTTTTTTTTGGGAGAAATCTGATTATTTTCGAGGTCTTTTTTTGGGAACTCGTGGGATACAAGTACATGTCTGACGATTAACTATCTCAAAATTGTCTATGATTCTTTTCTAAAATGAAAAAAAAACTTCTGTCGAATCCGTCCCTTCGATTTTCAAAGGACGGAAGTGATTTGGTTGTCCAAAGCACAAACAATCTTATTTTTTCAAGAAAGAGTCAACTGGACAGTATTCCCTTTTTCCGCCAAACTAAAGTAAACATTTTTCTATATACTAGTAGCCATCTCATCCTGAGAAGAAGCACCATCTCGGTCATGTTTACACAGTGACTGACTGACTTACCTTTCCAACGTTTTCCAAAAATGGCAAAAACATTTTTAAAAATAGAAATATTATCGAATATTTTCTCTCTTTTTTGTTAATAAAACTGAAATTTGGGCAAAATCTTTGGGGATTTTTCTGAACTTTTGGTTTGATTGGGAGAAAAAACGCACTAATTATTAATCATAAAAATAAGCGAGAAAAAAAATATAGTGAAAAATGATTGCTTTTTGTTACTATCGAGCAAGAAACAACAGGAAATTTGAGCTCCGCCCACTTTTTAACACTTACCAAATGGCTTTTCATATGTTGTGACATACACGTGGTGAAATTGCAATGTGGACAAATGTGAACTTGTTTTGGAGTTTTGGTTGAAGGCTCTTCTGAAGAAAAAAGGAATTTTAAATATGAATGCAAACATTTATCGGGTTACTTTTATTGAGTAGATTCGTGATCTCTGATATGGCAATTTGTTCACTTGAATTTGGACTAGGTGTTGGATCAGTTGGAGGTGTTGATCGAGGTGATGGAGTAGCTGATTGACTACCTTCTGTCCATTCAATACTCTGAAAAATTTAATTTTGAAAAAAAAACTAATCTCTAGCTAAACTTTTTGAAAAAAATAAAGTTTTTTTCGAGAAACAAATCATCTACATATTCCATTTTATGTTGAAAAACGATTTTAGAAAAAAAGTGTCGACTTTTCTACCGTATACCTAATCAGATTTTATTGCTTTTTGTCGCATTAGACTTTTGCACCTGCTTTTTATCCAATGTTGCGAGCAACGACATTTATCTTCGAAATATTCTTACTGTAGTTAGTCTATTATTTTTTTGTGATTTAATGAGAGACAGATTGAAAGGCTGGTCTACCCCAAAAAATTGAACATGCGGTTTCTCCTCGAGAAACATATTTTTCAAATCATTGCAAAAACAAACCTGTGAATTGGACATTTCTCCACTGGATGATCGACTATGCTCAATTTCGTGTTTTTCTGTAACGGTTTAATATGTAATATCGGCTGTCAACAACAAACTGGCAATTAGATGCCAGAACCTGATAAATCCCACACTTACCAATATGCCCTTGAAACTCCGAGTATACTGTAGTTGTGAATCCACACTCAGTGCACGCATTTAACTCATCCATTGTTTGAGAACAATCTGAATATCAATGATTATATTGAAAACCCGAAAAAACACTGTAGGATGTTTACGGAACTCGCAAAAAATATGAATAATATATACCGGAAGAATAAAGAGAAAAATTGGAGGGAAAGTTGTGATAAGAAGAAATAAAAGAGGAGGAAAAATAATTATAACCCTACGAAATTGGCATGTTCACGGATTTTTCGTTGCTCGCAGAGCACCCAACAAATATTGAGTGACTGAGTGGTCGGAGAGCCTAACTAACTTGTTGTGTTGACTCAAATTGACCTCAGCTTCTTTTTTCTATTATTTTATTTACCTATACCGACCCTTGGATCTCTACGCTAGGATTACTGTAGTTCCTTCCATCGACAAGCAAAAAAAAGGAAAAATAATAATGAGAACACCTTTGGCTAATTAAAATAAGAAAATTTTATCAAAACACCGCCTCCAAACTAATGAACCTTTTCTTTTCTTTGGTTGTCGAAAAAATTTATTCAAGAAAAAAATGAATAATATTTTCATTGTTGTTGTTATTAATAATAATAAAGTTATTACCTAACAAGTATCCAAAAAAACTTTTTTGTTACACTCGAGAGATTCTGGCCAGCTGTGGTAATTGGTAGTGGATTATTGCCTATGTGAAAAAAAACGAACAAAAATAGGAATGGAAACTTTTGGGTTACGGTATCTCACATCTGTTTTTTATGTATTTCGAGATTCGAGAGACTGTTTTAAAAGATTTCATTTTTGAAAAAAAATGTGATAAAACGAAGTAGCCAAAAAATTACAGCACACCTGGGACAATTTTCGAAATTTTTTCCCTGTTCATCGAGTTTGAAAAAATTGTTTTGCTCATTAGAACAATCACGGTGAATATGTTGACCCCAGACTTCCGTTCTGAAGTAGAATAAATTTTACTATCGCAGTGAGCAACAAGAAAAATTAACTGATTTTCAGAACTTCGATAAAATGAAATTAGGCACAGACGCAAAGAAACATTGCAAAAAATTAAAAACTCGCTCGAGTCAATTTCTCGAGATGTGATGCAGCTGGCATTACAGTATTCAAGAGGGCAAGAAACTTCCAAGACAAGTCAAAGAAAAAAAATGATCTGGGGGTAGTGCTGTAAAGCGTTGTGAAGACAGTCAAAAAAAATGAAGAATAAGAAGAAGAAGAAGAAAAAAGTAGTGAAATGACAACGACGACACGGTTTGGCATTTATTCATTTAGTATGATGTTGAAGACGAGGAATAAAAAAGAAGAGGCAAAAAGATAGCGCGCGCGCGACGGTGGCAGGGTGCCATTGGCAAAAAACAAGCTTTTTGCCCTTCCTACATTCATATATTTTGGTTGTATTTTCCTTTAAGAAGATGCGAGGGAGGGAGTGAGGGAGGGAGGCAAAAAATGGGAGGAGATGGAGAAGGAGGGATACAATCATAATAATAATAATGATCATAATGAACCAACCTGAAGACGCAAAAAACCGATGTTAACTGTCTGTCTGTCAAAACGTAACCCAATGAAAAAATGAAGAAAGGAAGAAAAAACGAAACGCAAAAAGCAAAAAAAAAAAGAAAAATTGAGAGTGGCAAATCAGGCAAGGTTAAGGAGGGGAGGGAGGATCTTATACAGGCAAAGGCAAGCCATAGGAAAAAAGACGAAGGAAAAAAAGAAAAGAAAAAACCCGGTTTTTTTCTTATTGCATCGTCTCTGGAACATACATAGTAATGACCTTAGGCAATAGATAAGATGGTGGAATACATACAAAAAGACATCCTAACAAAAAATCTTACTAGGGGGGAAAGACAACACTCACACATAAAGTATGGGGGCGGAGCAAACGAGTTGTTGAATTGGGAGCTGGTTATAATTATAGGTTTTGGATAAATTGGGGTTCGAAGTTTTACGATTTCTAAATTATATAGAACTGATCTTGTGTAATTTTCATAAACTTCAATATTTGCTCCAATACCTTTTTTGGAATCACTGACATTGAGAAAAACAGGCCAAAGTTCTCAAAACTTCATTTTCCTATTGATAATCTTTTATAAGTTTGCTAAATGATTTCAAAAAATTGTTGAATTTTAAAAAGCTCGTTAATTTCTATTAGAATGGGATTTTTTTTCACCCTCTAACCCTTAAATGTAATCGAATTCTTAAATCAAGAATATTTGAAAACACGATGTTTTTTTTGAACTGGAGCTAAAAGAGCCACTAGATATTAAAAAAAAACCTAAATTCATAACTCGAAACTTAATGAAAACCCCTAAAAATAATCAACTTTTGATATCCGAAATTTAAACTACTGTAAGTATCATGAAAATTAAAATAATCTGTCGAAGTACCTAGCATAAAATTAATTTTGGACGTAGTTTTCTAGCAAAAAATGATTTCAAGATAAAAATTAATAACCACTTGCACTTTTTTCTTGACATCACAAAGAAAATGAACTTTTTAGATTTTAATTCGAATTTAAGTAATAAGTTTTTATGGTTGATTTAGCTTGCAACTCACATGAACTTTCTTCCCAAGCAGTAATAATTCTCATAAAATGACTAATCAAACGGCGATGGCTTTTGATTTTATGATAAACGCAAACAAATAGAATTCAAAAAATGAAAATATTGGACATCAAGCAGGTGGAAAAATCCACGAATCAAAATGATATATGATCGAGAATAAAAATGAAGTGAAAATGTTGCGCACAAATTAAGTTCGGGCTCCGATATTTGATTAACTTTCCTCCGGAGCAATTTTTCAAACTATTCATGCTCATTATTTTCTATTAGTGAAAAAAAAAAGAATATTGAACGAATTAGTTTCAATAAAATCTTTTCATCTCACCGACTAATTAAGAGGCACAAATAATATGGAGAAAAAAAACGCCAAAAGATGTGTATATATTTTATTTGTTGTGTTTCTTACTGATAAACGTGGGAGATTTTGTGAAAAATGTGTGTGTTAAAACAAAAAATAGACAAATGATCTATCCATGCACACAAACATGTATATAATACAGTATGTAATCCGAGTACTACTTGCGGGAAAGGATTTTCCGGCGGGGAGATGAGGATAATCCGCCTGTATGGACAACCCCAAATCGAAATCCGACTGGCTGGAAACAATCCTCACAAAACTGTTCGATTTAAATCAACCAGTTATTGACGGTGGCGGTTGTGGCGGTGGCGGGTTTTTCGAAACAACGGATCGGATTTTTTCTCTCTCTGTTTGAATGGGTTTTATGTAAGGATTGGAAAATTCGTCCAATTATGGTTTAAAACGTGTTCAAATGTTTGGAACAATATTTTTTGAGAAAAAATGTTTTCTGTTTGAAATTTGAAACAGAACATGAATGTTTGAAGTATAATTTAAGATGTTGATATCGCCTTGAAACAAATTTGAAGTTAAAAAAAAATATGTGATAAACCGTCCTATAAAACTCTGTAAGACTTTGATTTTTCTGGAAACAAATGAAGATGATCTTTTCGAAACAGTGTCACGCTTCTAAACATAGGAAACTTATTTTTCACAAAAATTTCTTCCTATCACTCAAACAACATTTTTTTTTTTGAACTTTTTATTGTTACATTCTCAAAAAATTCTAGAACATTTTTGAACCATCGTAATAAGAACAATTGTTATTTAAAATAAACCTAATAAAAGCAATTTGAAGTTTGTTTTCCGAGTTTTGTCCAGAATGTTAACAATTTCTCTATAGTACAATAACATTTATTTCTCAATTTTATTGTTTTTTCAACAGTCCAAACGTTTCCAGCAACTTCCTACAAGCATTTTTTCCCATAGGATTACTGTAACCTATGCTAATTATGTCATCATACGCAATCGTCTCGATTGACACTTGAACTCGAAAAAAAACTTTTTTTTTCAATATGCATATTATTAGTGGATTAAAACAAAAAAGTTTTCTTCCCAAAACATATAATTAACCAAATCTTCATGGGAACGTTTTCCCTCTTTTTTTCAATTCGAAATAAAAAACACATCTTTCAACCTTTTTTTTTGCTAAACACTCTGCATGTCTGCACTCTAACCATTCATTGCGAAATTGTTTATTTGTTGTTATTCCTCTTCGTCTTTTTACTAGAAATATTATCATAATTATTTTATATTTAAATGTTTCATTTTCATTTTCAAAATTTTATTTAAGATAAATAATGGAAAAGGATGTTGATGGATCAATTATAGAAACTTGTAAATTATTAGAATGGTGGGTTTGTTTTAAATAAAATTTATTTGAAATAATATGATGTTTTCAGCACTTTTGCCAATGAAGAAGATATAGAATTTGATAACACACAAATTTTCGAATTTTTTGTAAAATGTATTTGGCGTATTGATGGCGAAACTGAAAATCGATTACCATCTTACGTTTTCCCACGACACATCACTGAAAGACTGAAACAAGCAACGATCATTTCAAAAATCTTGGAAAGTTGGAAAATTTATGGCGATATTAGTTTTCACAACATATTATACGGTTCTATTAACACATTACGTCAAGTTTTTGTTGAGTTGATCAAGAAAATTCCGAGAGAGTTTGATGCAATTGAAATTGAAGGTAAATTTATTAGTGTTAAATAAGAAACGGAAAATATCTTATGAGCCAATAAACCAAACCGGCGATTCTCAGATTTTTTGACAAACATTTTTCAGAAAGACCGAATGAACTTATCGAAATTGCTCGCAATGCTCTGAAATCTGAATCTGATTTGGTCCCATTTATTTGCAGAAACAGCACATATGAGGTTAGCTTTACTTCAACTACTTCAATCATTTTTTGATATATTTCAGCCAGAGATCTTCCACATCAATAGTAATTGCCAGTCATATGATCCACGCACTTGGATATCAACAATCTTTGAAGATTTTTCCCCAAGTTCCTCACTAAAACCATTGAAACCTTCAATACCTTTCAAACCCAAATCATTGTTCAAATCAACTGTATCAAATTTAGAAGTTTTGGAGAATACAAACTCAGATCCACAAGTAGAAGAATATCGGCTGAAACTCAAAGAAGTGTCAGACTTGGAATTGAAATATCAAGAGAAATTTGAAGAATATGAGAATAGTCAGAAAGAGTTAGCCAAACTTCAGGAATCCAATGATAATCTTCGTAATAATATTGGAAAATATGATCCGATGTATATTGAGATATTGCAAGATATTGAAGGAAATGGAGAGATTCTGATGGTGAGATAATTTTTGGGTGAATTGTAAAATAGGACCCGCCAATTTCAATCAATATCCACACCATTCAGTCTTGGTGGAAATTGTTTACTAACTAGAAAAAGTAGAATTTAATGTGGTGGAGTCTGTTCTATGATTCACCCAAATCTTTTTTGAATGAAACATCGTTTTTTGATTTTTAGAATAAAATATTAAGTCTGAATGAACGAATGGAAAAAGATGCTCAACAAGGACTTGAACACAAATCAAAACTGAATGAGGAACTTGAAGAAATCAGGAAGGAATGTTTGGAAAAAGGAGTTGCAACTCGAAGTTTGTCAGAAATTATTGATGAAACCGAAAAATTGAAAGAACAGATTGAGATCGACGAGATTTTAATTGAAAAACTGAAAAAGAAAATTGAGAAGAATGGAGCTCATAACAAATTCAGTTTACTCGAAAAACGATGCACCGATGTAGAAAATATGATTGAAAAACAAGAGAAATATATGAAAAATGTTAGTCATATTATTTACTCTTTTTTTCAATTAAAAATAAACTAAAATCTTTGTTCCAGATAATCGAAGAACTACAAGAAGTTGAGAAAAAACAAGAGCGGGAATATGATATTATTGATCGCTCATTTACAATAATTCTCAACACTTTGATCAGAGTTAGTTTTTATTTTCATGATGGATTTTATTTTTGAATTTTTTCAGAGCTCTGAAACTAACAGAGTTCGAAAACATATTCAAGCTTTTCTGAATATTCATATGATTTCATCCGATATTGTGGAATGCATCAAAAAGTCATCGAAATTGAAATTAGACACTGAGAAATTATATGAGGAGGTAAACATTTTGCTTTTTTTTGCTCCCAAAAATTATTGATAAATTTTCCAGATCACTGTAGAAGAACGCAAAGATTATGATAAGCAAAGAAGATTGATTGAAAACGATATCACGGAAATTGAAAATGAAAATGCTCAACTTATTGATAAAATTAGAAAAATGGACCCCAACTTTAATCTCGATTCAGTTTTACATTAGTTTTATTATGTATACACAATTTTATTTATAACCTCATCATTTTTTTGCCTTTTCTATGAGATTTGTGAATTATCTTACAAAGTCACTTAATTTTTATTTTGTCGGGTAAAACTTTACTTTATGCTCAGTTTTTAGAACGACGTTTTTTTTTGTTAAATATTTGAATGCAATGAAACTATCGTCATTGTAATTGTTGATAACGGCCATTTTTCTGCTCAATATGGAAAAATGAATAAGAAGAAGAGATCATTTAATTGCTGCATGCATTAATTGATAAGAGAAACATTTTTGAATTTTTATTATCGGAGCCAGTGTGCCCAAATACTTTTGGGCGTATCAATTCTTTTCAGTACAAACACATAGTTTACCAACTTTTTGCTCTCTTGGTAGTTTTTGTCTTTTCATATTTTTTTTACAGGAATGATTATCCTCAAACTGTATCTAGTTCTGTTAATATGCATAAATTTGAAATGGGTGACTAGTCAAGAAAATTCAAACATTTTTGTGAATCGATGGATTGAAGATATTGATGACTCAGGTATTACCATTGTTAATTTATTGGAAATTGAAGTATTAAATTTCATCGTTACAATGTTCAAATTCTGAGTTTTGGGTCCGAATTTTAAAAATTTTCAAATTAAGATCATTTTTATCAAAAAAAGTACAGAAACGTTTCATACAGAATAGAAAAGGGGGAAAACAGTGCAACTTTCAGTGTCAACAACATTCTGTGCACATGATGGTTATTTGAATCAAACTTGTCAATGTACTACTGATTATTCTGGATCAAATTGTCTCACGCGACAGTGTCGAAATTTTGGTGTTGATGGAAAATCTTTTTTGAGAAAGGATAGATGTATTTGTCCTCCAGGATTTTTAGGAAAAAATTGTGAACCCGGTTAGTTATTTTTTGAAAAATTTCGTGTATCTTCAAATTAAACTTATTGCTTCAGTTCGATGCGTTGATGGGAATAATGCAGTGTTTCAACAAAGCGGGAAAACCGTAGCTCTTTTGGCAACACCAAATCGGGACATGACTCAATCTTGGACAAATTATAACCCAATTGAACTTATTTGTAATTACACAAGTTATACAAGAATTTTCAGTTTTTCAGGAATTCAGAGAAAAGTGGTAAGTATATTGCCAACAATAGGTATGTTATATACATTCAAAAACACGTTTTGCAGGATCCTGAAGAAGGAAATGCATGTAATCCAAAATATTCTGAAGATCCATGTGATAATTCTATATGTCAACCTCTCGAACTTGCATCCTTGAGAGATTTGGTTACTGCGGTGCCGCCAAATACAATAGTAAGTTTGAGTAGATTTTCCATACAATTTCAAACAATTAGGACATTACGACTTAAGTCTTTCATTCACTTTCTGTGTTTTATTTCTTGTAGTGGTGACAAAATTTTGATAATTCGGTGGTTTCCTCAAAACATTTGGAAATAATTTTTGAAAATTAACATTTTTGAAATAGGTAGGAATCAATATTTTTTGTGATTTCAAAAAAAAAATGACCCGGATCCTTTAACAAGTGAAACACAATAAAATTTTTTCAAGATTTTCGTTGTTTCCAATCAAAAACTCGATTCGACTGATGACGAAGTTTTACAAGTGATAATTGCTTCTGCGATTGCAAAACGTGTTCAAATCAACGTCGTTTTATATGAAACGATTACGGATATTGACTCTCTTAATTTTCTGCGCAACATTGCAACATCAACTCTCGGAAGTTTTGTCAAAAAAGGATATGAACCAGAAGATGCTGAAATTAGTCAAGGATACCAAGTTATCCAAGCTTTGCTGCAAAACTTTGATAATGATATACGACCAGCTGCTCTTGGACTCAATGCTAATCTTCCTTTTCAACCAAACTCCGATGTTTATATCAGTGGTCAAACTGATTATGAACAATGTAACAAAATTCATGTTTGTCTTTTTTAACACCAAATATCAATTTCAGCTTTAACAATCATCAGTTCTTCAAATCAAGCCGTTGAGGTTGTTTTAAGTACAACATTTTGGAAATTGTATAGGTAAAATTATTAAGAAGGAAAAACTTTGAAACATGAAATTATTCAGAATCAATGCATCTTCTTTGAGTTTTATTAGTGTGTCTGGACAATCTGCAGGATCCCAAGTTATCATTTCGACAAAAGACAGATTGAATGTATATTCAGCATTTACAACAGATAAAACGTATGGAACTTTGGAAGCTGCATTCCCAACAACAATTGCTGGTATGTATTCATAGAAATAGCTAGGAATTGAAAAAAAAATATGAAATTTAGAAAATTGAAATTAATAACAAACACACTTTTTTTTCAGGCTTGCAGGGGCATGTTATTTAACGACAAAACATTGATTCATTTTTTTACAGGAAGTTCGTACCCTTTGGTATCACGTTTTGAATATAACGGAACTGTTATTGGAAATTACAATGATATTCGATTGTACAAAGGTTTACTGGATTCTTCATTATTAAATATCAGCAATGCGTTTGCCTACCGGTCTGGTTGCCAATTCAATTTCAAAACCGATGCAACTTGTCAAAAGTCAGATATACAATTTTTATATGTAGGTTCATTTTTAGTCACGATATGTAATTAGCGTTATAATACAATTCTGAAAACACATGTTGAAATCAAACCAATAACATTATTCACACAGGTGCTCTCATCTTCTAACAAGCCTGGTATCGTTCCAGTTTATTGTCTTGATAAAGATATTGGAATATCCACTTACAATTCATTTTTATCAACTCCAAACGCTGCTAGCGATTTTTCGATTCATCAATCTTATGTTGACGGTAAAAAATAAAAACATTTTCGAAATAGCAATAATATGTATTTCAGATGCAATTTGTAGTGCGGAACCGGCAGTGAATGCATATGGTAAACACAGTTTCGTTATCATCAGTCCTAATTTAAAGGATAAGGAAAACAGTAATTTGTAAGCTATTTATTACGTTAGTAGAACAATTTCTATGTTTTGCTAATTTTTCAGATCATCAGTCGATAATTTATACCGCAATCCAAATAGTTTATTCTATCAATTATATTCTTATCTAAAAGCGACAAATCCAAATCAATATTCAAATTATATTGGCGCACTCTATAGTTCAAACCAAATCAATAATCTCACTGTAGAGAATACATATGAATATTTCTTGACAAGGATTATGAATTTCGCAAGTACTTCTCCAGACTATGTTTCAGGAGCAACACCAATTGATATTATTCAGCATATAACAAGCACATTGGAAAATATTAATTTGAAGCCATTTTCTGGTAAGTGTAATTGTTTTTATTATAGTTTCAAACATCAGGTGTTCATTTTTTACAGATGTTTTCGTGATTCTCGATTCTCCATTCAACAATACAACTGATAAATCAACATTATTGACTCAAATTCAATCAAAAAGAATCAGAGTCAGTTTCATAGTTCATAGTTGTATTTGATTATTTTTTTCAGCTCTATATTCTGTATGTTCAAACTTATTCTTCGTTGGAAGACGAGGATTATATATTTTTGAATGATCTTGTTATTCGAAGTTCAGGTGGAATATTATCCGTTTTGAATTCATACGATGATGTGAAACAGGTTAGTTGTCCTGCATTTTCATTATTATGATTCTCAGAGGTTTGCAGTTTTTTACCATGTACACGAATTATTTGGTTGACAATGATTTGATTTTGAGTGGATTTTCAAAAACACCAAGAGCGGGAATAAGTTTGAATGATGCAAATCTTGTGAGAGGAAATTCATATCTTCTTCTTGTCACAAATAGAAACCCGACTATTTTGAGCAGCGGTTCAGTTAATGGTAAATATCAAACCATAATTATGAAAATATGATTTTATTTACAGTAACTGTGAGTTCCATTGGTCCAAGTGCTATTCCAGTAACATCTTTGAATAATTTTGGAGGTATTCAACTGTTTTCCCTTGACATTATTGCAACAGGAAGTTATAATATTTCAATTCTTGGATATTCACAATTGGTAATTACATTGAACGAACGTTAAAATTGATTTTCAATATTTTTCAGTCAAATGCTATCATTTTGGAGCTCATGACATCTCAAAATTATATTGGTTTGACATTTGCAAACAATCAAAACCAACTCAACAATAGTATTGGATTTAACCGTGAGTACAACAGTTTATTTTATCTTACAATTATTTTATTATTTTTCCAGTCGGCGCATTTCAACCATTAATCTACAGTTCTTTTGATGTCACATTGGCAAACTCAAAAGTTCTTATCACTCAAACAACCGATGCTAATCCATCTGTATTGGTTTATAATGGGCCTGTTATCAATCAAACTACCTGTGATTCATCTGAATTATACAATTATGCAACAAACTTCAAATGGGTTTGTAGCCAAGCTGGTGGTCTTTATCGTGTAAAAATTGATCTTGTTGGTACAATTGGAACAATTACTAGAACATTCCCATTGACATGTGCAACTTCAACATCATCAAAATGTTTGAATGATGGAACATTCTCTGATGTTGATATGGTATGTTATAAATTCTGTCAACAGTATATATTGCTTCTTAAAATTGTTAAATATAATTGATATTCTAAAGTTTTTCAAAATAATTGAACATTTTTCCAGAAATGTGTTTGTGCTTTGGGTTGGAGTGGAGATATTTGTGAATTCCCAGTTTGTTTGAACGGTGGATCTCAAACTACAGGAAATACTTGTCAATGTTCTCCTGGTTTTAGTGGTTCACACTGTGAAACTTGTTAGTGAATTTCTATTTATTTTAGAAAAAAACATGTTTTGGAACTAAAATTGCATGATTTTCAGCGACATCAACATGTTCGAATTCTCCATCTTCTCCGGATTTCCGTTCTGATTTATCATCTCTGATAATTGTTGCAGAAACAAATGCACTTAAAGATGTTTATTTGAGTAATGGTGTTGATCTTCTTGGAATTCCTATAACTGTTGTCACATGTGAGTGCATTCAATAGTTTAATTTTAACGTATTTTGTTCAGACAGTGGATCACAAGCAAGCGTGGTTTTGACAACTACCGATGGAAACTTGCTATCTTCTGTATTGAATAAAAATGAGAACGCAGACGAAATTATAGTGGCAAATACAGCTGATAATTTTAATAACGCTCTAAATGTTGCACTCGATGCTCAAATAACGGATAGAAGCTTGTTGGTAGTCATTAGTTCTCAAACTGATTTACAAGTTGACACAAATACTCTTATTCGATTAGCCGCAAAGCGATCAGAAATTCGATTCATTACAACTACCGATGTCACTGATTCATTAACAACGTTCTCTTTGATTGGAAATTCTATTCCAATTACAATCAAGACAGCTGATAAATTGACCGCGGTAAGATACAATGTCATGTCAGATAAATTCAAGAACATTTTTCAGTTTTTCGAAAATTATATTGTTGCAATTTTTAATGGATTGAATTCACAAAAAGTATTCAACGTCTATGAAACAGATTTTATGAATGTCGCTAAAGATGTTACTATTCCTGCTGATTCAACTGATGGTAGCACTGATAATATTGTTTTACTTCAAGTGTTCAATGGAAGTTGGAAAGCTGGTTAGCAAATTTTTGATTTTTATTAATATTCAATTTATTTTTAAAGCCACCAAAACGGCAGTTCAATTCAACAGTGGCTCATACAATCTATATGTTTTTAAAGATGTCGGAACCAGTGAGTTTTTGTATTCGCTCTTTTGTGAACTATGTTTTAAATATTTCAGGTGAGGATTTCACATTAACTTTGAGAATTACCAGTGGTGCTGATAAACTTTATTATTCTATTGAGAGAATCAATTATCTTAACGTGAGTAATTATGAAAACCAACTTTTTCGAAATTGATTTTGTAGACTGCTTATGGATTCAGTCAAACTACAGATGGAACAGATGAGCAATTGATTATTGGCGCTCGCAATAGTCAAAACAACGTACTCTCTATTTATTCAGCTCCTTCCCCTTCAACTCTGCCATCAGCAAATCCACAAGAATTGCCCTATCTTGAAATTCGTGAAATTATAGGCAATGGCAGTCTTGATGCGGTTCAAACTGTTTTATTCACCAGAAAACCAACTGGATGTTTATATACACATTTTTCGTCATTGAATATTTGTCAAAAATCTGGCGTCTTGGGATATCAAGTTAGAGTAAGCTTACAATAATTGTTCATTTCTTCTACCTTTTTAATAATCAAATTATAATATTCATTATTTTCAGTTAAACACAAGAAACAGTCGTCTCGTTACTAAACAGCAACAGTTTATTTTGACGTGTCATAACACAAGTAATTTTTAATTATTGTGTTGCAGTATAGTGAATAATTTTTCCAGAATATTCAAATGGTGATACATCGTGTGGTGGAAATGGATCACCAAACTCAATTTGTTCTTGTGATTCAGGTTTCAGAGGAATAGATTGTAAAGAGCCCATTTGTGTCAACGACGGAGTTCGTGATGTGTCAGTTTGTCGTTGTCCTGTACCATATTTTGGTCAACGTTGTGAAACAGCTGGTAAGTACAAACTAATTATTTCCAATCTCGAATTTCATCAAATAGTAATACAATTACTTATAACAAACCTATTTTTAAGCATTTCCGTGTAAAATATTATTAATATATATTTTTCACATTTGATATAGATTGAACACTTAAATTTAATTAATTCATAGAAATCCTTTTTATTTATGTGAATTTGAAAATTGAAGACCTAAACAATCAATTTTCATTTCAGAATACACAAATCAAAGAGCTGTTGCATTTGTTCTAGATTTGGTGGGCGCTGATGATTATGCATACAATGAGACAATTGTGAGTTTTTAAATAAATATCTGATAATAATGATTTGTTCAGAATACCGTTAAAGCATATTTCAAAGCTAATACTGATGATTTATATATAATGCTTATTGCAAACGTTGAACCGACTAAATTCGATTTCAAAAAATTGTCTGAAGATGATTTGAATGTGTTGCTTGAGCAATTTTATGTTCAAAGAAGTGCATCAGCTACAGCTAATTTGACCGAGTAAGGGTTTTAGAAAATCGATATGGTCTTGTAAAAATGATATTTCAGCGCATTGAATCAAGTGTCGTTAAGTTCTTTACCAAATGGAACATTAGTCAGTGCAAATATTTTCTATCTTACTCAAGTTGGGTATGTTTATATTGTGAAAAAAATATGTAAATAAAAAAAACACATTCCAGCCTTGATCCAACAGACAATCCAACTACCGTTATTCCATCATTAGGCGCATTCAAAACAAGGTAACTCAATAACATATATAATAGACTATAAAATTTCAATTCAGTGCTGTGATTTACTCACCATATGGAACTACTGCTGATTCTTCAATAAGCAATTCACTGAAACCATTCACCAGTCAGACACAAAATAATAACAATTATTTTGACGCAACAAAATATTTGATAAGTGTCACTGACTCCAATCAATATTTCATCGCTCCAACAGATCGTGAGTTTTTGTTTTGAATGAATTATGAATATTTATATATATTTTTTAGCCGGCCGCACATGTGCTTATGCTCTTCAAGCAAATATAATTGTGATATTAGATTTATCAAATACCACAACACCTGGGGTTGATGATAAGGTTTCATTTTTTCAAATATAGTTTATCTATAACCTGGAATTGAACATTTTTACAGAAGACTGAAATTCTAACAATTCTTCGAGATAAATTCAACTATATTAACAACGATGTTGATCGATGCAGTTCTTCAAATCATACTACTCCCCCTTTTTATAAAGGTAATTATTTCGAAATTACTCACCTCAAAACTTTTTTTTTTCTTCCAGAACGTTCATTATTTTCCGTCGCCTATCTGTGGGATAACGGTTTTTTGACTGGTAATTTCTGCCCATCCAATTATGACTCAATCTGGCAGACGAATAATAAGGGAACAAACTCCACTCCAAAATTCAGTGATAGGTTAGTGTTGTCAATCTCAAAACAAGTAATTTTTTGAAGAAATTTCTCACATCAGAATTTTGCAGAACTTTGAATGCAATCAAATTACTTACAGACAACTGCCTCGTATCAACAATTTCATAAACAACGCTGCAAACTGTACTTGTCCTCGCTCTACTGATGATAACACTACGAAATTCCTAATTTGGATGCCAAGAGCCAGGTATTTTTTAAACACACGAAGAAGGTAGTTCTAATGTTCAATTTTTCTCAGCACTGAAACATCGGAAAATCGAATCTCAAATATGACTTACAAATTCGAAAATTCTGCGCAATTTGTGATTCCATTTTATAACATTGATGCAACTGCTGAAAGTACTGATTTGTATTACAATCTTGTTAAACAAAGTAAACTTGGCACTCAAATTGCAACCGATTATATTCTTCCAAATGCAGTGACAAAAACTGCTCAATATATTGTGAGCAAATTAGAACAAAAGATGTGCCTGTGAGTGATTCAAAAACATTTTTATATAACAAAAACAATAAGCTATTTCAGATTGGCTAAGATACCTGGATCAATATAAAATGAATACAAATAAAGTGATTTAAAAACCCATAAAACAAACTCGACTTGTATGGCACATAAAAACTAGAGGGAAAACTAAATGGGGCGTCCGAAAATCAAAAAAAATATTTTAACTTGAACAGAAGTTGGGCAGGTGTGAATATTGTCATTTTCGTTTTCTTGACGCCCCATTTTGAGGTTGAAAATAAAACTACAAAAAAAATCGAATCTATCTAAACATCACTGACAATTTGGATCACTGGCACATTTCGGGTTACAAATATGAGTTCTTGCTCGCATATTCGATGATTGAATCATACTTTCGCGAATTTGTGTTTTTTTAAGAATTGAAGGTTGAACAGATGCACATCTACATCTGCATTGACTAACTGGACATTCGATTTCTTCTTCAAACCATTCGACCAAATGACGAACGTGTCCACCATGGTTGCATAACTGAAAAATACTTTTTAATGGACATTTTCTGTAACTAGCTGGCAAATTAAATTTGTGGAAAATTGATGTGACCTAGTCAAGTGTTTTTAACCAATTTTTGCATTTTGAAACTCCTAGTAAAAAACTTACATAACAAACAGCAAAATTTTTGTCAACATTATCTTCTGCCCATTCTAGATCTGACATATTTGTTAAATAGTAGCTCATACAAATAGTACATCTTGGTAATGGTCGACGACAGTTTTGACAAGAATGATCAGCCGAACGATTTTGCTGGAAAACAATAATTCTTCAATTTCAGTCTTATTTTAATTTGATGTTTGGACTTTTTTAGTTGATCAAATCGTTTCGAGTATTCGTTAATCAAAACAAAATAAAACTCACCAATTCTTCCTCTACTTTTTGAGTAGCATCTCCACCAGCACTTGGAACAGGATACGGTTTCAAATCATCTTCAATATCAAGGAATTTACAGTTTCTTGAAGACACTTCGTTTCTTTGTGATTTCAATTGCTCACTAATCTATAAATATTTTTTTCAGTTAGAACCAATAAACTGTTTGGAAATCTCACCGAAGCCAATGTCATTTCTTCTCCGAGATTTGCCAATTCAGTTCCTTTAAACAATGGAACATGGCATTGTGTGCAAGCAATTTCAGTTGGAAAAATTGAAGAATATTTTTGAAGTCGATCGATATGATTACAAGTTCTATCCAAATATGACGATCCTTTCAGAACTTCAAGAACCGCCAAATATTTCGATACTTCACATTCTAACATTTTTGATAATTGATCGCAAGTTTTATCAATCTTATTGCCTTTTGCATCACGAATATATGAAATTGGAAATGCTTCTTGCAATGTTTTTGGTCCAAGTTCTTTTCGGCATCCAAAAATATTCTCAAGATATTCACCAATATCTCGATTATGGATATGATCTGATCCAATTTCCGGCATCTAAAAAAAGAACAAATAGATATTTAAAAAGTATTAATTCTGTTTATCTTACCTCTGCTTCCTCTGATCGATCATCCAAACATTGCCCAATAACCAAAAGATGTGCCGCCAACTGACAATCACCATTCAAAACCGCTTCTCTAAAAGTTGATAGAAATGTTTTCACTTTTGCGAAGAAACAACTTACTCATGAAGAACAGCTAAACTATCTTTATGATAACCAAGACCAACAAAAGGAAGACGATCCAATCCATTGACTCGTTGAAAAAGTCGAAGAGTATTTCGAACAATTTGAGAATGCGGGGATAAATTGATAATAAATGTCAATTTTTCACGAATCGGAAGGGTCTGAAATTATTTCGAGTTTTTAAAAGAAAACATATTTCTTTAAACTAACCAGATCAATTATTTCATCGACAATATCTCCAGAATAACCATTAGTCATAACCATACGCAAAAAACAAACGCAGGCAATCGTTTCTGATCTAACATGCGGCGTTTCTAAAAAAAACAACATGAATACTAACGGTTTCAAGAGTTAAAACTTGATTTTTTCAAAAAAAAAAGAAATTCAAAAAAGGTTACTCACTTTTTGCAAAAGACAAAAACTGATCAGCTGCTTCAATCCAATCATCCATAGACCATGGAACTCCTTCAGAACTTAAACGTTGATAAGATTCACCAGTTTCGTTTGGAAAGAAATTATCATCAGTAAGAGAAATCGCATCTTTGACAAGTTTTGCAAGATTACGAGCTTCGGCACCGCTTTGAATTGTGATCATTCTGAATAAAATCATTCATAAATTTTCTAACACTTTGTTCTGTTGAGAAAACTAACTTTCTATATAATTTTGTCAAAATCCATGCTTGATAAGCGTCATCCATAATTTCATACTCACAAACTGGAAATCCAATCATACGATGTATCAATTCAATCATTTCTCGAAGATAATCACCATGTCCATAACACATTGTTGAGAAAACATTGGCTAAAGATTGGCCAAGATCAGTGTCAGATAAATTGATGCGTTTGAAGCGATCTGGCATTTTACAACCAATTGAAACAAGCATAAGACGGCGAATTGGAGAAACTTGGATCTGAAAAAAATTGAACTTTTTAGTAGGTAGTTGTAAGTGAATATTTAAATCTAAAGAAAAATTTAGTTTGAGAACCGATTTGTATTTTTTAATGAACCATCAAAAAACATTCATAAGAAAAATTACCGTATTTTTATACAATTTGAATCCTGCACCGGAAAACGGCAAATTCGGTTCCATATGTTCACCAACTCTTTCTTGCACCAATCTAGCCAAATACAACAATCCCGGCAAACCTTTGATGTTATATGTTGATTGTTCGGTTTGACGTCTCCAATATTTTGCATCTTTTACTTCAGCAAAAGTTGGATGATCTGATTCAGCATATTCAGAATCACTTTCGTATTCCGAATCTTCAGTTGTAAGATCAATGTCGGTGTCTTTTTCAGGATGCAATATCTGGAATATATATATTTTTTATCAATTACTAATTTTAAAAAAAATGTACCTCTTTAACCTGATCATCGTATTCTGGAATATTTGGAGGGTCGACAAGAAAATGAAATTTGGCAGAAAAATGACTTCGTTTTTTCATAAATGCTGTTGAAAGATGTTTCTTTTTGATAACTCGAATTTTCTGAAAGAAATAATGGTTGTTTATACATTTTTCCAGATAAAAACGACAAACCTTCAATAACTTTTTTGGTTCAATATGATATTGAGATTTCACTCGATGTTTCTTTTGATCGTCGAGTTTTATAACAACACCAATACTTCTCAAATTTCTATCAAAATCGGCACGTTCTTTGTTTTTCATATTCATCAACATGGTTGTCCAATTTTTCAATTTTTCCGTTGCCAATCGATAAAGTTTCCAGTTACCGGTTCTTCGACCCAATTGCATTGCATGTCGTGCAGTTCGACGAGCTCGATTATAAAATTGAAGATCAGCTTGCTCTTGAGATATAACTTTTCTTCTACGATTCTTATGTTTTCTATATTTCGTATACTTTGGAATTGGTCGCATCTTATCAATGTTTGTGAATTTCGATATTGTATAACGTCTCAATTTTCTGCGAGAATCAATTGCTTGTTTTTCGGATTCACTCTCGTATTCTTCTGAACTTGATGATGAATCTGACAGCTTTCTCTTTCTCCAACAATACATTCTTTTTCTTCGGATTTTTCTTGATTTTCTTGAAAGCGTTTTGAAAATCTGCTCATATTGCTTTGAAATAGTGTTTCTTTCTCGAATATGTTGCTTCTTGAATCGATCATCTTTGAGTGGAAAAGCAGTTCTGACAATCGTTGAGAATTTCTTCGAGTATTTTTGTCGATCCAATCCAATTTTTTCACGAATTGTTGCATTATGGCATTGCAAAACTTTTCTTTTTGATGGATAAACAAATGGATAATTTAGCAAAAATGTGCGGAATGTTTCCGAGTTGTCAATCACAGCTGTGTTTTTTTCCAAATATTTGAGGATCATCGTTTTGGTGAAAGGTTTTTGAATAACCCTTTTTACAGTATTCAAAATTTTTGAGCATTTCTGTGCTTGATATCTTTTCGGAACCGCCATAGATTTTTTGTCAGAAACGTCCACTTTTGACAATCCATAGACAGAACGTTTTTGATATAATTTTCCAATAAATAGAGGTGTCGGCATTGTGATTGTTGGAACTTCGAATGGTTCAGAAAGGGATTTTTTGGCTTGTTCAATAGAAGTTAACATATCCAATTTCATTTTTATCTTGTCTTTTTTCTTTTTGCCCATCACTTCCAATAAATTAGGTAATGTTGCTGATCGAGTTGTTTTCATCAATATTGGTCCATCATCCGATTCACTTTCCTCCTCGGTGTTTTCTTTTTTCTTTCTCGCAGCCAAAGTTTCTGGTGATGCTAAAATAATTGGAGCAGGCGCAGAAAATGCTTCTTGTGGTTCTGGTTCTGGTTGAGGTTCAGGTTGTTGTGATAGCGGTGGACTTTCATCACCCCACCATCCATCATTTTCATCTAACATTGCTGCAACATCTTCAGCAGATGATCCTTGAGTGAAATATCCTTTTGGAAGTGGTCGAATGTTTATTGGAGTTGTTGGTTTGCGTTTCAAAGCTTCGGTTGTATTTCTACGAACAAGCAAATCGCGGGTTTCAGTTGACGTACTCGGTTCATTCGGTAAAACAGAATCATCACTTGTTGTAGGTTCTTCTGTTGTTTCATTTGCTGCTGGGTTACGCCGATTAGTGAAAACAGCGCTCATTGGTCTCAAAAATGGCATAACTTTACTTTTAAATTTCGCAAATGCAGATTCTTTGACTGGTGGTGGAATGGGAATATTCGGAACTTCTGGTGAAATTGGAACGATATCAACAACATTCGGAGCCAAAAATGTTCTTCCAACAGTCAAACCATGCTCTTCAACAGGCCAATGTATAGATAATGGAATAAGAAGAGGTGATAATGGTGGACAAAGTCGTATAGGTTTTCGGAAAATCACTTTAGTTTGTCGTTTGATTTGTCGTTTCCTTATCACGGGTGGAAATGGATTGGAAAGCCGACGACGTGTATATTTTGCAAGTTTGGTGGTCAAACGACTTTTAACATCCTTGGAATGCGATTGTAAATTTGTCATTGGTTTTTCAACAGGTTTTTTACCAAGTTGTTCATCTCTTTTTCGAGAATCTTGAATTCTTCTGTGATGTTGTCTACGAGTCAATCTTCTTTTCAACGTTCGCTCCTTTTTTCGTCTGCGAAAACATCCTCTTTTCGGCGCATCCGGTAGAATATATTCACCATTTTGCATACGGAATCGTTCATCATTCACTCTTCTATGCATAATATCTTCCATAAACTGTATCTGCTCTGGGTCTAGCTTGGTTTTTCTTGACTTCCGCTTCTTGATATATTTTGTATCTTGTTTCTTCTTTTTCACAACTTGAATAACTTCGAGATTCAAAGGGTTTGCCCATTTCACATGCATACTAAACGCATCTCGTTTGATATTTCGGCGACGTGCAAGCCTCTTCATACGTCGATCTTTCTTCAATACTTTTCGAAATTTTTTGCTGAAATTTTTAACTGCTCCGCGTTCTTTCCGCTTCATAATTTCGCAATTCACAAAATCGACTTTTTCTTGGACCGTGAGTTCTGATATAACAATTTGTTTTCTCTCAACATCTCGTTGTATTTCTTCAGTGAATTGCTTCAAAGCTCTCTCTTGTGCTGTACATGACGGAACTCTCGGCAACTTCTTCTTGTGATGTTTTCGATGTTGATTCTTGTGAGATTTATCACCAAACTTTTTCAATTCCAACTTTTTTCTCAATTCTTTACATTTATGTTTCAAATTTCGTCGAATAACCGCCCGTTGCAATTGATTTGTACCATCACAGTTTTGCAATTTTGTGAAATCTTTTACAAACTTTTCTCGACGTTGATCAATTGAATTGGAAGTGTTGGCTTTTGGTGGAACAACTGGTAAATTACCAACATTTTTTTCTTTTGAAGCAGTTTTCTTTGGTTTTGGCGAAACTTTTGTTTTGGTGACGGAAACTGATTTTTGCATTGTTGGTGGCTGTGGAGGTGCCAAATTTTGCATAGCTTCAAGTTTCTTCGCTTGCTCTTTTTCATACTTTTTTTGGTCTCTAGCAATTTTTTTTTGGAATCTACTATATGCATTCGAATATATCCATTGTTCCTTTCTCTCTTCGCCAATATACCAAACAACCAATTCTTTTTCGCCAGTTTCATTTTTGTTTTGCGTTTCAGCGTGCTTGATGGCTGCTTGCTTTTTCTTTTCTTCTAGCTGAAAAATATTTTGAAATCAAAATCGTACAAAAATGATAAAAACTCACAACGCTGTCACGTTTCAAACTTTCTTCAAATGCCTCATCATGCATTTGATTCTCTTCAAGTGTTTCTAGATCTCTAGTCAAATGGCAATCAACTGTTCTTCGATAGAAAAAACTGAGCAATGGATCTTGATTCAGTGTCAAATCTTTTTCATCAGCATCCTGAAAATTATTTTAAATTTGCTTGCTATATCCTAGTTAATTTTTAATTACCTCAAAACATTTTTGAACAAAATGTTTGTCACATTCATAATCCTCCTTTCCCACAACATCAATTTTCCCTCGAGATGGTCTTCGACTGGATTTCTTTGAATTTTTGAATGATTTCTTTGATTTTCTTCTTTTCATTATTCTCGGTCTCTTTGGTGGAGTAGATTTTGTCCAATTTCTACCATAATTAGAACATCTCAATTTGAGCAATGGACCATCACATTCTTCGCAAAGCTGGAAAGCAAATTATTATTCATTGTTATTCATATTAGAATTTTACCTCAACCATTGTCTGAATTACTGTACAATTATAGAATTTGACTGGTTCATCTTGACAGGTACAACATATTTCTTTGGAGGGCCATCCTTCTTCAATACAATCTTGACATGGCGGAGCATCCCAACTGATTTTTTGCGATATTATTTCTTTTGATGATTGTTTAGCTTCTGCCAATCTCAAATCTTTTGATCGTCTTCTTCTTGATGGTGAATACACTTTTTCCCATGGCAAAATGGTTTCTTTCTTTTCTTTTCGTTGGCGCAGTCGTGGGATAGTTAAAGGAAAATATCTTCCATAAAATGTTTTTTGAAGAACATTCAGATATGCTTCCGATAATTTCATGCCTGAAAACATGCCAAGTGTTTTTTAGGGAGCATTGAAAAATAAAATGATTTGTACCTTTGATTTTGAATTCAGAAATTCCAGTTATTTTTCCTTTGCTTGGATGCAATGAATATGGTGGAGAATAAACAAAGAATGGATGAACATAATCATAGTGATTGAAATGGTGAAGAGTCCAATAATCACTCTCTGCGGAAGCTGGCAAAATTTCATCATATCCGTAACGCAAATAAGTTCGTAAATGTCGAATTTCTTCAACTGGTACGACTTTTTGATACTTCACTTCACCCGTTTTTTTGTCGATTTCAGTTATGAGTGGTGATTTCCAATCACAAATAATCAATCGAATATCTTCCGAAAGTGCGCGATCAGATTTAGAGTATTCCATTGTAGATTTGTTGCTGACTAATTTTTCATTGGCAATACGCATCTGAAAATGAATGATATTTGATGACAAAAACTTTAAACTATGGAAGCGGGAAGATCCTGTGGAGACCTAGTTTTAGGTTCAATATAGGTTGGGCCTGTTCTATGGTTCACCAACTTAATATTCACAAAGACACTCACCAATTCTACAAAATCTGAATTTTGATTCGAACATAAATCAAAGAGTGTATTTGCAGAATTTGATGCTTCCGGCTCCGAATAAAATTGACCTGTCTTAATATATGAATGATCATCTTGTTCATCTTCAGAATCAGCATCATATGAATCACTTTCTGATGATTCTTCTGGTAAAGTGTTGAGTTTACTAAACTTTACAGGTTTATGAATATATTTGCGACCACTCTCCAATTCTTCAGCTAATCGTTTTTTATACAATCCGGTTAATGACGGTATTTTTTCTTTGCCTAATCTTGGTCTCGAACTATCATTGTAAAGATTCGCAAGACACGTGAGCAGTTGAGAATATGAACATTTTTCAGGATCAAGGAAATTCTTTTGGTACAATGCATGCCAACCAAGTCGTTTTGAACGATTCAAAGCCATCTGCAATAATACATTTGTTGAAATTTATTTAAAAAAAGTAATCACTCACTTTTAAATCAAAAAAGTCTTTGCTGATTAACTTTTGCCAACTTTGGTTTCTTATTTACTGGCCAAATAGTATTGAAAGCCTTTTCTCGTTTCACTTTCATAGTTCGAGTCATTGATTTTTTCAGCATTTCAATCATTGTTTTCTCATCAATTCTTTTTGCTCTATATCGAAACAGTGGTCTTGGTTGAGAAGCAACAATCAGCTTGACTTCTTCTTTCTGTTGTCCTTTTTCAGCGTCTTTGTTGTTTGCCGCATTTGCTGATTTTGGTGGTGGTGGTGGTGGAGGTGGCAAAAGTCGATTAAACCGTTTACCTTGATTCGCTGGAGGTTTATTTGAACCATTTGCTGGTGGAGGTGGAGAAAGAGATGTTTTACTTTTCTTTTCTTCTTCTTTCTTTTTCTCTTCTTCTTCTTTTTTCTTTTTCTCCTCTTCTGCTTTTAATTCTTCAGCTTTGTCATCTCTTTCCTCAATGTGCTCCGTTTTCGGAATTTCTTCCCAGTGAAAATACGGGTATTTTGGAACAATTTTTTGCGATTTCTTTTTGATATGAATTAATGTCTTCTTATCAGCTCGTTTCAAATTGAATCGTCGGAAAACCGAAACAAAATCATTTCCTCTACCAGCCAATATAACTTCGCCATTTTCAATGTATCTCACAAGATTTTGATGACGTTTCTTATGAATTATACAATTCTTCTTGCGCACAGAAATCACTTTATCGAAATGTATACTTGGATATAACGTAGTCAGATGATTGATTTTACCATGTTTCACATCAGGAACTGGCTTTGACAAGAATAATCTATAAAATGGTGCCGAAATTCGAAGAGCGTCTTGAAGCGCGTTTTTCCGAACTGATTTCTTATAACTTGCAATTTTGAAATTGGGCATCACTTCCGGGAAACGTGGAAAACTACTTTTCGGTGAGAATGAGACAAATTCATTGCCGGAATATTGCAAATGTGCAGAGTTTCTTAACCAATCACACCAAAATTGAGATTCATTTGAAGTCACCGTCATTATTAGCTCTGAAAAATTGTATTCTTACATTTAATGAAAAACTATATTTTCACTCACCATGAAGATTTGGTTCTTGACAATTGAACGCGTTCCATCCTGAGTCTAATCTTGATGACATCAAATATAACATATGTGATGGAATCATTTCTCGAACTTGTACTTTTCTCATCTCACTAATAGCATCAATAGATACATCGCTACACGAAGAACCTTCATAATGCAGTGGACTTACGATTAGTTCATATTCCAATTTGTCAGATCGAATGAATAGAATTCCATTAACACCAGGAAGTGTGAAATCAAACGTTTCAACATTTATTGTCTGAAAAATGAATACTTATTTTTTGAACTAATAGTTTTAAAAATTCACTTACGGTGTATAAGAACTTAGGAGTGTCGAGTTGATAAATGTGTTCAGCAAAGCATCGTTCCCTAATTCTTTTCGTATTATATTCTGCAGTCATCGCGCTGATATTTTTGCTTTCGAGGACTTCTGTGGAGCTCTGAAAAAAAAACATTTTTTCGATGAAATATTCTGCTTGATTTTTAACTCACATAGACATATGGACTTGTCCACCTTAAAGGCATCTTCACTTTTTCATCAATTTTCGCCGATTCATAATGATCTGAATAATCCTCAAAAACAACTTCTTTCGGTGTCATTTCAAATTCTCGACGGCGAGCATATTTCATTCGTTGTGTATAAACTCCTCGATCGATATTTTTGAAAGTGATCCTTTCTGTATCATCCACAACTTCTTCAGAAACATGTTTTGAAGTGAACAATTCAATTTCATCGAAATTTGTTGAATATAAATTGTTATGTTTTGTATGTATGAAGAGTTGTTTTGGAAGATAGACATTATATCTAATATCAGAGAGACTATCGCCGTTGGGAAATTTAATTGAATGTTGTTTGACAGGAACATCGAGACGACGAATATCAAAAAGCAACAAATGTTCACCATCCCAGCCAGTGATTTCACCCATTCTGTAAAATAATAGTTTTTTTCGAATCATATACGTAGATGTGAACGTAATTTAATACTAATATGTTCTCACAAATTATTAATGAAGAAAATAAATGCTGATTTTCAGAAAATTTGACTCATTTTATTATTCACCATTTCCATTCTAATTTTCATTTATAAAAAATTTTTACTCACCGCATACAATTAACAGCCATTTTTTGAAGTCCACCGTTGAAGAAAACAGCACCATAACTTCTAGGTGTTCTAATATCAATAACCCGCAAACAATTATCATCACAAGCTGCCAAAGTAACTTCATTATACCATGTCCAAGTTAGATCATTCAATGGAATATTTGTGTCAAAATGTGTGATATTACTTTCAGGATCGACTAAATCAATAACTGATAATGTTGATTGATTTTTTTGTCCGTGTGTGTGATAATACGTTGCCACAAATCCTTTATCTAACTTTCCATGTCTCAATTTATCAATACATTGTCCCTGGAGCCGCATTATCGATTGGTTTGATATTTTTGCGCTATAAAAGCACACTTTTCAATAAATAATATTCTCTCTCTCTCTCTCTATTTTCTCAAATTGAAAGTTTAAAAAAACTCACAAATTCTTGTCGTTAAAATTGTTGATATATCGCAAAAGATTGATTTCACCCGTACTTTTAGCGTATGGAAAATATGGAGCATGATCATGAAAATCGATAGATGTAACATATTCCGAATCATTTTGTGTCATTTTGAACGAAAAATATGGATCGGGAGTTCGAAAAGGACTCAATGGATGAATGACTTCACGAACCTGTTAATTGAACAATAATATATTCAAAATAAATTAAGAAAATGTTTAACTCACTGATAATGTTTCATCTGGCGAATATTCTACAACAATTCTCTCCGAAATAAACCTAATTTCCCGTTTCAACCCGTAAAAATTGGTTTTCTTTGTGGTAACTGCATTTTCCTTGAAAATATCAATGAATGGCAGGTCTTCCGCCATTTTTAGTTGTTACCTGCAATCGAAAACCATTTAAAATGGGTGAAAACACGAAAAAACAACGGAAAAACGTTCGAAAGAAAAAAAAACAAAAAATAAATGCAAAAGGAAAATAAAAGTATGTTGTGTCCCTGTGAGCGTGTGCGATAGGGCGCATTAGCCCCACTTTATATTATTTTCCTTTTTCTTGTTTCAAAATTTTGCTGTTTTTCACATTTCGAATTAATTTTGATAATTGATGTATTTTTTAACCTTGAAAAATAATTTCAATTGAAATTTGTATCATATTTTGAATAACAGTAGCTGATTTTAAGATTTTGATACACTATATTCTGGAAAAAATGACAAAAAACAAGAAAATATAGTTTATTGTTCGATTTTCTTGAACACATTCCAAAATTAAGAAAAATCTTTTCTGAATAAAATTGAACAGAACACTTTTATGAATCCAACTTGTATGAAATCAGATTGATATGTTTCATTGATTTACCAGAAAGCTTCCGAGAAAAAATATTTTCATTACTTTTTGGTTTATTCATGATTTATGTTGTATTTTAATTTCAGTAGCAGAGTTAACAATTTTACATCAGAAATTATTGAATAGGTAGAAAATCATATTTTACCAAATGAGAAGTGTTCTGCTTGATCAATTTCTGAAAACCAATTTTTTTGCAAGTTCATTGAAGAACTCTCGCTGTGTATCAATTCTTGTTTTCCTTTATCTTTTTCTTTGGAAATATCTGTAATTATTCTGAAAATTTGCATTCTCCTATGAATAATTTTCTTTGATTCTATTTCCAACAATACTATACAGAATCCTCACAATTTATATCTTTTAATTAAAGGCACATTTTGAAATACATTTTGTTCGCCATTTTCTCATTATTCTATCACATTTCTTTGATTTTTTGCGAAAACATCTATATAAATTCTTGTGTGAAAAACAACAACCGAAATTGAAAAGCGAGAGCCAGAGAGATTAGACACCGTGTAACACTTTTTCGGAGAAGAAAATTTGCTCCATTGTCAATGTTTTTGAATCTTCGTAGCCTCATGTTTTTCTTCGTTTTTTTTTCTGAATTAGTCATATTTCTTTCTTTTCGTTTTATCCATTCTTACTTTTTCGATTTTTCTCAAAAAAAAGTCTTTGTTTTTTTCAGAAATGTCAGCGAGTACGAGTTCCTCCTAGTGAGTTTCAAAAAATGTGTGAACAAATTCTATTTTCTAAAATTTCAGTCGCGCAACAAACACTCAAACAATGAGTAATACAGATGTGAGACAATATCAATGTTTGGTATGTCATAAAGTTCATATCGACTACGATAAACATCAAGAACACATATATGAACATTATATTGCTGGAGATCAAACATATTGCGTGAATGATTTTGTTAGTAGTTTCAATCTAGTAGGAATACCCTAACTTGATGTTTTTAGGGCGAAGTTATTCTTCGCAATGCAGAGCCACTGCGAGAAGAGAAAGATCTTTTGAATGGGGAGGAAGTGAACGATGAAAAAGAAAATCCACCAGAAGAATACGTGGATTCTGATGACGATTCTTATGTTGATGTTGTAAATTGCGATTCGCCAGATAGAGGATTTGTGAGTTTTTTCAAGCATACTTATCGCAACCAGAAAAAACAGAACTGTGTCTTTCTGATCATTTCACGCGCGTTGCAGTAAGATAATATTTTTCTTTGGATACCTATAATGGTAAAACAATAGTAATGCACATATTTCACAGCAATGCTCAGAAACCCCATGCATTACACGTTGTTTCCTATCAATTCAAACTCACATCAACTGTTACGCGCCTAGAAGAATAAATATATTCTCGAAACTATAGCTGTTTTCAAATTTCTTCGTCCCGTGGACATCGGAACAAAACTTCTCGAGCTACCCCTATCTTCTTTTTTATTAATTTTTTTCAGAACGTCGGAGGTGAACCTCCAAGAGTCGAAATTGATTATGATGATGAGTCTTCGTCAGATGAAGAAGAAGAAGAAGAAGAAGTCGAGAGATACGGGAATATAAGAAAAAGACGATATATTATGGGTAAGTAGTATTATTGGTGTTGGCCTGAATAATTTTAGATTTTTTGTGCAGATTCCGATTCGAGCGAGTTCGACAATGATGAATTCGATAATCAGAATGAAGATGTTGAAGAAGAAATTGAAGAAGTGGAAGATGAAAAAGAAGAAGTGGATATAGAGAAAGAAAAAACAGAAAATGAAAACAAAAACAGACGAAAGAACAAAGTTATAACTATCCTCAGTGACAAACCTGATTTGGTGAGTTTGATTTCTAAATCATAACTCAAGATAATCGAATTTTTAAGCTTTTGCTTTACGAAAATTATCAAGGTGACGATGATAGATACAATAGTTTTGAAGAGGTCATTTCAAAAAGCAAAAAACAACCAAAAGCCGTTCAAAATCTCATGCCATGGAGTCATTGGAAAAAACAAGATTCCGCCAAGAACATCTTCTATGGTTATAAAGCATACAACGTGGAACAAGAACAGGAGAATCCGGACGGTATCAAAAGATCTAAAAGACTTCAAATGAAAGCGGAATTATCAAAAGGTATGTTTTTTTTCGAATTATTAAGTTACAAAAGAAATTATAATGAAATCTGAAAGCGTTGCATTTTGACACAAATCAACTACGTTTTCAGATGCAAACAAAGATGACAGCAATCTTTATAAAAAAGTTTACAAAACCACAAGACGCGGTTTGTGAATCTTTTTCTAACTACACTTCGAATTTCATGTTTTATTCCCATTTTATTTTGGTTACAAACTTGCTTCTATCTGAATTTTCAATTTTCAAAATCATGTTTTCTATTAGATGATCCAATCATTTATTTTCAACTCTTTCAATCTCATCATTTTTATGTATCTCATAAGGGAAATTTTTTAATCAATAAGTCTCCCAATGGACCTGTGTGAAAAAGTTTCAGGTGATCTAAAAATGGATCAATTTTTAAAATCTGCATAATTTCTACCTGCTCTAGACAGGAAATACATTAGTGATGCATATTCATTTTTTATTGTGTAAATGGTGAGAGAAGTTTAAGAGACGTTTTTTGTAAGAAGAAAAATCCTGTGGTACAAAAAATTTTCAAATTTGCTAATTTTTGGCTGGTTGGTAGCCCCTTAGCTATAGAACATATTCCCGGAGTAAAATAACAAAAAAATGTTTTTGGTGGATGGTGGACACCAATGTATGTCAAAACTTCAATAAATCATTACTTTACTCTCCGTGAATAATTTTTCGATGTATAAACGTCATTCTGCTCAGAATTTGAAGGGCTTCAATTTAGAAATACAAAATAAAAAAATTCGACTTACCCTAACTTTTGAAAATTGAACAAAATTTTCAAAGTCAAAAATCGATATTAGGGGGACTTTAAAATCACCCTGGAATCAAGTATGCCAAATTAACACAAAAATAATGACTAACGCATAGCACTGTATTTTTGGGGGGTTTTCGAATTATCTTTATTATTATATCCGTGGTTCATTTTTAGATTACGTAATACTTTTTCCACGGATTCATTTGGAGATTTGAACTTGAAAAGAAATATTTTCACTTTTATATAAATCTAAAAATCAACATTTGAAGTGTTGACTAAAAACGATTCCCTTATCATATTTCATATTTTTTTCATTTTTTACTTGGCTAATTTTTGAAATTTTTCATTTAATTTTTTTGTCTGTATTTTTGATCATTAGATTTATTCACTTCTCATCTCTTAACCTATTTTTCTTACTTCCTTTTAACAATCAAACAATTTAGTTGGCGTATCATGTCAAAGGTTTAGATTCACAATAAAAATATTGCTTTAATATTACCAACTGCTTTGACCTAACAACAATCTAGTAACTTTTAGAGAAAGTTTAACTTTTCACTTTGTTTTTCTTGTAAGTGTATCCGCTATGTTTTTGCTTTGTCCTTTACTAATTTGAAGTTGTCTCTTTTTCTAACATAAAAATATTATTCATGCATTATTACAATAAAATATTCATATGCAAAATTCAATTATAATCAAATATTATCTTTATCAATACCTACTTCAAACAAATGTTTCTTTGCGCCAAATATTCCCTAAAAAATAATAAATAATCATTTGTTTGTATTTATTCTGATATGTTGTTAAGAAAAAGCTCGAAGCATTATTTAAGATGATGTTGATGCTTTATCCTTTTTTCGAATAAATGACAAAAATCCCTTCTTCTTTTTCTTTGTCACATCCTTTTTGCCAACCTGAAAATAAAACTTTTTCAATAAATCTTTTTCAAATTGTTATAAAAAACATACCAGATCATCAGTTCCAGCAGTAAAAGATCGACTAGTTGTTGCACCTATAAAAGCTTGGTGAGTAAGCATTTGTTAGTAAAATTTAAAAATTTTTCTATTTTTGCAAACAAAAAATGAGTGAATCATAATCATGCATACCTTCACTACTACTTTCGGTGTCCATAATTGGTGAAATTGCTGGTGACGGAAAATCTAGAAAAGAGTATTCATACATGCATTTTCCGTTACACTCAAAAAATTGAGTCTGAAAAGACAAAACCTACAATCTAGGACAACTGAATTACTCATTAGCGAAGTGTCGACAATGCTTTCTTGTGAAACATGTGCTGAAAATAGAACAGAAGTGAAAAGAGAATAGCGAAATTAATGATAGGATGCAACCAGACAAGAATGAACATCAAAATGTTTACCGTTTTTTATAACTAAATCTTGTTTATCAATTTGATCATCAGAAGCACTGAGTTGATTCAATTTATGTTCACGAACACCTTGCATCAGAGATACAGTATCTAAAAATATCAAATGATTGATAAAATATATATCTTGGCGAATGCCTAACCTCCTTCACAATCAGCGTAAATACTGAAATCAACTGGTGGTTTTTCTGCTTGTCTCGAAACCTGAAAAACGTTAATTTTCAATGTTTCCGTTTCCAAAAAAGATTTTTCAACTAATGAAAATAGTGTTTTTATTAGAAAACTCTGTGAAAAAATCCAAATAATGATATTTTTCTGAAAATCTTTGATTTTACTCACATATTCCATATATCTCCGAATATCTTCATCAGTTTCAATCGAAAAAGGATTTGGTGCATATATCTGTTGATATACTTGTGCATGATGTTGATATTGTCGATCAATAATTCCTTTGCTGGCTGTTCCAATCAGAATAGCTCTATCATTTGTGGTACTTTGCCCAAAGTTTTCACCATTGCTGCTTGATGTCTGAAGAAAACAATATGTTTAATGAATTAAAAACAAAGTATACCTTAACAATCAACGAAATATCATCAAATGTGTTACTCTCAAATATCTGACTTTGTGGACCGGCTGTAGTTGTGCCAAGTCGTCGATTTTCTTTAATAGTTCGTTGTTTCTCCTTGAATTCTTTTGGATTTTTAGATGCTGGACTGAATTGATGAACACTGTTAATTTTGACTGGTGTTCCACTTGCTGATGGCGAATTTGTGTCTTGTACCCACTTGGTGATTTTTTTCGGATTATCTGCACCATATTCAAGAAATTCAACTTTTTGATAAGCGTTTGGGCTGTTCAACCATTTCACTCTTTCTTGTTCTTTACGCAACATTGATAGACGATGTGAAGTGACACTTTCAGAATCAGTCTCATCAATCTAAAAATTATACAATTGAGGTAAACTGCAGAATGAGAAGAAAAATATAATTATTCAATTTGGTAGGATAATACTTTCAGAAAACCTTTCTATTTTAGCTCTATGTCAGAACAAGTTTGTAAAAAAGTTTTGTTCCTGTCAGGTCCTTTATAATTAACTCAATGTTTCCCAAAATCTGTTACCTGTCCGTATGCAGAAGCGGAAGGTGGTAATGCAACATCATTATTATTAACATTTGACTGTCCAGCCATTGCTGATTTTGAGCGAAGTTGTGGTTGTCGATAAATATGACCGGTTTTATAATTAGCATGATCTAAAACTCTCATCCAAGATTCCCATTCAATATCTCCTATATTGTATTCAATTTTCTCATTTCGTCGCAAAGAATTGGCTGAAAATCCATTTATATCGAGGTTATCATTAGTAAAAAAAACTCACTCATATTCCTTGAATTTCTATAAGTTTTCTGAATTTGCGATTCATTTGGAATAACAAGATTCTCGAGTCCAACGCGAGCTGCACGAACTTGTGTTTCACATGCAATTATCACATTATTTGTGAGAAAAGCTACGTGTTCAACAGATTCACCGGCAACAATGAAACCACGATTACGAAGAAATATTACATTTTTATCTGTGAGCAACGTTGCTATTCTATCATTGAGTTGGCCATCTGATTCATCAGGCTGTAAAATATGATTAGATAATCCTTAACTGCAAAACAAATTGTTTTAATACCTCGAAATCACAATATGCAATTGGTCCAATAATCATAGCTTCTTGACAAAGTGGAATCAAACCGCATTTCATGCTCGAAACTGCAGCTACAACAGCAGTATGCATATGCAGTATACATTTTATAGAATTATTTGAGTTGTAGATTTTTGTATGGGTGAGGAATGAATTCTAAAAAAAAAAGATTAAGAATGCTATAAATACATACATATTTCTTACAAAATTAACATCTGCGTTGAGAATTCCTCCATCTAAAACAATTCCTTCTTCATCAAGTTTGATCAATGAACCCGCTGTTATTTCTTGATACAGTAACCCATAGGGATTCATCAAATACTCAAATTTATCATTGCTTGAAGATGTTCGCATTCGGAACTGGAAAACAAATTAAACCTAGAGGGAAGACTTTTGTCACCACTTACAGTAATTTCATTATTGATTCCTTGAGCCCATTGAAATAGTTCCGCAATGCGAAATAAACTAGCCAGTTTGTTTCGCTGATTCCTTTCGATTTTTGAATACTTATCATTGTTCTTAATATCGGCAATTCCAATTATATTTCCTGAAAATGAAAACGTTTCATTTGAATTTTTTTCAATTATTAAAATGGATTTCAGAAACGAAATTATTATTTTAATAGGCAATTACTGAATGGGAACTTCTTAAAGGGAACGGTTCCCATTCTTATGGGAACTAAAAATGGGAACATATTTGCATTATATTTTCTGTCTTAATGGGAACCAAAAATTGTACTGTTATTTGGCTTAATGGGAACACGAATATGTCATGCTTTATGGGAACCAAATAATAATTGAGTAGATGGGAACTTTTTTCGAAAAATTATTTTTGATTTTTTTCCAATATTAATTAGAGGTACGATTTTTTAATATTAATTATGGAAGTTGGAATTAATTCAGATAATTTTAATTCACACACTTTTCAAATATTTTCAAAACATTTTTTCTACAAAATTTCAAAACACATTTTTCAAATGTATGTGCCAAAAATCTCGACCAGAAAATTGCAATATCCAAATTTGAAATGAACAACTCAATGCGAAGTTTTAGTTCTGTTAAAAATCGGACCACTTCTTAGAAATTCGAAATATATCGAAAATTTTGATCAGATTTTTGACACCCGTCAAAAATTTTCGCACCTTGGTGCTAAAAAAACCGCGTCAAACGAGAAAAAGTGCACGAATTTTGAAGAGACCGAGATGCATGTTTTGGGAAATCTCGTACCCGTCAGAAATAATTCAGGAAAAACATGTGCATTTATCTATTTGAACAATTATTTTCAGGTAAATCTGTGAACGAAATTTTCCGAAAACTCGAAGTTTACTCTAAACGAAAGAATAAAGTTATTTGAAAATCTTTTTTATAATCAAAATTGGTTTGTAATCAAATCTTATCATTATTATTGATATAAAAAATCTTCCAAAGATTAGAATACCTCTAGACGTAAAATTTTTAACAATCCGCTTTAGAAAACAACTGTTGATATATGACACACTTTGGGACTTATGTCTTTTTCAGAAAAAATATTATGAAAAAAACGAATTTTTACAAAAAATGTGAATTAAAATTATCTGAATTAATTCCAACTTCCATAATTAATATTAAAAAATCGTACCTCTAATTAATATTGGAAAAAAATCAAAAATAATTTTTCGAAAAAAGTTCCCATCTACTCAATTATTATTTGGTTCCCATAAAGCATGACATATTCGTGTTCCCATTAAGCCAAATAACAGTACAATTTTTGGTTCCCATTAAGACAGAAAATATAATGCAAATATGTTCCCATAAAAAAGGGAACGGTTCCCATTTTTTGTTCCCATAAAAATGGGAACTGTTCCCTTTAAGAAGTTCCCATTCAGTAATTGCCTTTTAATACTCATAATACTCTTTGTTGAATTAAAATTCAACAAAGAGTATTATGAGTGTTTGAAAAATATTCTGTTATTAAAATTAAAACTATTCAATGAACAACTCACCTTGATTATGCAAATTTGCAAAAGACATGACACTTTTCAAATTAGTCAACTCGCTCAATTTTTGAACTTTCTGCAATCGATCTGGATCTTTTTGTGAAGTATCACAATCCTAAAAATAACCAGATTATATATTCTTCCATTAAATCTGCAAATTAAAAAAGTAAGAGGTAACTATGAAAAAAGGGTTGCTATGATGATTATATTTTTGGCGCGAGGCAAGAAAAAAACCTAGATAAAAAATGAGAAGAACGGAAGTCGAAACTCAGACCTGACGTATCATATGTTCGAGCTCATCGCAAAATGATTTTGATTCTAATATTTGCCGCACTCTCTTTCGTCTCTCCATCTCTGACAAATCCTCCTGAAAAATCTCGTTCTCCATATGTTTTTTTTGTTCTACTTTCAGTTTCGCGCCTTTTTTCCTTTCCCTCTTCTTCTTCATCTCATCTTTTTTCTTATTCCAGAGCTGATTAAATTGAAAGCTATCCTACTAGAAGATAGATACATACTTGGCAGCAGTTCATCCGCCCTTTTCTTCATTATGGACATCTTTTTTTTGGTTGAGACAACTAAATCTTGGGGGAATGGAGCATAAAAAATTGCAGCAAAAAAGAAGAAGAAGAAAAAGAAAAAGAAAAAACATATTGAATGAGACACTAATCCGATGAAATGAAATGGATTTGGATTGTTCGGAGCAGAAAAGGAAAATGTTGAGAGCCAACACTTTTGTTTCTATTTTTTGGCTTTCATGAGAAAAATTGATTAAGGGGAAAAAGTTCGAAAAAAAATGTAGTTGGGCTTCTAACCTTCAAAAATCTTCGTAAAGTTTGAAGAAAATGAAATTGGAAGGAGAGCGAAGCAAGAAATATTTTGTCTTTCCCAAAATTAAAAACAGAAAGATGTGAACATTTGAAATGAATTCAAGATATTCCAAAAAAGTATCGAATACATAGTTCCAGCCAGTATTAGACCAATTTTTGTTGCACTTTCAGAAAAAATTAAATATATGTTTCTGGGCAATAATCAAAATGAGAAAAACTGGGTGACTAAAAAACCAGAGCACTAAAAATTACTCTTACTTTGGATTCATTTGCATCACAAAATCTTAAAAGCAAAAGCCTATCTCATTATACCAAAACAAAACGAACCGACACTAAAAGCCTTACTAAAAGCCTCAAAGTCAGCCTCAATGCTTCAAAGCTCAACATTACATGTTTTTATGGGTACAAATATTTTTCTATAGTTTAGCATCCAAAATTAACTCAACTTTTGAAGAATATCCTACTCAAGATTACTCGGGACATAAAAAACCATTTTTCTTAATTTGATTAATTCAAACAATTTTTTAACATTCCTCATCCAAAAAGTCTGTCTTCTATTATTTGTAACTTTCATAAGAAAATATCAATTTTTTTTCTTTTAAAACAGTATAAGAGTACAATTTATCATTAGGGTGTAATTATGTGGAAATTAAGAAACTAAGTGACTAAAAAAAAATAGGTGGAATTCGAAAAAGACATCAGAACATTATTGAAGGAAAAAATCAGATTTCTGCACTAAAAAAACTTAAAAGTATACTTTCCCAGGCTATAATTATGTGAACATTTAAAAACTGAACAACTGGAAACAAAATCAGAATTCTGATACAAAATTTTTTTTATCTAAAGCTTCAGTTATGTTAATCTGGAGAAAGCTTTGAGCATGTTTTTAACCATTTTCGTCATAAAAATGAAACTCTCTAAACTTATGAAAAAAATATTGAATTATACATCACAATACTATAATTATTATATTACCGAAAAACTGGGTGACAGAAGACATCTAAAATTGGGGACAAGATATTTTTAAATGTTTTCTTTTGATAAAAGTTGATAAAAGTGGTATACCAAAAATAGCTGAAAATTGAAACCACAGTACCAAACAACGAATCAACACTGCGAAAGTAAGACAAATGACACCCTCTTCTAATTTTTTGAATAAAATCAAATTTCTTCGTAAGAAATCTAATTTTCCTCAATTTTTATTCATTTTTGCTCCTCCTTTTGGAACATACATTTTTTACTTCCAGTTTTTTGTGGGCAATTATTTATTTTTTTTAATCAATGAAGAATTGAAGTAGAAGAAGAGGGAAAACTCTGAAAAAGCCAAAAATCAACCAACCTTAATGACAGCTGGACGTTGAAGTTCTTTGATGAATTCGGGATCATCTAAATCTCGATAATACGGCCTTTCTCGTTCCTTTTTTGTATTGCTCATACCTGCAAAAAATAACAAAAAATATATAAAATGTTTATGTAAATCAAATATGTAAAGAAAATCGAAAAAATCAATACAAATTTAGGGGATGTTGTTTGCCGAAAAAATATTTGGTGCAATAAAAATATCATCGAGAGAAAGAAAATTCACAAAATCAATTCCAAATTTTTTTCTCAAACCAAAACAATATAAAATATGTATATATGTATAATGTTATATTTTTAATATACATTGACTAGATACACACCAGGAGATTTTTATGTCAAATCAGGCTAATTTAGGGTACTTGACTTGAAAATATTTGACGAAGAAGAAGGAGGAAAATAGGTTTTTTTCTAGAGATAAGAAGAAAGTGGCAAAAAAAAGAACATCTTCAATTGAGCGAAACTTACAACAACTTTTTTATTTAGATTGAATTGGCAACCAGAAAAAGAAAAAGGTTTTTTTCGCGCCCAAGGCAAGTTTTTTTTTGCTATTTGAAAAGATAGAGAAAGGCGAAGAAAAATGTTTGGTTAAAATTCAGATTTTTCACAAGTGAAATTTGTTTCACATGAGAATCTAGGTTCTGAAAACATTATTTTAATGATATTTAATATGAAAACTTATTGGGCCACCCTGAAAGCAATCCCTAAATCAAAAAAATGTTTTTTTTTATTTGAGTTTTGTTTATTTTATCTGGCTGTAGTTTTTCAGCTCTCATCAAATGATACATTTAAAACCCAGAACTTTTTCTTTGAATAAAAAAAAAATAAAAGAATAATATTCAAAAAAAATTGTTCGAAATTTTTGAAAAAATTGCACTTATTGACATTTTCGTTTTTTGAAACTCGAAAAAAGCACGTTTATCATGATTTTTATCAGCACTAAACGTCAAAAAAAACGAAAAGGACAACAAAAAGAATAGACAGAAAAAGAATATATAAGAAAAAGAAGCATATAAAAAGTCATTTGTCTTGTTGTCACCAACCGTACTCAAATTAGCATATTGGTCAAAGGAACCAGCCGTAATTTGAATAAACATTCTAAAAATGAGTAAGACGCAAAAATTGAGAATATGGAATGAAGTTGAAAAATAAGTTTTAGAAGAAGAAAAAGTGCAAAATAATTGCCATTTGAAATTGGACACCAATGTATATATGAATTCATATTTACATACATGATAAAATTCTCATTTTCATTATAAATAAACTTTTTTGTTTATGAATACATAAATGAAAAAAGTTTAAAAGTTTGAAACAAAATTTATCCATGAATGCAAAGAAATTCGGGAAAAGTGACCCAGATGTAGTTGTTGAAAATGGAATTATTTTGTGAAACGAGATTGTCTTTTTTCAAAAAAAAAAAGGAGGAGAAGAAGGCGAAGAAGAAGTACATTTGCAGATGGTGCACACTCAAGTAAAAGTACATTTATGTTAAATGAAAATCATGTTTTGTCTTGATGGATTTTTTTGAGTAAAAAGGACAGCCGAAATAATAGAAAATAATGGGAATTTTCAATTTGTTCGTTTTTTACAGAAAGAAACGAGGAATAGGGTATTCTGATCTTTAAAAACATTTGAACTTTTTGGTATGAGACTGACTCAAAAAATGTTGAAACCAAAGTTATTTATAAATTTTTACAGGTTTTACTTTGTACACAATTATCATTTGAAGGTAAAGTTTGAATTGATTAAAAAAAGAAATTTGCATATGTTTCTCTGACAAAAAAACAAGGTAGTCAAGGTTGAATAAATGATAAAACTAAACGTTTAGGGTATGTCTCAAAAAAAATACAGTTTTATACCAAAATATGTTCGGGAATGCTTTATTTTGTTTTTTATTCTACATTTTCAAACGAGAGCACTAAAAGTTAGGTTTGTTAAAACTAGTGGTCCCGATAAGGCAGAAATTTCTCTCCCGTTATTATAGAAAATCAACAATTCAACATTTTTTTGGAAATATATCAGAAATATTTTGAGTGCATATTTAAGAACAACATCTTCAAGACCCCCGTTTAGATGATTTTGATTTTTACATAAGTTATTCCTGTCTCAAATGATTTTTTTTTCAGTTCCACCAAATGTATTCCATTCACTGTTCCATAAATTGTTCATCTGGTTTCAAGAATCTTTTTTGTCAAAAATATTCCAGCTTTTATCAAAAAAAAAAGAGAAAATGTTAATATTCTTGTGAAAATAATCAAAAAGTGTAGGTTGAACGCACTTTATCAAGATAACACAAACTCAAAAATAAGCTTTCAAAGTTTTTTGAACTTCAACAGTTATCCTCTATTTTTTCGCATACGTGTATCGAATAACCAAGAACGTATTTTCACATGAAAATTATGAATTATTAGAGCTCGATAAATTTCTAATTTGTCATGATATAAACTTTTTTTTATTTGAAGTTTATACTTTTCAATTTTCGCACTCAAAATTTTGAAAAATGCTAATCTTTTTTATCATACTGTGGATCGGTTTGAAACGGATTAAAATAATGTCAAACATTTTCATAATCTTTTGAAAATATACTTTCTGTCTGATAAAAAATGAGTTGATCTGCGAACTTCCGTGTGTTTGATTCTGGGTGTGAATCATTTTGAACATCTCTATCAATTTTTCAGAATCAGGAAACTTTTTGCGAAGCAATCTGAAAAATACAGAATATCCATCAAGAACAAATCAATCTACGGTTCTTCTAAAAGCTCATTTCTCTGAAAAAAAGGCGTACGAAATTGTTTCAATATATTTATTGCTTCACCAAAAATATTCAATCACTTTTTGCGCGTTTTTCGTTGTGAAATTTTCCCCTATAAATTGCTATAGTTCCCATAAAATAATCTGGATAAAATCAAATAATGAAAAAAATATTCACATTTCATAACATTTTCCGATATCAGGATTGTGTTGAGCCGACATCTTATCCCCCTACTTAAAAAATATATAGATATTACATTAATATTCATCATTGTAAATACAGAAGGCGTGTCTCAGCTTATCCTCATTTTATCAAAAGGCGGAGCCAATCGTCTTCATCTTCATTTCATTTTGATATATTCTCACCAATCTAGTTGTGAGCTTTATATCACACAAAAATGAGTTCGTCAACAACTCCTTTTGTTCTTCTTCTCGTCTTGATTTTGGGAACTTCATTGGTCTCCACTTGTTTCCTCAACTCTTGCCCTTATCGTAGATATGGAAGAACTCTCCGTTGTTCGAGCTGTGGTTAGTTTTTCTAATAATTTCTTCTAGCAAAAAAAAACAAATCTTGAAATTTTAGGACCAGATCTCGATGGAGTTTGCGTTGCCGAAGGCAAATGCTGCACTCATGATGAGTGCTACGCCAGTTCGGAATGCGGATACATTTCCGTATGTCCTGAATTGTTCTGCAAAATTGGCAGAAATCCAGGATACTGTATGAAAAAAGGAGTTTGCTGCACTGCGGGTGAGCTTCTATTTATCTCATAGCTCAAAAAAGGAATCATACATTTTTAGGCGGATGTCAAGCGAGTGCAATGTGTTAATCAACTAGTCTACTCGTGTTTTCAAAGTTCGAGGAAAAAATAACAAAACAAATGTGTGCGTTCTTCATTTTTCATTAATTGTCAATAAATATTGAAATTGTTACTTTTCTTGTTATTCTGAAAGACACACTAAAAAAATTTGAATTTTGAACCGTGCCTGCAAATTTCAGAACCGAAAGAACGTCAGTAATCCAAACAAAACAACAGTAGATGTTTGGATTCGATTTCCAGTTTGATCTTCCAGTTTTTCAGTTTTTTCCCTTCCAGTATACAAATATTGCAGTTCCCATTTTGCAGTTTCAAATCAAGTTTAAACTCATTTTTTCCAGCTACACTTCTAAAAGTGGTAATTTCTAGAGTATTTTCCTCATCATGTTCACTGAAGTGTGTTTTTCTGATGATACAGTAATCTCAACTGAAGATTATCATCTAATTTTTCACTTCGTTCTGAATAACACTTCCAAATCTCCTAAACCCTCTTTTTTATGCTTTTCCCTGTTGGCTGAATCAATGACGTAAATGATGAAAAATATATAAATCTTAATGTTTATTTTCAATCAAAAAAAGGAAGAAAATTCACAAATGGTAAAGCAATAATGGCTTAAAAACAGGCAACTTGATGGGCGACCCAAATAAACTGCTCAAAAATTAGTACATATTTTAATTGAGCGAGAAAAAAGACAATATTTTTCAAATGAAAATGAAGTGAACATTATACAGCACCAGATAAAGTTATGGCAAAACACATTTCACAAATTTAGAAATTATATAAATAGAAGGAAACAAAATCACCGCGTTTAAAAGTAAAAGATTTTTCGGGGAGAGGAGAAAGAACTGAATTGGAAAAGAAATCGAATCTTATTTTATTTTGTTTATTTATTCTATTTTTTGGGAGTTACAAGATCGGATTGTTGAAGTACCCATTGTTGCGTTCGATTATTGTTATTCGAATTTGAATTTGCTGGTGGTCCACGTGACCTTTTACGTCGTTCGGCAGCATGTTCAACACCACTAGATTTTGCATTCGGTGATGTGCTTCGAGTTCGTGATTTTTTTTGTGCTCCCGCGTTTTCCATCGTTGGCGGTAACGGCGGTGGAATATCGGGTGGCTTTGGTCGTGTCTAAAAAATATACTATTTGATAGATCATTTGAATGACATCAATCTTACCGTCGCTGAGCTGGTGTTATTGTTATTAGTCGTTGTAGCATTACTACTGCTTTGTCCTTTTTCAAGAAGATCTAGCGCATTATTTTGCTCTCTTAGCCGATTTTCTCGATCTCTTTTACGACGTCGATCATTTCGTCGTGCTTCCCGTTCTAATAAATAACGTTGATGATCGACTTGTTTGGCGAGAATGTTGGTGAGGCAAACCGAAATACACTGAAAATAAAGTTCATTTGTGAAAATATCAATTTCAGGGGGTGGAAAATAGGATTTTATGGTTTATGTTATTTTTATAGAAAACATTATGTGATCTTTCAAAAATCTCAATTATAAAATAGGCTTTCAATCCTGAAAATAGGAATGAAGTTCCGATGTATTTAATGAGGTGAAAATAGTATTTATTTCATATTTTCATCACAAAATATAAGGAATATTTTTGTGATCGATTATTTTTGAATTTCACTACTTATAACTGCATGTTATAACTTTATTATTATTTGAATGTTGAAAGATCGATCAAGTAAGATGGTTGAAATGTATTCTTGTGATTTAACCGTGTTTGCATAGACTGTATTTTCACAAAAATTTAAAGTTTTGATGCACTCTGTTATTGGGAACATTGAGAACTTATAATCCAACTTCTGACGTTATCATTTGTGTTTTTTACGTCTTTCAGGATACTTAAATGACGAATATACTCTCTTATATCTAAAAGATTTTTATAAATTATTATTTTTAGAAAAGATTTCACAACATCAAGATCAAAATAACCAAAAGCAAATCTGCTTATCTAGGGCTTTTCAGAAACACCATTTTGTACTAATGATTATCTTCAAATCTTGAAAACACTTTTAATCAACATCAAAATCAAATCAACTCACCACTGGGATAATCAACAACGCAACAGCAGCACCAATGTGCACGGCGTGCGATTCGAATAATGTTCGAAGAGGTTGCAAACATCCACGTGTATAAATATCATGTTCTAAATCAGCTGGTCGTTTTGTCAATGCGTTTTGCCAACATTCCAAGGATCTCATTGCGGGTAGAAGTGGATTTGATGATCCGGCTTGGAATGCTTCCGAGATGACAGATTTTCGACAACAGGAAAATGGCACACCACATTTTTCAGGTTGTGGATTGGTTTTTGAACAATTGAATTGATAACTCATATTCCAATCACGATAACCTTGTGCAATTGATGAAACACCACAACACTCGAGCTGAATAATTTGAGGATTATATTCATTCAATTTTTTTTCATAATTCTGATGCAGCGGGTTGGAAACTTTAAGGAAGTTATGAATTTTTGAAATTTTTAAGTTGAATTATGCCTGATCACTCTCCCGAAACAGAACAGAGTCACAGAAAATAAATTAAATGAATTATTCATCTAGATTTTACAGTTTGTTTTTCAAATTTTACAAAGCTCTTGATTATTCTTTCGATTTTATGTGAAAAAATCGCCTGAACTATTTTTCAGACAAATTAAACGAGGCTATTTTTCCAAAACTCATCTAATTTCATTTAAAAAAAAAACTCACATTTTCCTGTAACGCATCCATGATTTCAGCCAAGTTTCGATTAGTATGATAATTTTTGATGGCGTACAACAACAATGAATGTGCAGAAAGACCTTCTGTTGTATCCGTATAAAAAAGAACGAATAATATGAATGTTGAACAAACGACTAGAATGTAGGAAAAGAAGACACAGAGGGCGAACTGTAATGATAATTTTGTATTTTTGGGATATAGGATTTATCATGATTAACTTACACATTTTAATAGAAAAATGTTGTCTCTTAAGGCACCAATTGAGCCGAGAAACGAGACCACACATATCGAAAACCCAAATATCGATATGAGAATGGCTGGATTCAATATAATATCGACTAGTTTAACCTCGCGAAAATCCTTGATAAATAAATATACACCCAACGCCAAAATGCCAACACCAATCAGCTGAAAATAAAAACTATATAGATTATCCTTCAGAATCCCTTTTTTTCTCGTGACATTTCGTCTAGACTTCTTTTCCTTATTCGCAAAATAATATAAGTGCATATATATAAGTGGCTTATTAATAATTTAACTTTTCTTCATCCCATTTTTGGAAAGAGGAAGGAAAAAGGGGCACTTAATTACGCATACGGAGAAGTAAGACGCAAAATGTGGTATGTTAATTTGTGGTATCTTTTAAAAGCGAATAATTTCTAATTTTTGAACTGCGACCTTTTCGAATTTTCTTTTTTTAGAACGTTTTTATACGGGGGAGTATTAAATAGTAAATATATGAAATCATATTCCAAGAGGAACTATAGAGGATTTGATCTACTTATAATAAATGATTCATAAGAATTATTTTTGCAGACACTTATGAGGAATGAGTCAAATCAGTTCTGGTTTCGAGAATTAACGAGAATCAGCTTATTTTTGTTATTTTATTATGTCAGGAGATAAAAATAAATGTGTAAATAATGTAGTGCTGTTAAGTTTGTTTTTTCTGTGGATCAAACGAACTTTGTCGGAAAAATTTTGAGATTCCACAAAATACAACTATTTTAAAATTTATATTCAATTTTTCTGGTTAAAGATTCAGAATTCTTTGTAATTATTTCTAAATGTAAGTGTTCATTCAAAAAACTTAATTTCATTAAAAAGTTGCTGGCTCTAGAACCACTTTCTGGGAGAATGTTTTCCGTTTCTTCGATGTTCCTCCTACAAAAATATCTGTTCCCAAAAAAACAACTCACAAAAACCAATGAATTCAGCAGGAACACGAGCCATTTCAAGCACGATGATATTTCCTGTCTTGGTTTTCGCTGTACTTGATTCGGTTTGTGTGTTGCATGATGTCCGCCGGATGTGCGAACTGCTCGCGCCGGCTCACCCGAGCCCATCAGCAAACAATTCTCCCAATCACACGCGCGTTGGGCGCTGCTGAAATAAAATATTATATTATTTTTTTCTTTTCTTATTTTTTGAATAGGAAAATGGCATAATTAATTCATAACAACAATTACTTGTAGAAGAAAAGAGAGTATCCCGTAATTAGGTACAATTTAAGAAAAGGGTGACCAAAAACAACAATAATATATTATAATAATTGTAATCGTGATGAAATAACAAGTGTTCACCGGAAAAATGAGTAAAAATTGTAAGAATGTTTTTTTCTGAGTTTCGTGGTGTTGTGGTGTAGAAAACAATCACCAGAAAAAAGAACAAAAGTAGAGTAAGAGAGTGCGAGAGATATTAGACAAAAAAGAAAGATTGGATAGAACGATATGCAAAATGCGTCCATATGGTTGGGTACTTTTTTGTATCTAGAAAAATGAGGAAAGAGGAGAGAAAGAAGAAAAAAAGAGATGGAAGAATAATAAATTATAATATTAGTAATAATAAAAACAACATGCAGATAAGATGGCTAACCTTTTCAAAATTCCGAATTCCAAATTTTATCTTTGAATTGTTTTTCGATTTTCAGATGAAAAAACAAATGGAGTTTTTTTTTCTGCAATTAAAAAAAATCCATTCTATTTCTAATTTGGCTAACAGAAAATTGTGTTTTTTAAATGCTAGTACGTTTCTGATGTGAATTTTTTGGATTGATTCTGAAAACTATGTAAATTTTAACTGAATTTTTCGAAATTTGAATTCATTATCAAATTTTTCAAGCGACTTATAGAAAAAATGCCCAAAAACTTGTTCAATTATCATGGATGTTTTTTTACCAAACTAAAAATATGTCGAAAACAAAACAATTTGAAAAAAAACCATCTCAAAAGCATATCGATTTTCACATAATTTGAATAACGTCACAAAAAACTGCATCTTTTTTATTCATTCATTCTTTCAAGAAACGAATTGAATGTGGTTAATTGAGAAATGTCGGTAAATTCTAATTATTTCGAAATTGTATACATACACTTCATAGAGATGAGAATATTCGAAATGTGGAAAAAATTTGCATTTTTTGTGGATAAAATTTCGAAATTTTTTTCCGTCGTAAATGATGTCGAAATTCACCAAAACAAAATTCAAAATACCTGTCATTTTTAAAATCCAAAAGTCACACTCCCCATAAAAAACGCAACAGATGCGACAAAAAACAGGTATACCATAAGAAAAAAAGAGAAAAAAAAGATAAAATGGGTCACAAAATGAAAAAAAAAATGTTAGGGTCAACTATGTAATTTAACGATTCTTTGTCCGATAAAATCTCTGAATTGACAAAATGTCAAAAAAACTCACATTTTCTTCTTCTTCTTGAAATTATTCTGTTCTTCAGGCATAGAAAAATACTATTTTAGTTTTTTTTTTTTAATTTAAAAAATTAGAAAAATATATAGAGACTAAAATTGACACGCACAACTACTTGAAAATGCGAAAAGTGGAATCGAAATAAATATACGTAGAATAAAATAAAGTAGTGGTCAACTAGTCAAGGGGGGTTGTTCTCTTTTTTTTCTGCCCAACCAACTAGCCCCAGTCAGTCAAGCGGGTGGTCAAAAAGAGGTCACTCAAAATGAATCGTCAGGTAGGGCGGCTATTCAATTTTATGACATTTTAATATATTTTTATTGTGGGAACAAAATTTCTTTTTTTTTTCTTGGTCAATTTTCGGGACCACCCAAATGACCAGAAGAAAATTGAATTTCAAATGAAATAAAAGTCCTATTCAAAAGTAACGAAAACTAAGGATGATTGTCTTGTGTGGATGATGAAAAATAGAAAAAGAAAAAAGAAAGAAGTGAGGGAGGGAGGAAGGAAAAAAAGAAAGGAAATTGTCAGCGGCTTGGTGAAACAGAAAGAAGTTTTTGATATAAAATGTTTTTGACTGACTGGGTGAATAAAAGAAAAATGAAAGACAGAAAGGGTGAATAAGTTAAGGCAACTTATTGTGTTATGGGAAAATTAGAAAATAGCAAATCAAGAGTTAGTAAAATCTGAAGCAAACGAAAGCCAGAATATTGAATTTTTTGAAATGAAAATATTCTGATAGTGAATGATTTTGTTTGTACTTAAGATTCAAGCATGAAGAAATGTCGCCAGCAAAGAGTTTTAAATTTTTTAGCAATTTGATTCTCACCCCTAACTTCGATCAAATCAAAACATTTCCCATCATGAAACTTATCACAATCACAATCAAAAAATTGAAACGAGACCATTTTCAATCAAATCAAGCGACTGAACACAAAAAAACCAGGAAATGATCTATCCAACGAAAGAAAAATAGGAGAAAAGAATACTTGCTATATTTTCAGTTTTCTTTTTTTTTCGCTACTTGACGACCACAATAACAACACACCCAATTACTAACTAAAAAAAGTCGAAAGTTGCAAAAAAAAAAGAAAAAATCTTCTACTCCTAAAAAACACAACAAGACAACAGAAAAAGGAACCGAATAACCTTCATGAATGAAATAATATGTACATAATTGGTTGTCGTGGAACAAGCAGGTACCAAGTTAGAACAACTTACCTAATTACAGATGAAGATGATGAAGAATATGATGGGAATTTTTCTAGCATCTGTTGTGAATAAGTTGGGCTAAATGAAGTTTGATATTTTTCAAACTTTAAAAGGCAGATGTCAAAATTCCAAGGCTGTTTCAAGCTGTGTTATGGCCTTGTTATCACACTCCAAAAACCCTAACCCAAAAACATTTTGTAATTTAAACCAAAATACATACATTACAAGATGAGAGTAAGCCTTCTCATTTTTGGAAAAAAGTACATTGTTTACCGAGACGACTTTTCCTTAATGCACTTGAGATTTTTAAATTAGTCATTGTCACGATAGGCGGTCTACAATCAAACAACAAAAAACAAAAAAATCAAAAAAAAAAGATTTAGGCTATTAAGAATTAGGACAAATAAAAAATAAAGCGTGAGAATTTTTGGAAAAAAAAACGAAGCTCATTTTTTTGGCTTTGACAGGCAGGGTGAAAAAAACCGGAATGAATTGGTTGTGGGTAAACATTTGAATAAAGTTTCAGAGGAATAGAATGAAACAAAAAATGAGCATGAAATGTGTGCCGTGAGAGGTGCAACACGTGAAAAACAGGAAAAAACGTCATTTTTAAAAAATTATAAAACAAATTTGACAAACTTTAGAAAAATTTGAGGTCTAGAAATTTGGTAGTAATTTTAGAGCTTTGAGCCCATTGAGAGATATCATAGAAATGTTTTAAAAGTGAAAAATGACGGTTTATGTTTCAATTTCACAAGCAGAAACTGTTTTTTGAATTGAAAAAATGAATAAATTGAACCCTATGAAAAGTTTCAAGCTGAAACCAATGAAAATCTACGATGAAAATCAAAACTGTTTTCAAAGATCTATTATGAAAACAGAGAATCAGAACCAGAAAAACCATTTGGATCAAAAAGAATTTCAAAAAGCGAAAATCTCGTACAAAAAAAAACATTGGCGCCGAAGAAGATCATAAGAAAACAGAAAAAGAAGCAGAATAATAATAATAACAACAATACTACAACGACCCTTTTTTCACTTTTCCTCAACGAAAATTATACCTGTTGTCTAGCTTTTTCACGCCGGAATAAAGACATTATGAGGTCTTCTTTTTCTTCACCTTCGTTTTTTTTTCTATTTCTTCTATGTTTTTTTGAGTGAATGGAAATTCGAGACTTTAATGAAATTGTGTTATTTTGAAACAGTAGAACAAGAAAAAGAAGAAGCAACAAGACAAAGTGAGTTACAAAATGAAGTAAATTGAATTGCGTGTCCGGAATATATATGAGCAAACACTTGACAAAAATGTTCCCCACTTGACACATACACGGCATGCCAGAAAATTATCCCCGATCCTCGCTGTTTTTTCGAGAGCCACTATCATTAACAGATTATTTTTGGAAGAAGAAGAAGAAGAAGAAGAAGAAGAAGAAAAATAGAAAATTATCTTGAGAATAAGAAAAACGAGAAATTGAAGTGAACAACATGAATTGGCTAAAGTGTCAGTGTCATAATTCAAGTGGCAATGTTTTTCACACAAAGTGACTAAATTTAGAAAAAAGTGTCTGACACTTGAAAAAATGAAGATTTTTTTCGATTTTCTTGAAGTCGAGAAAGATTTTGCCATTTAACGGAACTTGAGTTGATTAATGACTTTTCAAGTTTTACCTCGAGAATTTTAAACACCTTTTTTGAAGTGGAAGAAACTTGAAAGTTATAAAAAACAGTGAATGGTTTGTAAAAATTACTGTAACTTATAAAAAATTGACTTTACAAACCAGAAAATATATTCACACAGAGAATAAAAAACCACAATTTCTTGTGCTCAAATAATTTTTCCTTCAAAAAACCCATAAAAGAAACATAAGTAGGTCATTTGATTCGACAACGAAAGCAAAAAATATGCAAAAACCTCTTTTTCGTAATCCGCGACAGATGTTGGTCGCCGCCGCCGGGTGCGTTTCCCAGGTTTCAAAAAATTTAGCTCATTTTATTTTCATCCAACCCAAAAATTTTCGAGCCAACCCAAAAATCAATATACAAAGAAATAAATAAAATACCGTGCCAGGTAAATTAGCATATTCACCAGAAAGAAAAGGGGAGAAATGTATGCTCAGGCTGGTTGACTGAAGAAAAACAAAAGGGCGGCAAGTGTTCACCCCATAAAATTTAAGGGTGGGAGAAAAGAGGAGGAGGAGGGTGGGATGCTAATTAGCATGTCCACTTCACCCCGCGCAAAAATAACAACAACAACAGTCAAATAAATAAAAAAAGCTCTCTGTTTTTAGGGTCTTTGGTTTGGAGAGGCCGAAAAGTTTGAACACCTGCAAACAATTACGGTACTATAGTTTCTTGAAAAAAAGAAAGAAAAAATACTTTCTATAACCAAAGATGCGATGTTATATGTATGTAAAAGATATGCAGATCTGGTAAAAATGAACGAATATAAAAAAGACGAACAAGGAACATCATAAAAATGTTGAATGATGAGTGACAATGAATGTCTTTTTGATGGTATTTGATTTTTATTTTTATTTCAAATGCAGACAAAAATGGAAGAATATCCTCCCAAAGGATTACAACTGTACTTTTTTCGAATAGAAAGATGACAAAGTTTTGGGTTCGCAGATCAAAAAATTTTTTTGTGAAATGTGTGTCAACTAAACTTTTGGAGGAAAAGTTGTGTTCAATTGTTCAAAGAAATCCTGAGAAATTGGGAAATTCAAAACTGAAATTTTTTGGGCTTCAACGATTTGAACCATACCTCACAACAATCATTGATAAAAATATCTCAAATTTTGTTGAAAATGAGTCATTTTCACAAAATTGCTAATTATTTCAGAATCGATGTTTTTAAAACATCAGCGTGATTAAAAGTTACATTTCTCAAATTCACTCAAATAAAAAAATATAGATTAAAATTTTCTTAACCAAAATTCTATTTTTGAATACCGAGAAAACCAAAGTAAAATTTTAACACGATTAGAAGTACAGGGAAAATACGAAAGTTAAGAATATTCTTTGACAAATATAATCTCCATCAAACTTTCCAACCATAAATTATAAATTTATAATCGAAAATACAAAAAACCGTAATAATAATCAGCTGACCACATACAAAAACTCGTTAATCACAAAACATCTCCTTGTTTTGATCACCATATCAAAAAGACCTCCCGACATTTTACGGGTCTGAATGCTTCAAACCAGATCAAGGGAAATGAAGAATACATCAAAAATCACTTTCTTTTATACATACATACGTGTTGGAAAAAATTCTCGGACAATAAAAAATTATTGGTGTTAATGATGAGATGACAACAAGAAGAAAATGAGAAAAATTCAAAAAAATTGAATTGACAAAGGTCAAAAGCAAAACGAGTTATGTTATTTTTACAGCCTAGAATAGCCTAGAATAATCACGGCTGGTTGGATTAAGAAGGACATATACGGTCGGTCAATGCCAAATCCTCTCTCTTTTTCTAACCTGTTCACAAAAGTGAATAAATGGGAGGAAACAAACGAAAAGGAAAGAAACCGAAAAATGGAAGAAGCGGCTTTCCATTTTTCCTCAACTAACATAAATGGAATTAACTAAATACATATCTATCAGAATCGATAAGTGGAAGAAGGAGAAGAAAATGAATAATATGATAAGGCCAGCTTTTTCGACCAGAAGAAAAACTGGAGTGGTGTGACGACGATTAATGATAAAATGAAATAAAACATAGATTTTTTTGTGACGCGCGGGCGCAATTGATTTGAAAATGACAAAAAACTGTATAGGATTGTTATAGAGTTCATGGAGGAGAAAGTAAATGGGAATTAGATAATTATTAGATTATTTTCTTTTTTTTGAAAATGAGATCATAGAAAGTGGTGTTGAGAAAAACGAGAATTCAGATTTGTAAGGAGGTGAGTTGAGAATCTCATTTTGAGTCTTCAGCATGAAAGATGTTTAAAAAACTGTTACACGTAGAATTATTCTTGAAAAACTTATTATAAACCAGAAAAATAATTAGACTGATGGAAAAAACATGCATGGTACAAACTCAAATTTTACAAAAAAAATAGATTGTTTCAAGTTTAGAAAGCAGTATGGAAAAATATTCCAGAAAACAAAATAATTTTTTTCAAAACCTGTACATCGTGAACAATACATGACCTTTTCAAAAAATTAATCATAGAAAAATATATGTATTGAAAATCGAACACAGTAACAAAAAATTGCAAAAAAGAGAAGTGGGTCATATTTGTACAACATTTGTACAAAATTACCTTTCTCTTATTAGGGGTACAATAAAAATGAGAACAATTTTTGCGAGAAAGTATGTTGCGAGGTTGGATGAGTTTTACTTACACTTACATTAAATCGGAAAAAACGAGTACATCAAAATGAAAACACAAAGAGATGGATGCAAAATCTTGTTGTGATGTGAGGTGAGAAGAAAAACAAATATCAGCTTTTCGTGCGCACTTTTTCTTCCATTCTCTGTGTTTTCCGCCGACCTGTGATATATACCCCCCTCACCTTTTTTTGAATTTTATCTCCTAATTTAGAAAGAGAAAAGGAGCACGAGGCTTGATTGATAATATTGTCTTGGCGGTCTTTTCAAGTCAATATTTGATTGCGGTTTGTGGAAGGGACAATTTGGTGACAGATTAAAAGAATTATTTGTATGACCCGACCTAATAAAATGATCTACTGATAGGGTGAGAAAATGGGAACCTCAAAGTCATAAGATTTTTTATCGATGTTATTTTGAATTACTCTTTTTTGGGGGGGGGGTCGATCTTAAAAATTTTAAGAGGAATGTGATATGAAGACCATGGTAATCGATTTGTCAGAGCTGAAATGTTATGTTTTGAAACCAGTAATTTATAATGAGGTAATGTAAATATGTATAACTGTTTCGAACTCACAATGAAAAGACCTCAACAATAAAAAAAATCCTGATGTTTTTTATTTTGAAAAAACAACTTTTGTTTTTGTCGAAAATGACCAATCACACAAATTCTCTATAATTTTGTCTCATTGTTAAACAGCCAGCAACGTATTGAAAATTAGCGAAAACTAAGAGGAATCACTGACAGTTTTCTCTGCATTTCAATTTCCTTTTCTGAATGATCATTTCTGGATTCCTAAAAATAGTTACAACCAATATACATACTTCTCCTTTTTTCCTTTTCTCCAAATAAATAAGTGCAGTTGTAAAAACTATAATAATATATATTCCGATCCGGAAACAAGTCCACAATCCAATCCAAAAAGCTCAAAATTATATGACGAAGCAAAGATTAGTTGCAAAAAAACCGGCGTATGTCAAATGTTTCATAGACAAGTACAGGAAATCTCCACTAGTATACCAAAAAGTCATTCATTTTTTGCTCATTTTTTGCTATTTGAGTTGAGCTTGGCTCAATTTCTAAAGCGACTAGGCAAAATCCACACAGAAACGCCCATTTACACATAATCACCGGAACTTATTTGTCACAAACCTAAGGTACATAACACGTTGGTCTTTTTTCTATTGGATTTCTATTTTATTAGTCATCGTGATGATAAATACAGTGAGTTTTGAAATCTGATTGGCATGTGATTTCTAATTTTGATAATTATGTTTTTAGCCGGAATCAGTTTCTTGTGAAGATAATTTGTTGGAATGTATGATAGAATTGGAAAATCGAGATGCTGTTTTTTGGTGTGGTGAAAATGTTAAAGGCAATCTACATTTGAAATTATCTGATGGATCAATTCAAATCACTTCTCTTCGTTTGTTATTTCATGGTTATGGAAAAATTTCATGCAAAGGAAAAGTGAGTGAGAAATAATCTCTAAACTTTTTTTGAGAAATAATCTCTAAACCTATTTTTTGGAAATCGCGGAATTTTTTTTTGAAAACATTATTGGTCCTACATATTATCTTGAAAACAGTTTTTTCCGTTTCTTTTCTGTCTCGATCTAAAAATAGTTTATTTCCGCGAACCACATGATACACAATTTTGAGAGTATGAATATTAGGTTCAAAAAACCATATGACCAATTGTACTCTCTTTCTGAACACCAAAAAACGTTGAGCAATTTTGCAGAAAGACGAACCACTTCAGGAATGCATGACGTACCTCAAAAAAAGTTCCGATCTAGTTTCGCAATCGTTTGTTTTGCAACAACAAGAATATTCGTTTCCATTTGAGGTATTCCATAATTATTTCTATTTTTATTCGTTTTTTTTTCTCAAACAGGAAACTTTACCGGATCATTTACCCACTTCAGTTTATTCAACAAAAGGACATATTCAGTATATTGTACAGTGTACTTTGGAATATAAAACCAGCAATGGTCAACCATCAATTGTAAAAGCTATTCGAGGAATCACTATTTGTGAAAGTTTAGATCTCAATAAAATTCCGAAATCCTGGTTTGAATCAAAAACCGAGTTCGAACAACGTAAATTTGGATGGTTTTCTTGTACGGGTGGACATATTCGATTAAATGTGACTATCGAAAGATGTGCTTTTGTTTGTGGAGAAGCAATCTCATTCATCGGAAAAATTGAAAATAAAAGTGATAGAAGAATTGAGAAAGTTACAGTAACTCTGGTGAAATCGATAATATTCGGGGAAACTGAAGGAGAGCAAGTAAATGAGGTTAATATTTTATAATTTGTCCAGTTATAAACTTCGAATATTTTCAGAACATCGTCACTGATTCTCAAAACGTTCTAGAAGATTTATTGGCAATGTATATTGAAGAAGGATGTTTCAACAAAATTGTTAAAAAAGTTCACATACCATCAACCTCGCCAACAACACCAACAGATATTCTTCTTCAACATCAACCAAGTCAATCAACTGATGCCAACAACCGTTTTCTAAACCGAAGAAGATCACAAATGGGAAGATTATCGTTTTCTTCAAGTGCTGGAAGAGAAAGAACATCTCTGGGCAACCCAAATATTCAACGAATTCTTCGAATAAGTTATGCCTTCAACATCAAAGTTCGAACCGGTGGAATCGATGTTATCGATGTGAATGTTCCAGTTGTGATTGGAACTGTTCCAATGACAGATAGTGTGAATTCTGGTGATCCGTGAGTGTTTGAAATTGAAAAAAAAAATTGTTTTGATTGCAAAATTCAATTTCAGAAATGATCCTTTGGATAAACCAGTTTTCAACGTTTGCCGACAAGATAAACCAATATCTTTACTTGATGAAAAAGAACGAACACTTTGTAACAAAGCGCAGGTATTTTTCATTGAAAATATTTTGTAAATTCAGATAGTAAAAATAATCATAATTTCAATCGCAATAGTAAATTAGAATTATCAAAATCTCTAATTTTTCAGCTTCAACATGTCAATAAATATCCATTTTACGCAACCTTGACAACCTCATCAAAGCAGAGCAAAAAATTGAGCGTCATCGCAAAAACCATCAAAACTGAAAATAGTATAATGAACACAATCAAAGGAGTTGTCGATGAAGACAAGTATGTTTCCCATGACCACCCATAAAAACGTTTTTTTCTCAGAACTACAATTGAAACTGATATCTCTGACTACTAAACATAAATATCACCACTTCTCTCTACTCTTCAGTCAACCATTTTTCATTTTTTCTTTTCATTTTTATTTTTTATAGTATCGTATGATACATTTATATTTATAATGAACATATTCACTCAACTCACGCTATTCCAAAATGTTCAGAGGGTTAGAAAATGACACGAAAAAAAACGACATAACATTGAAACCCTGCGTGATCTACAGCGAGTTTATTTTGCGGTTCTGGGATTCAAAAGTTTCTAAAATAGGCTTGAATTTTAAAAAAAAATATTTTTGATTGTGTATTGTTTAAAGAGAACAACTGAATTTCTTCTTTTCAAAAATAAATACAGTAACCAAAAGAAGAATCAGAAATCAGGGATTTCATATTTGAAATTTTTTGTGTACCTTTGATATATTTTCTCTGAATCCCTGCTCTCTCTCTGGGAGATCCTACACCATTGAAAAAATAAAAGAAATATTTTTGTGTGCATTTTTGCGTCGCCGTGTTTGCTACTCTCGCTTTGTTTGCATTTTTTTTTGCAGTGTAAAAAAATATAAACTATATAAAAATACCTCGATTTCTCAATTTTCTGCAGGTTTGTGGATGCTATTATTTCTAGTTTTGGTGAAATGTGTAATTTCAAAAATTCCTGCACAATATGAGGAAGTTGGTAAGCGATTTTCATTTGAATTGGGTAGAAAATTGTTAAAAAATAATATAAATTCGAATTTTGCAGTGGACACAGAAAATATGCTATTTACGGTGTTAACACCATATGATTTGGCATACACTTATCAAATGAAACATGCGTATATGTTAGGTTCACAATTTAATGCGGAACTCAATCGAACAATGAAAAATCTCGATTTGGTTCAAGCGTTTCCGCTTCAAGCGTGTTCACCATTGGAACAGAAATTTGTAATTCCAACAGCAGTTTTGATTGAAAGAGGGTAAGTTCTTTATGCGTTTGGCAATAACAATATATGAATGATGATATTTCAGTGGTTGCTCATTCACTGAAAAAGTCAATAATGCTCAAGATGCTGGTGCTGCTCTAGTTATGGTAACAGATTCGGGTGAGTTGATTTTTTTGATTAGAAAATAGTTTTTCAAAGAGAGAAAAGTCAATTAATTCTCAAAATGCTCTTCTCGATTAAAATGTCTCTGACTTCAGTTTTTGGAAAAGCTCATTTTTTCTCCTCGATATTTCAGTAAGTTCTTCAGAATTGATAAACGCAAAGTTTTGTATGCAATGAACTTTCATACTGATTATCAGTGTTGTAATTTTTATCATTTTTTTCTGAAATTAACTGTGAAAACCAAACATCTTCAAAAAGGAAAAGTTTATTTCGAAATTTGAAATGATTTCAACATAATTTCTCTTATATTCATTCAAAATTTGAATTCAATCGAACTTGTCTTGAAAAATATTTTTTTAAAAATCCCTGATGGCAATTTTCTTGGTCTTAAAACAAGAATTATATTCGAAATAAAAAAATTCTAGTCTAAATCCTTTTCAAATATTACCAAAACTGAAAATGTTTCAGATTATGCATCTCGTCGTGAATATGTTAATATGATACCTGACGCATCTCTTCGAATTGTCGATATTCCTTGCGTTTTCATTGGAACGACAACGGGCAGATATTTCCTCGAATATTTTCACGATGATGAAAATGCAGTGATCAAAATGGATATACCAGTTGAGCGACTGACCTCTCCTTGGATTCATCATCAACGAAAAGCTCCGTGGGAATATTGGGGAGATGATCACTGGTTAATGTAATAGATAATTAATAGATTTCGTCATATTTTATTTGTTTTTGACAACACCAATTGTTTTTACGGTATCGCCTACGGGTTAAGTATCTCATTCCCCTAAAAATTGAAAACCGTGATAATTCGAATTTACGTCATTTTTTCCAAGTTTTTTCTCGCATTGCTTGATTGAAATAAATAATGAAAATACACGAATTGTTTTGTTTTATTTTGTTTGTTAAAGACAACCTGCGCCCAAAGCCACTAGAGAAATGCAAACAATCAATCCTATTTTCACTTCATTTCAATGTGTAGTTTTTATTTTATTCCATATTATTTTATTCTATTTCTTTTTTATTTTATACATTTTTATGCATTTATAGTTTTTGAAAAAATAACAAACTGATACAAAATAATACATACACATTGATTTTTGTATAGTTTATTGATCGACCTTGGAAAAGGGAAATGATGATTCGCTTTCATTTTTGCCTCGCTTTTTTCTTTTTCTTTTATTAGTGTTTGTTTATTATTTGGAAATTTCACACAAATATCAATTTTAGTATAACATATGCCAGAACGCCGTGTTTTTGTGATTCGACATGGTGAAAGGTGCGATTTTGCCTTTGGGAAATCGGGTCTTTGGATGAATTCATTTGATAGTCGTGGAAGATATCGACCACTAGATATCAATTTACCACGGAATTTACCAAAAAGACCTGATGGTTGGCAAGGATTTGCTGCCGATACACCATTGACTGAAATTGGATATTTACAATCAAAATTAACCGGTTTGTTTTTTTTATTGAAAAGTTTAATTTATAAGGGTAAGAGTGATGGAAACAGAGAAGAAAAATCAAATTTTATTTGAAAATGACGACATTGACAAACTTTGACATTTTTTCGAGCTTTAGACTAACTATTTTTTTAATTAGATTGATTATTTTCCGAAAACATTTTTCGTCCAAAATAATTTATGAATCACAAAAAAATGAAGCATTGTTTGTGGATTGTCTTAAATAACATTGACACGACTATTTTTTTTTCAAATATATTAATTCCATTGTCTTTTTTTCTCCTACAAATGTTTTTACAGGTCGATCATTTCGGGATCACAATATCGAGATATCTCATGTCTTCAGTTCTCCAGCTCTTCGATGTATACAAACTACAGTAGGATTATTGAAAGGGATGGGTGCGTTATAATTTTCGATTCTATCATACTTTTTTCCAAATTATCAGGACAATATTTTTAGGTATCGATAAAAAGGTGAATTTTTCTGTTGAGCCATCATTATTTGAATGGATGACCTGGGCGAGGTATGCGAGACCGTGTTGGATTCCACCAAAAGAATTGAAGCGATTAGGTTATCCAGTCAACGATCATTATGTTCCATGTTTTTCGGATAAAGATTTACGAATGGATGAAACAATGCAACATTTTTATCAAAGATCTTATGCGGCGATGAACAAAATTTTGAAAGAATGTCCGGAAGGTTGGTTTTGATTTTTAGGGTTTGGAGTTTGTAATTTTTGTCAAAATTTATGTTGATTTATTAATTTTTAAGCATTTCGTGTTCAATTCTACTATTTTATTTTTTGTTTTTTTAATAGTAGAGGAAACAGAATAGCCAAGAGATTCAAAAATTAACGCGATAAAACATTAAAACTATTCTAGTAGCATTTCAAAGGTTTTGAAATTAAACTTTACATTAGTTCTAAATGTAAGCTTTTTTTTTCATTCATTTTCCGAATCAGTTCCAAATTTCATTTGGACTTTGATGATTCAATTTTTGAGAAATCATTGATCTATTTTCAACAAACAAACACATGTTTGTTCTTTTTCAGGCAATATTTTGATCGTTGCTCACGGTGCATCTCTCGAAACATGCACTCGTCAACTTGTTGGTGGTGAAATCCGAAATTCTGACGATTTCTATTACCTTGTCCAAAATACTCCATATCTCGCATGTATTGAAATAAGCGGTGGATCTAGAAATGGTTCTTGGAATTTGTCTGGAAGCCCAATTCCTTCATTCAGTCACACTTATAATAGACCATTTGACCCGTTGCAATTAGTTACAAAAGATTTAGCCGCCTTGAAACGAGATAAACAAGAACGCGATAGGAATATGCGAACAACACAGTAGAATTCTGATTTTTTCTCAATTGTTTTTTTTTTCATTTTCAAATTATATTGATACCGGTAATGTGTTATCAAGTACACAGTTTATTTTTTATATGTCTGATCTCATTCTAAATGTTCATTTTTTCATTTCCTTTTTCAGTTTCAATTTCTATTTAGTTTTAATAAATCGTTTATACTAAACCCGAGAAGCAATTCTAATTAGAATTAGGATATGACTAACAAAAAATATTATAATTGATAACCCACACTAAAAATAAACATTGATGAAAATTTAAAAAAAATAAAAAGAGAATTAGAAATCAATTAACAAATATGTTGGGACCAATGCATGGCTTTATCGTAAAATTGTGTTGGAGTGCATCTTTGAGAAGTATCAAGTTGCAAAAGCGATTGAATTATTCCCGAAACTTCCGTATTTGTTTCATTTGGAAGTTCTGGTGGGTCATATGCTTCGAAATTTTCACCAGCAACGTATAAGAATAATCTACATAAACTGCATTCGTCAAATGGAACTTCTCCAGTGACACATTGATAGAGAAGACATCCAATACTCCACATATCAACTTTTGAATCATATTGGCATGTTTTCAATAGATTTGCCCCAACTTCAGGTGCCATATAAAATAAAGTTCCGGCAACATTACATAATTCAGTGCCGTCATCTTCTAACGTTCGTGAAATTCCTAGAAAAAAACAATCATGAATTATTGATGAAAAACAGGAACTCACCAAAATCAGTTATTCGTGCACATGCAATTTGCTTCGACTCGTCTAGATAACTGATGAGAATGTTCTGTGGTTTAATATCGCGATGCACTATTTTCAACTCGTAAAGTGCTTTGTAACCGCGTGCAATATTATCGAGCAGTTGCCGGAAATTCCCTGGATTTAAGATTCCACGCTCGGAGATTGTTCTCATATGATGATCAAGATCACAATCACACAATTCCATTATGAGGCAACAAAAAAGTTCATCAAAGTTGCAAATATCGAGAACACCAACAAGATATTCACTTTTCAAATCTCTGAAAAAAAATGAATTAACCATCATAAATATGGAAATAGGATGAGGGATGCCAGGGAGTCTTGTGGTCTAGTGGCTAAACTGATTGATCCCCCGTCTACAAAGCCAATAGTTCAATCCCGGCCCCGGGCTTGATACCCCCAGGGAGGACTAGTAGCCAGGGCTCTCTTTTGCCTTCTTAGTCTTTGCGTTTTTGTGTTTTCCTTTTCCGTTTTCTTTTTATTTTGACACGGAACAAGAAAAATTATAAAATTATTCTGTCGATCAAAAAACTCAAACATCATACATTTTCCCGAGAATTTCCATAATTTTTAATCTCTTGAGAATAAATGCTTCTGACAAAAAAAACAACTAAAGAAAAAAAATGACTGATTTTTTCTTGCGAAAAGGGTTTTAAAGGAAGCAACATTAAATAAAGCAAAAACATAATTGTTTTTTCTGTGAATCTGTATGGTTTTCTGAACAATTTTTTTTTTCTCCTAGAATCCCCCAGTTTCTCAAAAAAATCTCACAATCAACTGCTCTTCTGAAAGAAACCCATAAATTTTCTAGAATTCAATTTTCTCTCTCAAAAAAATTTTATTTTCCTAAAATCAACTGAACTTCTGAAAAAAATCTTGAAACTCTCACTTTTTGGATACAATTCTATTTTTGAAAAAAAACTACCATTTCTGAAAAAAAACCATTTTCCCGCCAAATATTCTACAAAAACAAACCTTATCATTTTCAGCTCATTTTCTTTGACATGAACACGGAGCATGCGTTTCACAGCCACGCTCTGAAAAAATCAGATATTTTGAAATTTCAAAGATCCACAGTTTACCCACCTGTTCTTTATCATCTTTTTGATGTCCTCGAAAAACTGCGCCAAATGCACCCATTCCAATCATTGATTCAAAATCATCATTATACTCATATTTTTCATCAAGAGTAATACTTCTGTTTGAAAATTCTGGTAGAATCAGAGAATCTACTGTAGAATTGCGATGTGATGGGCAATTGTAGACCATCTGGAAATATTTGAACTTTAATTCTAGATTTTTTATTTATTTTGATCTAAAATTCTGGAACAAGGAAGAAGAGCAATGAACCAACAATGTAGAAGCAGAAGAAAAAACGAAGAATAGAAGAATACTCTCTGGAGCAGAAAAAAGAGCACATACATACACACATTTTCTCTAACACCCTCTCAATCTCTCACAGCTTTAAAATGAGCTGTGACGTAGTGAGAGCATTTGGGTCGACATTTTGAGCCCGTATTTTTCAAAAAAAAAATTACGTTTTACAAATTTTCAGGAAAAGACGGCTAAATTGGATTATCTATTTTTGTTTGACACACACTCTTTTTGTCTCACTCACATTCAGTAATTGGATATTATATGTATTTGAGACTAGTTTGTTCGGTTTGTGGGAAAAAAGTGACGCGATGAGGAAAATAGAGGTCTTTTGATCTTTTTTTTTTGAGAAATATCAAATTGGTCATGATTTTTTTACTGATGCTAATCATGACTCACGTCGGAAAAGAAAATTTTTTTGTGAGTAATGTGGAAAAGAATTTGAAAGCAGACAGAGTTTGAAAAATGGGAAGAAGTTACAGTATACTGAATTGGAAATAGAGGTGGAATTTTTGAACTTAGTTTTCATAACATATATTTTTCAGTGTTGGAATCAAAGTCAGAATGATTATTCACTGGTGTTTCAAAAAAATGTTTGAAAAGAAATGTTTCGTGAATTATTAAAAAAAAGAAAACATTAAAAAATGACAAATTCGAATATGAATAGTTGAAAATAGAAAAAAAAAACTACCAAAAATTTTTGTCGTTGAACTACACTAATATATTTTGTTTTGAGGAGCTAGCTCACAAACTGTTTTCAGAACAATTTGATTTTTAGATAGAAACGTTAACTATATGAAATAAGATTAAAAAACAGAAAACTTCAATATTGAAAACTATCTTTTATAGTCTAAACATACGTTTCAATGACTCGGACTACTTTCTCAAATTGAGAAACTTTCCCAACTAAAAAACCCGGAAATTGAACTCGACATTTCTAATGCCAACTTTTCTTCCAAGTGCAAAAAAACTTGTTATTCCACCCTCAAATGGGGCCAAAAAATGTTCCTACTTTCCAAAAGCCACGTATCATCCCTACTTCCTCCATTTTTTCTTCGAAAAAAACTGGAATTTTATATGGGTTAAAGGTACACACATCCTCCTCTCATCAAACAAGAAAAACAGCTGATTTTTTCTTGAAAAGAGTCATTAATTGAAATGATGTGATCCAACTCACTCTTTCTCTTTTTTCTTTTCAATTTCTAGAGAGGGATCTATCTAAATTGAAAAATTCAACAAAAAAAGATAATTCTTTGAACTCCGAATGTAATTGAATCGTTCACCGCACACACAAATTGAATTTCAGAATAAACATAAAATGGGAAAAAGAGACCAAAAATTGTTTTGATTGTCAATTTAAAAATACTGTATTTCTCAAAGAATTCTCAAGAGTTTCAAATTTCATGAATTTTTCATGATGTTTTGTTTTTTTTTTTCTATTTTTTTCACCAAAAAAACAGCTGTTTTCCAAAAAAAAGCAAAGAAAAAAATGGAGTTTCCCAAAAAAGCTAAAAACAGCCAAAGAGAATCCTTGTCTTGTCAAGTTAAGTTAGTTTGAAATTCAATAAACATTCGAAAAAACATCTATGAAAAAAAAGAAGACGAAAATGATGTTGACGGGAAAAAATAAATATTGTTCCTTGGATTTTTTTTTGAATTTCTTTCCGTAAATATTTGCGTTTTTGAGTCAAGACCAAGAATTGCGAAGAAGTTAAAAAAAATATTGAAAAAGTGATGTCAGTATGTATTTTCTGGAAAAAAAACACCCTGTAAATTTTTCTCATCAATCATTATTTGGAAAAATAGAATAAACAAAATATAGAAAACCAGATGTCAATGTTTTCAAAAAAATCTGGCTTTTTTCATGAAATAAAAATATATTCAGAACATTGAGAGAACCTATATGACAAAGACATTCCAGGACTCAAAAACCATTGCAAGCTCACGAGGAATACGAAATTCAACACTTAAAATAAGAATTTCCGGAACAAAGAAACAAGCCCAAAGACCAATCCTTTCAGCACCAAATCTAGAAAAAAAACACAACACTCTTGAAAAGGAAGCAACAAAAAAAAGAAGAAAAAAAGTTCCTTAACCATCACGAAAAACAACAACATCATCACAAAAAATTCATTTGACAACAAACCAAAATGAATTGCTTTTTTTCAGCCAATTTTTTTGCCGCTGAAAAAAAAGCAACCATAAAAATATGAATAAATGAAAAAAACGAGATGAGGAGGAAGAAAAACATGTGCATATTCTATATTTTCTGGTTTTGTTTTGGAAGTGGAAATGACAGTTTTGGGGGAACTCGATGCTGAAATTCAAGAAATTGAAAAAAATATAAAAACTTATATTCATGAAGGAACAATATTTTTAGGTCCCTAATACGTTTTTTTCTCAAAAATCAGTTTTATACAAGCACGTTGCCATAGAACAAGCATCACGTAATAAAAAAGCTGGGCAGGTCTGATGTCTTTCAAAAAATTAGATTTATAACTTTTTGGACAGTTCTTTTCTTTTTTGAAAAATGTTCTCGTAGAATTTCTATATCCATCAACAAACATCAGAATTTGACTTCATACATAGTAAACCAGGTGAATTATAAAATGAAGTCAGAATGGCGAATGTTTCCTAAAAAAACTTAAAATCAGTAAAAGTCAGCTAAACTCTTAACGTAATTATTGGAGTGTCGAAAAAAAATGAAATTTTGAAAAAAAAAAGTTCTAATAATGAAATCAGTGATTGTACTTTCGCTGCGCGTATTACGGTTATTTTTAAGAATAAATTTTATAAAGAAAGTAAAATCACTGATTAAAATTTTTCAATAAAGTTTTTCATCGCTACATCACAAAATGTTTGATTCTAAGATTTCGATTTTTTCAACCCTCCAAGTTTGAATGAAATGCTCGTCTGAAAAGCAGGTGATTTGGTAGAAGTAACACGTTTACGAAACACTTCATTCATTACTATTTTCAGCCATGAGGCTGTTTGATAATTATACTTTGACGATTGAAAAAGAGCTCATATTTTTGTTAGACACTGATCCAGAAAATGCGATTATCGATAATATGGCAAGATTTTTAGCAGTTACCACATGTTTTACCACGTTTTTTTACTATAAGAAAACGAGAAATGATTGGGTTATGAACCGATATGTGAGTTCTATTGAAATAGATTATGTTGTTCATATAATTTTTTAGCCACTCATCAAAATAAGCAGTTTGCAATTAGCAATTGTTCTAATAATTCCAAGTTTTATGTCGATTTTAACATTCATTTTTGTCATTCTGATGTTTTTGTGAGTTAATAACTGTTTTAATTATTTAACGAGAATTTCACAGAAGAGAAAAAGAAATATTAAACGAAACAACAGTAATCTATTACTTGATGGCAGTTTTATTTTTCATAAGGCACTTTTTATTCACTTTTTTTGCTGCGTCAATATCAAACCTTATTGATATATTCATATTTTTGTTGGCAGTTCAACGAGCGGCTATTATTCTTCTACGTAAAAAGTACCAATTTCTTGTTGGCAGGTCGTCTCATTGTGAAATCAATGTAGCTTGTAAATAAAAAAGTTTTACAGAACAGCTATAAAGATTTATATTAGCATGATATGGATTGGAACAATTGCGATCAAAATAGGCATGGTGATGAGCTGTGAGTAAATTTTTTGAAGTGGTTTTTATTAACAATTTTTCAGTATACTTTAACTTCGATGAAAATCATATTTTGTACCAATATTTGTTCAAAAATTCCGACGTGAATGGCCCAATTATTGCGATATTTTGTTCAATTTTATATTTTATATCATTCTGGAATTTATATAAACAACGTGAAGAAAAACTTTGGATTTCACCTGAATTTGCTTTTGTGTATGAAGGTGCGCCGACTTTAATAAGCAGGGTAATTACAAAAAATTAAACGCAAATATGGTTGAAATAAGAAGAGAAGACATTTTTAATGTTTTAAGGGTTTTCTTCTATATCAATTTTCTATTAATCAAAATTCTTTTGCATGGCAACCTTACGAGTTTCGATATATTATAATAGCAAATGGTTGGGTTCAACTAACAAATGTTATACCATTTCGAACAATCACAAAATTATTTGAAAATGCAAAATTATATGTTTCAAGAAGTTATGCTTATAATTTTAACATGAATGTGGTCTCACAATCAGAGCAAAGGTCTTGATCATTTTTTGTCTCAACCACGTCTTACTTTTTTATCAATGAAAAAGTCCAATTCTCCCAATTTTATCAAATTTCGCAACATCGAAGAGGAAAATTATTTTATGGTTAGAGTACATGAGAAAACTGCAGGGACGCTGAAGAAAAAGTGTGTGGCAGACAGTTAGACACTACATACTAATTTTATTTAATGTTCATTGTCTTTGTTGCTTTTTTATCGTTTCAAATAAATGCTCTTATTTTTTCCAAATTGTATTCGAAAAAATCAATCGTTTTTTGATCTTTTTTATTTTGAAAATTATCCTAACTTTTTTAAGATAACATGTGCGAGCCTGGAGAAACAAAAGAAGCTTGGCGTCGTAGAATTCATAGCAGATTGAATGCAATTTCTTATCGATTGGATATTATAGACAGAGGTATTTATCAATCATCAATCTGAAATAATAATCTTGATTTTGCAGAAAAGCGAAATAATGTTTCAGCTAGTGAGTTTGGATCAAATGTTCATGTATCTCAATTTCCAGTCAGAAATGTGAATGGTGAGATTTTTTAAAAGCTGAAATAGGGTTTATTTTTCAAATGCAAGCAACGTTTTCAGATCTCTCTTCTCAAAATAATTTCTCTCGCGGCACACACAAAGTAACAGATTGGGTCATCAATCAAACATTTCAACAGAATCCCACAGATTCAGAACTTCCAATCAAAGAAGGTTAGATTTTTTTGACAATCAAACATGAATATCTTTTCACATTTTCAGAGCTCTTGCAATCCGACGAGTCAAACAATGTTGCTGGTTTATTTCCTGTTAAACAAGAATGTGAGGAATATGCTAATGCGGACAATTTAAATATTATACCAACGCAATTCATCAAAACCGAAGAAGCTGGTCCATCAGGAATCAACACCAAGGAAGATCCACGTCAGTTAGACTTTGATTTATAACACATTTCATATTAAATTTCTGATATTTTATAGATATGCGTCCACCTTCTCCAGCTTCATCTGGATGCACAACAATGGGTGTTAGATTCTATTCAAAGAATTCGTGCGAGTTAGATCAAAGAAGAATCAAAACGGTCAGAAGATTTCGTAGATTGAAAACACGTCAAGGTATGAACTCAAAAAAGTTTTTTCTAGAAAATATTTTTTTCAGAACACAATGATCGTCTGAGAAGACTCCGTCTCCGTGAGAATCGCTCTAGCAGTTCAACCTGAAAATTCCCAGAATCATTTATCTATTTAATAGCCAATTTTGCTCAAAGTATTTACTTTTATTGTTTGTTTTCTTTTTCTTCAAGTTCTAATAAAATATTTCAAATTGAAAAATATGATAGAACAGAACATTTTCTCTCAACAAACAATAACCCTGAAAAAACAACATTGACCTTACATTAGCGATAATTAGGATTATGTAGCTATGGATTACCACATTCCACCTTTTTTCCTTCTCTCTCAATTTTCTTTTCTCTCATGAATATATTTATAAATTGTGATTGAATTGAATTGAATTAAAGTTTTTTTGTTTGGTTCATTCGAAAACTTTTTTTGTCATTATATTTATTTGTCCCAGATTTGAGTGTTATGGGAAAAAGGATACTTGCCACCATCTGCCCCCTTTTTTTCCTTTTTCACACCATCAAATCGATCGATTGGTTCTTCCTTTTTTGCATGTATTATATACATTTTTTGTTTATAGATTATATTTTTCGCTTTTTAATGATCAAAAGTTTCACTCAAATATTTGCCAAGCTAATCTAATTTATCCGTTCTTGCTGTTTTTTGCATCGTTTTTTGATTTGTTTATACACTTTGCTTTGCAGCGGATGATATAGATTTTATGAGTTTTTTCCAAGCTCTGAAATTTGCTTTGTGGTTTATTTTCATGATGTTCGTAGGTTTGGTTTGCATAATAGAAATTTGTTTCCTATGCAGAAAAACACAATGGTTTTTCTGTGTTCTATCTTTTTTTAAAAGTTTTTTACTAGGAATTTTATTAGAGACAACGTGATATAAGGAGAGTATAGAGAAAAATTATATTATATTAATGATTTTTTATATTTTTGGATACTGCTATTTTTTTTAAAACATATTCAGCAATCCACAACCACCTTTTTTTCGAATTTTCTGTTCATGAAAACACATTTTATTTTATTTTCTTTGTGTGAAAAAACCAATAATTTTTTTTCAAAAAAATTTCTTTCCACTCAAGTGAAACGCAAATAAACAACACCACCCAAAAACAAAATTTACATAAACAATTTTCACTAATTTTTTCCTCTCCGATGTGTTGAAAAATCGTACTACACAACTTTGTATTTATTTGATTGTGTGTGAAAAAGAAGAGCAAAGAAAAGCGAATAATTGGAACTTAAGTTTATTTACCCTCCTTTTTCTCTGCCTCTTTCTATCCAATTCGAAATCTCTCAAATCGAATTGCATTTCTGCACCCAATTCCTTGTTTAGGTTATTTATACTGAATTTCTGACCTTCCTATTTTTCTCCAGTAAAAAATTCCTGTTTCAATTCAATTCAGGGATCATATAAATTTCTCACATTCACAAATATTTACCAATCTTTTTCACAAATATATATAAATTTTATTATATATAAAATATTCATTCTCAAAAAAAAAAGAAAAAGATTTTCAGTGTAAATGTAGTATACATATGTTTTAGAACAGCCGCTTGTTATGTTTTTTTTTCAAAAAATATATGTTTTACAAATTTGTCATGCAATCTTTTTTTGTACTTTGAAAGATCTTATCAACCAATAGAACAAGTGGAAAAAACGATAAATTCCCTCTCTTAATTTTTTTATAATTAGTTTTAACTATATAGATAATTTTGTATATGTATAATAATATTTTGATATCCAGCTGAGAGAGAAAGAGAGTGAAAATCCAGTCAATATCTTTTGATGATCTTTTTTCGGCACCTAATCTTTACCCACAATCGGATACGTTGACAAAATTCCCCCTGTCGTATAAATAAATAATTTGCATTCATTATATTTTTGGCGCCAGAAATTCGAAATGTTTTCCGGCGGCGCAAAAGATTTATGAAGTCTTCTTTGTCTCATTTTTCGAAAAACCTTTACTCTGGTTGGTTTTTGATTATTGGAACTTTTATAATCCTTCCTCTCATAATTACATACATGTTTTTCTTATTTATTTTTGCAACTTGTTTGTTTTTCTTTCAATTTCTATTTGAAAAACAACAATTTTTCAGTGTCATTTTTTGTTGGTTTGATGGAGCTCAAAGTAAGTATTGATGGTTTGGAGCGAAGTGTGTCGGGGGTTAGCGAGACAACGACATGCTCACAGATTATTTATGCACTTGCACATGCCACCAGTCAACGTGGACGTTTTGTGATGGTTGAAAAATATCGAAATGTTGTGAGTTATTTTTAAAGTGTTTTTCATTTGAAAATAAGGTGAAGTGTTTGGGCTCTGATGACTCATTGTTTGAAAAAAAGTGTATAAATTAAGTTTCTCAAAAAATTTAAAGAATTCTGCTTGAAACGAAAGAGGATTATAAAAACAAATAAAAAAATTTAATTCACTTGAAAAAATGTCACGTAGAAGCTTTGAATTTAACAATGTTCTAAATTTCGAAAAAAAAGTGTTTTATTTTCTAAACTTTCTCATTAGATTTTCTTAAAATTTTAGTGTAACTTGCAGAAAAGATAATTAAATTTTCGAAAATAATCATATTATTCTTACATACAGTAATTTTTCCAATTCTCCTCCATTTTATTCACTCAATCAACTAGACAAATTTGCTTCAATTATCTTCGATTTTCATTCAATTCAATTCTACTCAATCAAATCTATTTTTAATTCACCCAATTTGTTAAATAGTGTAATATTATTATATGTAGTATACTTATTTTATTATAGGAGCGTCGATTAGCACCAAATGATCGTCCTTTAGAGACACTAAAAAAGTGGAAGGAACATGCAACAAATGTCACTTTTCAAATGTTGCGCGTCGATAACAATGACCAAGTGTGCAGTGAGTCATTCATTTTACTATTTTTTATATCATCTATACAATTTTTCAAACGTTTATTTCTTCTTATTTTATTTTTGAAAATTGAGCCTGTTCAATTTCTCTATCTTCCAAAAACAATTTTTTTGTAGACCGCGTCGAAGAACCTCTCGAAAACCAATTTATGATTCGTCAAAACGCATCAACATCAAGTGTCGTTACTTTACCAGGTATTTTTTATTCGAAAAATTATTGAACCCCGAAAAATTCTCTATGTATGTTTGTAAAAAGCAACAACAAACATTTAAGAATATATTACACAAGGTTCTTATTGTTCCAATATTTGGCAGTATTCCAAGAAAGATTTATGACTTGGAATCAAGTTTTTTTTGTCTTCTTTGATGGAAGAATGAAGTGAGAAGTTTAAAGATTATCAGTTCGGTAAATATTGGAAAATTTGCTGTTTCGGTTGATAGTTTTCGAATTTCAGGTTATGTGAAAATTCTTTTTTTGTTCTAGAAAACAGCATAAACTTAGAAAAAATGATTGGGAAATTGAATTTGAAAATTAATCAAATCGAATATTCAAACAATTTTTTGTAAAGTTAAAAAATGTCATCAGTGATAAGATATAACTTAACGGTATATCATTTTTGATTTAATTTAAAATGTAAAAAATATATTTTCAACTCTGGAAAAACTCTTTTTTTACTTTCACATTGATATCTGAAAATTCCGATTTGAAAATTAAAAATATCAATTGTGAACTGAAATAAGTCTCCCATATTCCCAATTCACCGAAATCATCAAATAGTTTTTTTGTTTCTCCGCTTTTCAATTAGTGAAAAATTGATGGAAGAAGAATTTTTGAGAAATGCATAGGAACTAAGTTCTGAACATAAAAACATTTTGATCTTGCTTCTTGATTTTTATTGAAATATTTACAAATTCATTAAAATTCTTATTAGTTTTCCCACTAGAAAACTTCAAAACAAAAATCGAAACAAATTTTCCCCTATCTCTACCACTTATTTGAAGCCTACTTTAGTTTGACGAAAAAAGACATTTTGTATTGTTGTGGTTAAAAACTTCATTCATTTTTTTTACAACAATACCAAGTGTCCAGTATCAAAATGATATGAGACGCAGACACAACATTTCTCATTACACAACAAAAGCCAATTAAGGAAGAAGTAGTGGGCAGCAGCAACAGAAACAGCAGCAACAGATTGAAGATGGAAATGGACAACAAAGAAGCACTAGTTCGTTGCCAGCCTATTCAATTGGAGGTGTCACTTCGACGACTGGTACTTTGGGACGACGTCGACCCCCACCGCCAGGTTAGTCAAGACCCCACCCACCTATTCCTGCTTTTTCTTTTTTTTTTTTTTTGTTACTTTTGTCTATGTATGTATGAGAAAAAACTTTATCACGTGTTTGTTTTTCTCAAAAAGGTGTACTTTTTATACAAGTGCACCCTGTCTTATTTTTAGATTTCAATTTCAAAACAAGACTATATAAGTCATATCAAAATCAAAATTATTTTCAGATTACAAATCTGTAATGGAACAAAAAGCTGCAACTGCCAATTCTAGTATAATGTCAAAATCAATGTATGCGAATCCGAGCGATTTGAATATTCAAAATTTGGATATTTATGAAAGTTCGTGTAAGGAAGAAATGACTGAATATATTGCTTATGAAGAAGAACTTCGACAACTTTTGAAGCAGCAAAATAATTTGAGAACAATTTTGCAACCAATGATCGCTGCAAATTGGCCACAAAAATATCAACAAGAAGTCAAAAAATCACATAAATTGAGAGCGTCGATTGAAGCTACAAAAGAGGCTATTGATAAAACCAAATCGTGAGTTTTTATGGGAATTTTCGAAAACCAGTAAATAGGAAACAATCAAAAACAAAATATGAATCTTTAAAGAAAATCTTACTTTGTTTTTTTTTCAAATTATATGTACAAAACATGCTCAATTTTTTGAAATAAAATTCGTGAATCTGAAACATTCTCAATGGTATTTTTGAATACATAATTGTGAATCAAGTATTCTACACTTTTTTCAGACAAAAAAAAACAATTTCTTAATTCTAATTCCCCTTTTTTTCAGCGACATTTTCCAAATCGAATCAAAAGAACAAGAACTAATACAAAAAATCCAGCAATTTCAAAGAGAAGAAGAAATGGAAAACCCGAGTGATAACAGTGATTTTCTGGAAACCTCAATTGATTTGACAACTTCACCGCCAAAAGTTGTTGCCTAAAAATTCCCATTTTATTGTTTTCCAAATTTCATTCATCCATTGTGTGTATTTTTGCCCAATTTCATTCAGTTTACGTGTTTGTCCCTTTCAATTTTTTTGAAATTCCTACAATTTATCTGCTTTACTTTTTTTCTGAAAATGAAAATAAATAAGAATGATTATTATTAGTAAAAGCATTTATTAATAAAACCAAAACAGCTAACAATCTTTTCGAGAACCGAAAATGCACAGTTTTGGAGAATTTTTGGCAGGAAATACTTCATGAAAATTTGAAAAAGAAATGAAATAAGTAGGAATGATAGTAAAATTGACATGTATCACAAATTAAGAATATAAAAAAAAAGAGAATACAATTTTTAAGCATGCGATGCTCTTTGACTGTGTGAAGCACGCTCTTCACCATCCTTGTTGTACAATGTGGTTTGAACATCAGAACCAGTTCCGAATGAATCTTCTCCGTCGTAGACCAAACTATCTGGAGGTGAATTGATTCCTTGACCACGTGCAAAGATTTTCACAGTTTTTTGAGGGCGGAGCACAAAATCTCGGGGGAATGTAAAGACGATTTCTCGCTTTCCGGCAATTTTTCTACGAAGTTTCCAATCTCCAATAGCCTCATCTTTGCGAGAAATGTTTTCGATGATGATGAATTTTCCATCAGGCGAGACTTCCTGAAATATTTAACATTTTGCTAAAAACAATGGGAAAGCAACTAACCTGAATGCTGACATTTCCTTTGGCTGATCTTGAATAGGACGAATGACTTGTTGTCTCACCCTTCAACACACGGAGACTCTCTGAAAATAAAAATACATTATCTAAAAAAAATCCCCAAGGATTGAATTTTAGTACCATATGGTTTTCTGCGGATTTTATCCCCAACTAAATAATGTGTGTGCGGAACATCATCAAAAGTAACAGTTTGGTAGAGAGAATTGATAAGTTCTGGCATTTTTCACCAATTTTGAAAAAATAAATGTTTCAAAATGATAGGAGTAAAATAGAAGAAATCAGAAATTAGACACACCCAATCAGATGACAAGAAAGAATTTGTTTGTTGTTTTTTTTTGAAAAAAATAAAAGTAAAAGAAATAACCAGTTTCACTACTTACCATGTTCCTTTGATTGTGATAGAGATGTTGTTTTGACGACTTGCTCAACAAGTTGACGAAGACCGGCGCGATTTTCTTCACCTTCCAACATTTTGCGATAAATTGCGATTTCAGCATCAAGGGTCTGCAAAAAAATAAATTTTAAATTTTTAAGTATGATCAAGAATGTTTCCGGGAAATTCTTCAAAAAATCTTGATTGATGACAATTTTTCCACTGGAGTGAAAAATAAAAACGGATTCAAAAAGTTATTGTTCACAATTCACTTTTCACTAACTCTAGAATTGATGAAAGAAAATGATGGGAAATTTTCCAATCATTCCCGAGTTCAAATATTTATCAAACTCACCTGTTTGGTATCAATCAACATTTGCAATTCAACCATCAAAATCTTGCTCTCATCTCTCATCTTGTTAATATTCGAATCCTTGTCATTCAATGACATTTCATAAGTTCTCATATCTTCCTCACTTTGATAGTTCAAGTCTTCCACTTGTTTTTCAAGCAACAAATTGCGACCCTCAAGATCTGCCATCTTTCCGCGCATTTCACCCAAAGTTGTTCGAAGTCTCTTAACTTCTTCCTGAAACAAACAAATCATTGTTTCATTCAAAGTATCAGTTAACTTACTTTTGCGTAGTTTTGTTCCAAAGTATTTCTTGAAGCTTGTGTATGAATTTCTTGAACTTTTAATTTGTACCATGATTCAATATCAGTACGATGAACATTGCTAACTTGATCATATTCTGAACGAATATCTCTGATCGCAGATGAAAGTTCGTTTTTGAAATATTCACGATTTTCGATGGTTGTATCACGAGAAGCCATCGCAAGAAGATCATGAATTTCCGAATCGTGAACACGTTTGATGAAATCGCATTCTTCAAGAAGAGTTTGAACTTGGTTTTGATAATCAATACGATTCAAAGTTTCTTGTTCAACGGCATTTCGAGCGTGTTGAAGTTCAGAAATCATTCGATGATTCTCCCGTTTAAGATGAGAAACACTGTCTTCAATCAAACTCAATCTTCTTTTCAACAATTCAATCTCGCTTTCCAAGGCTCCCAATTTGATCAAAACATCATCCAACTCTTTTTTTGTCAAATCGTGTCCTCTTTCAGCTTCATGCAATTTGTTCCGATAATTATTCAATTCCGCAGTCAATTTTCTGATCTGATCTTCCAAATCTCCTCGTTCCTTTTCAGAGTCATTTATCAATTCTTTCGCACTTTTCAATTCGGATTCAAACATAACTTTAACACTTGTCGAATCATGTCCCCATTTTCCACGCAACAAATCCAAATCTTTCTCCATTTTACGATTTTGAGCTTCAAGGAAACGAACTTTTTCGATATAACTCGCCAATCGATCATTGAGTTCACTCATTTCCTTTTTCTCACGGGCTCTTGATTCACGAATTGCAGATGCAGCATGTCCACCAAATGGTGAAGCTGAGGTCAAACCAGATCCTCCCATTTCACTGAACTTGATTGTTCGACTAGTTCCAGTTGCTGAAAAAAACATTTGGCTAAAAATTGTATTTTTTGACAAGATAACTTGTTTTTTGAAACTGTTCTCGACCCAAAAAACATTACTATGTTTTATAAATTTTTGTGTCGTTGAATCGAGCTGATAAGCTCTGTCTCATAGGACCATTTTCAAATGGATTCAACAAAATGTTATTTTGTAAAGAAAAAACTAACAAATGGTGCTTCCATAAGTTGTGGTGGATTGAGAATGCAAAGTCCTGTTGAATGTTGGACGCATTGTAATCGAACTCTTGTATTCGCTTTCAGACATTTTTTCCTGGAAAATATAAAACTGAAAACCGTCTCAAAAATAAAGATAACCTTTTCAGAAGAACACAAACCTCATAAATCATAATCATTTTCAATATTTTTCGAAAAAAAATTAGCGTGAAAAAAATATTTTGTAATATATTTCTTCTCACAACAGGAAAAAGATAAGTAGAGGTAAAAAGATAAGGAGAGAGGACAATTGAAATCCTGTCAAAAATGTTGACAAACAAATAAACGACAAGCTCACAAGTTTTGCAACAATTTTGGATTAGCCTAGTAGTATAATAAATGAAATGGTGGGTAAAGTTTTTGGTTATTTTTTAATTGGTCTTGCCTGTCTATTCAAATTGTTTTGAAGGGGAGAAAAAATGCAGAGATGGTTGACCGATTACTAACTGGACTTGGTATAGTTTAGCGGTTTTCATGGATTTTTTACGACCAGGCATTTTTATTTAGATATGTATGTATGTGGAAATATGTTGTTACTAGATTATATGAATGATTTCTTGAAAACAATTTTCTTTTTAAAGTGGAATCAATCATATCAAATAAAAATTAATCAATCAAAACGTCAAAAATGTGTCAAAAACCCCTGAAACCAGCAGTTTCCGGGTTTTTTTTCGGAAAAATATACTATTTTCAAAACTACTTACTTTAACTTCTTCAGCGGCCACAGATTTCGATCTGCTACCGACGCGAGCTTTAGCAGCTTCTAATCTTTGAGTACTTGGAGAAGCTCGAGACATAGATGAGTCTGCTCGAACTCTTTTTGGTTTCTCAGGTTGTCGTTGCATTATTTAGAAAAGTATCAATAATACACTTACTGATAAAAAACCCCTAACCTCACTTTCTTAAAAGAATAAAAAACGTCAAGTCTTAAGGCGATAAGGAAAAAACGCTACAGTACTTTTATGTATGTACAAGTTTTTAAAGCGAAAAGAAAAATAAAATAAAAAATGTTTGAGGGGGACAAACAAAAATGCTCGAAATAAATATTGAAATTTTTTTTTGATTCAAAAGGGCGTAGCTATCATTCATATCAAAACAAATACAACATGTATGTATAGAGGTGGTTATGGAAATATCAAAAAAATTGAGGAATGGAATGTTAGAAAAAATAGAGACTCTGAGTCAGTAAAACAGGTATGGTATGAATGATGGTTTAGAAACGAGGAACGAGAACCAAAAACATAAGCCGCATTTACATTTACATACTGTCGGATTATAGAAACATCATAATATAAATAATATAATAGAGTTATGCATATATATATAATATATTTCTAACACACAGAAAAAATTGCAAAATGCAACAAAAGGTTATTGTTATACATGAAAATGATTCATAGTTTGGAATTATTGGTCTGACCAAGATTTTTTTCAAAAAATTCCACAGTTTTCTCCCACGCCAAAAATTGTGATTTACCATGCAACGAGTTCTCTCCGCCATAAGCTTGATAAGATCCTGTAAAAAACCTTTTCCATTTTTTTTGTTTCAAACTGTCAGGAAAATGTCACTTGTTGTTATCAGCAAGTGAGTCACAAAATTGGTCACCGGAAAAAACCCACCTAAATATTTTGCATAAACAATTGGGTGCGGGGGAAAACATGGGGGATCTAGAAGATGACCTCCTGGTACAAAATGGGTTTCAACGGAACGATGAAGTTTTCGAAGGCGATTTCCAAGCGTTTTGGCAACATGCACCGTCGGTGTGCTGAGATCATCAAGGGCCATCTAGAATAAAAATTTATAATATATTATTTTGTTCTTTTTTTCTCAATCAGCATTCCAAAAATCTCACCACAAATCGAAAAGCAGTTTTTGGATGACAATTTTCAAGCTTCATTCTAGTTTCTTCGGTTTCTTCTCCATTCAAAACACAATTTTTATAAACCATATGCTCATTCAAAAACTCGATATATTTTCCATTTTCTGGTAATATTGAATACGGTGTAGGCTCACCATTTTCACTAATATGTGCAAAAGTATCTTGATTGAAACTTCCATTTATGGAAACGACTGCAGATATTTCTGGTATTCTAGTAGATAAATAAACTGCCAATGTTCCTCCAAAAGATACACCTTGGAAGCCGATTTTTTGAGATGTGAATGGGAGAGATTTCATATAATGAATCGCTTTTTCGAAATAAGATAGTTCAACTTCATGTAAAAAGTTTGGTAGATTTTTGAATTGAAAAAAAGCAAGAGATAATGCACAAAATCCACGACTTGCTAATGCAGCTGCCTGAAATAAACGTTTATTTTTCAATAAAAACCCATATTTTGTTTCAAAATATTCCTCACTTTTTGTTCATTAATCCCTCCTCCAGTTCCTGAAATATCAATAATTGTGGGAAATGGCCCTTTTCCTGGTGGTTTGAACAATGTTCCACAAATTGGATTCTCAATTTCGATTCTTTCCACTTTTTCATCTTTTAGTTTTTTGATAAAATTGGCAGTACAAACCAAATTATGCTCACTGTTCAAAACTCTGAAAATTTCTCACTTATCTTATCATTGATTTCAATTTTTTGTTGGTTTGTTTGTTTGCGTTGCCTTTTTTTGACATTCATTTTACTAAACACCAAAAAATGGAATAAAAAGCAGAAAAATAATACCTGACTTCATACGAAAAATCATCTGGTGGTGTACATTTACAATAATCCCCATATCTTACTGTATCCGTTGGCTCAATACTTTCAAAAAGCCCCATCGGACAAATTTCAGAATATGTTCCTCGAATTGGCGCAACTTTGGAAACATCAATTGTGCCAGTAATATCACATTTAAAAACTCCATATGAACGATAAATCCCTACACTGTGTTTTAATCTGGAAAAAATATATTATATGGATTTAAAAAATCCCCACTTGTTTTTTCTTTGTTGTTGTCAGTTAACATTTTGATTCGATATTTTTTGATTATAAGAACGGAAAAATTAAATTATATACATACCTTAACTCAATTTTATAATTTCTAGAAGGTTCTAGATCTTTGACTATGATTTTAACGGTTTCATGAACAAGTGAGATTTTTGGTTGGATGATTATAGACATAATAATAACAAGGAACAGAGTGAAAAACAAGAATAGTTTGTTGGGTCATTATTCTTATCATTAGAAATATGTGTGTTCAGACCACGCTTAATGGTTACATAAGAAACGAAGTGCATTTAGACTACATCGTGGTCCGATGATCCTTGATGTCACGGATATTTTGAATTGATATTTTCAACAGAAAAGACAAAATTAACATTTATGATTCGAAGTTCAGTGAAAAATGCATTTCGTCTAAAAACAAAACACATTTAATTTTATTCTGAGTCGTTATAAAACTACACTTTTTGACGCAAAATTTTTTTGATTATTCTCAAAGTATTAACATTGAAGATTTGAAAATCTTTATCATTTTCCAGTTTGAAAATTGAAAACTAATGTACATAAATCAGAAATATTTTTCTCATGTCAGAAAAACAAAGCTCTTAATTTATTTGTACATCCAAGATTGTAAAAAATGAAAAAAAAAACGTTGACATTTTTTTGAAAAATTTTCATCAATAGAAACCCATCACATTCTCACTCTCGCTTCAAAATTGTTTTAACCCAAGAGTTACTCTAACTCTCTCCAATTTTATTCTTGAAAAAAAAGCGTGACAAATTAATATTTTCTGCACCAACGAAACTTTGCTTCAAACATGAGTAGACAATAATTTCAATTCAATTTCTCTCACACACTTTTTTTTCAACATCTTTCTCACACATTTCTCATTTTACTCCAAAAGAAAAACAAGAATTTTTGCGGTTTCACACCTTTTTTCGAAATCTGTGTGTAGCAAAACAAAAGTTCGTCACTTCGAGTGTGTATCTGTTTTTTTTGCCAAAATTATTTTTTATTCCACAAAAAAGCTTGTCTGTTTTTTTCTTTGGCGTGTTAGAGAATTATTCATTCATATTTTTCAGAAAAAAAGATTTTTATCATTTATTTGAATGATTTTAGATTTTTGTGTGTGAGAGAGAGAGGGGTTTGAAAAATAATATTTTGCTATTTTTGGTAATTTGATATTTTCCGATACAATCGCACATTAGATATTGTTTTTTTTGAGGTTCTGGAAAATCGACTGACTGAAGAATTTCTAAAAGGGTAATTACTTGCTCAAGTTCTCACAACTACAAATTCCAGAAAATTCCAGAGAAGTCAAAGTCAAATATAGTGTTTAAAAAAATTTTAAACTACATTTATTTTGAAACTTTCTTTTCACATCACTTTGATACTTTTATAGTACGAAACATCTATAAAATATTTATAACTTTTCATTTTCTTTGAAAAAAAGTCCAACTAATTCATTTTCATTATGTCAAATTTCCGCCGTTCCATTTTTTCTCGTTCCACCAAAAATATTATTTTTCACATATATTTTTTTATTTTTCACATCTTTGCTAACTAGCTATATTATATTACATTATTTTTTCGAACAAAAAGAAGATTTTTTTCATATTTTTTGAAAAATATGCATTTTAATTTGATTCAAAATTTTCAAGCATTGTTTATTTAACTCCAGTATCGTTTTTTTGATTGCGAATCTCAATCTGGATTCAAAAAAAGAGAAAAGGATAGCAAAAGATACTTCTGCTTTTTCTTCTTTTTGGGCAATGTTGGTCCTTTTTGTCGTTTGATTTATTTCAACACAATAGAAAAAACGGATTTTCTCTTTATTCTTTTTTTGCCGCCTTTTGCTAAAATATTTTTGTTCTACAATCAATTACAGATTATTGAATTAGCATGGGATTAATATAATGATCGACACATGGGTAATACTGTATTTCTCAGCATTTTTTTGCTGATCATAGGTTGATGATCTATCCACTTTTGAAAATTAAATGAAAATTTAGGTATACCGTACTCGTTTTCCAACAATTATTGCACTACTGTATGCACGGCAAAGTTTCAAAGAGGGATTGCTGAAATAACAGGTCCTGTTTTCATTTATATTAATTTCCATAAAATCTCAAAGTTTTCCTTTCAGGATCTGCTGATACTTCAACAATGTTAGCTCCATTTCATAGAATAATTTCAACAAATGAGGATAATAAAGCGGCACATAAACAGATTCGGATTCTGTGCTCGTTAGTTTTTTTTTATTTTCGAAATAATTTTGAGTTTTGAATTTAGAATTCTGCAAGTTTAGTTTTTTTTCCAATTTTTCTCGCATTTATTATTAATGAGATTTCCAACTTGAAATGACGCAATTAAATTCATTTGTTTTTATTTTCGAGTTGGTTGGAAGAAGAAGCATGAATCAGAGTTAAATTATGAAATATTTTCAAAGAAACTGGTATTAGAGGAAGCTGATTTGAAAAATATTGAAAAAAAAATGTTTTTGACCCTGAAAAATTTCTCGTGCATAAGATGCACGAATTGGACGTTTGACGCCTTTTTGAAATTAATCTGGATATTTGAAAATCAAGGGTCATTCTTGAAATATTTCAATTATTTTGAAGATCTTCTATGAAATAATCATATTTTGAATATCACCCGCAATCAATTCTTCAAAAAATTCCCAATTAATTCCAGAAAAGTCAAAGGTTGGGAGACTTGTCTTCGAACTTGTCATCAAAACGGTGCTCGTCAAGTTTTGCTCTCATCAATGGACCAATGGAAAAGATTTTGTTCAGTGATGCGAAAACCGAATCGAGGCGAGTTTGTTACATATTTTTTCGCTGTCTTCTTCAGAGTTTTTTTTTCTTTCCGCCGGCTGACAGGGACACACGAAAAAAACAGAAAACAATTTTAATTATTCAATAACAAAACAAGTTGTTTGGTTTTTTGCAGCCACGATGGAATTTATGAACTGTGAAAGGGATCATCAACAAAGAGTGTCGCATCATTGTCGTATACAAATTCCACAAACGCAGATAATCTCGATTTTTTGCGAGTAGGTTTTTGTGAGAAATGTTGAAAAATGATAAATTAATTATCAATATTTAAGAGCATTGGAAAAATTGTAATTTGAGGATACATTTTCTGTATGTCAAAACGTTGAAAGAATATGAGTTTATCTGCTCAAAACATGTGTTCTTTTTCCAGAAAATTCCACCATTATCACAAATGCTCAGAACGACAAAAATACCATTGCTCAGACGAAGCAATGCATCTCAAGAAGACAATTGACAAAGCAATTGAGAAAAGTTTCAATAATATAATAAAGTATGCGAGAAATCGGGTGAACATTCCCAGAGAGTAAGTTTTTCATAAAATTAAAATATTTATCATCTGATTATTCTGTGTTATTTTCCAGATGTAACATGTTTCATCGACCTCATCATAAACCAAAAATTTTGAAAGGAGAGATTAGATCAACTACAATGGCATCTATTACAACAACAAAAAGCGATGTTGCTGAGAAGTTGTTAGTTTCTGAAGTGACAATCTATGATTATTATCAAACTACAACATCTCCGGAATTTCGAGTCGAAGATTCATCAATAGTAATTCTAGACAGTGAAAATGGTGAGAACCATAATGAAAATAATATAACCACAATAGCTGTAAAAGAAACTCAATCACTTGTCAATTCTATTTCATATCCACAAATATTCACAATCTTTCATTTATTTTCATTTATCATTTTCACATTTTTTCTGTGAACATTTTGATAAGCAATAAATTGATTAAAATAATAATTTTTATATAGTTTAATTGAGAAATTGAATTTTGTACAAGAAGGATATGTTTTTGATAACAGAACACACAAAAGGCACATATTAAATTATTGAAATCACATGTCCTATTCCCACTTCTTCCAATTTATATTTAACATGATTACCATCAAATGGGTACGAATAATATATACTATCCGGAAGAATTCCGATTCGCGCAAATTTGCCTTTTAGATTTGATTTGTAGACTTTCACTTGTCTCCTGAAATCATTTTTATTTAAATCTTCATATTTTTTTCCTAAATGTTTCTTACGGCATTTCAGTGAACACTTGCACATTCAGCAATTCTAATAAATCGTTGTTGAATTGTTTTTTGTTGTTTTCATCATTAATGAATGTCATTGATCTTATGTTTTCATCGTGATTTTCAAGTTGATATTTTATAAAATTGAACATATCTTGTGCTGACATATTTCCGATTGATACTTCAAATTCGGTCGCAGATAATAGTTTTAGTTCTTCATAATTAAATGTGATCAATGGAGCAAGCAGCATATTTTGAACTCTTGATAGCTGAAATTTCAAATACAATTTGATGGAAAGTATAATTTTTAAACCATACATTTTCGATACAAGGTGTTGCGTGCGAAATAGGATATCTGTAACATTGGACTTCTTTCAATGGATAATATAATGCATTGACAAAATTCGGATTTAGAGTATCCATGAAAATTTTCTCCAGTTTTTTGAGTTTTCCAAGCGCAAATTCTCTATTAATAAGATATGCTCCTTGAACTTGCAGATATCGAATTGATAATCGGTTTTCGTTGACTATTTTTTCGAATAAATGAATAGCATCAATAACTATCTCACAATCGGTTTCCAATATTTTTTCGGGTTGCATTGTTCTTCTTGAGCTGGAAATATCTCTATTAATTATAATATTTCGAAGAGTATACAAATAACTGTTTTTGTACGATAACTTGTAATGAAAATCTCGGAAATGTTACTTTTTTAAATTTATGATCAGTATGAAATCAAACGATGATTTGATAAGTTAAATAAATCTCACCCTTTCATTATCTTTTTCTGGTTTTGTGTGAAAAAAGTTATTGAATAATCAACTGAAAAGTTATTTAGTGAAGATTGTTGATAACTGTGACCGACGCTAATTTCTATACGTCCGCGACTACGGCAATCGAAACTGATTCCATACATGTGATTTTGACACGATTTGACAAAACTTCGACACATTCTTGAACTTGTGGCAAATCGACATCTATATACTTTTCTTATTTATTTTTGAATAGGCTGTAACTTACCTAGCTTTCATGGTCATTCGGTCCACGATCATTTGAATAATCTCATTTGGAAAATAGTCGAACTAAAAGATATAAAAATGTATATTAAGTAGGATTTATAGGAACTCACGTTTTCCATGCGACAAAAAATACGTCTCCGAATTTTTCCCAAAAATCGAGAAGCAACATATAAAAGTTTCCAATATTTTTCTACTTGAGCTTTTCGTTTTCTGGTAACGGCCATTTCAATCACTCTTCAAGTTCTGAAATTTTAAAAAAATTCAATGAAAATAAAGAAAACAACGATGACACAGACAAAGAGAGTGCAAGAATTGCAAACGTTTATCAATAGAGCGAACTTTCATTTTTAATTTTTTTTGGGTATTATTTTAAGAAGTTTTTTTTCATTTTTTCTGTGAAAATGAATTTCTTAAAATCAATTTTCTAGCCTATATAAGATAATATAATATTTTTACATATTCAAAAAATAACATTTATACTAAAAATTTACTTTTGATGAGTAAATTTTTTCGTGTTACCTTGGTGATGGTTTTCTCGAGCCTTTCTCTTTTAAATCTCTTTAATTAATGACGTCATAAATATATGATTTTTCTCAAATTTAGTGTTTTTAACATCCGTCACTGAAGGCTAGGCAATTACGAAATGTGTTTATTCAACATAAAAACGTTCAATTATTTCGGGAAAATCGAGCAACCCAGAAATAAACATGATGTAAATAAAATATAATTTCTAGAAAATTTCATATTAGAAAGTGCAAGAAAACTTTTTCATAGACTTCGCGGGAAAAAATTGAGAAATGAAGGGACTAGAAAAACATAGTCATAGGGACTAGAAATTTCCTAGTCCTTCCGGTTCGCATAAAATTTTCTTAGGATTTCGGGAAATTGTTTTTTGGAAATTTTAATATAGATGGAAGGCATCTAGATATCTTTTACTCCATGTTTACTTCTGAGTTGTCGGGCTATTAACGAATCATAAATCATTTATAGGTCAAAATAAATTAGTTTGAAAGTGTATTAATGAAGAATATACAGATATTTTTCCTGTGTTCTATTATAATCAGGATCAAAAGGATATATGAAAATGATGGAATTCTTATTGACATAAAGATTAGCAGCTTCTCCTTGCATACTTCTATCCAACAATTTGACTTCGATTCCTCTGAAAATCAAATTATTAACAATAAACCCGCATCAACCATTTGGCTCACTTTTGTTCTCTTGTTGGTGTCATTCTTATTTCCATTCCCAGAATTCTGAGGAACACATTCATACTGAAATTTCTGTGTCGATCCAATACAAATGTAAAGTTTCTTTCTTTTTTAATATCATTATTATGAAACAATTTAATGATATTCACTATTTGGTTTTCATTCAGTTGCTTTATAAGGAAACGTCCACACGATGCATTGAGTTGTAACATCTGTTCATAGGAAAATTCTCCTTTCATGTATTCTACTCTTCCTTGAATTTGAGCAATCTAAAAAATGAATAAATACTTTTTTTTCAAATGAAAATGTAATTTACCTTTTCAAAACTATCTCTATACCCTTTCATGTTTTCACATATAAACATGCATTTCAATGGGTTTCTTATTTTTGGCAGAATATTGCTCACATTAGTGTAACTTCCAATACAAAAGAAAGTCTAATTTATCCAATGGTTCAAACTCAAAATCGCATTGATCGTTGTGTCGAGCATTAAAAGTCAGACATCTCAAATGATCTCGATTCTCATCAATCATTTTGTTCATAATCTTTTTTGCAAGATATACCTCTTTGTTTGGTTCATCCACTTCATGTTTACTGATCTCTCGACTTTTGTGCCTTTAAGTTGTCAAAACAATTAAAATCATTAAATGTGTAATCACTCACATATATCGGACAATTGTTTTGTTTTCTTCTGTTGTGAGTTTGAAATAATAATCATACATTCTGATATGATAGTCACAATCAGCAATTGGTGGTTTACACCAGCTGTGTTTAAATCCAACCAATACCGCATCACTACCAATTGTGTTCGAATAAAATAATCTAACATTGTAAGTAGGAAGAGTGAATACCAATTCTCGACAAAATTTTGAACAATGTGCGAAACGCAACCTGAAATTGAAATTTTCTTTTTCATGTCGCAAGAAATGATTCACTTGGATTTTTTATCTACTAGATGTAGAATTGCGCATTTAATTTCAATTGGTATATCCATTAAAGTTTTTGGCTTCTCTTCGGCTAATTTGTCGCTCATCCCTCTGGAAAGTACATTATTTACAACTGAATGCCACTTCAAAAAATGAGACAAAAAATGCAAAATATATTGGAGAAAAAAAAACTATTCGTTACGAATGTACTTTCGATTAGACGCTCACTTGAAAATGTATCCAAATTTTCCCCATGGCAACCCATAATAAGATTTTTTTGATTTGTGAAAAAAAAACAATGAAAACAAAATTTGGTTGAAAAAATCGAATAAGTTTCTCTTTCTTTTAATAACAACGAATAAACAATGTAAACTCAACAAAATAATTGAAAAACTCAAATAAGATGCACGCAACCAAGAGCGTTGTTATTAAGAAACGGCATTTTTTGTGCAAAATCAATAATTCTCCGAAAAAAGAAAAGGGCAGCTAAAATTAAAAAGCGTTAGCAAAGAATTGAATTTTTTATTAGAATCAAAATAAATAAAAATAAATCAATGAATAAATGCGTGGAATGTTAAACAATGAATAGATAAGGGACACATAAAGAAGCCTAGATTCAAAACAAAATACCCTGAAAAAAACAACGTGACTATCTAATGATTATAAATTGGTAACGGATGCCCTTCCGTATTGAATACCCATTGATCAAGTGGTAAAATAGTTTGGTCATCGGCTAATAGAAGATACAAATATTTAAGAGTTTCGGCAAGATAAAATGATTCCATCATATCCTTATATTGAACTTTCAATTTTTTGACATTTGACACGGAAGAATAACCACCGGTTGGAATTCTCGCATATGTTTCAATGGCTTGAAATGCAGACCAACCCCATTCTTGATATTTCTTGTCTCCTGCAAAAATTATTGAATATTTTCTTTTTGGTTTGATGAATTTCATTATTAATCGCTTGCATGAGACCAGCCCCTAAGTATTTTCTCGAAAATTTTCATAAATTATCTTACCAGTAATTCTATAAAGATAAAACCAGGCTTCAATCGCTTCAGGTCGCAAAAGACAATGTGCATCGAGAGGTTTCACATATAAATCTTTCTCTCCTCCAACCATATTAAAATGAGCAATTTCAGGACCAAGACCAGTTGGATTGTTGTACATGTTGTGACAAGTTTCACCAATTTTCTTAAAAAACAGAAGTTGAATACAAATATTTTGTTTAAAGAAAAGTAATCTGAAATATTCAATGTTTTTTCCGCTTTTCCTTTATTGTGAAAGAAAATTATTGTTATCCAAAAAATGTTTTCATTGCTCTAGAAATCATTATTTTTGAAGTTTTGTTATTCTTCAGTCCGATAAGTAGGTGATTTTTTCAAATTAAAAAAAAAAACGATATTCGAGTAATTTCTGTTTCAAAATAAAATTCACCAACCTTGGCCATTTCCAAATGATGTTCTGAAAATCCATTCTGACTTCCTAGTGCCAATGTTCCAGCAATAAAACACACCAAATGATCCATTTTTGGTGAATAAGTGTCGCCACTCAAAAGTTCACCAACAAAATACATTTTATTTGGTTCTGAAGCTCGATATAATAATTTCTCCATAGAATTCATCGCTTTTCCATAATCATTTTTTAGCCAATCAATAGTTTTTCCAGTTTGAAGCCATTGTTTAAACAAATATTCATAATAACTATCACTTCTTGCACCAAAGGTTATTGTTGTACTTTCTGCAAAAAATATCTGGTTTTGACAAGTTTTTTATTCATAATAATGGACTCACTTTTGAATGTTCCAGTGTTTGCATTTATAAACATTCCACATAACCCGTCATGTTCATCACATCCAATTTTATGAATATGTTCAGACACTTTAAATGCTAATTTCTGAAAGTATATATTTCATGTTATCTCTCTTCAAAAAATATGTCTTACCTCATATGTTGAATTTTTAGTGATTCTTGATAGATCTCTGAATTCTAATTGAACTGTTGTTACTTCTGAAAGTGAAGAATCCGAACCCCATTGAGGATTTGTTGATGTTCTTTTTTGTAAATTGACATCACTGAAGGGAATCGGAGATGATGTTTTGAAAGCAGATAGTAAACGATCTCCAAGATCTGTTGCTTTCTCTTGGAACATCTAAAAATATTGTTTGATGGAAGATTTTGAGATATTTTTCGTAATTATTTTTACAGATAAAATATGGAGAGATTTTGAATTAAACTCCAGAAAAAAATTGTGATCATTTTCAAAAATAATTGTGAATCAATTCCGAGTTCCGTTAACTAAAAACTAAAAAAAACTCTATCGGAGAGACGTTTTGAGAAATATATTTTGAATGGATTCTCTAATTGTTTCATTATTTTTTCAAAAAATTCACCCTAAAGACAAACCTCATCACCAGTCAAATGAAATGCGCTTAACAATCCTCCTAAAACTCGAATCGTACACTCAAAAAAGTTGACATTTCTATTTTTCTCGAAAGTCAATTTATCTCGAATCCATTCTGTTGCTTCAGCAGTTTCTTTTTCTAATCCCATAATAATTGCTGTATCAATGCCATCAACAATCGTCATTCCAGTATCAAACCAATCCGAAAATGTTTTTGAAATTGGTTTTAATTGATCGTGTCCCCAGGCATAATCTTTATATCCTTTCCATGCATGTTGAAATGCTTTCACAACTGCTTTTTGTCGATCATTTGTTGGACCATCAAAAGAAGTTTTCGTTTTACTTTTCACAATATTGTCATCAACAAAATCCAGTTCTTGCGGCTCTATTTTAGTTGGTTCTTTGTGGGGTTCCTGAATATTACAATTGAAAAGAATAATTCGATCAAAAGGAAAGAAAAACTTACAACAATAACAACCTCATTTTGAATTCCGTCGTCGCCATGGTTTGAAAACACCAAATATGTACCCGATAATAAAATCAATAATAATATACATCTCATCAGTTTACTTGAGTTTTTGATATACTGAAATGAAAAATCAAAGAGCATTTTACACTAAAAAATATTACACTTTTGTTTGAAACTCACATAACATGTTGTATAATAGACCCGCCTTCCTGAGTCGTTCCAAACTTTTTTGCGGATATGATGAAGTGGTAAACCGCCATCACTTCTGGCTAATCTCATGTCATTCAACAACTGCAAACAAAAATAATCAATATCATCAATTTTTGAAACGTGTAAAATTTATTATAATGATGAATAAATGAACTTTTTATCGAAAAATGAAAATGTGCTGGGAAAAATTGTGTTGTTTTTGACGACACTACACAATGACTCTGCGCGCGTCCCTGTGAACCAAGCGTTGAATCATTGACGCGTTTCTTTCTTCTTGTTGACACAAAAAATATAACACTTTTTGTGGGTGTTTGAGGATTTAATTTTTATTAATACAATGGAAATATGAAAAATAAAGGATAACATTTCTAATTGAACACTTTTTTTAAACAAAAAACTGAATTGAGGAAGTAGAAAAGACCGAAATCCATTAATATTGAGAAATAGGTTTGATTGTGTCAAAGAAGATGTGACCCCAATAAAGTAGCATAAAAACAATCTCGGATTTTTCCGATAATTTTCCCAACAGAAAAAAAAAGTTAAAAACAAAAAGTTCAAATTTATTCAGGAAAATATTACGAACATAATTCAAATTTTTGTTTTTTTCTGACGTGAGAACACATTTTATATGTTTCAAAAACATTTTTTTAAAGATAATAGTAGTTGACAACAGTTCATGAAATATAATTTTTCGATTCAAAAACCTCGAGATTTCACAAAATTTTAAATAAACAGATTCAATATAATAATGCGCTAATTTTTGTGAAAAGTAGAGATTAAATGATTAATTCTAAATGTAAGCAAAACGTCAGATGAGAACTCCAATTTATTCTCTTCAAAACTACAATATACTTTGATAATTGAATTTGATCGCAAAACGGAACACTACATATTTATTAACATTTTGAAAAGGTAACGACATTGATGTGATTGTTCTCTGATAAAATATATGAGGATCACTCAACAGCTCCATTTCTTAATTGAAAAGTGAAATGCCGTAAAAAAACTAGTGGTGCTGTTTTGGAAAAATCAACTATTTCAATTGTTTTTTGTAGATAAATTAACTGTGCTTTTTGTATAATTAGATTACTGCCACCATCACAGTTTTCAGAAACGTCGTGGTCTACGTTTTAATGAAGTTCTGACTTGATAAAGTTACAAGAGCTAAAATAAATTCAAAAATCAAATTATACTGCGCTGTTCAGGGGGGTTAACCAAATCAAAATTTGCAAATTAGAGTTTGAAGGGTGATTGTTCTTCTGTATTATTTATGAAGAGTCTTGCAGTTTGTTTTCTTATTGGATAGAATCTTGTGAATGACATTTTTTACAAAACTGAAAAACTGAAGCAAAAACAACACAAAATCATTTATTTGATAGTCAATTTGGGATTGATATTGTTAATATATTACATAATTACAGCCATCTCAAAACTAGAAGCATCAAAAAAGATCAATTGAAATTGGTTGAATTAAAAACTTCGTTGTGGATAATGTTCGAAGGTTTCCATGAATTTGCGATATCTTTCAACTTGTCTTGGTGTCATACAATACGTCATACCAATAAAACACTGTCGTCCAATATTACGTTTGAATTTATTGAAATGTGATCTGAAATAATTAAAATGTTGATTGAACTTATTTCTTCGTTTTTTAAACTCACATAGTTGGGTAATAAACATATTGATAGACTGGAAGATTGTTATCAACCATCAAATTACCATCAATGATTTCAGCATCAACCATCAGGGTTGAAATCAATGCCACGAAGAAAAGGGGAGCCAAAAACGAGACCATTTTTGATAATGAATCTGAAAATCAAAACGAACTCCAAGAGCAGAATTGGGCGGAGCCAAAACGAGCAAAAGAGGTGGAGACTCAACAAAAATTAATCACGGTGGTCTATGAAGAGAGTGCATATTGGATTTGATTTTTTTTTGTTTTTGTTTTTTGTAACAAAATGTGGGAAGATGACGGAATCAAAGGTACATGGGAAGCTGATAGATAAATATTTGGAAAAAAATGATATATAAAAGTGAATATGAATATATAGGTATAACTTTTATTAAATATAGGGTATTTCATGAATAAGCAGACAAAGATCAAGCGACGTCAAAACCCGATGTAAACAAATTCAAATTTGTGTTATGAACTATTTCAGAAAACAATTTTTGAAGATTCAAAGCATCGACGTAAAAAATTGAAGTAATTTCAGACTATTTTTTAAAAGTGATGCAAAATCGGATGTTTTTTGGGAGTCATCCGATTATATGATCAGTAAGTAAGGTTTATTCAAAAATTTGTGTTTATTTGATATTTTGATGATTTTTGAGATGATATTTCGTGATTACTTGAATGAATGTGGTTTTGAAATATGAAAACATTTTTTATCGACACTATTTTTGATACAACTTGAGGAAATATTTGATGTTTCAGAACATGAACTCATCAAAGATCAAAAATAATTTGGCAAAATCCATGTTTTTTTCTGGAATGTTTCAAAACAAATGAGAAAATTTTCAGACAGAATGCTTGTCAGACATCCAAACTTCCTCGAATTTGTCTGCATACCAATTTTTGAAACAATTTGTTGAGTTTTTTTCAATAAATGAGAACATTTTTTGAGATCATCAAGAATCAAATCGGGATTAACTCGAAAGTGTTCATGATAATAACAATATGTTTGTTCTTAAAAACACAAAAAAAGTGTTCCTGTGACATGTGACGTTTCGTTTCAACTGAACGTGACGAAAAAATCTTAATAATAACAAAGAATCTAAAGAAGTTCGCTCTCATTAAAAAGGTTTTTTGAAAAGCTTGGTTCAATTAGAAGTCCATTTATTCCAAAAATAAATCTTCCTATGTTCGTTTTTTTTCTTCTTCATTTTTTATATACGAGATTAAATGAGTTTTTCTGTCTGTGGGTGGTTTTTTTCTTCTTTTTTATTTCTTTCAAACCGCAAATTTGAATTTGAATTTGACATGAAAAATGACGTGAGATGTTTTTTAATTGAACTGTCAATTTGTTATTGATATGAAAATTGAATGTCACGCAAAAAATAAGAAAAAATGGGTTTTTTAGGAGAACAACATTTGGTAGACAGAAAAAATGGATGGAAAAACACTTGAGATAGACAAAAAATTAACAATATCTAGGAATAATCTGATTTTGAATTGGAAGTTAGCACGATATTTTGTTGTTTATTTGAAAAAGCATGCAGAAAGGGGGTGTCCGACAAAGGGAAACCTGACAAGATTCTTGAAATAGATTTAAGGATTAGTTTAAAAATATATTTGTTAAAAAATAAAAGAACAAGTTGATCAGCAAAATTGAAATTTGGTCTTGTTAAAAAAGGAGGACGTGGGATGACTTCAAAAGATTTGGATTCAAAAATAACAGCAAAAAAATAATTTCATAACGCAAGTCTTATGAAATCAAGATTCAACAAAAACAGCATAAAAGTTATTAAAAAAATGAAAATGGGAAAAAAATTAATTTATCATTCAGAGAGTTATGAAATATTCCTATCGGGTTAACATGGCGAATTTTTTTTCAAAATTATAACCGGTTGAAAAATTAACTAGATCTCAAATATATTCTAACCGATATATTAGGCCCTGTGGGATGAACATAGAAGAGTATCTACGTCAAAAACACATACACTTCATTTTTTAATGCTTGTAAGAGTTTTCTATTTTAACAAAACAACATTTTTCAGAAAGTACTCATTAGCTCTATATTTTTTCCAATAAAAAAAATAATTTTTTTCTGAAAATGTACAAAACCACTGATCAAATATGCTTTGCAAGAAAATATACACATCGCCCTCACTCTAAAGTACATCCTGTTCTTATCAACAATAAAAATAGTGTTCCCCAAGAAAAACTCATAAAAAACCATTTTTTGTAAGTTTTTGTAAAACAATTCTATGATCATTTGTAACCGCGAAGAGGTCAGCAATAAAAGAAAACACAGACACTCACACACAATACACACACACATATACGCATTCTATTTTTTTATTTTTTTACTATCACTTTTTTCTGTTTTTTTTTGCACCTGTTCCATGATGAATACTATTTGTAGTATTTTGATTGAATTAATGCAGGTGAAAAATGTATGAATACCAAATTTGAAATCTCTGTGTTTTTCGTTATCTGAAATAAGAGGGGGTTGAAAATAATCGATTTATAAAATGTAAAAAAAAACATTATGTTTTGGTTTATGGGACGGCCTTATCATTTTCATTTTTGTGATTTACAAGAAAAATTATTTTTTTTTTTCAGATTTTTGAAAAATGTCCGTGTCTGCGATTGATCATATCGAATTTGTGGTTCAAAATGCTAAACAGGTACGTTGAAAATTAATTATGTAAAGATAATAATTCGAACAATTTTCAGTCAGCTTATTGGTATTGCAGCAGTTTTGGGTTCGAAAAAATTTGCTCAAAAAATATCAAAAGATCAAACAAGTATTGCTCTTCAAAATGGAACAGTAAGTGGGGAATAACGTGAAATACTAGATAGAGAAAAACATGCTTAAGAATTCACTGTTGCACTTTTTATTTGATCGAATATTGTTATTTTTGAGGAAAATGAGAATATGATGAAAAATAAGAGAGTTAATGAAAAAAAGGTTTTTGATGATTGAAATTCAGGTGTTTTTTGAAAGATTTTCTATTTCGCGGACTTTGTAACAAGAATTTGATTTTTGAGAAAAAGGAAAGATGGAAATTTTTTTGACACAATATCAATGAAATTGCATCATCTCTTTGATTATTGTTTTGAATAGTTGTTCGAGATATGTAATTTTGTAATAATTTTCAGAATTTGGATTTTGAAAATTAACCCATAAAAATCTAGAGATTTTTGCAGTAAAAAATAGATGTAATGACATAACGAGTGAACTCATCTGGTGTTGCTAGTTTTTCTCTTGGAAATTATGAGATGTGAACTTGGAATAATTTAGTATGTCTGTGTTGACACTAAAACCATGATCAAACTTTATCTTGACTCATACATAACACACGTAATTTTACTTCCATTTTCAGGCTCGAGTTATCATCACGTCATACAACACTTCGAATGATTTCACAGAACAGCTGAACAAACACGGCGATTTCATAAAAAATATCGGATTTCGAGTCGATTTTTTGGATACTGTCTTACAGGTGAAAATTGCAAAAAAAATTATCAGCTGTCGATTTTGAAGAAACATTTTTTTGAATAGATTATTAAGGGCAAGTTATAATTAGAGAGATGATAATTGCAGAATGCTTTGGATTAAGAAAAAAGAGCAGAATCAAAGATTATGTATATACAGATAGGGGGTCGAATTAGTATATTTTGATAGATTTAAATTTGACACAGAGTTATAGAAGTTGTTATGAAAATATGAATAGCTTATCTTTGATAAACAACAAACCTATGAATTTCAGTGTCAGTGAACAAATTTATAGATGTTTCTTTTTTTTCATTTTCGAAATAAAAAATTAGAACTACAGTAATCTAGACAATAGTTCAAAATTCAAAATAATAAAAACAAAGAAACCAAGTCGGAACCCCGCAAAAAACGAGAACCTGATGCTTCTTCTATTATTTTCTTCTTGCATGTCTCCACCGACCAAATCTGAATTATACATGAACCAATTTGTGGGTGGAGGGTGGTATAGAAAAAACGGAAAACCTTCGTGAATAAAAATAAAAATAAACATGAACAAATATTTAGAATAGAATATATTTCAATTAAAATTTTTGTTCTCTCATTTCAAAGTGAGAAAATAACACATACAGTACTGGCCAAAAAGATATGCAAAACTAGTTTTTCGAGTAAATTTACTCGAAACTGTCGAATTTCGACCCGAAACATTTTAGGGGTTATTTTTCACGCCGAATCTGATTATATGCATCAATTTCATAGATGAAAAAAATTTCTTGATCTTACTAGGTCGGATTATCAAATTTCGACTTTTTCAGAATTTTCAAGTTTTCACTATTCCTTGATTTCTTTTTGAAAATACAAAGTTTCTGACCAAGAATTTACTTGTAGAAGTGACTAGACATCATTATCTTTCATTTCCGACCTCAACCTTCAATTTTCATGAATCCTAAGATCGACACTGATGTCTTCAGTAAGACCATCTAGAAATTTGGGTTTAGGTCATTTTCCCGATATTTCCTGAAATTTTATCATCAGATTTTCTTGAAAACATGTTTTTTGACCATTTCCAAGGTGTTACCACAAAATTCCAACGCTAATTTGAAGTTTTGACATAGTTCTGACATTGCTGGATTTCCGATGTTCATCTAGAACTTCAGATCTCAACCATCAGGAACTTCAGAATCACATTTTTATCGATGAAATCCGTTCCTAGAATGAGTGAAATAGTTATTTATGATCGATCAATGCCAGAGAGCTCTTTTGAATTCAGTTATACCACATTATGTTCCAAAATACGAGAATTTGCATGCTTCACAGAGGAAAACAGTGTAAAAGTACAACATTTTTGTGTTAACCCGATTCAACTTCCGATTTGAGCTTGGAATCCTCTATAAACTATCAGTTATGCATTGCCACACCATATTGACCATCCCAGGAACTGATTCAATCAATAAAAATGTGATTCTGAAGTTCCTGATGGTTGAGATCTGAAGTTCTAGATGAACATCGGAAATCCAGCAATGTCAGAACTATGTCAAAACTTCAAATTAGGGTTGGAATTTTGTGGTAACACCTTGGAAATGGTCAAAAAACATGTTTTCAAGAAAATCTGATGATAAAATTTCAGGAAATATCGGGAAAATGACCTAAACCCAATTTTCTAGATGGTCTTACTGAAGACATCAGTGTCGATCTTAGGATTCGTGAAAATTGAAGGTTGAGGTCGGAAATGAAAGATAATGATGTCTAGTCACTTCTACAAGTAAATTCTTGGTCAGAAACTCTGTATTTTCAAAAATAAATCAAGGAATAGTGAAAACTTGAAAATTCTGAAAAAGTCGAAATTTGATAATCCGACCTAGTAAGATCAAGAAATTTTTTTCATCTATGAAATTGATGCATATAATCAGATTCGGCGTGAAAAATAACCCCTAAAAGGTTTCGGGTCGAAATTCGACAGTTTCGAGTAAATTTACTCGAAAAACTAGTTTTGCATATCTTTTTGGCCAGTACTGTATAAATAAAAATTTGTTAAGAGCTTGGAAGAGAACAATATCAACATTTTGGAGCGTGATAACATTCAAGATGATGATGGAATTGTGAGATATGGAATTATTCTTGCGGAGGTAATTAATTTGATTCAATCTTTATATGAAACAAATATATTTGTTTGATTTCAGAATAGTGATGTTTATCACACTTTATACGAGTTGGACAAATATTCTGGAATATTTCTTCCTGGTTTCAAACCTGCAGAGAACTTTCCACTTTTTGCTGAAATGTAAGTTGTTGAAGAAAGAGGGATTCGAAATTTTCAAATTTTGACGGTCAGAATCATCGGCTGATTTTCCCACTTTCAAAGTCCCCGTGTTCAAATATAATAAATTTTCAGAGAACGTATGCCAGCAATTTTAATGGATCACGTTGTTCAAAATTATCCGATTGGAGAAATGGAAGAAGCCGCTAAATGGTATGACAAAACCATGAGATTGAAAAGATTTTGGTCGATTGATGATACTGTTGCAACTACACAATTCTCTGCATTAAATGCTTGGCTTCTAGTGAATCATGATCACAGTGTGCAAATAACATTGGCGGAACCAGTTGCGGGTAGAAAAGGCAAAAGTCAAATTCAGGTTGGTTGAAATTTCAAAAAAATAAGAGCTCTAGACAGTTGTTGAGAGAATTTAGAAAAAGAAATGAAATATGCCTAAAATATCCAGAAAACATGTTTTGAAATTGCCCATTCCAAGATCATAAACATTTTCATTATTCGCACAAAATTTTAATTGAACTCATTTTTTTGCAGGAATTTTTGACATATCATGGTGGATCGGGTGTGCAACATTTTGCTCTTCTTGTTAATGATATTATTAGTTCTGTTGAATTAATGAGATCAAGGTTTGCTGTTTTGTTTGTTGTTTTTCACTATCATTGTAAACTTCGGTTTTCTCAGAAGTGTTGAATTTCTCACAATTCCTGACGAATATTACAATATTTTGGAAGAGCGTTTGAGTAAAACCAAATTAAATGTGAAAGAAGATTTGAAAAAGGTAAAGTTCTAAATATATCGCAAAACTTACATAATTCACTTTTTAGATAAGAAAGCTGAATATTCTCATGGATTTTGATGAGAATGGATATCTTCTTCAAATTTTCACTAAACCTGTTCAAGATCGTCCAACTTTGTTTGTTGAAGTTATTCAAAGAGCAAACTATAAAGGATTTGGTGCTGGAAATTTCAAAGCCCTTTTTGATGCGGTTGAAAGAGAACAAGCAAAAAGAGGAACATTGTTCTGAATAATTCAATTAGCTTTTTTGCAATTATCGAATTTTGATTTTATTTATCCCTTGAAAAATAATTTTATTGATGGATCTTTGTTATATTTTTTGAGAATAACAGAAAAATTCTTGAAATGTATTAAGCTTATGACTATAATTTGTGTCACATTTTCTTGAAATGCCTTGTACAATTCCTATGCGAACTTTACTATACACATTTGGTCTTTGAATATCAAGAGATATGATAGTTTTCTGAGAACTCACAGGATATTTTCAAAAACAAAAACAGGACTAAATTTTGGAATACTTACAAAACTGTTTAGTAAGAACATGTGAAGTTTTTCTATATTTTAAGAACATTTCTAGAACAGCAGATAGCTCGATTTGTAGAAGTTGTTGCTGATGATAAATGTATTACATATGATTTAAGATTGTCTGCAAAGTTGATTTTTTGAATTGAAACACCTAAATAATGATAAAAATAATTCAACAGAATCTATATTGAAAAATTATTTTGAAGATAGGAATATTTCTGATAATCTTTATTTCTTCAATAATGAAATGAAATCAAACCTGGGAAGATGATTTTTCTCATGTTATGATAAATTTTTTGCAACCTAATCATATTCAAATCATCTTTTCTTCATTTCAATATGTTGCGATTTTTCATGGTTATAGTGACTCGGTTATTTTTTGGTCCAAAATTCGATATTCTTAAACAAAGGTTCCATATGATTTCATTCCTTTTAACTGCACGATTTTATTCTCATTTTATCATCTTCGTAAAGTTATATACTTATTATAATTCTCAACTGAACGAAAAAGCAGGCAGGTATTTTTTCGTTGAAAGTTGTAGTTAAATTTTATTGATTAAAGCATTCACTCATTAGTTTTTTAGAAACGCCCCTTTTTCAGGAATAATTCAACATTTCGAAACTTCGAAAAACTTGACTAACATTCTTGAGATTCCCAATCGAAACGCTGTTAAAATATTGTGAGTTTAAGACACTGAAAAATATGTCATAGAGGCAAGAAACATAGAACAATAGTTTAATTTTTGTTGAAACATCACGATGTCTCTAATAACCACCTTTGTATCAGAATTGATACATCTTTAGATTTTTTGAAAGTCGCCAAATTTCAAAACACTATTGATTTTAAGAAACTTGAAACAAAACTTCAATGGAAAACATTGTAAGATTTCAAATACATCATTCTATTTTTCTAATGTTATATACACTACAAAGCGTCTTTAATATAATATTAACTACATTTTGCACTATTCTCAAACAAAAAAAAATGTAATTTTCTTACTGATACACTGATATCTTGAAGGATTACAAGGTTCATGGAAAATTTCGAGTTTTTTTTGCTCGAAAAGTTACCTGTGGTGAAATCAGGAATGGTTTCTAATACTTTAGATTTACTATACTTGAAATTAAAAAAAAACGTTTCATCACAAAAATACCACTGCAATTTTCAGAAAAAGATGAACGCTCGAAGAATCACTTATTGGTACAATATGCGAGAGAAAACATTCAACATTCAAAACGAAAAGAACTGTGAGTTTCTCACTTACACTGTTTAGCCAAATCAATATTCTTCCATATTTTTAGTGCTTCTTTTCCCAAATGGCGATCGCAAAGCTCCACATCGTGGATTCTCTCCAAAAGCTCGGGAATATCTTCGTCCAGATATCAAAGTGGAAATCGGCTTCGTTGCGAAATGCAAAATCATTGTCGCGGACAAAATTTCCGAATGGAAACGATTTGTTTGTGGCTTGTTCATTTTTTTGGAAACTGATGTTTAACAAACTTTTTTGATCAATAACTATTTTTAATCTGATAATCATAAAAAAAACAATAATAACCATTTCATGTAATAACCCTTATTAGATAATTTCAAAACGCTTTTCTAATTGTATTATATTTTCTATTTGATCTTTTTTATTTATTTCATGATCTCTTAATTTCACTATAACAGTTTGACCCTTGACTTGTTTTAAAACCCAAAATATTTTACTGACAAAACCATTTTTATTCCAATAAATCATTCATGTAGAATTCACATTGTTTCAGACATCTCAAAACATCAGTTGAGAAAAAAATCTGAAATTGGCAAACAATATTGAAAATTTCTCAAAAGTAAGTGCAAAAAATTAAAATTTTGCGCCATAAAATGAAAATTTGAAAAAAATTGATAATCATATAATATTCTACAACTATCGATATTTTTAATTTGTTCTAGGGACTGTGAAACTATCGAAGGAAGCTTCTTCTGACAGTTTTGTTAAAATCCTTACCAATATTAAATAATTTTTACCATTATTTTTGGAACACATTGTTACTTTTTTTCACAAATCAAGTTAAGTCATTCTGAATAATCCAGATCAATAATTATGCATAGATAGTTCCCACTTTGCTCAAGTTGAGTATTCACAACCCCTCAAATTTTGTGTGCATCATCCATGCAATAAATGCATCATTACAAATTCCAGAAATCAACTTTTTTCTATGAAGAAACATAAAAGTACAAACGATGAAATTGAGTCATTGTCAATATGTCATATGAACATGTGATGTTCTTTAATAAAGTTATTTTAGTAAAAAAAAATAACTAAAATATTTTTTTGCCCTGATAAATAATATCTCAAATCAAGCGATTATATTATTTTGCATATAACATCACTTTGTCCCCACTGTCCTAGCATTTAATTAACACTGATATCATTTTTTTTTTGTAAATCTCAAGAGTTTTGGGAACAGTTTGAAAACTTTGAGTTCTTTTACAGTTCGAGAAAACAATCAGGAAATTTGATTAGCAAAGAAAAATGAAAGTCTTATGGTAGTTTGAGTGAATGAAAAAAGTTTTCTACACAAAAAAACTTCCTTGTAGAGTACGAATAAATGACTTAAAATTTAGATGGATAATATTTGAAAGGTCACGTGCACCCCATTTTTCAGCATATTCATACGCCTATTCATCTTCATTTTCAATGAATATATTCTAATCACTTTTATCTTCGTCACATTTTTCTCCCATGTGTGATTTCAGGAAAACATAACATCCAGAAAAAGAGCTGATAACAACCATTGTTATAAAATATTAATCTCTTATGATGACGGATTTATATTATTTATATATAAATATTTTTGACGAATACTTTTTTATTCAAAATTTCCAAATTTGTTCATAAAAATACATAGTTCCAGAAGAAAAAGAATGATGATTGCATCTGATCAAAAAGTTCCGCATCGTGGATTTAATCCGAAAGCTCGTGAAGTACTTCTGGGAGAGTATCAACTTCCGCTTGATTACAGTAAGTCACCAAATGTTATCATCAAAATAATTATATAGCGAAATGCCAGAAAAGCCAAAAAAATTATAGATCAACTCAAGTCACCTTTTCATTTTCATATTTCACTCAATTTCAAATTTCCGTCCCCCGCATATCTATTATGTTTATAGACATAATTACCGGTTATTGATAGAAAAATAATATAATTATTGTTATTATTTTTCTCTTCTCGTTTCTTTCTTGTTGTTTCTCGGTTCAAAGAACCCAAGAGATTCAGTTTTCTCATTAAATAACACCTTTTTTTCTCTTGAAAAAAATAGAACTCCTAATTAGCCAGCCTACTTCTTTCTGTCTAACTATCTTTGTACACCTATCACTTTCTTGAGTTTTCGAGAGAGCTAAATATTTGATATAAATATCAGTTTGATAATGCCAGATAAAAGTATCAGCGAAGTTGATTTGCCAAAAAAACTGATGGAGACCTTCAAGATGAAAAGTGTCAATGGTTCGCCAAAGTCAAGATCATCCACACAATCGATTCCGGATAAACGTGAGTTTCCAGAAATTATTATTAACTTATATTTAAATTGGAAAATATAGTTTTTGGATTAAAAAATCAAACACAAATAAGTTTTCAGTCCACAATTAGAAAACAATTAGAAACCATTGAACTGAATAGTTTTGTTGTTTTTTGTTTGACAATTGAAACATAAACTCATGTTCAAAAATAAGTTTTGTATTTTCATAATTGCACGTTCTGTTCAGATCAAGTGTTATTTAGCTAGGTTAAAACATTTTCTAAATGTTGAAGTTCAGAAAGTTTCGATGCAATCGGAAGCAAACCACGTGGAAAACTCTGCCTTTCCGATATTGGAAAAGCTCAATCAGTTGCCGAATTCAAAATGGAGAAACGACTTCTTCGAACTTTTCAAGATGATAATGTTATCAGAATGCCAAGGTGATATTTATTTTTTGTTCTAAAAATATATAAACCTGATGTATGAAAAACAAACATATTATTACTTTTCAGCATTGATTCGGACAATGGCCCACCAACTGATATTGGTGATTTATGCATGAGTTTTGAAGGAATTGGAAAATCAATGATATACTCTCAACCGGAAACTAAAGGAGCAAGTTCGTCAAAAAATGAACCTGCTAAAAAACGCAGTGCGTCTGTCCCAAAAAAGAAACTCTAATCCTCTCCAATGTTATTTTTATTTTTTTTGTCATCTTTGATAAATCCCACTGATTCATACCTTATTATTGTGTAATGTTTACATTTTTAGTCTGTTACAGAAAAAACCAGTATTACGGAAAAACAATCTATTTTCATTGAACCTTTTTGTAGTTTTTTTTTAAATTTTCTCGGAAAACATGGAACTCGTATAAAAATCATGTTTATATATATTTTTTTATTTCGAATAAATTTATTATACTTCATTCAAACATTTTTCCCGCAAAAAAAACGATACCAAAAAAAACTTTCATTTTCCTTATCTTTTATCAAATCCGCAAAAATATTCAACCTAACGTAAAAAGAGAAAATGCGAATAAAAACTAAAAAAAGAGAAATGACCGAGTTTTTTTTCGCTTTTGACCCATATCTCTAAATGCTTATAAGTTGTCTCGGATTTCACAAATCTCACCAGACTTTTTCCAAAAATGAAGTCTCGGGATACTTTCCATGATGTGGCTTTGGTCTCAATTACTGTTTCATTTATCGCTTTGACTACTATGATTTTGGCAGTTCCAATGCTGATTTCAAAAACTGATAGTGTTCTTGTTGAAATGTCTTTGATGTCCGACTCTGTAAAGGTATAACTAAAATAATGAGAAAATATAAATATGCGTTATTGTTCAGGCGAAATCAGATATTGTTTGGAATGAACTTGTCGAAATTACCCGTGGAGTATCAAACCCAGTTGCTGGAATTCAATACTTCTCAAGAAAACCAAGAAGTAACTGGATGGGTGGAGCATTCTGCAAGGGTTGTTTCATGCTTTCTTGTCCTCAAGGACCTCCAGGACCACCGGGAGCTCCTGGACCTGACGGACAACCCGGAGATGCTGGAAGACAAGGTCGTGCTGGAGATGATGGATTTGATATTCAGCCAGAATCAGAGCCAGAATTACCATGTGTTATTTGCCCAGCTGGACCACCAGGACCACGTGGAGCTCAAGGAGAAAGAGGAATGACTGGAAATCCAGGTTATTCTGGACTTCAAGGACCAAATGGTATGGAAGGTGTTGATGGGCAACCAGGTTTGCCTGGATTACCAGGACCGAAGGGAGATAAGGGACCACTTGGCCCACGTGGAGAGCAAGGAGATACTGTTGTTGCTGGAGTTGGTATCAAAGGCCCAGTTGGGCCACCAGGGCCACAAGGAATGAAAGGGCCTCCAGGGCCAGGAGGAAAAGGATCAAATCAACCAGGACAACCTGGACAACCTGGACCAGTTGGAATTATTGGAAAGACTGGAAAGATGGGAGGCTACGGAATGGAAGGACCACCAGGACCGCCAGGAGATCCAGGAATGCCAGCATCTTATTGTCCATCAGATTGTGGAGTTCAACCAATTCTCACTGAAATGTTCCCAACACCATTCACACCAATTGCTGGATATCAACAACAAGCATCGCGACCAGCTGCACAACCAAGACAAGAATATGCTGAACAACCAACACAAGCCAGTTCTCAAAATGCTGCTGAAGCTTATTCTAATAGAATGCATGATTTCCAAGATTTTGAGAGAAGATGGCGTCGCAAACTTCTTCAAAAACGTTTGAAAATGATGAGACGTCATTAATTTGATATTTGTAATCAATAAATGGTTTTTTTTAAAAAGATTTCTGATATATGTAATTTTTGTCAATTCAATCCCTTGTAGAATCAGATGAAAAGGTAAAAGTTATAACACATCATAAAACTTCTAAATATCGGAAAATTAAAAAAAAATTCCCCCAACAGAAACTTTAGTTTCCACTCAAAAGTGTATTGTTATCTAGTGATTTTTGTTCACAAAATTTTTAATTAGCAACATTTGACCCATATGAACAAAAAGATGCCCTTCATTGTTTTTTTTTCAATACACAAAAGAGCAGGTGATCAAAAAAAAACCAAAAATCAAAACGTGTTTTTATTCTGAAAATAATTTATTTATTCACTATATTTAATATTGAAAAACTTTGAAACCAAAAAAAAACTTATTTGCGGTATAACAACCCGTTGTGGGTTTAAAGTTTCACTCTCACTGGTTTAATTTCAAAACGACTGGGGGACATCTACCAAGAAATAATATAACATTTTGTACGGAAGTGAATGTGAGCTTAAATTATTTTCTGTCTAGTACACTTATTAAAAAATGACTAATCTGCTAAAAAATGGGGTGCATAAGAAAAAATTAAAGCAGGAAAATTGAGAAACAATTTAAGAAAAATAGAATGAAAAATTAAAATTTGGAGCTGGTAAAAATATGAGACTAGAAAGTGTTTTGGATGGAATGTGATCAAAAAAAAGAATACATATTTGGCAAGGAATGTTTTGGAAAAAAATGAAATCTATTCGTAGCGTTCTTGATTTCGTTGAAGTCGAGCTTTTTTCTCTTCAAGTTCTCGAGCTAAATCATATTCTGTTGGCTCTTCCGTCAACACTTTCCACACTTCCATATCATAGACTTCAAACGCTTGATGTTTACATAACTGTGGACTTCCAAATGTTTCACTAGCCATTGAGATACCAGTTGTGATTTCTTCACTGATTCGAATTGCATCACCACCTCCAGATCCAATCTGAAAATAATTTTTTTAATGCTTCTTCTAGAGTTCAAACTAAATTTTTATTTATATTTTATATGAGTTTTCAAACTTACCACAAAACAATTATCAGTTGCAGCCATGAAATATTGTGGTGAATTATCTGAAGATGCATCTGGCGCATTTCCAACCCATTCATAAATTTCAGGCAACTCAAGTTCCTCATTCATCTTAAACACAAATGACTCGCCAGTTCCCCAATATTTTGATTTTGTTCGCTCTTTTCGATCATGTCTTTCAGCCCAAGAACTACTCAAATATGCGCCAAAAATCTCGTTGTCAGTTGTTTTGATAATGAGGATCGATTGATCTGCTCTTTCAGCTTGATCCCAGAAATTGAAGAAACTTGCGCCATCTTGACTAAGCTTGTAAACTAATCGAGGAGTGATAAGTTGAAGTCGAGCTGGCATAAATGACATAAGTTCGACAGCTGAATCATTATCAATGAGCGATGATTTGAAAGCTTCGCAGAAAATAGTTCGTCTAACTTTGCGGATTCGACGAGGGCGAGAAGTTACTTCATCTCTCAACTGCAAAAATGTTATTGGGTAATGAGTTGGTTTTTGAGGGGAGGAGAGGATGAATTGAAAAATATATCATTTTTTCATGGAGGCAAGATGTATGTTATTTTTCAGTTTGTCTAAAGTGCGATTATTTTCTTTCAGCAGAATAAAATTTCACAAATACATCTTACTGTTGTGAAAAATTCTTATTAATTTTAGAAACAGTTTCAAAAAAATCTTACTTGTAAATTACCATATGTCAACTCACCTCTTCCTCATATTGTGCTTGTAATCTAGCAATTGTGCTTGATTGCAAGTTCCGAATCTTGACAGCAGTTGCGATAAAAGTACTAGTACTGATAGTGATTCCAGATGCTGTATTTTTCAGTTCAGTTCGAATCGCATCAATTTTTTCATCCAATGATTTTCCCGCAAAATCTTCCATGTTTCCACGCGAACTTTTTTGAATCTTCGACCAAATATAAACAATCGAAATAGCGGACCGAATCAAAAATTTATGACCTTCTGCTATATAACAATCAACAATTCTACAAGTGTATTGCATTGGAAGATATTGGAACAACCATTGAAGCCAATCTTGAAGCTGCAAAAAATGATGTTTTAATGGATATGTAATGAGAGGGGAAGAAAAGCAGAGAAAAAAACCTACGCATTTAACTAAAACAGCATCGTCAGCTGAGCCAAGACGTTTCTTAAGAAGTGCATATGCAGCTGATTTATGTTTTTTAATCAGTGCCAAAATTGTGTGCGAAGAAGCTGCCCATTGAACTGGAGCTGTCATCATATACCCCTGAAAAAAATCAAAATTGTCTCTCATATATGAAGAATTTCGATAAAAGAACTCTACCTTATTATTTAACAAATAATTAACACATGCAAAAATATCCGCATCATCGTCATAATAATGTAAAAACAATGAGCAAATCGGGTAAATCAGCTGGAAAATTACACTTTTTATATTTGAAATAAAATGTGAAAATCAATTTTCAAAACTAACCGGTGCATATACAATTTCTGGTCTCAATTGTTCAATAATCAATAAGATTCGTACCAATTTTAACGTTCCCTTTTCTTTCAAATCATAATTATTGATAACTGCTCCATCATCGGTGAGAATTTGAGGTGTTTGTGGTTTTCCTGAAATATTGACGGTTGGGACTTTAATTTAAGGTATACTTTCAGATTTGTGATTAAGAGATTTTCACCCTAAAAATTAATAGGAATTCAATTTTAATCCTTGAATGAAGTTTCCACTTTTTTTTCTCAAATTTTCCACCTCGCAATACTCAATATTTCATTTGTTTTTTTCATTTCACAAAAAAAACTTCAAAAAACCAGTGCTCATAAAAATAACCTCCACCAGCTGTGAAACTATGTAAACAATGACGAGAAAATGCTTGAGTTCAAAAGAAATTTTTGTTTGAGAAAAAAAGTGGATTCTAATTTTAGACCCGCTCACCTCGATTAACTCGATCATAATCTTCTAGTGCTGATATATACAAAATTCGGCTGCTGTCAAAACATTTATTGTTGCATAATTCTTTCCAAAGTTTTGAACGGATTTCGTGAAACACTGGCCAATCGGATTTTCGAATAATTTTCTTGACCTGGAAAATGGGATATGTTGAAGATTGGGCTTTAAAAAAATACATATCATAATTTTAAAAAACTCTAAAAACCTACCGACCAATTATTAACAACTTGGCTTGTTGAGCTACTCGAGCTCGCTGAAGACACGTTGAAAAAATCGTCACAATCCGATTCCAGCCCAGAATCATGACAACCAACACCAGCACCAAAATTATTTATCAAATCACAAATGAAACCTTTTTTAGTTTCCATATGACTATCAATCACTTTTTCATAATAGGAGCTATTTGGCGAGCGATTATACTCCATTTCAGAGTATGGGTTCGTATTTGGATCGAATCGCATTTTTCTTCAAAAATCTAGGAAGAATAAAATTATTCTCGAAAAAATTCGGAAAAATTGAGTGAAAAGAAAAGAAATGAAAATAAACTTCAGGAAATTTGCGACGAAATAAATACTTGACAGAAAGTTCCGCCCGACAAAAATTTGCAAAAAGCATGGAAAAACAAATAAAAAAAGTGAGTTCATTTGACCAGGTCAAACATGAATTTTGGTATGTTTCCAAATAGACAGAAGTTACTTAATTTTTGGTACTTTTTTGCCTGACTGGTTTTGGGCCTACCCCTCTAACAAAACAGTAACAAAGTCAAATAAACTCGGCGAGAGATTTGTTTGACTGTATTGTTTGAGCAATAGGTTGAAAGTTGAAAAATGTATTTATATTCACATATATATTTTGATTTTTCTCAATGTTTTTTTATTTGAAAATATGCAAGTAAAATATGTTTGTTGAGGGGAAATAAAAAATAGTATGGTTATCTTCTATTGACAAAATAACAAAAATGAAGAAAATGGATGTTTTCTGAAGGGAGAAGAAACATTTTCGATTAAGCTGAATGATTTCGAAAAGCTGCAATTTTTGCGGGGGTGGATCTTGGAAAAGAAAACAGACATCAGAAGAAAAAATCCGAAGATCTGACAAGCCATGAATTTTGCAGTTTTTTCGTTACATTTTGAAAAACTAGTTTTTCAAGATGATATTTGGAACTGATGTGGGTTCTGAGTTCTCAAGTTTGAAAAAAAAAAGCAGTTTGGAAGATTCTCACAATTTTTCTTGTTAGAAGTTGGCTTCAGACTGTTTTCTCCGACTTTTAACATTGGCGATATTTAAAGCCGCTTCAAAAAAAATTAAGTCGAGCAAGAACAGAAAAGTTAGACTTTGAAAAAAATGTGCCAAATGGCGCGTTTCAGAAATATAAAGCACTAGAAAAGGCCCGCCTTATTTCTATGCTTCATTCCAAAGATCAAACGATTCATTTCTTTTCAAAAAAGTTCTATGTTCTTTTTTCAATCACGAAACCAACAAAAACAATAAAAACCAATATTAATGCAATATAATTTAATTAAGCGACCTTTAAAGAAAGGAAAAAAAAGAAACATCCAAGAAGAGAAGAGGTAAATGAAATATACTCTAGTAGTAGAGGAAACAAAAAACAGTCTCTGTCTGTCTGCGTCTCTTGTTCTCTCACTTATTTCAAATGTGACAAAGAAAAGGACCACGTGTTTGTGATTTGTATACCTATTTGTAATGTTATGTATAGCTTTATTATGATTCAATCTTTTTTTTTTTTTGGTGGTTTTTTCTGGGCTGGCTGGATATCTGAAACTCCCCTCTCTGAATACGAAAAAAAACTTACTTTGTCAACGCGATTTAATCGCTTATTTTCTAAAATTTCATCCAATCGACTTGGTTCACTTGATGGTCCAACACGAGTATTTCTTGTATTTTCGGTGAACAATCGTCCTTCCGGCTGAAAAAACATATTTTTTTGAATAAATGAAACAATTTTTAAAATTGGCACCAAAACCCAACACAACAATATCAAACAAATTTAGAAAAAAAAATGAAAATTTCTCATTTTGAAAAACACACTTTTACAACACTCATTCTTACCGGCTCATCAGACATTTTTGTGAATTTTGAAACTGGAAATTTTTATTTTCATTTTGTTTTCATGAAATTTTTAAATATTTTTTTTTAGAATATTTCCAAAAAATTGCTTTGTTGATATTTTATGTATTTATGATGTAGAATCAGCATTTCTTGAAGTTAGTATTCAGAAAAGTCTCATCAGAGGGCTTCAGGCCACTACTGATATAATATCCGCTAAACTATTTATGAATTTCGTCTTGAAAACAATACAAGAATTTTACAAATTCCGTTTCACAAGAAATTCTCACGATATATTTTTGTGACACGGATATTTTGAAACATTTTTTCGTGTGGGATGATGTTGTATCACAGAAAAAATGACGTTTTTATTTTCAAAATAACATATTTTTCGAAAAAAATATTACTGAAAATCCCTTATTTTCCAGGGTTTCAATATATCCTGAATGAAACTTTTCTCAGAATTTTTCAACGAATAGAATTTCGAAAATTTCGTATTTTTAAAGAAAAAATTTGACAAAAACCGACCTTCAATTCCTATTAAACCAAATTCGAGACAAAAAAGAGCTCACTCTCAAAATAGTGAGAAAAATCGATAGAAAAAATAATGCACCCACCCTCGGCAACAACGATTATTGCGAAACAAAACAAATTCTCTTTGAAATGTTGGGTGTATATAGGGTGGACAGACGAGATTCAAGAGATTTAGAGAAAATGAGCACACACACACACAACTCACACAGCTGTCAATAATATAGGCGACGAGCAAGAGTGAGTTCCGTTTTTTATTCAAATTTTGCAATGAAAAGGGAAAGAACGGGAATGAATGAGTGAAAATGTATTTGTTAGGTGGGTGCATTGTGTAATTTGCATGAGGAATATAAAGGGATTTTCCGAGAAAATGTTGTAATGTTTCAAATTTCATTAGGTTTATTGACAAATAGTTTTGATTTGCGATTTATGCAAACTAGATTTTTGCTTACAATTTGAATGAGATCCAGAATTTGTTCGGGAAAAAAAATCAAAAATCGTTCATTTAATCTAGATATTTGAAACTTCATCTTCAGATCTTCTGATAAACGGAATGTGTGTATTGGAACCGGTTCAAAGCTTTTGAAATTTTTTTTGAGAATATTCCAAACTTGTAATTTTCTAAATATTATACCGAAAAATAGAACTGTTTCATAAACGGCTTTTTGTTTTCATTCGAAACAAGTTTCACAATAAATTTTTTGGAGTTATCACAATTAAAAAAAAAAACGTTAAGTTTTTAGAAATTGTTTTCAAAAAACAACATGCTTGAAAACACTTGAATAACACAATCATTGTTTTATATGTGTTTTGACGGATTCAAAATATAAACACTGTTTTTGTCATTCCTCTCATAACAATAAATTTCCGGTGTATCATTTCATTTATTAAATGTTTCATTTCAAATAAAATATGTTCTATAAATATACACTCACCTTTCTCTCTTTGTTCAATTGTACTTCTTCTTGTTCACGTGTTAAACGAGCTTCCGATCTTCTTGGTAATCTCAATGATCTTCGAATTGCCATTGAAATTCGTCTGAAACCAAATGATTAATAAATTATTTAACTTGAATTTGAAAAATCTCACGCAATAGAGCTCGTTGTTCTCCGTAAACCAGCACCTCCATTTTCATGATTTAAGATCAGTTTCGGATAAATTGGTGCAGCCCTCTGAAAAATAAGAATAATTTGGCCTAGAATTCCAAATCAACTAGAAGTGCGCTCTATTTCATCTTTAGTTCTCCAATTCTCCTAATTCCTATATATCTCTCTATTCCAGAATTGCCAAAAAAGATTGAATTTTTTATTTATCTCGTGGCCTGAAAAACCAAGTGTATAGAAAATGCGCTCTATGTTATCTCTCACCCATCTAAACCTCCTAATTCATACTTGTCTTTTATTTCTAGCATAGTCAAAAAATGAGAAGAGTCGGTAGAGAAAAAGAGAAAAATATATATTTTTCAGAAATGTTTTTCTGAATTTGAGAAAAAACTGATTTTATGATCGCGTAGGTCAAAAATTTATCAATTTTACGAAAGGTAATATTAGCAAATTAGTGAGAAAGATTGATTGTTTTTGGTTATTGATTTGATGAACTTGTTTTCTCTCTTTTAAAAATGGACGGCTATTTTTGAAATCTAATATCGCGAAAATAATGAACAAACCTTTGAGAACCACTGATATCTCGGTGGAAAATGAATAAAGTTTCTCATGATGAAACATATTCTTGAAAGCACTGACATTTTGATTGCAAATTTATAGATACAATATGTTTTGCCAGATTTTTTTTCAATTCGACATTTATTGTCAGTATTTCGAAACAGTAAAGTTTGAAAATTACGAAAAATTTTTAAAGACAAAATCAAGTTGTCTAATTCTCAAACTGAATGTGAATATTGTGAGATTGGGAAACAACAGTTTTGAGATAACCCACTAACACTGAATGCTTACGCCGCGCTTTATTTCTGCATCCCGCTGTGGAACAACTGCCAAAATTTGTGAAATGTTTAATTTAAAGACTTTATTTCATTTTTTCTATATATCATTTTGAGAACTGAACATCGTGAGAACTTCAATACTTGAAATTCTCCGTGATTCATTTCTAAACATCCTAACCAAAAATAGCTCACCCGAAAAAAATTGGCATCCCCATTTTCTTCTCCATCCGAATCATATGTTCTACCAGGTGCCTGTCCAATTCTTGCCGGCAAAACATCGTCCTCATCCCCGCTAGCATCGCTCAGATCACCAGCTTGGAACATTGTTGGACGAGCCAACCGTCTTTTTTCTGAAAGAATCAAAGAATAAAAAAATCAATGAATGAGAATGGTAGTATTGAAAACAGGTAGTTAGTTACTTAGATAGGAATCATAATACTAATACTGATTGTCGACCTTATGGAAAATGAAATATCACAGAAGAAACTGTTTTGTCTGACTATGATTGATACGCTACTACTTTTTCATTTTTTTTTTGTATTCCATTCTGTTCTTTAAACAAAAAAACTCAAATAAAAAATAAAAACATGGAAATCCGATTTACTCTTTTCATTTGTACTACAAAAATTGAATAAATAATAAACAAAAAAGTGAACTTTAAAAAATCGGATCAAATTCGGAGAAATCGATGAAATTGAAAAACGGTAAAGAGAAACAGAGAAAACAGAGATCCGATTTAATTATGGGTGAGAAGAGGGCAAAGAAAAGTCCTTGAAAAACATATTTTCAAATAAAATCGATGATCTGGCGCGGAAAACACAGGCTATTTTCAAAATAAAATTATTGAATGAACAAGCTTATCTTGTAGATTAATTATTTTCGATATGAATAATGATATTCTTGATTTTCGTTTTGTTTCGATTAGATAATGAGAAAATGATTTATTGCTGATTTATCCATGACTTTTCAAAATTAACTTTCATCCAATTTTTAAACTTGAAAGAAACACGTTTGAAAGTGTGTTTAAATTATACTTTCCGTATGAAGAAAATGAATAGATCTTTAATGAAAAATATACATCAAAAATGTAATGGAAATGAAGAATCTTATCAATTTTAGTAACATTTTTTTATTTTTGATTAGACAAAAATTATGATCAAAACTTGCTGTCAACAAAACCAGGAACACAAAAAGTACAAAATGTTTTGTATTCTAATTTTTCAAAACATTCTTATACCTATTTGTATCATCATCTTTTAAAATTTTAAATACATATTTTTTGTAGGCGGAAAGTTTTGTATTATCGAAAAAAAATTCAAAAGAACCTTCAACAATGGATTGATATATATTTTGTATAAATTTGTTTGAAGTTTTTTCAAGATGAAAAAATTAGAGAGGAAAAATCAAACCATCAAGGTGATAAATCAAAAATATTGCATTCAGTTGTGAAAACTCACAAAGATTGATACCAGAATAATATTGAATTTTTCCAAATTACACTTTTTTTCAAGCAACAGTGATAAAATAATGCAGGAAGGTAAAAACGAAACCTTTATACTAAACCCTTATTTTTGTATACTAAACCCTTATTTTTTTAAACCCTCCTTTTTTATACTAAACCATTAAATTGATGGGCGCGGTCAAAATGACAAACTTCCGCACTTTTTTATGGAGTGGGAAATTGAGAAGAAGAATGTTGAGTTCAGAAAATCACAAAAATTATATCATCAACTTCCTATCCTATAAACAAGAAAATCGTAAACAAAAAATTTGTTTGTAGTTCAGATCAAGTTAGCTCTGAAAAATGATTCACATTAATTTAGAATTTAGTTTTCAAAAATTGCAATTACTTGAATTTTCTGAAGTTCAATAAAAACTTCAAATTTGAAAAAAAAACATCAAAAACGTGTACCTAGAACAAGTCCATATTTCTAGAATGTACAGTTTGAAATTCTCAAATAATAATGTAGGCGTTTTACGCAACTTTTGATCTTCGAAAAATCCTTAAAATTGATGGAAAGTGCTTTTAAAATAAATAGAAATGAGAGAGTGTGAAAAATGAAGAGGAAAAAAGAAAGAAGCTTCAAAACGAAGGTAAACAAAAATGTATGGACAACGTGTTGGCAAAAACCATACATGTAATTTGAAAAAAATGTATACAAATTTTGAAAAAAAAATGAACAAAATAAATAAATAAAAATAATAATAATAATATAAATGATTTAGTCAGTCGTTTCAGTTAGTTCAAATCAAAAGACTGAACAACACTTTTGTATTTTCTTTTTCTCTGTTTCTTTCTTTTTTTCTAGATTTCTCCCAAAAATAATCAGTCTTCGTTTTTTCCCCTATATATGTGTATATGTGTTGTATCTTTTCTTATTTTTCTTTCTAAAAATGGATTGAGATTGTCGATTTGAATCAATGTTCTATCTTACTTGAGATAGAAAAATACCTTGTTTCAGTAATAATTGGAAGAAAAATGATACAAAAATAATGATATTTAGAGAATCAAATTTGAAACCTTTGATCTCATACAAACGAATCAAATTTAAATTTCATCCATTTTTCAATAAAAAAAACTCCCAAAACTGATCTATTCGAAACCAAAACTGAAGGGTGAATGTTTTGAATGAAAAATTACTGATTTTGTCAAAAATTTAATCTTTAGGATCTATGGTAGATAAAAAATAGGAAAATATGGAACTATGATTTCCATTTTCTAACATTAATTGATTTTGATTGATCACGAACAATACTTCAGAACTTTATCTTTTTTTTTTGAAAATATGTGTTTTTTAAAAACCAAAAACAATTGGAACTGATCTTCAGACCAACTTTTCTCACGTATTCCAAAAAAACTACAAAAATATGCAAATTTCCTCCCCGATCAACAAAATATTGATATTGATACATACTTAATCTATCAATGAAAAATTATACAATGCTTATCAGTTTTGTGTTTCTCTAATATGATAATTTTTGATCACGATGGAAACCTGGAAATGTTTCTTTTCCCACCGATTTTTCATGTTTTCGACAGAAATAGAAATTGTTTTTTTGAACTTAAAAAACTGTTTTTTTTTTCATAACAGCAAAGTGATATCTAATCTTATAGAATCTCTAACACCTAATCAATCATTTATCAAGTGCAACAATCTTTCGTTCAAGAAGAACAACCCTAAAAAATTGTTAGATGATAGAAATTTGGTGAAAACAGTTTTCAAATAGTTAAATTTTTTGTTCAATTAGTTTTTTTTCGATCTATGAACAAAAGCGTTATCGATGAACTTAACAACAGAATGTCATCTTTGATATCTATTGATGAAACAAATTTATCTTTGATTTTATAGCGTCACAATTATTTTTGCAAATATCTATAAATAGATACACTTCCGGTAAATGATAATTAGAAAAAAATGACTAAAAAATCGTTTTGACGTTCACTTTCTATATAGACAAAAACAATTCCTTTATGGCGAAAGACAATTTTTAATTCTTCATCTGTTTTTGAGTGATTCGATAAAAATATAATAAAATTTGGGCTACGTTTTAAATTCTCAATGTTCATTATACAATGAAAACATTTTATTGTGACACAAAAACTGCGGTTTGATAAAAATCAAATATTCAAGCTCGATGTGAAAATTAGTGTTTTTATTGAAGTGTCAAAAATTTATCAAATCTCATTTAGAAATTATGTTTTTATTGGTTGCAAAATCTATGAAACCCCCTTTTCAAGCTATTTTTTGACCAAAAATTTCTAGAATGAAGATCATGTGATTCCTCTTTGTCTAGAGTTTCTAGTGATCAACGTTTTCATTCTAGAAAAAATACACAAAATTGAAAAAAAAAACAGAACACAGTTGCCCAAAAATGTATTTTTTCAACTTCTAAAAGTCAAAAAATGATTAACTAACAAGAATTATTCACCATTTCTGAATAGAAAAAGTAAACAAAAAGTTTCATTATACTGAACTAAAAAACTGCACCATATATATATTTTCTGAAAATCTTTCATTTTCAAAATTTTTCAAAAACAAGACAACAGATCAAAACATACCTCTAAAATCAATCTCGGGGCGTACAATTTTCGATAACATGGTCTATTTTCTCCTTTAAATGATCTCTGTAAAATTATATTTCAATGTGTTTTTTTCAATTTTCAAATAACAAAATATATTATAAAGAACACTAGAAAAGTATCAAAAGGTTTCAAAAAATAAAAATAAAAATAAAGAACGCAATAAATGAAAAGTACTTGTTTTTTTCTTGCCTTTCACCAAAAGTAAAATGAACCCAAACATTTTTCTTCCTTTTTTTCAACATACTGGCTGTCAATAGTTAGGACAAGGAGATAGCAAATGAAATGATATGAAGTGACAAAAAAACATTTTGGAAAGGTTATCAAAAATGAAATACAATAACAATGTTTTAATAACCTCTCGTTTTTCTATCCCTGAATATATTAGAGTTCGAAATTTGCATAAAAACAGTCATGTGAACAAATTTTCAACTATCCTACGATTTGATTCCTGTCATGTAAACTTGGATTTTTTTGTTTATTTGAATATTTTCAAAAAAATAACAATTCTGTTTTTCTGAAAAATAAATGTAAAACAATATGAAACGAATGGAAGTTGGATGACTAATTCATTTTTTTTATTCTCCGCTTGTTTACGGGCATAAAATCAAACAATCAAGGTGATAAATCAGATTTCATGACCGCTCCGATGTATGAAATAGACCACAGATATTTTCATCGTTTTCTGAAGTTTTTTTTAGCATAGTTTGAACTAGAGAGTCAGAATATTACTAATATATATATATATTTATTAAAAATAAGTCACTTTTTTTAATTTTCTTTGAATCATAATCATCTTTAAAACTTCGATCATTATAAATTACTTGATTTTTGAAACCAAATGTCACAGTTCATAATGTATGTATAAATTTATTCAATTTTTTCACAGAAACTCGAAGAAGCTTGAACATCATACTCATGTTAGTCACAAAAAAGCATCTTGCGCAAATCAAACATATATTTCGATCAATGTTTTATGCAAATTTCAATGTGTTTTTTGTTGCTCACATCAACAGCTTATTCCAATAAATACCAGATTCGAAAGAAACTTGGGCAAATGTTTACAAACATATCATGTCAATAAAGAGACACTCATAAAATACATATAACAATTTCGGACATTTACGTGTGATTATTTGTTTATGAAAAAAATTCCGTTCGCGACGTGAAAATCGGTTCAACGCATTTAAAGATAGATATATTGATAGGCAGATAGATGGAAAAATGGCTTGTTTGTAACCGAAACGGAAATGATAGATAGGATGAGATGACAACATTTGTTCTCGCTATTGACAGACATTCGTTTTTGGCAATTTTTCAAGTGGTCGATTTCCGATTATGTGTATGTATCTTGTTAATTATTGTTTTGTTTTTTTTGTGTATTTCCGGGCACATTATATGAATCTTAACGTTTCAAAAAAAATAGCATTCTAACTGTAATGAAATTCATATTCACAATCTACTGAACTAGAAGGCAGATAATGTTTTCAATGTAAATTTGCTCACATCATTTTTAAAAATATAAAATTTTCATTTCAACAAAGAATGAGAACATTGAAGTTTTTATTTTATATTTCAGCAATCGAACATTCATTTTTGTTCTGAATTCAGCAAGATAAAATTGTTCTGATTCTGAGTTCTGATCTTTTACACTACATTATAGATAGCTTATGATTTGTATAATTTTTAGTTATCTGAATTCTAAATCTAGAAATTCTATTGAATTGAACCTAATAAAAATAAGATCAAATTTCGTATTGTAAGTTATTTAAATTCAATTCAAAAAGTAATTTCCTTGGCAAAAATCCTAGACCAGACCATACACATCTAAATACAAACAGCACACTGATATATATCAATTGCGAACAATAATCCAGATAGTCTACACAATGATGAGCGCATGCGTTTAGCAAACATATAATATTCGACAGGAAGAACAACGCTAAACGATCAACAATATTCGTGTTCACAACTATCATTTCATCAACTCCGCCTTCTCTTGATTCTATTCCGGAAGACACAAATCGTTTTCCACTGAAAATCTATGCTGAACAGCAAAAGCGAAAAGGGGTGGGCTCTTGCGCAACACATAACCGGAATTAGTTGAATTGAGCACTGTTATATAAAAGTGCGACAATGTTGTGGTATTGGGCATTTATTGGTCGACACAAGACAACAAAACATACGAAAAAAAACTTTTGAAGTGATTTGTTGAGATGGCAAATTTTAGCAGTTCTATGATTTTGGTACTGATCGCTGGAATACGTGAGTTCAATTTATTTTTTTTTTTGAATCAATTATTGGGGTTAGATTTTTTTGAAAATCAGCACATTTAGAATAGTAAATCGTCAACAAAACGTTTTATTTTTGCATATATTTTTTCTAACGTCGAGGTTGAGTAGGAATTGAAAAAGGTTTTTGAATTTTTTTGGCTTCACTATTTCTAACTTATCAGTTTAACTAATTTTTACATTCTCTTGGAAAATTATATAAAAATTTGACTTTTTTTTAGAAATTGTAAATGCTGGATTCGCAATTTCAAAATTTCAATCGCTGAACAAAGACACAAATCAAACAATAAGTGAACTTTCAACAGCTCTTGGAGCAGCTTTTCCACCATGTTGTTCTGATATAATTTCAACAATTGCATGTCGTCGACTTCAACAAAGTAATCCAACAAAATTCCTCGATAGATGCACTTCTGATGCCGATTTCTCGCTTATCCAATGTTGTAATACTTGTGGAATTGAAAGTGCAGCTGATAGATATGAACTATTATTTGAACATGGTCATAAATCAAGTGAATGTTTTGATCGACACGGACCTGAGTTCTGTAAACGTTTCCTGAAAAAAGAAGATGTTTGGGGAAAATCTCAATGGTCGTGTGATGGATCAACCGCTCATTTGGCTTTCCGAATTTGCCGAAAAACTTGCAATTTCTGTAGAAGAGATATCTATCGTACCCCACTTGGAAGATTCCAACCAGTTGCTTGTGGTAAAGCACCAGTTCTAGTTCCTAATTAATTAATTTATTTTATAATTATTTAATTTTAATGGTATTTTTCATTATTAATTATGTATATTTATTACTTGTCATGACATAACGATTATACGATCTCGATCGATGTTTTTTATTATGTTTTTTTATTTCGAAAAAATCAATAAATGCTACTTCTTTTGACCCATGATAAGGGGGGGGAATGGTCAAGGAATACGAATAGACAGAGAGAATATATAGAAAAAAACATAGGCACGCTTGCTGCTGGTTTATTGCATTTGTTTTTTGAGAACAACAAAGATGCTGGTTTGTCGAGGACAAAATCGCGCATTTTCTAAATTTCTACAAATTTCTGCAAAAGTTCAAGAAGCTTTGAAGAATGGCGAAGGAGTTGTTGCATTGGAAAGCACTGTTATCACTCACGGTTTGCCATTTCCGCATAATTTGAGGTGAGTGTGATTTGTTTTTTAAATTTTTGATTTTTATCAAATAATTGATGTGTTTATATTTTCTTATTTTTGTGTTATTTTTTTTCAAATTTTACTACATTTTGAACTGAATTTTCAATGATCAGGGTTAACTGTCAAAAAAAACTATAAAAATGCTGATTAAAATATTTTCTCTTGGAAGAACAAGATAGTGCATTTTATCGATAGTTTCAGTCAATTTTCTCTGAAAATGCAATAAACCTTGTGATTAAAAACTACATTTTTTTCCAAATAGTTCGCCTTTTCAAAAATTTACTGTCAAAAACCATAAAACTGCTCTATAAATGTGTGCCTTTGGGAAGACAACAGGCGTTTTTTTTTCTAGAGTAAATTTTTGTTTGGAAAAAATCAACCTTTTTTGAACAAGTAATATTTCAATTTGCTCCATAAACAAAGAGAAATTTCTGACACATCGGAAAATTTGGTTTCGGGAAGATTTATAGGAATGTAAAATCAACTATTCGAAAACAATAAATTATTTTCCGTGTTGTGAGAATTACAACGTAGAGTATTTCGGAATTAGGTTTCAATTGGAAAATTTAGTAGTTTCTTTAATAAAAAAATTCCATACTCCTAATTTTGTAAAACAGATTTGAAAAAGGATCTCAAAATTGTCATTTTGGATTGAGAAATTTCAAAAAAAAATGAATTTAAAAAACATCATTCAGATAATTTTCTGATCATTTTCAGCACAGCTCGCGATCTTGAAGACCAAGTTCGTCAATCTGGCAGTGTTCCAGCAACCATCGCGCTACTTGATGGCCATATTCATGTCGGTCTTGATGCCGATCAACTCAAACACATTGCCTCCAGCTCGAAAGAAGCTGTTAAAGTATCAACCAGAGATATTGCCAAAACTCTGGTGAAACGTCAAATTGGTGGAACAACTGTTGCCTCGACAATGAAAATTGCAGATGCTGCTGGAATTCGAGTTTTTGCAACAGGTGGAATAGGAGGTGTTCATCGAGGAGCTGATCAAAGTCAGTCTTTTTTTTTCATTAAACAAAGTTTAGAATTGAAAATTTTTCATTTCAGCTTTCGATATTTCTGCTGATCTTCAAGAATTATCAAAGACACCAGTTTGTGTCGTTTGCTCAGGTGTCAAGAGTATTTTGGATATTCCAAAAACAGTTGAATACTTGGTAAGATAAATAGTTTTTTATCAATGTTCAATCTATAATTTTCATTTCTTTTAGGAAACTCATTCGGTGAACTGTGTTGTTTTTGGAGAAGAAAATGTATTTCCAAGTTTCTTCACCAGAAAATCTAACAGAAAAGGACAATTCAACACAACAGATCTTGAGGAAATCGTCAGACTTTTGGAAACTTCAAAAAAGTTGGGATTGCCTTATGGAACTGTATTGGCTTGCCCAATTCCAGAAGAATTCGCTGCAGATGGAAATGTTATTCAGATGGCTATTGAGAAAGCATTGAAAGAAGCAGAGTGAGTAGAGAAAACATATACAGTTATATATTTTGGATACGTATTTCTGTTGGTGAATAACAAAAGAAATTTTGGATAAAAATAGACAAAAACAATAGTACATTACCGTTACTGTGGTGGGAAAGTTGTGTACTTTTTTGGAGTGTTTTTTCCCACCTAAGCTGATTGTTTCGAATATGAGTGTGAAAATGAATGAAAGATTTTGTTGGGAAGTTTGAATGTGAACAAAATATAACGTGATACAACTGTACTCACCAGTAATTTAGACATCCTAACACCTGAAAAACAGCATCCAAGCGTAACTCTTGATATATAAAAAATCATAAAATTCATTCATTGTTTCCTGAAAAATATTCAAAGTTAACTATTTTCTAGAGAACAATCAATTGCTTCACAAAACGTCACACCATTCATTCTTGCTCGAGTTAATGAGCTCACTAAAGGAGCTTCAATGAAAACAAGTATGGTTCTTTCAATTCTCTGAAATGTTTTGTCTTCCAATTTTCCTTTTCAGATATTGCTCTTCTCAAAAACAATGCTCGAATCGCGGGTCAACTAGCTCAGAAACTGAAACTCTACAAACCTCCACAAAACTTCAGTCAACAACCAAAAGCAGTCAAAAAGGCGTCAAAAGTTGTGAGTTGACCTTTTTCTTCAACAAACACGCATCATTGTTTACATATTGTAACAAATGATTTTTCTAATTAAAGGTTTCAATCGGAGCAACAATCGTCGATTTCGAGGCAATCACGAGGGACGACATTAAGGTGAGAAATTGAAAGGGATTGATAATTTATTTGAACCAAAACATAATCAACAAAAACAAAAAAGGCACAAAGTGACATGATTAATAACACGTAAAAAAATTGTGTAATTTGGTGAACCATAAACCGATTAAACATTGAGAAAATATTAGAGAATAGTGTAAGATTAATTTAGTGTTCTGAAAGGCTATGAGCAGCCATTGCATGCTGAAGTTGCTCACGTAACTCATCGCCTCGAACAGTGAACTCATTTTCAACTTCTTCAATGACTTCCTGTTTCAAAAATGGCGAATATTGTGAGCTTGTTCGAGCATTTCGCGTCTCTCGAGCCGCGTTGATTTGTTTGACCTCTTTGACAATTCGAGTGAGATTGTTTTCACTTTTGTAGCTGTCAATATAGCCATCGCCGTGACGATTGCTGAAAAAAATATTGGTAACATGGCCGTAGGTTCATTTAACAAGATTTTGAAAAGGATCCCCTTTCTTAAGATTCGATATTATTCTTCTTCAGCTGGCCTGTTACTATTAAACACGTGGTTAAAATAGATGTTTTCAAAACGGTTTTGTTTTTCCAACACCTGCATGTACTTTTATGAACATCTGTGGATTCCTATTAACATTTTTTCAATCATAACATCTGTGGTTTTATTTGAATAAAAACAAAACTCACTATTCTGTGATCATCTGTCCAAAATAAGCCTGTTCCTCAATTTCCGCTTCAACTTCTTCAATGTCTTTGCGAAGCGCGCAGCACATGAACAATTTCAGTGGAACAATCACACAGAAAGCGCAGATTCCCAACCATTCAGTGTTGCTGTGAAGCCATCTAGAAATTTTGAAAATGAACAATATGTAGATTCGTTCTAGAAACAATCACTCACTTTCTAAGGTGAACACTGCAATCATTTGAATGATCAATTGGGCAATCAGTTCGAGTGATATTGAAAGCATCTTGACAGATTCTGATCACTTGTGCTGGCGGACAACAATGAAGTTTTTCATAAACATCATCCCAGATTGAACAATGAAAGATATTCTAAAAATGATAGTGATGAGTTGAAGTCAGAAATGTTTAAATTAGAAAACTCACGGGATCTGTGTAGATCTCAATTATGTGTTCCTGCATTCGAAGGTGAGCATTTGACATAATCGCGGAAAATATAAACATCATAATGGCATCAATGAGAATTGTGAAACAGATAACATAGTGAGAGTAAGTTACAATGTTGATATATGATCGATAAAGTCCGATGACAACGCAGATACAGAGAATAGCCTGGAAATTTAAATTTTTTTAACGGAGATTTATAAAGAATTATGTATAAAGAGGTCTTGGAAGATCTTGAGACCGTCTAAAATTTGAAAGCAGTGAAATTTTGAAATGAAATCATCTTGAAATTTTCCAAAATATTCACCTGGATCAAGTTGACGGTAAAGTAAGAAACGATGTATGGATTGTAGCGCGGAATCGGGATTAATTTAAAAATGGGATCCATGAACATCATAACCCCAACCACAAGAAGGACAACCTGAAATTAGCTCATTGGAATATTCTTTCGAAAAAGGTATAAAGTTACCTCCATCACAAAAAGCAACGTGTGCGAAGCATATAACCAAGTTGATTTTGACATGAGTCTGAAAATTGGAAAATATAAAAGATGAGTTATGTTTGAGCAAAACAATGAGGCAAGAAGAAATAAATAAATAAAAATACGAAAACAAATCTGAATGTGAGTGAAAAATTCGAATAAATATAAATAGCGTCTTCCTTTTTCAAATGTTATGCAAAATTATGGGAACACGTTTTTTTTTGCATATTAACCAAAAGGTGAGAATCAATAAATACAATACGATGACGAACACAAAAAGAGGCAGACGGTGGGAAAAAAGAACAAAAAAAAAGAAAATGAAGAAAAAGCTGGGCACAGACAGTAAAAACATAGTACCTCAACCAGAAGACATGTGAAAAAACAAAGACATTTTTTTCAACAAAAAAAAATTAAAAGACGGAAAAAATCTAGATCATTGAATTTATGTTTGTATAAAGTATCAGGCGATGATGAAAAAACGGTAGTGAGCAAACTTCAGATTTTTTTTGGGTTGCTTCTAGACATCAAAAATAGATTTTTGTTTCAGGAAGATGGTGGTAGTTATTCTGGAGAAGTTATTCAAAGAATGGGCGGAGTTGCGAGAAATCATGCGGATGCGATTGCGAGATTGGGATGTGATTCGATTTTTTTGTCAGCAGTTGGCAACGATCCAAATGCGGACTTTTTTCATAGAGAGTGTCAACATTTTGTGAGTTTAAAAAACAAAAATTTTGTGAACGATAAGCTACTAGGAAAAAAATTAAAGGCCAAATACTGGATTTTTTAATGGATCAAGTGGTTTGAGATGAAAAAACTGACAAATTTCTGGACATCTCTCGCCCAGATGTGTTTGAAAAATATCGAAAACAACTGTCACACCCTAAAAAGAAGGAAACCACACAGAAATGGGCGGAGCTATATTTGGAACCTTGTGATTTTCACGAGAGAATTTGTGGTAGAGAAAATCCATAAAAAATTGAAGTATTTGAAACTGATTAGGCTGCTTCCATTAAGCGAATCTCTGAAAAAAAGTATCAAAAAATGCAGAACTTTTTCTGAACCCTATGATTTCCAAAAATATTTCTGGTAGAAAAAAATCAAAGAAAAATCGGAAATGAAAAGCCAGAACTAAAAATAATATAAAAAATAAACAAAGGTTTATTTTTTGTGAAATTCAAAACCTTCAGGATATTTCGCGTGTTCAAAAAATCGAAAATTCTCCAACATGCACATATCTTTCGATGAACTTTCACGGAAATGTCAAATATGGAATTACTACTTGTGAACCGCTTCTTCAAAAAATCGAAACAGACTTGGTAAGAATCATCAAAACAACAAACAATATCTAGAGCTAAAGTAGACTTTTTTTTTCATTTTTAGATAATGAAAAATCAAGATGCTATTCAAAATGCCGAATATGTTTTGATTGATGGAAATTTGCCAGTTGATGTGGTATCAAAAGCAATGGAAATTTGTTCCAAATTTGAAAAACGAGTCTGGTTTGAGCCAACGGATATCAAAAAAGTTGGAAAGATTTTTGCGTCAGGACAAGTTGATTTGATTCACGCAGCATCGCCAAATGCTAACGAATTTTTGGAATGGGCTAGATATTGCGGAGTTTCAGTTGGAGGTTGGTGAAAAGTGATCTATATCAAAATACATTACTTGAAGTGAAGCTCAATAACTCTAGTTCATGAAAACTAACTTTAGAAACTATCAGGTTTTCTCAATTTCTCAGGTTCAAATTACCAATTTTCAAAATAATGAAAAAATTTTCGATAAATATAAATTAACTGTTTTAGAGCCAAAGTAAAGAAAACGCGTAAAATCTACGAAATACTTCAACGGTTCCGGTTGTGAGCAAGCTTTTTTCAGTAATACAATTATCTGACTTTCAAAAAAATAAAAGAAAAGTTCGAAAATCTTGTAACTTTTGAAATGAAATGTTCAAAAACATTAATGGGCTGTAAATCACATGTTCACGGGGAAAGAAACAGAATATCGAAATGAAACTTGCGCGGGCACATTTTTCAACTTTTTTTCTAATACGAAACAAAAAAGTTGCAGCTGAGGCAATCGCCACACCGAACAATGTTTTGGAAGTGGTCAAGCAAAAAGGAGATCGATTGTTTTTACCAAATATGGAAATTTTGGTAGTTTCACTTGCACAAAATGGAACTGCAGTTATTTACAGGTTTGTCAAATTTTTACTATTCCGAAAACAATGTGAGAAAATCTACTAAACTTCAAAGAAGATTGAAAAATAATATGTGTACTTTGAGACTTATAATGCACGTGAAAATGAAATTTGTGTACTTTTTTGCACAAAACCAGTGGGTGGTTTGTAGAGATGATTTCATTTCATTTTATGTGATTTTTTGGATGAAACCTGTAATTACAGTATCTCACCATAAAAATCTCATTTTCAATTTGAACCATTACAAAAACATCGAATAAAATTTACAACCTTCAGGAAAATAAAAAAATTATGTATTTCTCAAAAAAAAATCGAGGGTCTAAAATTGTCAGTTTCGAACAGAAAGAACAAAAGAGATTTTCTGGGCGCGAGTGGAAAAATAAAAACAAAACAACAACAAAAACAATTTGGGCCAAGAAAAAAACACAGACAACAAAAATATATTTAAAATTCCTCATGTAGTTTTTGTGTGTGTGTCTGTTTGTCTAAACCTCTCCATCTCATTTCGCTCTCGCCTGCAGCAAAAAAAGAAGAAATTTCTATTTTTTTCTCATCGAAAGTGTGTTTGACATACACACACGTTGATATAACAGCCGCCATAGCTCAGTCGGTTAGAGCGTGGGTCTAATAAGCCCAAGGTCGCAGGTTCGACCCCTGCTGGCGGCAAATATTTTTGCAATTTTTAAGTTCAATTCTCAATTTTTCCAGAGATGCTCAAAATCACGTTCAATATTTGACTCTTCCGCCAGCTATTAATCCAAGCGAAGTTGTCTCAGTTTCCGGAGCTGGAGATAGCTTCAACAGTGGCTTTATCGCTGGAATTGTTCATGGAAAATCTTTGGATGATTCTTTGAAGATTGCTCAAAAATGTGCTAACCTAACTCTTCAATCCACTCTTGCCGTTTCGGACAAAATCAACACTTCACTCTTGATCTAAATAATATTTTATTCTTCTTTCAATTTTTTAAAGATAATCATTGTAGAAAAGCAACACGTTGTGCATTAGAATCCCTGTTTTTTTTCTATGAAAAATAAAAGTAAAATCTTGACAAATGTTGTGTTTGATTAATGAGTAACCCTCAAGTTTCGTTAATTAAAAAATAAAAACTATACGCTGAACAAAAAGAAAAGTTGATTTTTTGTTTTTTTGTGACATTAATTCATGTGCCATTGTTTTGTGCTCGATCTGATTTACATCAACATTCAAATTGTGATGAAAGTCATAGGAAAACAACCGGAAATTATGAAAAACTAGGGAAAGATCACAGTAAAATCTGAGAGACACTGATAGTTGATTTCAGGGGTTTTCAGATAAATTTCTACAATGAGAGAAATTATAAGCTTTCTTTGGAATTAGACAAATAAATTTCAAATTTTCTGTAGTTTTTTCAGTGTGAGCAAAATTACCACCATATTTCAAAAATAATTTTATTATTTGACAAGTTTGAATTAGGAACTACAAAAATTAATAATTTCCAACGAAAGCATTCGAGGTGAGATCAAAAAAAAGAAAAGAAAAAACTCGAGAAATATAATTAATGAAACAATCAAAATATGGCAATATAAGGGGAAAAATATATATTTGGTCAGTGTCGGGTGGGAAATTGGAATATTTCGAAATATAATAAAATCACAAGACAAGAAAAATATAGATCATTATGATATGTTTAACCGGCTAATAATGTACTAATATTTAATTATTGGTTTGTTTTATTTGACAATGTGTAGAAAATATAGTGTAAAACCCTTATGCAATCAAGACTATTCATCATCAGCTTCACCTTCTTCCATTCTATTTTGACTCTGAAAATTAATAATTTGAGATACTGTTGTCAGTTTCCTAGAACTACAGATTTCTTGAACCGGTTAAAAAATTCGTTTTCACATATATTTTTGAACCATTCCCAGCTATCTTTAAAAATTACCTTATGCTCTTTTTCATATTCATCTCTTGCTGTTTGAATCTTATCAGTTATATCAATCGCTTTTCTCAAGTTATTGACTAAAGTAGTTTTGTGAAGATAGCGATCAGCTTCTGGAATATATAATGCGGTCACAATATCTGGTGTTGTTTTTTCATCGACTTCAATATTGTTCTCAATAATATCAATCCATTCTGTCATCGTATCTCGATATTTGTGAAGAAGATTCTGAAAAATACATATTTAACTTTTGAATTTTTCTTGTAAATTATTCCAAATCTTCAAGTTTTCGAAAATAAACTCACATGAATTTTATCACAATGTCTTTCAATATCATAAACAAATGGTTCACTACTACAAATATCTATGAATTTGCTTCGTTGTTTTTCAATTGCACATGCCCATTCACTTGCTTCCATAGTTCCACTTGTCTCAAATTGTACTTGTTGTTCCACTTGTGATTTTTCATCAAAACTAATCAACGTCAAAACATTCTTCTTGTCAATTGAAACTGATTTCACTTCTTCTAATTTAAGCGTTCCTTTTGGTGCAGCAGTCGAATCTTTTTGCCAAATAAAATGTGTTTCTGTCAATTGGCAATATCGTTTTTTATTCGGCAAAACTCTTCTCCACGCGGTTTTCGTTCGATCGATTTGTTGCAAATTTCCAAACTTGAACACACTACACTTTTTTGGCTCATCATTTCCAACAAGTGAAATGTTATCCAAAAACATTGTCATTTCTTGTTTGTGTTCATCACTTGCAACCATTTCAAATATATCATTCAACCAAGTTTCTTTTGTCGACAATGGTCCTTGGCTAACTGTACAATTTGAAACACGTTGAAGAAGTTTCGAGAGTAGCAGGAGGGTTCGAGATACACGAATGTCCTGAAAAATTGAAATTTATAAATGAATGAAAGTAATAGAAAATGCTCACGGGTACTTCTCTGCGAATTTCAAAAGCTTTCGGATTGAGAACTGCAGCTGCGAAGAATCTCATGATAATAAAAGAAGAAACAGCCAATCGCTGAACTTCAATTCGACCTGAAAAAAAAACAAAATTCGGTTTAGATTCTATTTAAATTTTCATGACAAAATCCTACAAATCCTTCTCTATTCTTACAATTTCAAAACATCATATGACCACCCGGAAATATTTACTATCATCAAAACAATTTTCCCTCATTTTTCTCACAAAACTCACCAGTATGTTTGTCAACGATACTTCGTAGATCAAATAACAACTGTTTTATGAAATGTGGGCAGTCGGTTGAACTCTGTGTGACTGCATGAAACAACATTTGAAAATAGACAAGCAAGTTTGCCTTGTTTTTCTCAACCGATTGCGATGTTGTTGTTCTCATCGGATCAATTTCACAATTTTTGTGCTCTTTGTAGATCTGCAAACAAGAAAACATATGTTGAGTGGGTTGTTCGTTGATATGTTACCTTATCAATGACCGGCTTCAATGTGGTAACCAGATACATTTTACCATATGATGTGAGGATTTCAAACAAGATTTTTCCAGCCAATGATTGTCCGCGGAACAATGTGTTGTCATCTCTGAAAAATATAATTCATTTGAAACAATGTTTTTCTTTCAGAAAAAGTTTTTTTTCAAACAAAAAGGGGGGAAACTCACTGGCACTTCATAATATTATTATTATACAACGAATTCAAAACCGGTTGAATTGTGTCAGATTGTGCCATTAAAAGTTCCACAAGAGATCGCGATGTTTGTCCCAATTCGACTTTCGGAAGAGATTCGATAACAGCAACAAGTGAAGCGGTTCCTGGTTCATCCGTATTGAATCTAGTCAACAAATCGAGAAGTGGTTTATAGACTTGCATTCTTAAAATATGATCAACGTGATGGTTTGTGCGAATAATGACGTCGCCAATTTTTTCAGCGTCCTGGAATGAAAAAAAAAAGTAAATTGAAAATGAGCTGAGTTATGAAGCTGAATATGAGTGTGAAAGTTGAAAAACGGGGGCGCATTGTTATTTTTAATGAGAGACGGCAAAAATATTAGTTATGAATGAAAAAAGTGTAATGACCCAAAATAGTTTTGCAAAACGTTTGGGAATTTCTTATTTTTTATAAATTCTCAAGTATTTAAACATTTCTCATGTTTTTACCTAAATAACTTCAAAATCAACTTATTTTCAAAAAAAAATAAAAAAAAACAAACGCGCAATCATGATGCAAAAAAAAAAACAAAAAAGACGCCGGCAGAGGTGAGGGGTTGTAAACACAGCGACGAACAATTGCATATTTTTTTATTTACAGTAATCAAAAGGCTAATTTGTTTTTTTTTGTAAATTTTATCAAATTAAAGAAGGAAGATATTTTTGAAATAAATTTGATTGTGAAATTAACATAGAAACGTTACAGAACCAGTACCTAAAAATAATCCCCGTGCACTATATTAAAATTCATTAGTTCAAAAAACAATAACGAGACTAATTTAAACTAGTTGAAGGTTCAGAAATCAATGGATCTGTTATTGGAAGTTTTTTCACGTTAGCCCTATTTTCGTCAGATTTTTAAACACGCGGTGATCATAAAAATACAAACAAATTAAAATGTAACTACCTCTTCTTGCGATACACTCGGCTCTTTTGATTTTGATCTCAAATAAAACCACTTTGCTGGACCAGTTTCCCAATTCTCATCAATATCAACACGAACTTGTCCATGAAACACTGAATTGATACCTTTGAGAAGATCTTGCCAAAGTGTCAATTTCAATGATAACATTCCTTCAGAACACGGCATTTCTAACCATTCCTTGCTTCGTTTTTCTTCGGCGTCAACCACCAATTTTCCAACACTTTGGAACTGCAAAGAATGAAAATAAGATTGAATGAAAATGAGAAGGAAAAATTGGGGGGAAACGAAGTGAATGAATGGAACATAAAGGAAATGAACGAAGAAAAAGAACAGAAAATGAAATAAAAATATTTATTTTCTTCTAAAAGATCATAAAATGTTGGTTTCAGCAAAAATCATTTCCTCCTCCAAATGTTCCAGGTTATCGGAAAAGTACGACTTTTTGTGAACTATGCAATTTCCGTAAGATTATTCAACCCAAGACATGAATTATGACGAGGAAAAGTTTAAAATTTAAAATTGTGATTTCACAAAGCTATAATTTTCTACATCATAACCATAATTGCAAATGTCAAACTTTTTTGAATAAATTCTCAAACTATGAAAAAGTTATGTTTCAGAAAAAATGAAATTCTGTAGTTCTATGATTTATTCAAATTACTAGAAATAATTTGAAATCATGAAAGATGCATAGAGTATGATCCAAAAAACTCCTACACTTTTTATATTTCTTTTTCTCATTTTATTCATAAATTTTTCATGCTCATAACATGTTTCTTTTTTTACTCGATACGAATATAAAAATAATAATCACAGATTAAGCAAACAAAAGAGTGCATCATATCAAAATCTAACCAATTCAGAAAATCCCACCCTAACTAACTCACCTTTGATGTTCCGATTGTTGAGACGAGAAGTAGAAGTTCTTGATTCTCTTTGAGTTTCAGACCGCCACAATCAACGACTCTATAAAACCAAAAATGAAATCATAAATCAATATACTTTGTTATTCGAACGGCTTAAGAAAAGGAACCCAACTGAAAAAAAACTACTGCTAACAAAATAGAATAGGTTTTTTTTTCAAATAAATGAAATTCTTATATGAACTACGCCCACTCTAAGCAACTCTGAAAAATACCCAAAAATAGAAAGAAATTCTTGCTAACTAATTTCCAAAATGAAATTTTCGGGACAACAACAAATGTGGGCGTTTTCTTGTTTTGATGAAACAAAAAGGCTCAATATGTGTACTATTTTTGAGAAATGATATTATTAAATAAAATTAAATCGAGAAGAGAACCTCTGAATGTAATGTGATATTAGTTCGATTACACCAGATATATAAGTTCAAAACAGCTGAAAAGACACAGTAAAAGAGTTCAGGTGAATTTTCTTTCAAAGTAAATGGGGCAGCTGATATGTAAATTTTTTCTACAATTTCACAATAAGAAAAAACCCCGAAAATAGAAAATATCCATAGAATATTTGATTAAACCTTGGAGAATCGTATCATCGAAAAAAACAAAGAGTGCAAAATAAACTCGAGATAATAAATTTTATGATGTGATTTTTTTATCGATATCACAAGTATCATCATAAAAAATATGTTCTTCGCACTGAACATCTCAAGTAGCTCAGCTCACAGACAAAAAATCATATTTGACAAAAAAACTTTTTCTGCTGCGTGGGGGTACTGTTTGCATAACAAAACAGAGAAAAAACAAGAAGACTTTTCTTTCGAAATTTTTTTCATTTCACATTGTATCTATTTATTTTTTTGTGTAGTTGTTGTTTTCCTATGTATTTATATTGCGTGCGAAAAATAGAAAAATAAATAAATAAAAAATAAAGATTTTCACATTTTTTGAATAAAAATGCGTTTTTTCTGTCAGTCAAAATCATAGATCGAGGGCGGCGTACGTCCGCTTCCGGTCAAATAAACAACTACATAACATATGGAACCTATAAAAAATCGCAAAAAGTTTCAGAGCATCAACTCAAAAAAAAAAATCACAAAATCCAGTGACTGAGAAAGAATAAATAAACAGACACTGAATCATCATCTTGCACTTGAGAGAAATCTTTCGTTTTTTTTTGAAAAACTTATTTTATTTTTGATAAAAACCTATTGGAAGTGCTTATGGAAATTACAGTAAAGTGCAAAACGAGTATAGGAAGGAAAAAATAAGTGTAAACGGATGAATTTTAATGGGTTTTTGTTTTGGTTAAAAATATGGCTATATTAACGTTTTTTTTGTTTTTTTTTTGTAGAAATATTTCTCTCTCACATGTATTTATGCATACATTTTACAGCCTCCCCCCTATTAAATATATCAAATAAAAATCATCGAAAAAAATAGATAAGATGTGGGTGGTAATGCATAATTAATTAATTTTTGCAAAAACTACAAAATGAACAAAACTATAAAAAAAGAAAAAATAAAATATATATAGAATAGTTCTATTTTAAAGATTGAGAAGTTTGCAGAAAAATACGCAATTTCCTTCCGGATGCAATTTCAAAAGAAAAATGGGTAAAAATCGGAAATGAGGCAAAAATGTGTGTTTCATGCAATTTTTCGAAATTTTATTATCTTTTTGGAAAAAAACTGATAAGACAAATGTTCGAAATTGTTTATTTTTTGAAAAAAGTAGGTTTTGAGTTCAGAGCTGAAAAGAGAAAAATTGACAAGGGTTACTGTAGTGAATAGAAAAAGAGCAAAACTTGATTTGTTGACATAGAATATGTAAAACAAAAAAAAAAGAAATTTGAGCTAATTTGAATGAAACACAAGAATTTCTTTTTTCCTACCACCTTAATTTTCTTCCTCCTTCACATATGTATGTATATTTTTCAGAAATAAAATAATATAATATTATTTTCATGTTCATGAAAGTTAGAATAAAATTTAGTAAAAAATAAAAAATGAATAGAAAAAAGCCGGAGAACCATTGATGCATAATGAGTGAGGAAATGATTTCCGGTCCGGTTGAAAGTCATATTTTTGATGAAATGGGAAAAAGTGACAAAAGGTGCTTCCAATATTTATTGGTCCAATTAAAAACCTCTTTGTCGGATGAGAAAGAAAAAGGTATTCGCTCTTTGAAAAAAAAACAAGAGATATAAAGTTGAAAAAAAGTGCAAATGCATCAGAAATTGTATGGAAACTTGCCAAAACAGCTGTCGTTTTTTTTCTACATTCATACAGATTTTTATAACTCCCACCCTCATTTATCTTTTGCTTGCCTTCTCTTTTTCTGCTGGGCTCTCTCATATCTTTTACCTTCCGGTTTTTGAAAGATTTATGAAATTTGTGTGGTTAAAAATTGAAGTTTGAACTTCAAGCTTGTGAAAAATAAAATAAAATGTTGATTTTTTTTCAAAGGAATTTGAGCAACCGACAATTTCCGGTTTTCAAAAATGTCAAATGAACATGTGTAGAATTTAAAAGATCAAAATTTAAAAAATGAGAAGAAGGAAATTCGAAATAAAAACATATTTTTTATCAAGCGGAAGTTGAGCAAAAATGTAATAAGTGAACAAACATTAAAAAGACGATACTGATGAAATTAGCAAAACCCTGCTGAACCAGTAAAAAAACATAATATCTGCGTCAGAATAATTGAAGAAAACATCATAATTTTATGTTGAGAAAAAAAGGAATCAGAAAGAACGGGTACCATTCTAACCAAAACACACAAAAATAGTAAACAGGTTAGGTACATTTATAAGAATACTACTATGTTTAGTATGGTTACAGGAGGAACTAGACGCAGACAGATCACAGAAAAAACAACTTTGGGAAAATTAAGTCAATGACTGACGTCTTACGGTAATGTAGCCTCGCTACAGGGTACACAAATAAAAGAAATCAGAGAAAAGTAAAATTTTTAACTATCACCAAAGTTGTTAGATGGTATGGTTTCCGGTGAATTTCAACCCACTTATCACGATTATTTTGCAATGGATTTTCAAATTTCTAGTATTTCAAATATAGTATAGTGACTAAACATGACAATTTTTTCAGATCTGATTTGAATATGTTTTTTTTCAATGGTAAACGATGAGAAAGAGGAGGTGAAGAGGAACGGCTGGGATTTTTATGAGGGTCATAATAGTGTCCGTGAGAATGGACGGATTATGATTAATTGGGTGGGAAAATGGGTGGAAGGCTGGCGAAGGTCGCATTATTATTTTTATTTTTTTGTTGTTATCTAATGAACAAAAAAAGAATTGAAACCAAAATGCTGATAAGAAGCACACAGTTTCCGGTCACCAAAAATCATGGAAAATTTATGATTGTTTTCAGTACTAAAACATTCAATTATACCCCGAACAATAATCGGATTTATGTAATAATTGAGAATAACGAGTATTATATGAACTAACCTGATTGAAAATAAACCAGCGCGTCGGCGTACTTCAATACAAATTTGGCCACAAAAATCGAGATATTTTGAGACGGCGCTCAATGTGAGTGAATGATCCTGGTTTTTCTTGTCGACAAGGTGACGCCGTAAAAGAGTTACTTTGCCAACCGGACGAGCAACTTTTGCCTTTGAACCTGAAGAAAGAAAATGGAAAGGTGATTTATGATTTGTTAAATCAAAGAACATTGCAGAATGACGATTGTTTATGCTCACTCCAAATACTTTTTTGGTTATAAAAGTGATGCATGTATTTATAAAAGTCATATTTGACGTAACGAAGAACATTTTTGGCTATTTTAAAATGTTAGATTATTTTTGAAAATCATCAGATCCCGATTTCCAAAAATATTTTCTATTTTCAAAAGTTATTAGAAAATATAAACTGATATTATATTTTCTAGTTTTGGTATTTTAAAGGGGTGGTCTCCTTCGAAGTTAGAAAGAAAGTCCGCAATTGTGCGTCAGTATTTTCAAGAAACTTCAAATGAGTTTAAACATGATTACGTTTCAAAGTCAACATTTTGACGTTGAAATCTCAAGAAGCGCGTCTTTGTTAATCCAAAAAAAAGTTGAAGAAGCTTTTTTTCAGCATAAGTGTTTCAGAACAAATTTCTGAGCACTTCACTTGAGACAAAGATTTTTTTGGAGAGTTAGGATTTCTGGAAATTTTCTGTTTAAAAATTCAAAATGTTCGTTATTTTTTTCTTTTTTTAGATCCCCAATTTCCCCAGAATCCTCATTTTTCTCACCTTCTACAAAAATAACATGCAATTTGGAAAACGATTCAGTTGTCTCAACAGCAAATTCGTGTGTTAATGCGGTACTGTAAGAAAAAAAGAGAGAAATTAGGGTGGGAAAATGGAAAAAAAGGAAGAAGAAGAAGAACATTTTATTGCTATTGTTCGAAATAAAATGTTGCGAAAAAATGTAGTGTTTCCGGTTTTCTAATTCTTTACCTTGGTGTCAATTTTGGTGAGCGATATATATCATTGGCGTCGAGTTTGGCAAGAATTGTCAATGGTTTTTTGAGCTCTCTTGTCAAATTCAATTGTTTTACGGTAATTGTTATAACTTCAACAGAACGATTTTCGTCTTTTTTGGGTTTCATGACAGCAGATGTGATAGCTGGCACAGAATCGGAACTACTTTGATTCAATACATTCATGTTTGGGGAAGATTTTGAAGTTTTCAGACGGCTGCGAGATTCTGATCTTTCTTTTTTCTTGGTCTATAAAAATTCAAATTTCTGAAAATCAGCTGTTCAAAAATTATAATTTCCTACTTTTTGGCGAACAACAGGTGAGGACATTGGTGATGGAAGTTCTTTCAATCCCTCATTCAAGCTGGAAAAAAACACAGTTTAAGAAAAAAATGAAGAAAAAAGAATGGGATAAATGAAATATAAACGTCTGTTTTGTTTTGTTTCAAGAAAATTCTTATCATTTGTTTGATCCATTATATTTTGATTCTTTTTTTCAGATTCCATTTCATTCATACCGTAACTTCAAATTGTTCACAAGAGGTTGATCAATAGATACTTCAGAAGAGACGCTTGGCTGAAAAAAAGGAAAACAGTTTTTCTGAGCACAAAACATGTGAAACCTCGCTTGCAGATGCATCGTTTGAAGGCGATGGTGTTGATAAGAATTGGCCAACTTTTGTTGTATCATGAATTCGCATTTCCGGTGCAGAACGAGAATTTTTGACATACATCTGGAAAAAAGAAATGTTCCGGTTTAAAGATTTTGAATGTGGTCTTCAGGATTTAATTTATTTTTTTGCAACGATTTTCGATAAAAATTTTAGGGGAATATTTTTTCAAACCGACTAATAAAATTAAACAATTTGGTGAGAAGAAAGTTTCAGTTCAATCAACTTTATTAATTTTTCGGTTGATTTCTGTAAAAGGCTTTTTGTAAATCTTGAAAATTGGAAGGAATTAATTCGGATTTTTAAATTTAAATAAAAAATTTCATGACGTGACGAAGTTGTTATTTTTGTCGGAAATCAGACTTTCAAACTACGTCACCATTTTTTGTAATAAAGAGAAAGGTTACTAGCTCAAAATGTTTAAGAATTCTAGAAAAAAAGTGTGAAAATCTGGAACTAATTTATATTTTCTACGTCATAACATTTTTGAAACTCTCTATTTCTAGACATTAACTTTTAAAAAATATCCAAAAATGTTCGTCATCAAGATTTCATAATCGGCAACCTTTGTTTTTTTCTAAAAAGATTTTCAATAAATCGAGAAAGAACTAGAAAATTATTTTAAACTTTTTTAAAATTCTCAAATATCCTGAAAAACATCAATTGAACTTACGAACTGTGAATAAAACATCATAGCAGTTTTTTTTCTTTCAAAATTAAACTTTTTCTCACCTCGCTTGAAAGCCCGCCTGACATGATCCTCCTTTTTTCCAAATTAATTTCTATTTTGGTAGGTTTTAATTTTGGTCTATTTGGTTTGCCTTAAAGTTAATGAAACTGTTGGAAGAATATGTGGGCGAAATGAAAAATATACGAATATTGGATAGCAGATGTATAATGAAATGAAATGAGATTTCTTATTTTGTATTTTATACACATCATAAAAAGTACAAGATTTTCATAGAAATTTGTATTTCGTAAAGATTGCAGAAAAAACTGACTAATAAAATATAGATTTTGGGAAGAAAAATGTTCAAAAGTGCAAACCTTTTCAATTGGTGTGCACATCAATGAATGTTGAATTGGTGCATCATTTAATTCAAAACACGAATTATCGATTGAAAAATGTGAAGCCGGACGTCGAAACGAAGCAATTGAAGACGAAAACAAACTTGTTGAACGTGAATCATTACTTCGAGCTCTTTCATGTCCAATCATTGACATATGCATCTCATTCAATGTAGCATTCTGAAAAAAACGGCACTTTATAAAGCTAGACAATTAAATATTAGTTGAGCCAATTATTTGGTTCATACATTCTGATATATTTTTTTAATGAGGCAACTTTGCTATTTTTGAGAACTACGCACAGATTACTGTAATTATTAAGTGTTTATTCGTATATTTCGGGCAATTATTACTGCTATTGGATGAAAAATGCAGAGGCGTTTTTGAGGTAAATTAGCCCAGATAGGAATATATCTAAACGCTTGTTCATCTTCTGCCGGATTCAGAAAAACAATATTTCCAACATTTTTGTCATCTCTTCCATGTGCATAGATAACCAATTCCTGTTATAGAAGAACATTTGGATTTCGAAAAAATCTAGAACTGACAAAGAGTCAGAATCAGAAATTCAAATTGGAAAAAAATCTCATAAGTTTCTAAAAGTTTTTTGAAAATCTCAAATCTGCCACAGTAATCTCAAACTGATCTATCAAAAACCAAAATCTCACAAAAAACAACAAACAAAAACATATTCTACACATTTTCTACCCGGAAAAAGGTCATAAATTGTGCTCTTAAAGTGCCTACTACATTCACGGTGAGCTCTGCGCAAAAAAAGAGAGAAATAGAAAAATGACGAGAAAATAACAGAATGAAAATTATTCATAAATAATAAATACATAGATTGCTTTTTTTGCTGCGTGTGTGATGCGTAAAATAAAAATGTGATGTGAATTCACTTTACTTCACTTACACTAGAAATTCGGCGACGATGTGACGTTTTTTTGCGCGAGCTTGGAAGTGGAATCTCTTGTTCTGATCGACAAAGTTCATCCAACATTCGACGGCCACGAATTGTTGTTGATGGAGTTGGTGCTCGAACAGATTCATCTTCTGAACTACATTCAGTATCAAGATTAATTGGAACATGATGCGAATCAAATTGTTTTTCTTCAGCATCTCTAACAGCTTCCGCAACAACTTCATCATTCTCTTCTTCAGCTTCAGATGTCACTGTGTTTTCCAAATCATGTGGAATTGTTTCACATTTTCTTAATGTTTGCCCATTTTCTCCAAAAAACACTTCAAGATTTGAAGCCAATGATGTTGTTAGATAAACATCTTCTGCTAATTCGTGTAATTCTTCCAACGTTTTATCAAGTTCTTCAAGATTTTGTCGAGATAATTTTCGAATTTTCAAAGAAGATGAAGATGATGGGGAAGATGAGGAAGGCTCCTGGGTACTGTTCTGCTCTTCATCTATAGTCACATTTTCTAAAGATCGACTCATTTCATGTTGGCTGAAAAAATCAATTGAGAATGTAAGAATATGACAAGGAATGATTAAGGTAAAAAAGAAGAAATGAAATTGGATTTAAGTTTAAATTTTCTTTTTCTTTCATTCTACATAATTTCAACGTTTTTGAGCTAATTTCCATTCTTTGATAGTTCAGTATTCGGCTCATTTTAGAAAATAATTGAAAGAGAGAAAAATGTGGCTAGTTATCGTTAAAACTGTTTCAGAATGTTTGAAAAACACAATTTCTCGATTTTTGAAACTATGGAACAGTCCACGTTTTTTTTCTCCCTGGAACATTTATAATAACCTCAATTTATTCGAATTGCCCCAATTTTTATGAGAATCACGAAATAGAACCAATTTTTCAGTAAGAAGAAAATAGTTATTTTTGGGATTTGCAATGAAAAACGTCTGCAGCAAAAATTAAAACTAGAAAAAAATGAATGAAGTGAGGTATGTAGCTTAATCTAATTTAATAAAAAATAAATATAATTTCCACATTTAGCAAATTATTTTTTTCTCTTTGCTCAATAAATGTACTTTCAAAAATGGCTTCTTTTTGAACTGGTTCTGAAAATAACTTTTTTCGACATCAGAATTTTTTTTCAACACAAAAAAGCAATTTTCTAACATGCAATAGAGCATGAACTGAAATTGACATTTTCAAAAGACTGAAAAAATTTCATTATACTTTCAGTTTTTAAATGAATAGAAACAGATGTATTATTTGTATGAAACAGCTGAAAAAATCAATTAAAACAACAAGAAAAAAGAAATGAAATTCGTTTTTTTTTCTTAGAAATCAACTAACTAGAGAAATTTTGTTGTTTCTTTCGAATACAGTACTCATTGAGGAAAATAGAAAAATCCAGTTCTATTTGGAAAGAAAAATGGAATGGAAATAGATTTCAGAATGCGCGTGGGAACTTATCAAAAATTTTGGAGACAGACAAATTTGACAGAAAAATGAGGAAAATATTTTGAGAAAAAAAGACTATCAGAAATAGACCAGGAACTTATCTTTACAAAACTCTCAAGCAATCAATTCATTTCTAATTAATGGGAAAAAAAGACATAAATCTCCAATAAAAGTACAGAAATAGGGTTGGTTTATCTTTTATCAAAAAAAAACCTTTGTACTTTCAGAGGGCTGGGAAAATATTTGAAAGTTACAGAATTTCGAAAAAATTGTTGAATTTTTAATACTTAAAAAATAGAAAAAATCGAATTTCACAGATGTATCCAACTGCATCGAACTGGCTTCAAACAAAAATAGATAAAAATAGTTTTTCTTGCAAATTTGAAAATAGTTGAAAAATCAAACAAAAACAATTTCTGTTATTCACCTTAAAAATCAAATAAATTCAATTACAAGAATTTTAATTTAATTCCAAATAAAAAAGTTAAGCAACAAATTCAACAATGCAGAAGCGCAATAAAAAGATCAGCAGCGTTTTGAAGAAAAAAAACATTTAGAGAGATTGTTGAACTTATAAAATTTGCCCAGAAATGTTTGACAGATATTTAAACCTAGAATAATTGCTTCAGCTGCAAAAAAAATTAGCTTCCTAACTTGCATTAAAACAAAAATATTTTTGCATTTCCAAGATCAGAGTGTCAATATCAATCATCCGAACTAAATAAAACTATCAGATAAACCGAAAAAAGGTCTCAAATCAAAACCCAAGTTGCAAAAAAGTTGTTTTTTTATCAAATTAACAAAAAATATAGAGAAAAAATCATACAAAAAAGGCAAGAGAAAATGTGGGGGAAAGGGGGGGGGGTGTATTGTCGCATCACATCGCGCGCATACCGCCGCACCCCTCTAGCCATCCAATTTCAATTTCATTCATTCTCCCATTCTTCTTCTTCTTCTTCTTTTTTCTCTCCACGCATAAATTCAATTCAATTCCTATCAATGTCTTCGTTTCTTAACGTTTTTTATCACTAAAAGAAATATAATTGAAAAAAGTGAGTGAATGAGTGAATGGGTGTTTTTTGTATCTCAAATCAGTCAGTCAGTCAGTCAGTCAGTCAGTACCTCCCAGTTTCTTTGGCCAACCTTTTTTTCGCAACACTAAAGTGAGAGAGACAAAAAAGATAATAAGATCGAAGGAATCTGTTAGTTTTGTCGACCTTGAATTCGACAATTTTTATATCTAAATCAATCTTTCCATTTCAATTCATTTTAGCTTATCTTTTTTATACGTGAAACAAAGTTGTTGTTATGTATGATAAGAGGGTTTTTTGCAGAAACAAAATATACCTACAGAAAAAAAACAGAAAAATCAGGAAGAAAAACAAAAGAAAAATGTTATCTACCTATAAATAAAATTGTAAAAATGAAGATCATGCTTCGTATTTTTTACGATCATATGATAAAATTGGTCAATTTCCGATCAAAACTTGGTTGGAAAAATTTTCTGAACAAAACTTTACACGAAATAAGTATATATACAAAATACAAATATACTACAAATCAGAATACGGTATACTAATCGAAAAAAAGTACCGAAATTTGTTTTCTCAAATGGAAGTTTTGATAAATCACAATCATTATCAAATTTTCGAGCTCTCAAACTAAAAATAATACATTTCCGGTAATAAAAATAAAAATAAATACATCAAGAAAAAACATTATTCAAACCACCGCCTTCTTTTTCTGTCCCTGTCAACATATGTGTTAAGCAAACAACTGCGCTCTATTCAGAAAAATCAAGCAACAACACTCCGCTTGCCTGTTTTTTAGCGTCCATTGTTTTCTTGGAATTTTATTATTTATAATATCGACGTGTTCCTAACTGGTTTTTTTCCGGTTTCTTTTTTCAAAATGTCATCTGAATCTTCGACTGGAATCAGATGTCGAACGGCAGCAAGACGAGTATATTTTGAAAAGGAACGAAAGGATTATGCTTCAATTTCTGAATATGCTCAAGAAGTTAGAAAATATGCAAATGCATATCGTCAATGGGAAATGACGTGTCACGAAATTCAACAGCAACAACAATGGAGTCAATATGTTAGTTTTATTTTCATATTTTAAATTTAATAGGTTGGTTATTTGTATTTTTGTAGGTTACTGGACAAAATCCCCATTCACAACCACAACCAAATCCACATATTGCTGCTCAGGCTCATTTTGGACCAGAAACTGTTGTTAATTTTGAGTGAGTTGTTTTCCTTGCTTTTTTTCAAATGAAATGATGAGATTTTCAGACCAGCTTCAATTATTCGTCGAGTTTGCGCTGAAACTGTCGATTTTTTGATTTGCCTATTCTTGAAACTGCTGGTGGCATTGTTTTTGATTGAAATGGAGTTGATGTGAGTTTTTGATAGGTGGGGTTAATTGGGAACAAAATGATTTGAAGCTGAAAAGGTTTATCAGATGGCGTATCCTTTGAAAATATTATTACAATAATATTCTAAAACATTTTGAACAAGGCCCCACTTTTATCATTATGATACCTTGATTTTTCATTGGAATTGGGATGAATCGTATTTTCATTAGAAGTTTTGAATTACAGAAAACAGTTTTGATTTTGGAAAACTGAATCTGATTCAAAATTTTGCATAAAACTCTTTGATTTTATTCTGATTTAAATTCAAACATTTATTGATTACAAGATAGGTGTGTGATACCGATTGTTTTCAGTGACATTGATACGTTTCAAAAAGTTATGGATGATGAATCGGATATTGTGGAATTCATGATTGTCACTCAAGCTTTGTTACCAATTGAAATGGGGAGCAAATTCGTTTGTGCTATTTTGGAAGTAAGCATTTTCTTGTTGAATACTTCAGTCAAAATGTTCATATTTTCAGGCATTGATAATGATGATTGATATTGGACCATGTAAAAAAGGACAAACTCCAGGAAAATGGATCACCGGAATTCGTGTAATTGCAGCTGATCGCATCAGCGATTCAAACATTCCTAATTTTGTGCAAGTTCATAATCCGAAAGAGATAAGCTTGAAACAGTTAGTTTTTGATTATTTTTTGCCCAATTGAAATCCAAAGACTTGTTTTTTTCAGATCATTTGGTCGATCGATTTTCAAAAACATTGTAGTCAACAGCTTGTTCCCATTCACAACTCTTGCATTCAATATGTCGTTGACTCGTTCTTTGTATGATTCTATGTTAAAAACCATTGTAGTTATGAGTTAGTTCAGATTCTTTTTAACGAATGTATATTTCTTGTACACTTGAAATTAATAATTTATTTTGAATTTGATAAAATACATCATAGATATAATCAAAAACATATACAGTTTGTGAATAAAGTTGAAATTTAAACATAGAAGCAACACAACTTGGCGGATCTACACAGTTTATTGAAGTTTCCATCTCTGTACCCAAACATCTAACCGTAAGTTTTGCGAGCTGACACAATTTCAAGCGTGAGAAAAAATATTAAAAAAAAAGATTCAGCGAAAAAATCTTCTTGATCTACTTCAAAAGCTTATGAAAACAACCTATTTTAACGAAAATATATTTGAACATTTTTTGGCGCTGTGGATTTCATAACACTTTTGAAAAAACAATATTTGGGTCCTTCCTCCCCAATTATTGATCACAAGATTTTTCTAGAACTGTGGAAAAAAACAATGACTCATATTATAGGAGGCAGAGTTATGCAATAGTTTCATTCTGTTTTTCATTCGCATTATGTTTCGAAAATCTTTCTCATTTTTTTTCGTTATTTATCTGAAAATTTTCTTTAAATTAAAACAATGCACTAGCACATTTCATTTTTCAAGAGTAAAGGTAGATCGGTATTTGAGTGCCCAGGAAAATAGTACACTGCGGATTGTTTTATGTTTATGGGAGTATTTTTGATTACAATAGTATGTGTCAGTATTTTCAGAATTCACAATTTTTTAATCACAAATCCCTCTTTCGAATCTCTCATTTTTCATTTCGATGCAATGCAATGAGTAAAAGCTTTGCGGTCCTATTTTTGAAGAAAATATCCGTATTTTAAAAATAGTCATTGCTCAAAATTTCTTCATGTATTTGTCGCTATCTCATACAACTAGAAATTAAAATTGAATCACTTTCCAGTTTCCAAAATGGCCAACAACATTGGTTTGTTTTCCAAGAAGACTGTCGATGAGATAGAATTGATTGAAAAAGGTTAGCTTTACGAAAATGCTAGATTTATTTTAGAATGTTATATTTTCAGATGTATCAAAAGCAGGGGATTCGACTATGCATGACAATCATAATGCAACTATTCTTGACATTGATTCGATCAATGACGAAGAAATTGATGATGTTGTTGAGACAGGTAGCGAATTCATTCAAAAACAAACAATTAATAACTTTTTTAATTTCAGCATCTTCAGAGAACAGTGACTTTGAGGATCCAACTATCGATATCGATGATACAACTGGACTTTTGGAAGGTAGAGTTTTTTTTTCATATTGGCAGAATAAATAATCTAGATGATTTTTCAGGCATTTCAAATGACAATAACAATGTTCAATTGTTGATCAAGAAGATTGCAAAGAGTCTTTTGGTTTTTGCAACAGCTTTTCTTATTTTTTACATCTTCGTTTTCTAATACAATTTCCTAGTATGTATGTACATTCCATGCATTCATTTGTAACCGTGCTTTGTGCTTTGATTTTTTTTAATAAATAAAAATATTCGTGGGACCTACTTTTGTTTGAGTATTTTGTATGCAATTGTAATTCACCGTAATGCGCTGTAATTTTAAAGAAGAAAAACATCAGTCAATCTGTGAATAAAAACATTAGTAGATATTCTTCTCTTTTTTAATTCAGAAACTGTTCTTCTTTGTTCGGAGCAGTGGTGTTTCATTCACTAGCGTATTTCAGTAATTATTATTTTAATAGACCAATGTCGAAAGGTCATCCGGTGTGAAACTTTGCTCTTTTTAACCAAAAACAATATCATTAAATTTCATTTTTTATTTTTCCAAACAAAAAACAATATTTGATTGACGTCATTGTGAAACATGTAAATGACACGTCTTGTTGTTTTAATTGTGTGTTTTGAGTTCAAAAATGTTTCGGAAATTTTTTATTAACAGCATTTCACACTTTATTGCCTGCTTTGCCACAAAGTTGGTGTAGAAATGTACGGGAAGACAAAAAATAAGACTGCGAACAAAATAAAGCAACTAGCAGAAAGCCGAGAAATACAAAAGTATATGAATAAATGAAAAATACACAAAAAATGAAATAAAGTTTTGATGTCAAAAGAGTTGGAGTTGGTCATAAATCAATACAAATCAAGAGGGTGTCAGATGGTATTTCGGAGTGAAAAAAAACAAGACAATAATATAATATTTTTGAAACAGCAATAAAGCGGGGTGAATTTTTTTGAAGAAGTTTTTGATTTTAATGTAGAAAATACAATATAAAATATATCAAAATGAAACCGAGCATTTATTTTTTATTTGTGAAGTTAACAGGATGTGTGGCTCTGAATGCAAAAGCTGCCAAGTTTTAACGCCGTCCGACATCGCCAAGACGATCCAATGTTCCGAAATTCTTCAGAATATGATTGACAACTTCGGCATTGTTGCGTTTGTTTGGCACGGGGGCAAACTTCAAAATGCGAATTTTCTCAATTTTCGAAGGATCTACAACTCTTACCTGTCTTGAGTTGTAGAAACGATAAAGTGCATGAGGTGCGTAGGCTGGCAACGAGTTACCGTATCTCATCTAAACAAAATAGATTTATTCTGAAATTTTGGTCAATTTAGGAAGAATACCTGTTGTTGGCGTGGAAGTGCATTTACATTAGCAATAGCCAGAATTGCTACGAATAGCAAAGTGAGGACCGCAAATTGAGATTTCATCTAAAAAAATGTTTTTAAGGAAAAAAGAAAACTCAAAATAATGTACGAATTTGTATATGAATGAGAGAAAGGAGTGACTTATAAATAGACTTTTTTTGAAAACTAAGCCAATTTATTCTGAAATGACAAAAAATGTGATTTAGCTAATAATGATGATGAGCCAGAAAAGATTGATTTAGGTGAAATCGTATAGCTTTCAAAACGACGAGCAAAAAAGTGAATATTTTATTTATTTTTTTTGTTCATTTTCTATTTTTTACCTTGGAACTAAATATTTAGAAGGAACAAACAATGGAATGAATGAATGGTGCACAAAATAAAAGAACGGAGAAAAATTAATTAGCTTAAAGGGGGAGTGACTTTTTAATGAGTTGCGTACTTTAAGAAAATGCTACAACTGTTTTTTTCTGCCAGAAAAAAAGTGTATGAGATAAAAATATATGAAGATTAGTGTTTTTTGTAGTTGAGTTTTCTGATAAAAAAATGGATTTTCTCAGAGACCATTTTTGTAAGATAATTAGTTTTGAGAAGCAGAAAAACAAACAAAAAATTTCTGAGAAAAAATTTGTCAAGTTGCAAAATAATGATCTGGTGATTTTTCAATAGCTCACAGAACACGCAAAGTGTTTCGGGTTCATTCAAAAAACTGTTCGTTAAAGCACGACTTGTGTTAACATTTCCCCGAGCGATAAAATATGATTAACTTTTATATAGAAAACAACCGAAAATAGAGCTACAGTATCCCTTCCGCCCACTTGTGGAGAGAAAACAAAAAAGCAGAACTGACAATGAAATCAAAAAGGGGCTTTATAAATCCTAACCCATAACCTACGCCTCTTTTTCTCACAATGCCGTGACAATAACCAATATATCTACCAGGTTAATTTTCGTTCCGGAAAACGTTTTTAGGAAAAACAAGAGCCCAATTTCCGTTATATGTAAATTTGTGGATCTATATATTGTTTTGTTGTTGGTTAATAGATATGGATGAACGATTCCGATATATGAACCCTTTTTTTGCAAGAAGATGATGCACTAATGAAAAAAAAGAAATGAGAAAGAAAAAAGAAATGGGAAAGTTTTTTGACTTTGACATTACCCAAAAATAACACAACAATTCCCAGAGGATTGAAAATTAATTAATAAATACTATTATTTTTTCTTCGTTGTTTTTTCATTGTTTCAAAATGAATGTATATGTAAATGGAGAGAAAAAATATGAAACGAGACAAGTTTGCGGAGGTGGCAAAAATGAGAATAGAAAACAGATTCTCATTTTTCAGATAATTATGAAAACGACAAATAAGGCAACAATGTACCACGTGACATTTTTCGGATAGAAAATTGTACTTTTTTAGTTCTTGGAATGCAGTTTTTTTTAGGTTAGTCAATATCTAGATTTGCACTAATGGCGTGATAGTTTTCTAGGAAAAATATCAATTCTCAATTAGAAAAATTTAATTGGATGATATCATAAAATTTCAAAAATATCCAAAAATCAGACTGTGCCTGTGAAATTGAATTGATAGATTTTTGGTGGTTTGAATCATGACAAGTGTGGGAAATATGAGTTGAGTAATTTGGATTCTCTGAAAAAAAGCGAGTTGTGAGATAGTTAGAATTAGGCAAACAAGTTATCATTGTTTTAGTCAGATTTGTAATCAAAATGAATCACTCAAAATTATAGGCTACAATTTTTCCAATGTTTCAAGTTCTGATTTTCGAATCTGGAAATATAACAAAACTGAGAAAAATATTGGCTGATAAATCTATGAAAATTTTGTTGGAGAAACTCATGATTTCTCTTTTATAAACACACAATTGCTTTGAAAAAACACACAATTGCTTTGAAAAGTTAATTTCACAGTTTTCAGAATTTGAAAATCTCCAATTCACAAAAATTCTTGTTCCAAAATCAAAACTGCTCAATAACCCAAATAGGTTTCCCATGAAACTCTAAAGTAATACACACACATTTTTGTTTTGTCTCAATAATCACTGGAACAAAAATTGATGAGAGAGATCATTATATCAACTAAATCTCGTTTATTTCCCAGACACAAATTCCCTCAAAATACAGTAATCTTTGCTTATCATATAGACATATCCATCAAAAATCATTGCAATAACAACAATATAAAATGATAATGTGATTCATTTTATTACTCTGATTCTTTTTTTATTCATTTCTAAACCAGGAAAAAGCATAACGATATTCATCTTAATTTGTCCTTCCTTCATCTTCTTTTTTTCCTACCGCAAACCATCACCAAAAAACACTAAATAGCAGCTTATTCTTATTCCCTCTTTTTTCCAATTCCAGTCATTCTCTAATTCTAATCGTATTTCTTGTTATGTTATTCTTATATTATTATTATTATTGTATGATGGCAGTATTTAGTAGTTTTTGCTTTGCGCTTTGCTTCTGGCTTTTGTGTCCAATCTCTTCAGCCTGTTCCCGTTATTTCTCATTATTATTATTGTTTTTTGTTATGCTTTTTGTTTTTTCGTTGTTTTTTTTTATTTGTGATCTGATGGGAACAAATCATGGCATGTGTCCTTTTCAAGTAATTCTTGATTGATCTTTTGAAATTGCGCAAGTAAGTCGTTTTTCCGTACGTGTTACGAGCAGTTGTGATGCACACTCCGCATTGAGAGTCAAACCATTTTAATGACTCTTAAAAGAGTTTTCTAGAAGAGAAATACAATAGGTCACATTTTGAAACGCCACATTCATTCTGAACATGTTTCATTCTACTAACATTTTTTTCAGCTCACTCAAAAGTAAAACATATTCTAGGTAGCTCGAGTTTGGTTTGAAATTACTAATTTTCCGTATTCTTATTTTTTATTTGAGTGAAGCTTACGTTAGAACTTTTGTAAAGATCCAAATTTCGAAGACCTAACTCAACATTGATGTTGAAAGAATCTGACTCTAGGACAGAATCTCCTCCAAAAATGTGATGCCCGTTCGATTGGTATCAAGCGAACTTTTTACACGAGTTATGTGCGGTATTCCGGATAATTTTTGAAGAAGGTAATTTATGACATTACTTCCTCCTATTATGTCTAATTTTAAAAGGTTTTATTTCATTAGGAAACAAGCCTTACTTCACACGAGCGTCAAGATTTCCGAACCATTCTTATATTTTGTCCGAATTCAGAATGATCAAAAATTGAAAAGGAAACTCCAAAAAATTTACAGTTCAACATACTCTGAAAAAACTAATTTCCTCTCTTCTTGAAAACACCAATTTCTAGTTTTAAACCACAATTCAAAATAATCACAATGATTTCTGATTCTTTCATCCAATTTCAGCAACGGTTAAAAAAGCAATAACCAGAATGAAAACATAAAAATTTAATAACACGTTTCCTCAAAACAAATCACATTTCACTGAACCATCTATAATTTTCATTATACATTTGGTTTTCATTGCTGTCTCAATTCTTGTTTCACTTCCCAAAAATCATTTTTTTTACAAAATCTATTTGTCAATGACTAATCACTTTTAGCCAAACAACCGTGATTATATATCAATAATTGTTGTCTTTAATTTCATGAAGAATGATTCATCACAAAACGGAATGTGTTCATCACATCACTTTCTTTTTTGTGGACTTTAAGAGAAAAAAAAATGGTTAGTTAGACAATAAATTAGGCTAATTATTATATTCGCAACATCTTCACTTTTCGCGTCATTCCGATTGAATGAGTAAGTGAGAGTTTTGAGGGGCAAATCTGGAATTTTCCAGCGGTTGAAGAAAAATGGATTTTATTTTTCGGAAATTCGAAGCGAGAGCGAAAACGAGAGTTGAAGTAAAGAATTGAAATATATTCATAAGGTTAAGCCAAACCTTGTTTGTAAATTTTGATAAGCAGTCAATATGCCCAAACAAGTTTGTATTCAAAAGAAATCAGTCTAATTTTTACTATTTTATTTTTGAAAATTCAATGATTGAAATTTATTGATACAGTAACCTGAATTCGATCACATTCAAATATATGAATTACTACAGTATCCAATTCAAATAAATATAACGTGTCTACATATAATTGCTGTTTTATTTCAAAGCTCTGTCTGAAAATCAAAAATCGTGTACTTCCTTTTTTCTGTATTTTTTACTTCAACTCTAAGTTTGCAGATCTCCTGATTCTTTTAAAAGTTCTATGTGTTCCTCAACCGGTTCCCAGGCGTGATGAAATGAAAAGAAAAAAGAAAGCGAGAATAAATTGCGTAATGATACATGCCCTCCCCGGATGAAATTGAATTTGCCTTTTGTTTTTTTTTTCTACAAGGATTGCTTATTAAAAGTGAGAAGAAATGCATACCTAACTGTAAAGAATGAATAAAAAAAAGAGGTAATTGCATTTATTCGAGAAGGTGGAATCATTGTGGAACTGCTTTTTTGCTGTTCTTTTTTTTTGTTTGAAACGATATTACATTTCATTTTGTGGTTTTCAGATACAAAATAGATAGTTATCCAGCTTCCTTATTCATTATTTGTGTGCTTTGCTTTGTGTTTTGATAAGATTTAATTAATTGTAATACTTGCAAAAATTTGGAACTTTGTTCGATCGCGTGAGATAACAAACTAAAAACTAAACAAAATGTTTTTGATAACTTTTTCATTGAAATTCAGTTTTTGAGCTCTTAGTTTAGAATTCATTCATAGGAATTATCAATAATGGAACATTTAGAAATTTCTGATAAGAAAAAAAACCAGTCATATTAAAGATTGAATTTCAAATATTTTTTGCGGAAAAATATTATCTATGGTTTAGAAATATATTTTTTAAAAACGCTTCGAACTTTGAGGTATATAGATTTGATGAAATGGATTCAGATAAAGTTAGTGGAAAATGATCTAACTTGGTTGATAATGATTTCAAGTTTATCTTAAACCATAAATTTGATTTCTCGTAGAACTTTCGAAAAACTCAATCTTCTGATGTCACAATAATTCTTTAAATGTATCCAAGTGATAATTAGATTAGT